TCTTTTACCAAACTAGACTTGGTATGATAACTCTTTATGCTCTCTAACCAATATAGCAATATGGTCTTCTTGTTCATTCAACTTTTATCTTAATCTGCTTAGATAACTATTCAACATGTTATTTTTTATCTGTACTTAGGTATTTTCTTCTTTCAATTCAGTATACTCTTACTTCAATCTTGTATTCTCTTCAGTCAGTTCAACAATGATTATCTCTTTGGCCCTTTCTCTCACACATAACCTTTTATGTTCGTAGTGTAGATCTGCTAAGTCTTCAACAACTATATCGCGTTCTCTAGCAATCTTACAAACTCTGACTTCATGACTTTCAGCTCTATCTTTCCACTGGTCTTTTTCTTCTTGAAACTTTTAGATTTCTTGATTTAACTTATCTTTTTTAGATTCAAACTCTTTTGTCACAAGCTCTAATTCTGACGGTGTCTCTTCAAGCTTTTCTTCTATTAGTGGTTGAAAGCTTTCATAAGTGAATACCATTTTTTATCTTTGCTTTGCTCTTCAAAGTAAATATTCTTGAGTGACTTTATCAGTAAACGGTTCATGACTCACTCTTCGAAGATTTTTTATGCTTTAATCATCTCATTCATCCTCTTAAATGCTTTTGGCTCACTGTAAGAGAAATCTAACTGATGAAGCCTATGTGTCATAGGAATGAACTATTCTGCCCCAAACTACCTCTTCACTAGGAGTGGTGCATAATTTGTTACTCTCCATAAACCTAAAAGTGAGACCACTATATTATCTTCATGCTGATACAAAATAGGTTCACGATTCATCCATGGGGCCAACCATCTTACTTCGACACTGGTTAATTTTTGTAGAAAAGTTATCTGTTCTTTTTTAGATTTTTATTCTGACCACCCACTGTCATAAAATTTCTTGATCGAAGCTTGAATACGGACATAAAGCTTTGAGAAAGCACCTTTTCTCCATTCAAAATGGTTTTTCATCCATAAGTATTTTAACTGTATGTAGCTTATAAAGCATCATTCATTCTGATGACAGTAACTCAAAGATCTTATAGTCTCTGCTAATATTATCGTTGAAGGGTTACAGCTATTGATCACACTTTCGAAGAAGTCAACCACTGATATCTCAATATAACTTAAAATCTTTAAAAATATCACCATTCCATATATAGCTAAGGCAAATATATCTAACCCCCGTTCTTCGTTGGTATGTTGCACTAGAAACTCATGAAAGAACTTTTAAGGTAGGCAAACTTATTTTTATTTCCTCTTTGTATGAGAATTCACAACTTCTTTGTCTATCCCCATGAGTTGAGCCAAACCCTTATGAAATCTTGACTTGTGTTTTTTGAAATATATCTTATCAGGAGCTTTGAGGTGCAAACCTAATAAAATCGAATATTCTTCAATGGTTGATGTCATATCAACTTCATTGAAGATGAAACACTTGTATGCAAGATCTCATAATTGGGTTGTAGCTCTGATTAGTTGATCATCGATAACTACTGTGAGAAGGTGCGTTATATGCCCGTGTCTCTGGTAAAATTGCTCTTGTCTTGACGGACTCATCTTCTTTCATATATCAAACAAATTTTCTAGATTATTTTATTTGAGGAGGATAGATGTTTCTTGAGACAAGGTAGAATTATATCTGATTGGTAAACAATCTTTCATCTTCAGTTAAATCTTTTCTGACTAGACCCTTACTTCGTTAGGTGACTCACAAGGTGTTAATATAGATGAAGAATAAACTAGTCGTTTTGTGGAGTCCACAAAAAATTTTTGTTGAAGACTATCTTTCAAGCAAATGTTCTTTATGTAACTTTATGATATGAGCATGAACCAATGCAAAAGAATGAGAGAAAATGTTAGTATGTCAAAAAAAAAAAAGAATAAATAAATAACTAAGTAAATTAAAATATCACATATAATAAGAGGAATGAACCATATGCTTTTGGTTAATTTTAAAAGGAAAGAATGATGGCTCCATCTATAAGTTAGGCACTCTTAAAGTTCACTATATGTAGTTTGAGGTTAAAGTCTAAAGGTTCCCAAATTGCTCCTTACATCATTGTCCATCACAGACTAATAAGGCACCCTAATTTTCACCCATTACAGGCTACAAACGAAAAAGGTTCAATTTGAGTGAGAGCATTTTGCTAGCCACTACGGAGGCATTAAACCTCACGAAAGTAATAGGTACTTTACTCCCTCCTAGAGGGACGGAGCTCGGGTATAGAGCTCATGTTATGCATATGCATATGAATAACATAATTAATAAAGTAAATAAACATGAATGAATAAAAAAATCTATACAAAAGGTTCAATTTTATTAGGCTTTTGGATAACACAAATTTATTTACTGGCCTGACTCTTAGATATCTCCAGCAGAGTCGTCAAACTATCATAACGTCTAGATCTGAGGATCTATTGCTAGACATTGACTTAAGGAGTCACTACCAATCTTTTTTTTTATCTAGGTGCGATTGACCACCTAAGAAATCTATCCTTTCAAGGAACACCTAAGCTTAAGGGTCCTTAAAAGAATAGGTTCAGGTTTACTAACCAGAACAGGATTTGAGAGTTCGATTACGTATGAGGAAGGTTATAGCACCCTCACAACGCCCATCAAAAGATGGTACCAGCTTAATTTTATGTTACCCAATAAGCCTTAAAAATTTATTAAGTAATTAATTATTAAAAATTATTCTTAATTGACCTAATACTTTTAACAAAAAATTGAGAAAATTTTCTCACCTTAAGGTATGCAAGGAGACTAATGTTTCACTTGCAGAAGCTCTATCGTCGAATTATTTAACATTAAAAAAATTCAAAAAAATAAAATAAAATAAAATAATGATTCAGCTTTAGATGTAAATCCTCTTCTCTTCAAAAATTCATTGCTTTTATACAAGAAAAATTTATACTTTCAATTTTTCCCCAAAATATTTTTTTAAAACTTTAATTTCGAAAAAAATTGATACTTTCAATTTTTCCTCAAAAAAAAACATTTTTTGGAAAATTATTTTCAAAGAAAATTGATATCTTCAACTTTTTCTCAAAAATATTTTTTAGAAAAAACTTATTTTCAAGGAAAATTGATACTTTCAACTTTTCTTCAAAAATTTTTTAGAAAATTTATTTTCAAGAAAAATTGATACTTTCAACTTTTCCTTAAAAATATTTTTTTTGGAATTTTATTTAAAGAAAATAAATAAATAAATAAATAAATAATATAAAGATAAAAATATAATAAAATAAAATAAAACAAAATAAGAAATACTAAATAATTCTAATCTAATCAATAAATAATAATAATGATAAGAATAATAATAATAATAATAATAAATAAATAAAAATAAAAAATAAAAAAAAAACCTTGGAACGGCTCGGCTTAACGGCTCGTGCTCGAGTCACACGCGGGTCGACACTCGGGTCGGGTCATCCGATTTCAAAACGCGAGGATTCTTTGGGAATAGTAACACTAAAACGACATCGTTTTCAACAGGTATAAAAGGCTATATCCTCTGTTTTTCAGCAAATCTCCTCTTTTTTCTCTCTCTCTTCCTTTTTTTTCCTCATTCCTCTCTCTAAACAAACGAAGAACTCCGGTTAAATCTCGTCGGATTTTAAAAAATATCATCGAAATCTGAGTTTTTCGTCAAAAGTTCATCGAAAAGTTAGTCGATTTCTGAAAATAATTATCAAAAACTGGGTAGCTAGCCGAAAGTTCAACCGGTGCCAAAAAATTCATCGAAAAATTTAAATTTCATCGAAAAATTCAATCGAAATCTGAAAATTTTCCAAAAATTTTCAGAAAAATTCACCTAAAATTTTTCAAAAAATCCTGAAATTGCTTATAACCTTTCTGAATGGCTTTTTCCTTTCTCTTTTCGCTCTCTCTCTATCAGTGTCTTTTCTGCTCTATTTCAGCACCTATTTATAGGGATTGATCAGAAGAGTTTCTGATCAATCCCAAATCCCTCTGAGATTTGGATTTAATCTTTGAATCCAATCCCAACTCTATCAGCCCCAAATTCACGCCAAAATCTCAGTTGTTTCTAATCCTAATCCCAATCGGGTAATCAGAAAAAGAAAGAAAGAAAATAAAAAAATAAAGATAATATATTAATAGATAAAAATATTAATAGATAAATAATAATAATAATAGATAAATAATAATAAAGCATATATATCAACAGATAAATAATAAATAAAAAATATATATAATAATATATGTTAATAGATAAATAAATATATATGTATATTAATAAATAGTAATAGTAATAATAAATAATAAAAATTTAGAAGAAAATAAAAATAAAAATAATTAAAAAAATAAAAATGAGCCTACCTATTTGGATCAGGCCCAATTGATCCGGGCCTGGATCAAATTGGGTGTCTACAAATATTTTTCATATTTGTGTCTTTTTTTAGTTCAATATTTTTGTATCTTTAGTTAAGAAAATATATTTATATTTGATGTACTATTAATATATAAAATTTATATACTATTAGTGAATAAGATAATACAATTTTATTAATAAAGTGAATCAGATAATACCATTTCATTAATGAGTAATTTTTAAAAAAATTATTAGTTTTTATATATTTATTTTAAAGATTGATATTTACTTATTAATAAAATAGCATCATTTAATTTATTGATAATATATAAAATTTATGTACTGATAGTATATTAAATATAAATTCAAAAAAAATTGTGTTAAAATTTAGAGAAGGATGACCATGTTGATAGTGTAATAATTGTAATCGTAACTTATGAGATTACAATATGATTTAATTAAGATAAGATTACGATATCCTTAACTTGATTCTTTCTTAAATTAATAAGATTTTTTTCTTATATATAAAAGACACATCTTGTACAAACACTTTTACATAATTGAGAATACAAAAAAAAAAAAAAACTTGTTTTTTGGTACACATGTTTTAGAATTTAGAGCAGAAACCGAAGCTCTTGTCATCTTGAGGTTCTTACTAGTACTGTTAACGAGTTCCGAGTATCAACCAAGGGTTTAAGAATTGAGGTTAAGTTGTTAAGTGAAACCCACGTGCCAGCACGAGTCAAAACTCCTGTGGTCGGAAAGACAAAAGTTGGTAATTTTCCGATTCTTGCAGTGTGGGTGGTCCCTGTCAAAATCTTCTTCAAACTAAGTTTTTCTTTTTGTAAATTTTGAAGTCCAATATCTCCTCTGGTCATCATCACAATCAAAACTAACCTATGTTGGACCCGGTGCTGTTTGTCCTGCTAATGTTCACCCAATTAACACAAGTAAAATCCTGCTCCACTTCCCACCGCTCACTTCACTTTCACTCCTTTCCCTTCAATTACCTGTGAGTGTAAGTCTCTCTGAAAATTTGTGCATTATTCATGCACTGCCGTCCACGCTCTCCCTAGCCCCTTCCCTTTACCTATAAAAACCCCATTGTTTTTTTCTCAGTTTGACCAAAGAGCAAGTAACCAAACAAAGCTCGAGCCCTCTCCTCGATTGCTAACTACATTTAGATAATTATACATTTAAAGCTTTTTGTCCAATATGAGGCTTGCCGCAATTGCTGTTACTGTCAAGCCATTCACTACGCCTACTACGCCAAAACTCACTCACTACTCTGTTCCCTCCACAACCACCACCATTAATCCTTTAAAGCTCAACAGTGCTGAAAACCCTGAGTTTTCGTGGACTCCCTTAAAATATGACTCACTTTTCACTCACTCGAACTCAGCTAAACTCGCCAAGAATTGCATGGAGTATCAGGGGATCAATAACTGGGAGGGCTTGCTCGATCCTCTTGATGATACTCTAAGAAGTGAGATTCTAAGATACGGGCAATTCGTCGAAGCAGCGTATCGATCTTTCGACTTTGACACTTCTTCACCCACTTATGCCACGTGTAAGTTCCCCAAGAGCTCGCTACTGAGCCGGTCTTGCATTGGAGGGACCGGTTATAAACCGACCAAGAACTTGCGTGCCACGTGTGGGATTCAGCTGCCACGTTGGATACAAAGGGGACCGAGCTGGCTTTCAACTCAATCCAGCTGGATTGGTTACGTGGCAGTTTGTCAGGACAAGGAGGAAATCGCCAGGCTTGGCAGGCGTGACGTGGTGATCGCATTCAGAGGCACCGCCACTTGCCTGGAGTGGCTCGAGAACCTACGAGCCACGCTGACTTCTCTGCCTGATGACGAGGACAATGTGGTTCATAAAGGCAGTGGGGCCATGGTGGGGAGTGGGTTCATGAGTCTCTACACTTCTGGTACTACCACGTGTCCCAGCTTGCAGAACATGGTGAGGGAAGAGATTGGAAGAATACTGGAAATTTATGGTGATGAACCCCTCAGCTTGACCATCACAGGCCACAGTCTGGGTGCGGCTCTAGCTACACTGGCGGCACAAGATATAAACTCCAATTTCAACAATGCGCCGATGGTGACAGTCATATCATTCGGCGGACCACGTGTCGGAAACCAAAACTTCAGACACCAGCTAGAGAAAAGCGGGACCAAAATTCTACGTATAGTAAACTCCGATGATCTCATCACAAAAGTACCCGGCTTCGTAATTGACAACAATGACATGGCAGACCAGCAGGCTGTCAAAGTGGCAGGGCTGCCAAATTGGGTTCAAAAGCGAGTGGAAGACACGCAATTAGGTTATGCTGATGTTGGACAAGAGCTGAGACTAAGCGAAGGACGCCCAGAACCTGAAAGCAGGGAGCGTGGCAATTGTCACGACTTAGCACGATTATTGGGAATTAGTAATGGTTTGTTAGTTCAATTGTCATATCCGGCCACGGCCAGGAGAGTATTGAGTAAACACCATCGGGAAAAACTAGCAAGTTTGTAGATGATTTTTCTTTTCTTTTTTTTTTTCTTAAGAGATTTCATGATCGGCATAAAATCGTGTACTATATTTTGTACATAGAGAAAGAAACGTTAATTACTAATTAAGCAATGTAGAGAAGTGGGGTTATTGCTGATTTTTCACCCATATTACATATATATATATGTTAATTGATTGAGAGAGAGAAATCCATCACAGAATGTATTGTTATGTTTTCAAGATTGTGCACTGTTATGTTTGAGTTTTATTTTTAAATGGATGTTACTCAAAAAGCATATACGACATGAGAGGATATTGACGTGCATCTACGTGTTTTTTAAAGAACTAATTTTGACTTGTGTTTATTGGGTTAAACGTGGATGTCGATTTATTTTAATTAAATCGATAATTTATGTATTTATATTATATAAAATATTAATATTTATATATTTATATATTTATGTAATATTTTATATAAAAATTATGTATCATAATTTATATTTATACGAAAATATGAAATATATATTTTTAATTTATTCAATTTATATATAAATATTATTTAAATTTTAAACTGTGTTACTCTTTTATTTTTTATTTGTATCGTATTCGTATTATACTATTATATCTTGTTTTAGATTACTAATCCATCAATGCTAATACTAGTTATTCTTTTCTTTCAATATAATTAATTAGTAAAAAAACCAATTTTTTATACGCATCTCTTATTAAATTTATGACAATCTTAACAAGCATAGAATTTTATATAACCAATAACATCAGCGTAGTTTTACTTTTTCATGTAAGAAAGCTTGCTTTTAAAATGTATCTTAAAAATTAAAACTCTCTTTTATACAAAAAAAAAAAAAAAAAAAACTTATAAATTAACACAAATAGTTGGCTAGCAGATTGTGAATTTTGCATATCATTGGTTAATTACGAAATGAAAGGGCTTGAGAGTGTATCGTAACTAAAACTTAAGTGGTTGATATATTCATCGTTTAATTGATTGAAAAATAATAATAATTGCTCTTTAAAGTCAAAGGAAGGTCCATCCTAGTATGATAGTATACGATAGGATATTTATTGCTAATCTTAGTGACAAAGAGGGGCCAAATGTGTGTAACCATAGAAAAAGATGAAGAAGAAGAAAGAAGTGACTATATAGTACATGAAATATTGTGGAACCAACCACAAGAACCGCATGCACATGTATCCCATGATATAGAAAGTCAAAAATGTTAGAACAAAACATTTCCTATGATCATAATGTTCCAACTAATAACTGAAATTATATACCAAATATCTTAACATATAAATTTATAGACCTATAACTAAATGCAATAAGAGGAATTGTCATCATTTTTTTTTATTTAGGTGTGATTGGTTACCTAATAAATTTATACTTTTAAAGAGCTCTCGAGTTTAACTAAAGATCCCTGAAAAATAGGTTCTGATCTACTAATAAGGGTTAGTTACATATAAGAAAGGTTATAGCATCCCACATATCCATCCAAATAACGATACCATTTTATTTTAAATTATCCTAAGATCTTAATTTTAATAGTCTTCTATTAACGGTTAAATATTAAAAATAACTTTTAAAATTCTCTATCTAACAAAATTTTTAAAAATACTTCATTACTTCAAGAATATTCAAGAATTTCATTTGTTTTCTTGAAAAGGTTCCATCGTCGAAAAGCTTAATCTTTTTTTTTTGTTAAATTTTTGTTTTATTGAAAATATATCTAATTCTTTTATTATTTGAGCCAAAATTAAAAATATTTTTTCATCTAGAAATATCTTAGATAATTATCTATTTGCAATTATTAAGAACTTTATTCTCGAAATTTATTTTTTATTTTACAAGTTTTATTTTTAAATTTTTTACCATTTAGGCCTAATTTAGAAAAAAAAAATAACCTTCATCTAAAAATCTCATAGAAATTCAATTATTTGTGATTTTTTTTTAGATTTCATTATTGGATAATTATTAGATATTTTCACATAAACTTTTGTTAATTTTTATTTTTAATTTGAAAAATAATACAATTTCTTTTATTAAAATTTCATCTAAATTAATCCACCGTTTAAGTCAAATTTAGAGAATTTTTCATCTAGAGATTTTTTAGAAAATTTACCATTTAAAATTTCTAAGAACTTTATCATTGGATAATTTTTAATTCATTTCCAAAATTTTATTAAACTTGTTTATATATGTTTATTATTTTTATTTTATAATTTTCTTAAAAATTAATCATGCAAAATACTTTAAAAATAAATAAAATAAAATAAAATAATAGTATAAAACGAATAAAAAAAATATCAAAATAAAAAACCGACTCGACTTAACTAGAGTGGTAGATCGATTACAACAAGGATATTAGGAGCAAGTCGCAAACCAGGTCACACGTGGATGTGGGTTGGGCATAAGAAAAAGGATCCTGTAAAAATTAAAACCCTAAAAAACGGCGTTATTCGATACACATATAAAAACCTAAATTTTTTCTTTTTCCTTCATATTTCCCCTCCCCCCTCTCTCTTTCTTTTTTTTTTTGTTCTCTCTCTAGAAAACTAATAAGAACATCAGTTGAATATCCTCATCGGATTCTAAAAACCCAAGCCGAAATCTAGGTTAAGTCATTGAAAGGTCATCAATTTTTAGAAATTTAACACCAAAAACTAAAGATGATGCCGGAAACTAAAATTCTAGCTAGAAAGTTCAAGTTTCGCTAAAATTTTCATGAAAAAATTCATTAAAATTTAAAAATTAAAAAAAAAAAAAACTCTTAAAAAATAACTAAGCTTTCAGAGTCCTAAAAAAACAAATCAAGCTAATAGAACCTTTGTCAGGAACTTTTCTAAAAAATTTTGGACATGATTGCTTTTTCTACTTTTTTATTTTATTTTTTTGGCAATCTTGTATTGAATTTTCATGTATCTTTCTGCTGATCTCTCTTGTCTATTTATAGGGATACTTAGAAGAGTCTTTAATTGACTTAAATTTAATCTTTGACAAGATTTTTTTTTTATGTTACCGTAAAACTAGAATTTATCCTTCACAAATCAAATCCAATTCTAACTCTTATTGATTGACGTCAAAACTCCTTTTTTTTTTTTTTTGGAAATTATCTTTTATTACTTTTTACTATTATCTTATTATTTTTAATACATAATCCGATAACGTAAAACTAAAGATAAATCAATAATAAAAAGCTAATAACAAATAAATAAATAATCATTATACAAAAGATGAAAATAAATAAATAAATAAATAAATACAAAATAAATATCAGTAACTGGATCCTAATGAATTAGGCTCAATTGGTTAAGATTTGGATCAAATAGGGTGTCAACATCAAAAATTTAATAAATATTATATATAGAAATTGTTTCCAAGCAACCAAGAAAATTAGCCAACATAAGAGAAGTTACCCATTAATGGGTAATATTGCTCTTTGCATGTATCCTATTATCTATATTTTATAATACGAATATATCTATTTATATTCAGGAAAGAAAGGGATATAAATTTGCTATATATATATATATATATATATGGAAAGGGAAAAAAAATATGGCTATCTATAGAATTTACCTTGAACAGTGATGAAGAGTTTTATGCATTTCTATTGTCGGCTCCAAACTTGAATTTATGAATGAATGAATGGTATGTATTAAAGGGAAAACCTCCAACTAAGATCTTGTCTTTGACTCTTGAATATTAAGGTTTTTTTTTTTTTGGACAGATAATTGAAGATTTAAACGTGGAAAGCATCATTAAAAAAAAAAGGAGCGAGTGAGAATTTTCATCAAAAGGGCTACTAATAGTATTAGGACCACAGCTTCTCCGTCTCTAAATTGATCTCTCCGATTTGTCATTTTCTTCCTTTTTTGTTTAGTTAGACCACCGGCTTTAATTTCCTCGTTGTTTGTACGCTGTAAATAGAATTCACTTCATCGGCCTGTTGACTAAATTGGAATCTGAATTCTTTACTACTTTGTGGTTCTTTAATTTAATGACAGGTAATCATAAAACATAATTAATTCGACAATCCTTGTTACACCCATGCTTTCCGTAACCCTTAAATTTACGGCATCATTCACACCATAATATAGGATATATATATATATATATGATTTATTTATTTATTTGTTTTTGCATTATAACAAGTCATTCCAACAGCTTTCGGTGAATTTTTCTGGATGCGATCGAATTAAGCTTGTCTACTATTACGTTCTTTCTTTTACAGTCAGCTTGAGGGCTTTGTTAATCATTTTTTCTTTTCCTCTAATTTGAAGTCGAAGGCTTTATTACTTTCGGCTATGATTCTGAAACGACGTACTATTATTGCAAATTAAGCTTCTCTTTTTTTTACTATATATGTATTTGCTTCTGACGGCAGATAAGACGTGCCTCTGAATGCAACAAGATTTAATTTTTGTAAATACCAAGTGTGTGATTTTTCCCTTACATATACATACATATATATATATATATAAACAGTTGTCTAAAGGTGTTATAATTTAAATATTTATTCATTTATGATAATTATTAATTTTTATTTTTTTAATAATTTTTTGTACTTAAGACTACTATAATTTAAGCATGGTCATTGAAATTAAAAATTATTAACTGCGACACGATGGTTAATTATTTTTGAACTTTTGATAAAATGAAAACTTTTTTTATTTGGTAATTATGAGAATTCACTAAAATTATGAGAATCAAAAGCGAGGTTTGATAAGAAAAAATTGGAAACGTGAATGGACGGTTACAATGAGAAGTATGATCATATATATTATAAAGCTGATGATAGATAGAGGTCAAAACTTTTGTAGATAAAACCTTTTCGGCTTCATATCTTCCGACCAGATGGACCAAGTAATAATCAACCCACCAAATGCAAATGTGGAACATATGCCTCAAAATCACACTATTATTATTCCCTTGGTGACCTTTCCCATTGCCAATGCATTTATCTGTACAAAAGGGAATGGGGAATTGTTTTCCCTTCCGTTACACATTCATTCATTCATTCATCTCCCCAGTCATTATCAGAATCTTCACAGTAGGGTCGAAAGCATTGTTGTATGAAAACCGTGTTGAGGAGGCCTCACAATCGGTGGAAATCTCCCAAACTTCAACCCTACACCGAAAGCAGCAGCTTAAGTGCATATCGTTTGATTCAAATGATAAAATTGCATACTCAATTCAAATGTCAACTGTTCTGATTTAAGAAAATATGACAAAATATGCATGAAAAAATTTCTCTAATTAAAGAGAAGAAAATTTTCAAACCAAATTATATTATATAGGACATGTAACCTTTAATTATATTCTGCTTTTAGTTACAGGCTTTTACGTACAGAATTATATAGGAAAAGAATGTAAGATTTTGTGATATACTATGAAAAAGTTTTATTGTGGAAAAACTATACAATCAAGATGTTATCTATGCTTCTCTGGATACCCCAGTTCTTTTAACTGTGCTTTTAAAGCAGCATGCTCATGCCACATCCTCTCTAACCGAGCTTCAACCATAACCATCTCTTCTTTAAGGTAATGCATCCGCTTCTCCAACCAAGCAACAGCTTCAGCTGGCCTTTCACCACCTCCACCACCCATGCTACCCATATACCCTACTGGATAACTGACATGAACGTGTTGCGGTCTGTTTAATAGCACGATCATACTCACCTGCAGTCAGAAACCGGGAAAAGGAATGTGAGCTGTAAGCATCCACCAATATGATATGATAAATCCAAATTAAACTTTAGGTTTTGATCGGTTTGCAAGAGACGAATGCTCCTTGGATTGTAACAGGTCCACATTGGAATGACCTGTTATTAAAATGAAGGGACTAGCTAATGGAGTAAGATGATCAAAATCACTTGAGTAAACCAATGAAGGTAACAAGTTAAATGGGAACCACAAACCTGCATCAAGAAGATCACAGCAAATGCAACTGCTAAGACTAGTGAAATATGACCTTGGCTTTTCAAGTATGAGTAGGATTTCAGAACAAACTCTCTCAACAATGATGCGATGGATGAAGCATTAGACAAACTTCCTTGCAAAAGATTCCCAATTCGTTGGTTAACATCCATAGAATCAGACATCTGCAATGTCCTTGCTGGATCACTCAAGTTATGAGATATTTCTGAAGGTTCTTTGGTAGCCACTTCTCTTTTAACCTGGTGTTCACCAGTTTCAGTTAAGCTTCCAGAAGGATCTACCCCTGCTTGAAACAAAGGACTTGGTCAGTAATTCCATTATCCGCAACATTGACTAGAGCACAAACATAATTAGAGGAAATTCTTAAAAAAAAAAAACCAATCTGATGCTCGAACCTCCTTGTTTATCAATGTTCTGCTTCAACAATTCGTGTGCCTGAAACATTAATGACAAAATTTCTTAGATCAATGTTCAAACAAACTTACCAACATAGACATGAAAATACAGGAGAAAGATAATACCATGTCAATCCACGTTGCATAAGCTTCTCGACATTCTTCCAGAGTAGACTGCACTATTTTCCCTGTACCACGTGCTTTGTATCAGATGAAGGAAGAGATAAAAGAAACATAATCATTAATATATAACAGCAACACATCCATTTAGTGAGCTAATCGAAAAAAAAAAAAAACCACAAATCCTTCTGAGCTTATCTTCAAAGTATTAAGGACTGCCAAATCTACAAGTTCAAAATATTTTAGATGTAACACAAAAACATCTTGCCCTTAAGATCTCCATTATTACAAAGAATTCTAGATTTCATGTCATAAAATTCCTTCCTCTACAAACAATAAATAATCTATTTCATTGTAAAAGGAAATAAGTTTTTGGCACTTCCGCAAATTAATTTAAAAGTGAAGTTAAAAAAAATTCAAAGAATTTGTAACTGGAACCACAATAAGAGAAGCTCAGTGTAAGAAATGCATAAAACACATTATTAACAAGATTCATTGGCATTCAGCAGAAGCAAACCCTTCCAAACAGTTCTCTTGCTAAAAGCCACATTCACATAAACCCTCAAAATGCAGCCTTCTTGTGGACCATCACTGTCTCTTTCTACATCCCAAAGCCCCTGATAAAATACACAGCAATTTCAAGCACATATCAGAAACATTTGAACTGAACTAAAAGCATCACAAATAGAATAGAAACAGATCATGATTGCCTAAAACAGGATAACTTTTCAGAACTGAATGCAGAAAATGGTGCAGGTGACCTTTTTCCACAGCGTAGAAGCATTCATATTCAGCATCTTCGCAAGTTTTATTATGTTATAACTCAAACATAGAAAGGGGGGCTCTATATCATCTCTTTCACTCTCCAGAATACACATCCCAAATTTGAAGAATTTTAAAGTAAGAAAAAATAATAAAATGTTCATTTGAGCTGGCTCAAAACCTTACATGCCAAGTTTGGCTACACTAAAGTTCCACGCACCATGATAAAGGATTCTTAAACCATGGTTTAATTTACCAAATTGACTAGACAAAGCTTTAGCTCAAGAAAGATTACCAACCTAGCACGATAGACTAACAAGTATGCAATAAGCATTGCACACAATCCTGTGCAACATGATAGAACAAAACACATTGAAGTAGACCAGCATTTCATAAAGGAGAAACTAAACGGTGAGTTGATTTGTACACCATATGTATCAACCAAGGGTCAACTTGCAGATTTGTTGACTAAAGGTCTCAGCAGTGCAACATTTCAAAGAACTATTTCCAAGCTTGGAATGGAAAACACCTATTCATCAGCTTAAAGGGGAATGTGGGAAAACACTTATTTACAGTTGATTGTAATCTTGTAATCTGTATATTTATATTTGCATCTCTAGAATTAAGTATTTGTATCCCTAGAATTAATGACAGAAAATTATGATAGACAATTCCTTAATTATATGATCAGTTTTAGGAAGATTTAATTTCCTAGTTTATCCACTAGTTAGTTGTATATAAACCTAAAGTACTTATATAAATCTTAATGAGCAGTGTTACAATATACATTCAGTTTTACTCTTAGTTTTTCACACAGTTTTATTTCTTAGTTTTTTTACAGTCTCCAGTATTGCACAGATTTCACTTTTGCTTTTAGTTCTCAATTTGAAGGGCTAGAGTGTAATTTTCCTCACTATTTCTGAAAATTCCAGCCCATAATCTTCAAGGAATAGCAGGATAATTTATGCCTAAAAGCAACAAACTAGGGAATGGAGAACACTTCACACATTAAAGCATGTCAAATGGACTCAGATTTTGCTTGTACCTCTACATGGAAATAATCTCCATATGGTACATCATTGATCTCTTGTGATATCTCCATAACCAAATGACTGTCCAAAGGGAGAGTGGTATTGTCAGGATTTGTACAAGAATAAGAAAAGAATATGAAAAATCTAAATGAGACAAAATAGGCAGGGTGACCCAATCAAAGAATTATAATTTATTGTCTATTCCCAGTTTGAGTGTTGTGAAATGCATAGAACAACCCACTACTTGGACAAATGTTAGGATAAATTTTGGGTTTATCGTATGAACCAGAACAGCCAATATTTAATAGTTCAATGCATCAATTACTACAACTTCAATAATATTTCTCACTAACTAAAACTAGAGACGTATCAATGGCTCTAGTTTTAGACTAAACTTAGACCAACCCATGTTAAATCTTATGCATGGTAGAACTCGGACTACCAAACATATCAAGATTTGAATAACAATAATGGAACAATCACAAAAAGACAGTACTTCCACATATGAGTGAAATAAGTGATGCAAATGCAAGAGAAAATAGGTTCATCTCAATGATGCATCCCCTCAAATAAGAAGCAATAATAAATTAAGAGTGTCTTTATAATAGCATGCAAGGCACCACAAGGAAATTTATAAGAGTGTCTTTATAATAGCAATAATAACTGTATAATAGCATGCAAGGCACCACAAGGAAATTTATAAAAACCTGTTTCTGTAAATTCGAAATTTCTGGGCCTCCCGACAGCTACCAAATTTTGCACCTTGATCAAATTAAGAAAAAGGTTAATGCTAAAAGAAAACCAGTCAAGACAGCATTAAACTGACATGACACTTAAACCAATATTATCCCTTACAAAAACATAGAAGAAATAACTTTTCATGCCATTACAACTATCCTTGTCCTTATTTTAAAAGGTTTTTAATTAATTATGACAATTAAATGAAATAATGCTAATGTGGACAGGGATAAAAATACTGGGACAAAAGGTTCACATATGATGATAAAATCATACCAAAGTATATTTTTATGGGATGTTGAAATGACACATCACGAACATGTCCAAATTTGTCATGAGGGCACCATGAAGAGCACCTGAATTCTGTAAAACATAGACATTTACTAAACATAAAGGCATATGTACAAAACGTAAACACTTTTATGATATGATATGATATAATCAAAATATTAACCACAAAAATAAACCAAAAATGCATATTTAGAAATTTATAATTCCTCAAAAGTTCAGAGCGGAGTACCTTTGTCTCCACATCTTCTGTGAAAAGATTCAATGAAATTAACAGCATTATCTGAAAAATACAAATTGAAGAACTCCTCTACCTTAATCTGCAGTCCAAGAAACATGACTGACTTCAGAACAAATTAAGAATATACCTATGTTATAAATGTTTTGCAATGTGGAAGAACATTAAGGAAAATGAGTTCACAATTTACTACCGGAAACTTTGATTCAACAACCTTGGTAAAACATTCAGGAACTGCATAAAAGAAACAGCACATTCAGATGACCATGACATATACAAAAACAAAGTACAATGAGAGTATACTAAGATGCCGTCTATTACCAATCAGTACAGAGGAAGAAGGTCGAGAATATATGGCCTCATGTCTATGTCAATAAGGATGACAGTTTAGTTTCCTCCCATACTTGAAAATTTTCCTACGGCCAAGGCCCACCATTGCATTTAAGCCTTCATGGTACAAAACCTAAACTTAAACCCGTCTACCTTCTCTCTTTGCCATATACCCTCATCTGCCAACAAAATGAATGATAATTCCACCCATTTCTACAAGAAATTATGAGATTTCATAGCCTACCCACTTTACTTCAACACCTCGAGAACCAGTTAAGCTGCAACTTTCCTTCAGCCTACTAATAAATTGATGTAGAACCACCTTAGAAGATTATTAGCATATTTAGGGTCATATTTGATATTTTGAGTATATTAGGGTTTATTGTAAGGCATAAAAAATTAAGTTTATAATCTTCAAAAGAGCCCTTGTAATTATTGATATTTTGAGTTATTATTGGATTTCGCAATTTCTCCTAGATTCCTCTCTTAGATTCTCTTTCAATCTTCCTCTATTATTCTCCTTTACCCCTCTGATTCTTTGTTACTTCATATTTTCGGCCTATTTCTCACTCTACTTATCTATTTTCTCACCTTTGCTTTATTTCTCTCTCTCTCTCCCATCTGTTGCACATCATAGTCCTAGTTCAGGATCACCCAAATCACTAGCCTAGAGAGTCAGGAGCGCAATGCCCACAGAATATTAAATACATAATCAAGTCCCAAAATAATCATGGAACTTGCTATGCAGCAAAGTGTGAAAAAGAAATACATTAGACAACCACAAAAATGAAGACCTTAAAATGAGATAACATATAGAACTTGAGAACGTCACAATTCAAAACAGGATCAACTAACCCTTCGGTGCGTCACAATTCTCTGGCTTCCAGGAACAAGTATCTGCCGATGTTGAAGACCCTGTATTTGTAACTGATTCAGGACCTACTTCTAAAATGAGATAACATGTAGAACTTGAGAACGTCACAATTCAAAACAGGATCAACTAACCCTTCGGTGCGTCACAATTCTCTGGCTTCCAGGAACAAGTATCTGCCGATGTTGAAGACCCTGTATTTGTAACTGATTCAGGACCTACTTCTGCATCATTGTCAGAAGTGGATAGAATGTTAGAACCACTAGCAGTGGGAACATCCTCATCCCTGTATAAAAAAAAAAGTAGTTAAATAAAATGATTCACAATTTCAAATCCATAAAAAAGTAAAAAAATAAAACTCAGATGAATTCACAAGAAAACTCTCCAAACCATTCTGTTCATAAAGAATACCTGTCTGTGGATTCCATGTCATTTGTTGGGTTTTTGATGCTATTGACCTTTTCAATTGCAACAAATCCATTCTCTCGACTGCTGGACTCAGACATGGATTCCTACAATAAAATAAAGCAGTATAAGAAAACAAACAATGGGGAAAATATGCAACTTGCTCTAACTAAGCTATAAACCTCAAAGTTTTCACAACATTTCAACCGGGAAATTGTCATAAATTTTATTGAATTAAATGGAAAACCTACCCAAAATTCTTACATACAGATAAAATAAGAATAAGATTATAAAATCAGTATATGATACAAAATACCAGTAAATGATGCACAAGCAGTAAAAAACCATAAGTTAACATTTAAGATGAGCATGTATGCTAAAATATGCAACTTGTTCTAACTAAGCTATGAACCCCAAAGTTTTCACAACATCTCAACCAGTAAAAATGTCATAAGTTTTATTGAACGAAATGGAAAACCTCCCTGAAATTCTTCCATACAGATAAAATAAGAATAAGATTACAAAATCAGTATATGATACAAAATCCTCTAAATGAAGCACAAGCAGTGAAAAACCATATGTTCGCATTTAAGATGTGCATGTATGCTAAAATATGCAACTTGCTCTAATTAAGCAGTGAGCCTCAAAGTTTTCACAACATTTCAACCGGAAAAATGTCATAAATTTTATTAAATGAAATGGAAAACCTACCTGAAATTCTTACATATAGATAAAATAAGAATAAGGTTACCAAATCATTATATGATGCAAAATAACTCTAAATGAAGCATATGTTCACATTTAAGAAGTGCATCTATGCTATGTATCAAGAAGGGGTATCAAAAGACGTAGTCAGCATACACTGCATACCTAATGAATTGTCTATGACAAGATGTACAACAATCCTCTTCAATGCTACTCATAAGCTGTGAAATATATTTTTTCCCGACAGATAACCTGCAAAATATTGAAGATTACCTGTTCTGCAATTTCTTTGGCTCGATTACCATGATGCATCCATCCATCATTAATGAGCTTGAAAGCCTCATCACGAGATAGGAATGATGCAAAGAAATACTGCCAAATCAACAAGTAGAGTCAGATAGAATAACCAATGCATGCACGCTTATACAAGCACATAGAAGAAATATGCATGCCATGTATTACTACCTTCCTTCCTCCAGCAAAAATTTCTATTGCATTAGGGAAGATTCCAGCAGTCTTTGCTTTTTTAACACTTGTAATTTCATTGAAGGTGATTATTTTCTGCATAATAAACCCATAAAAAATTCTAAGATCATATAATTATTAGGTAAAACTTAAAAAAGCAGCCAGAAAATAGGACACAGGAAAAGAAACTAAGAGTAAAACCAATGTTTGAGGAATACCTTTGTTTCAAATCCAAATATATTAGAATAAAAGCAAATATAATGAACAAACAGGTACATGTGACCCTGCAAAAAGTATAGAAACATAATAATTAGAGAAGGGAACATAATTAGACTTAGAGTCACCAAATATTCATAGAATATAACTGCCCCACCCGCCCCCTCCAAAGAGCCCCCACAGATTGACGAAAGGAAGGTAAGGTGATATGCCTAGCAAAAATTAATAGATGCAGCAGAGTAAAGAAATCATCCAAGTAAAGCATGCAACTTCAAGGCAGGAAAGGTCATTGTAAAGATGTAGATTACCTGAAGAAAAATACTCTCCTGGAATGCACAGTTAAAATCTTGAACAAGGAACTGCAGCAAAGGAAAAAAGAAAATGTTTAAAATTACTCTACCATTAGAAGTCTAAAATATAAGATAGTGAGAGAAATCTCAAATAACAAGCAATTGTAAACAACAAGTGTTTTAAAACCTATGACCAAAAGTAAAATAAAAAGATTGGATATAGCATCAGGCTACATGAATGTTTAGATGTCTGGCATTCCTTAAATGCAACACATCATTATCTCCTTCAAATTAATCAAGAGAAAGAATGCATTCATTTGCCAGACAAAGACTGTCAAAACAAAAGGAGACAATTCAGAGAATTACTGAACCCTGGTGATCATGAATAGACTAAAGACCAAAGATGCTCACCTCTTTTAAATTTCAAAGTGAAAATGTTTTAAAAAGTTTAAAGATGACAAGATATCATTTAGAATCTAAAGTTGAACAGAAAGAACGAACAAACATTTTCAAAACTTTGACCAAAAACAAAAAAAAAAAAAAATCTGAGCTTAAAATGTCTTCTACATGAACGTTTAGGCACCCAAAACTTCTTAAATACAAACTGGGATATCTCTTTCTCATCAATCATGAGAAACAATTCTCGTATTTACAAGGCAAACGAATATCAAAACAACAAACAAAGGAGACAAGTAGAGAATTGCTAACAACTAGTGGTCACTACCGACTAAAGACAAGTACCTCTTCAGGTGGAAGCCTAAACAGTTGGCGGTATTCTTCACTTCTCAATGCTGCTGGAGACTGAAAATAAAAAGCATCAGATTTGGGCATAATGCTAAAAATTTTCAATTAATTGAAAACTAAATTCCCAATGATTTAACCCTTCTTTTTCAATGCATTTGGTTACTCATTTTTGGAGACGCTTAATAGAATATTGTCGCCATATCTACTTAATCTAATCAATTCAAGTTTAACTACATTATCCATATGCATTAATTAAAACTTCTTATAGACTTTCTCTTTTAGACCTCTTATTAGATTAAAATATTTACAAATCATATTTTTCTTTTCCAGAACACCAATCAAATAATATTCCACATTTATTTTCAATTGGGCTTGTTGCAAAACAGCTACCTTAACAACTTATTTGTTACTAACCATGAACAAACCACCACATTGATCCCTTCATAGTATTGAAGGACAAAAATTTGGCAACATATTTTAATTTCTCTAGCCAACATTTTCTGGCTTTAGCCAATAACCACATGCCCAAGTGGCATGCACTAAGTTTAGCACAGGTTTTATAGCGAAAGATGAGGATTTAAAATGCCCAAAACTTTTAACTTTATATATCACTATACTTTTACCAGAAAGTTGGCACTCACCGGCTTAATCGAGCTTGACCTTAGCTACAAAGAATGCCAAATCCTTTCGAAACTTTCAGTGACTAATTTGCGAATTTAAACATGAAAACAAGAAAGGTTCAACGGATTCCTAATAATATAAAGTACTATGAAAGTAAATATGCGTAAATAATGGTAATTTGTTTAAAACTCACCCATAATTATCAAGAATTAGCAAAATTATCTTCGCAAAAGAATCCTAATCAAATTTCTCGCCTTTTCCTAACTTTAGTGAAGGGAACAGATAAACGAATTAAGTTATTACAGAGTGATAAAAAAAAAAAAAAAACCTGAATTTCAACATCTCTGTAACTGGGGTTAGGCGAAGAATTGGAAGGATCGTTGCAAGCGGGCGTGTCGGTGGGAGACGAATCATTAGGCGAAATTAAAGAATCAGAAACGACATCGGTAGCTAATTTCGGGAGAGACAGATCCATGAGCGGCCTCGGCAGATCGATCCTCTCTGCGGCGGCAGATGCCACTGCCATAGCAGAGGGGAAAAGCCGACAGAGATGGCGAAGATCTGAGTTTTCGTTTTCTTTTTTACAGGGGTGGGGTGGGAGACTCCAAATTTATGGAAGCTTAAAGGGCAAGGGGTAGTTGAGGGAAACTAATCCGTTTGACAAAACAGGGACTGAAAGCGGAAGCAAAGAAGCGTGCAGTTTTGCAGTCAATTTCACGGCCACGCTTTGTCTTCAGGGAGAGACGTTGACACAGGGCGTTTAATGAGTGGATAAAATGACAACGGTCGAGTCCCGATATAGACCCTACCACGTGCCGGAGTCAAAACAATCGGTTAAGCTTCTTTTTTTTTTGGCCCCTTCCATTTTGGGCCAAGCTAACCAACTTTTGGTGGTGGAGATTTTTTTTGGGCTTCTTAACAAGTTCTTGTTTCATGGTTCGATCGTGGCCCAAACATGGTGAGCTTCCCGTTAAATCCAGCAATGTTCTTTTCAGAAAATATCAATGGGTCATTGGGTCCAGACAATTTCATGAGCGGCATCAAAGTTTGCTTTTCAGAAAACATTGAGACGAGATCACGTGATCGGCTGGGTCATGTTCATGCGTAACTGACATGATTACATTTACCGAAAGACTGGCCACAATTCGGTTGATAAATTTGTCTGGACCGACGGGTCCCGACCGGTGGGTAGATTCTCAATCAATCATGGGCCTATCCTAATTATTTGGAGGTCTTGTTTTAATGTCTACAGCCTCTGCTTTTAGTCTTTTACGGATGTAATGGAGTTGAGCCAAAATAATAAATAGGAAGATTGGGCTCAGATCTTATATAATAAATCATAAAAGTTAAAGAGTAGCCAAAAAAATCCAACGTGAATGATTTTTTTTTTAAGAATAATTAGATGTCATGTTAAAAAAATATTAAAATATTAAAATAAGAGTGGTGAGACAAAATTTATTTTTCTTGATATACAGTAAACTTATATTTTTTTCACAATTTTGTATCTAAAGTAAAATGCTATGCAAACTTTGAATTTTAAAATATTCTAATATTACTTCACTAATCAAATTACAACTATAAAAAGGGTTCAAGGTAGACATAGTCTTTTAGGCTATTGGCAAAAATATTTTGTTCTAAAATCTTTTTTATTATATACTTTGTTGATTTAGTTCATGATTCAATTTCCTTTATTTGGAACATGCAAGTGTCTAATTTCCTTTTGATTTAATTTAGATATAATATAGAATATCAATATAATATAATATAATATAAAAATAAAATCTTTAATAAAAATTATTTATTTTATTTTATTTGTTTCACCATTAATTGACTAATGAATTTATTTTTTATTTGATGGTAATAACTTAAATTGTTTTTTTTTTATATGATACGTTTTAAAAAAATTGGAACCAAAAGATTAATATACTCTAATAATAGTAGGAATGTCAATTTTATCATATCTAATAAAAAATCTAATTTTTTATCTAAATGAAAATGAAAATATATATAATTTTAAATTTTTATCAGATACAGAGAAAGGAACGAGTAATATAGCATTTATCTTGTATCATACATATATATTTAGTAAATAATTTTTTTATTAAATAATATAAATTATTATTTATACAAAATTATATAAATATGTAATATAAAAATAAAAATTAAGAAAAATAAAATTTTTATTTTTATTTGTTTTAAATATTATAAATACGAGAATTATTCATACCAATTAAATAACTCAAATAAATTTATAGATCAATCAAATAATTATATTAAAATTTTCAAACTTAACTGAATTATAAGCAAGTGATATGAACACAAAATTTTGTTGCCAAGTTATATTTTGTTTGGTAGCTCAAATGATTTGGTAGGAAAATCTAGGTACTTGTGATTTTCCCCTTTTTTTCTATTTCTTTTAGCCAAGGTGTAAGTCCTTTGTGAATCAAAGTGGCTTCATATCTGGTTTGATTGGTTAAAAGCTTGAGACTTGGAGAGCTTTGCCTCTATGGAATGGAAAATATATAATTAAAATTTAGTACTAGAAAGCACCCCTTCCCTCTCTCACCGAGAACAACACCAAAAAGGCAAAACAATACCATATGCTCCTCATTTAGTGCAGGATTTACAGGTTATACCTGAGAATAGCCACTGGAAAAGCCTTTGGTGTGGACCAAACTTGAGGTAAGAAAAGAATCATGAAGGAACCCACCTTTAAAATCCTTCTCTTTTCCTAATTCCAATACACAAATTCACAAATCCCACACTTTCAAACCTCCCATTTATGCTCTTTTCAAAAAGCTAGGGATGGGAACAAATTGCAAGGCCCACACCGGATTACAAAACACTTATTTTCTGGAAAATGTGGGCATGAATTTTAAGCTTTGAGTATAGTAAAATATTGAGCTAATCATTTTAATCACTGAGTTTAACTTTCATGGGATTGGTGACTCACATGACAATTTGTCTAATTGATCTTGACCATTGACTCAAATAAAGTTAACCAATCATCATCCACCATTATCTTGCCACATCACCCTTATTTTTTTTCGATATTTTTGACTGAATATTTGTCGTCGTCTGTTATAGGATTCGCATCAAATTTACTTTTCTTTTTTTCCTCTCTCAAACAGGGGAAGGAAATCAATTAAATAAAAAACGCCTTTTTCCCAAATTCGGTGAGTTGATCTCCCAATTGGACAACGTTGAATAGATTACTACATGGAAACAGTCTTTTTTACTCAAACAGTTCCTTTTTATTAAGCACTTGTTCCATTTATTGAGCGAAAAGTCTTGCCCGATTTGATAAAGAAAACCAAGGCCTTAAATTTGTGGAAAATCATAATCCTAAATAACATTTTTTATAAAAATTTTAAAGAAAAATATATTGTTTAATCTTTTAGATAAATATATATATATGCTTATATTGTATATGGTAATGTAAAAATTAAAATGTTACTATTTACATTCCAATAATTACTCAACATACTCTCGTACTTTTAACATTTTATTTTTTACTTGATGTACCCATGCTCAAAATATAAATTTATTAAAAACTCAAATATTTTGTTTCTTTGTCGCTCATACCTCGTCTCCTATCTCTTTCCAACCGATTTTAAACGCCAATCAAATTAAATTTAAAGAAAATTTCATCCATTTTAAGTTAGAAAGTATAAAATTAGAGGTAAATAATTTGTTCTTTATATTTTTTATTTGATTTCATATTTAATTTTATAAATTTCATATTAAAATATTTTAGTGTGATTTAAAACTTTTTAAATTTATTTTTGAAATTTCTTAAAGGTTTTCAAAAATGAAAATAGATATATGAAAGTCTTTAAAATATTTTCAAAAATTTGATTGTAAATTTTGATAACAAGTTTTTTTTTTTTTTTTTAATAATAAGAGAAAAAAGCACCAAACATGTTTATGGGGAGAAGAATAAAATAAGACTAAAAAAAAAAAAAAGAAGATGCTAAGAAAGATCAAAGTTCAAAATAGAGATCCAGATTCAAAATTTCGAAAGAAAATATAAGTTTTATCATGATTAAAAGAACTCCAACAATAATATCAAATTATCTTAGATAATTATCATTTTGACAACTTTTAAATCGATTACACACTCATTTCAAAATACATATGTAAGATTAAAAAATTATTAGATCAGATAATGACTCAAAATTAGTCATCATCCAAAACCAACCTCCCTTTGCAATATTAGTCTTTGACAAAATATGCAACTAATATGTCATACATCAGGGATATAGGTAATAAATTTAACAATCTAATATCAAATCGCTTGATGGGGTGATAGAGTGTTAAAGGAATGTAATGATCAAAATGATATAATGATATTTTCTTCTGTCAAAGCCTTCAAAAGATAATTAGAGATATTTTGATCATTTTGTATTGACTTGACATATCATATTGATATAATATTTTCAGTCCACCTCAGCTCAACCCTGTTCTAATATTGTCCCTCTCAACTTATCTATAAATATGAAAACTCAAGCATCATGAAACTAGATTCATCTCATTCATCTCTCTCTCATTCTTACTTTTTAATTCTTTTTCTTAATCTAATATTTATTGACTTAAGTGTTAGAATGTAAACACAAGAAACACTTATTATTTTTTAGTTATAATTATATTTTTTTTGTATTTACAGGAGTACTCTTAGGTCGAAACTCAACACCTATAATTTCACATTTTATTTTATAAAATTTCATATTAAAATGTTTGAGTGCAATTTGAAATTTTTGAAAATTAATTTTCAAAATTTCTTAAAGGTTTTTAAATAAAAATAGATATTCCAAAGTTTTAAGATATTTTCAAAATGGATTTCCAAAAATTTTGATAACAAATTAATTTTTTGCTGCGAAGAAGAAGAGAAGAAAGCACCAAACATGTTTACGGAGAGAAGAATAAAATAAGAAAAAAAAAATCAACAAGGAAAAAGGAAGGTGCTGAGAAAGAATAAGAAAAAAGGACCAAGCACTGGGAATGAAATAAAAAAGTGATTGATTTAATATATATATATATAAATAATTTTATTAAAATTTAAATTTATAATAAAAATTTTGAAATATGAATAATTTTTGGAGTATAAATACAACTTCTTAAAAATAATTATTAAAAAATAACATTAAAAAAACATTTACTAAACTTAAATTTAAAATTATTACATTAAAATAAATAAATTTTACCAATTAAATCAATCTCTTACCGATAATCCAAAATAACATTAGAGTAATGCTGGATGCAACATTTTCCCTCCTCTTTATTTTTTCCTCTATCGTTTTTCAATAAAGCTTCTTGACGCGGTGAAGTCTTTGTCATTTTCCCTCTGGAAATAGAGTGTTTGCAATTCTCTAGTGAATTGACAACTGATGGCGACGTGTCTAATAACTTGACTCCATTTTGTTCGGACATGAACAACAGTAGAAAACGACTTAATGTACGTTTGCCTCGTGTCTGTATAAAATTGGTTGTAAAAAACGGGTAGAAGGTAACGGCTACTATAGTTAACAACAGCACAGGCTATTAGGTCGAATAATTCACTGTGGTCGGTCGAAACCACCAAACCACAAAACAATCACACTGATCCACGCATTGGTTTGGACATTCACTGTTGTTGTTAAGCTTCAATTTGTCGCACCTTACAGTCCTATTATTGCCTGGACCGAAAATGATAGGTGAAATTTTTATATTTTACGGTTAAATTTTACAATTATTGTTATTATAAACTTAATTGTAAAGCTAAAAAATTTAAAATTTAATTGAAAAAGGTAGAACTTATTGCAGATCAATGTTTAGAAAAATTATGAGAAATTATAAGAATTAAAAAATTTTAAGACAATGTTAACTTTATAAAAGATATGTATTAGTGTATTTGCCTAAATGTTTACGAATATGGAATGGAAAAAAATAAATTCTGGTGTACGGAGTGAGCATTTTGTCTTTGAGCAAACAATATTTTGGGCCAACAAGTGGCAGGGGAAGATGGCTGACCAGTGACCGGTCATGCTCTGAGTGGCTTCATCTTGTGCTTTGTCTGGCTCGTTATTTAGCCATTTTGGTGTAATCCCACATTTAGACCCGTCCTTTAAAAACTTTTGTGTTCGATTATTGAGCATTGACTGCCACGCAAGAGCCAGACATTGAAGGACCATGCACGCTCATGCGTCCTCTTTGTAAATGTCCAAATTGACCCTTCGTCCGGGAGAGCACATCAGCCTCGGACGTTTACATTGCAGGGCACTTTTGGACAGACAAACTGAAAAAAAAGAAACAAAGAAATCACTGTCCGTAGTCCAAACCAACGCGCTCTTGTTAATCTCCACGCCTCACCTTCCAATTATGAACTGTTATTCTTCCCTTCCTATAATTGTTGACAATTTCGTATCAAGTTTTTCCAACAAAAGAAATCAAAAGGCTTTTTTTTTTTTAAATTCCAACTCAGCATTCCGTATTCAAAATAAAATGGAATTTGAGATTGAAACTTTAATGCTATGTTTGGTACGACGGATGCAAAATGCCGGGAAGGTGTTTTGTTAGTGTTGGCCATTCGAAAAGTAAACAATTAAATGGTTGAAATATGCCATAAATTTTTTATGCTAATTAATTTAATTAAACAAAACATTATTTATTATTTTATTTTTTTATAATATTGGGAGCCTCGTCATTCATTCATACCTATAGGCCACGTATTTGAGAGCAGTTGTACTACTACCACAAGAGACCTACGGTGGAAAAATGAACTCAAATATGATTAAAAAAAAAAGCAGCAGAAAAATTATAATTTAGAAATGGGTTGGGGCCCACCTATTACAAAATCCGTGATTATATCATGGCGCGTCAACCCATCCAACACATATAAGTATTTAAAGTTAAACCAACTTTCAGCCCTCTCTTAATTCTTGTAATTAGGAACCCATTTTCCATTTGTTATCACTCATTAACTTTGCCCGCGCCTTTTTCAAAAAGCTCCATTAATGGAGCGTGGCCTATAAAATTACTTTACTTTATTACTTGTAGATTTTATTTTTTTTAATAAAGAGAATAATCATTTTTACTCGTATTTTGGTTGTGTATGTATCTCACCTTTGTATTCTTAAAAGCAAATAATTCTTAATCTATGTTTTATAATATATATAAGAACATGAATATAAATTGTTTTAATTGATGAAAATAAACATGGTTGTTAATTATATTTTTAAATTATAATTTAATAATAGTTTATTATATTTTAACATTCATTCGATAAATAAATTTAATTTATAACGAAAAAGCATATTATGTTAGGCTATTAAATTTTGAATAAAATTTAATTTACTTATACACACTATATTCAAATATAAAGCAAATTATATCAAGCTAAGTGTTAAATTTTAAATAAAAATTAATTAAAAATCACATACACATTATATTCTGACATAAATAAAGGTAAAAACGAATAAAACTTTTGATGAATCATCTGTGTATATGTTCAGTTGCTATTTGTTTATATTTATTTATTAAATTTAACAAATAATTTTGGATAATATTTTTATACTTGTTTATTAAATGAATTTAACACAAATAGAGATATATTTTATTTGTTTATATTTATGAACAAATTTGTTTAAAATTCATTTAAAACATATTCTTTTATCGTTTAGTTATAATAATAATAAGATTACATTTCTATTATTTACTTTAATCATATTTTAAAATTTATTTATATTTATGAATACGAATAAAATATAAATATCTTACCATTTAAACGAAACACACTTAAACTAACAAAGTAATTTTTTTATTTAATACGAACCAAATTCAAATATATCTAAAATTAAATAAAAAATCACAAAAATTTATTTATTTATTAATATTCGATTTATTTATACTCTAAACATAAAAGCAAATTATATTAGATTAGATTATTAAATTTTGAATGCAAATTTTCTCATGTTAGGATATTAAATTTGATTTTTTTATCTATTGAAATAAAGTGTTAAAAGTGTTCTATATAACGTGTAATTTAAACAATAGAGAAGGCTATGTATATGTATGCACTATGTCATGATGTTGAATGGTGAAGGTATATTAAAAGTATGATAACAACCGCATGCAGCTTTTTAGAAATTTCATTATTCTTTTCTACCAAAAGAATTTAAGCAACATAATATTGTCAATACCTAATAATTGACTTACATAGTACTATTAGAATCTAAAAATAAAAAACCTAATAATAATTCAAAAAGGTGTGAGCACGCGCTGCTTTACGCGCTTGATGATTGCAGTGTCACAAGGCAAGCTGAAGAAATCCCAACGCCGATAGCCCGATAATGAAAAATGGAAAGAGAGAGAGAGATATCAGAGATGGAGCGCCCCACCTTTCAAAAGCAGTGTAGCCTAAAGAAGGAACAGACATGGGACCCGCTTAAGATGGACCCCAAATGGGCCCTTCACTCTCTCTCGCTCAGTCGCTCGCCTCCCTTTCCCTTCCCTTCCCACTCGCTCACTCACTAATCTTACAAAGCAAAGAAATTCTCTTCCTCTCTCTCTCTTTCTCAGAAAAGCAAAAGCAAAAGCTAGTCTGCCAATTCTTAAACCATCACAACAACAAAAGCTTTTTTAGTTGCAGAGCTAAACCAAAAAAAAAAAAGAGTCTAGAGAGAGAAAGAGCAGAGAGAAAAAAAGAAAGAGAGCTCGGCCTCTAGTAGAAAAAAGAATCTGTTAATTTAGCATTTGTTTTGGAAATTTTGGAGGAAGAGAAATTCAAGGCTGTGAACTGATAGAAGGCAGAGGTCAAAGCTCTGTTTCTTCAATCCTTTGATTTTTCTCTGAAGTCCGTACAGGTTCATATTCTTCTTAGGCTTTTTTTTTTTTTTGGTTAGGTTCTTTTTGGCTTGAATGTTCTGTATTTTGATTTTTTAAAAAAAATTTGTTTAATAAGATTTTTGAGATCTCTATCCTTCTCGGTATATTTGCTGACTTGGAATTCGAGAACATTCTGCATGTTTTCTTCTTTTATTTATTTGAAAAGGGGGAGAGGTTGAAAGGCTTTGGGGGTGGAATCGAAAGGTTTTCGCTGGGAATGTGCTGACAAGGAAATGGAAGAAATGTGGGGAATTTCAAATTTCTACCTTTTTTTTCATTTGTTATTTTTCCTTAAAAAAATAACTAGGGTTTTTTCTAATGTTATTTTATAGTATCCCAATTTTGGCATTTCAGTTGATCGCAACTGAAGTTAAGGATTTCACCAGCTTATCTGATCGATCTGCTTTTGATTTTAAAAAATTTGCATGTTAGGGTTCTCTTTTCCAGTGTTGGCGCTAAAATTAGAGGTATAATGAGAGAGCTAGGATTGCTCTATTCTTATAAGTTTAATATTTTTTCCATTTGTGATTGTTAAAATTTGTTAAAAAATTCTTCCCTGTTATGGATAGAAAATATAGGAAGAGGCAAATATATGATTAATCAAAATTTTTTATAAAAATTATTATTCTGAAAACTAAATCTATATAAGATGTGTGAGTTTTGATTGATTAATGCTTTTATTTTATGTTGGTGTGCTGATAAAGTGGTCGAAAAATCTGAAAAATGGAATTGTTGATTTATATACCCGTTTAGGAAAAACATGAAGAAAAGCTGATTTTGAATAATATGATTAGAGAATATTGGAATAGAAATGGTTTAGTGGATTGCTTTTTAAAGTCCAACCAGAAAACTAGAGGAATGATTGAACTCAACTTTGTCCCCATTTTGCAGGGTTGCTTTGCTTTAAGGTTATTCCATGTAAAGTTTCAAGATTACCCGGAATGGAAAGGGATACAGAATCAAAGTTGCTTCCTAGGAAATTGCCTGCTGTAAGTTCAGTGTCAAATAGTCATATGGTTTTCGGGAGAGAAGCAGGTCTTGTGCCGAATTTGCAAGCTGTATTGGTTAGCGATGAAGTGGGTCCATCTATTGTGGGAAACTCCCAAGATTCTGAGCCTGCTCAACCGGTAAGGACGTGGAAAGGGAAAGACTCTTTGCTTGAACAGGAAGAAATCATGCCTGATGTTCTTACATTGAAGGGCAGTAGTGATTCATTGGAGGAAGGTGGACCTAGTTCTTTTTCTGGAGTTAGTCACCCTCCAGAACCTGTTGACACGGATCTAATGAGACCCATGTATGTACCAATCGGTCAGAAGAAATCTGATCCTGGGTGTTTGATGAAGAGCATGTCAGTGAAGGGACCTTTTCTAGAAGATCTTTCAATTAGGGTTCCTCCTAAGAAACCAAGTCCTGCTGTTCTTTCGCCAGCAGAAAGTTTGGTTGAAGAGCCCAATGATTTAGGTGCATTGTCCTCTCCATTTTCAGTTCCACGTGCATCACAAAATACGGATAACTCTCTCCTTCCTCCAGATTCAGATGAGAAAGAATGTGTTTGGGATGCCTCTCTGCCTCCAAGTGGAAATGTAAGTCCACATAGCAGCATCGACAGTGCTGGTGTCGTCACTGCTATGAGCATTGTCAATAGCTGTGCCAGTACATATAGGAGTGATGTAGTTACAAGTGATGGCATGATTAGCGTGGAGAGGAACTGTGAGAGTACAAAAGGAAGTGTCAGAGCAGATTCACTTGAGAGTGCAAAGACTAGTGTTAGCCGAGCAAGTGATAGCAGTGGCCTTAGTGATGAGAGTAACTGGAGCAACATTACTGGAAGTGCTAATAAACCGCATAAAGGAAATGATCCAAGGTGGAAGGCCATCCTTGCTATCCGGGCTCGAGATGGAATTTTGGGCATGAGTCATTTTAGATTGCTTAAACGGCTTGGTTGTGGCGATATTGGCAGTGTATATCTCTCAGAGCTGAGTGGTACTCGATGCTATTTTGCAATGAAAGTAATGGACAAGGCATCCCTTGCAAGTCGTAAAAAGTTGACTAGGGCTCAGACGGAAAGGGAGATTCTGCAGCTGCTGGACCATCCATTTCTGCCCACTCTGTATACGCATTTTGAAACTGACAGATTCTCATGTCTAGTCATGGAATATTGTCCTGGTGGTGATCTACACACTTTGAGGCAGCGGCAACCAGGAAAGCATTTCTCTGAATATGCTGCAAGGTATGGCTTATACTCTAAAATGTTTGCCTAGTTGTGTAGAATATCAGCATTCTTAAAAGGAAAAAAAGAAAAAAAGAAAAAGGAAAAATCTTTCTGTATTAAGGTTTCTTTTGTATGTTATTGTTATTTAGGTTTCCTTCCTCAACTGTATCTATCTTGTCTTTCTTGATATTTTAACCTTTTTTCTCAAAAGTTTGCTTCCGCAAAGATTCAGTTTGTCGATTTGTTTTTTCTTTTTTGTTGTTCATATGCCTCTTACTATGTGTTTTTTGTATTTCTATATTTAGAATTTTGGGCTAGTTAGTCTCTAGTTATTGGATGGGTCTGCAGTTCCACTTGTTTCCCATTTTATGTTGCAAGATTTTGTTTTCATCTCTTCCATATTTTTCCACATGTTGGGGACCTTCAGCATATCTACGATTACGAACTGTTGGTTTTTTCATGTCTTTAGAGTTATGGTGTCAAGTAAAACTACCCTGGTTAACAGGCCTTTTTCTTCATCAGTTCCTATCCTAACCATGAAAGAATTCATCTTAACTGAGTCAAAAGAGAGTAGCTCTCTATGCATCCTTGGGCAATTTATGTCAGGTTTATGAAAGTTATTTTCACCTTCATGCTACTGAACTCCGGATAGGGAGGCTTGCCGTCCTTGTGGACCTGCTAGTCTGTGAACGTGAGAGATAAAATAGCAGATGCAACTAACTGAAGCTCCTACCTCTTTCTTTAAGTCTTTTATGTTGTAGAATGAACAGGAGTCTGCAGAGCTGTTTATAATAAGGAGGCTTGAGCAACATTACATGTGTTTGGCTTGGAAATGGATTCCTTTTCCTTCCTGAGGTTGCTTGGTTCCCATTACTTAACTTTGTAGGCATCTTTTATCATAGTGTGCCATTGAATGATATTGTTAACAGTTTATTTTGAGTTCCAAGATTTCTCATGTATTATGCTGTTGCTTGATGAAATTAGTCAAGACTCATGGGACATGTGAGAGTGCTACTTAAACTGATATGAGAGAATCAAGACCCTACTTTGGCATGAGAAGATCTGAATTTCTGATATTGGTCTTCATTTATTTATTTTCAATATACCAGCATTCACTTTACCCCTTAAGCCAGTACTATCTGGAAAAATAATTTCTTAGTCACTGTTCAAAAAGGTTGTTGCATGTATTTGTCATGTTTTTGTATAGCTGGCATAAACACATTGCTAAAGGCTTTGGTCATTGTAGCAGTGTTATAAGCAAGTATTTTTCACTGATCAGTGAATTTTGGGCCAAAAAGTTATAAACCCCATCTTTCTTAATGCAGATTTTATGCTGCAGAGGTTCTTTTAGCGGTTGAGTATCTCCACATGCTTGGTGTTGTCTATAGGGATTTGAAACCAGAAAATGTTCTAGTTCGTGATGATGGCCACATAATGCTTTCAGACTTTGATCTTTCCTTAAGATGTGCGGTTTCTCCCACACTGATAAAAACCTCAGCATGTGATTCTGATCCTTCAAAACGTGGAACTGGTGGTGCATTCTGTGTTCAACCTGCCTGTATTGAGCCTACATCAGTTTGCATCCAGCCTGCCTGCTTTATACCAAGGATATTCCCTCAAAAGAACAAGAAGAAAACCCGAAAACCTCGAGTTGAGTTTGGGTTGCCTTCTAGTACCCTCCCGGAGCTTGTTGCGGAGCCTACTGCAGCCCGGTCTATGTCCTTTGTTGGAACCCATGAATACCTTGCACCTGAAATAATCAAAGGAGAAGGGCATGGAAGTGCTGTTGATTGGTGGACCTTTGGAATTTTCTTGCATGAACTGCTGTATGGTAAAACCCCCTTTAAAGGCTCGGGAAACCGTGCTACACTGTTCAACGTTGTGGGGCAACAACTGAAATTCCCAGATTCGCCAGCAACCACTTATGCTAGCCGTGATTTAATCCGGGGTTTGCTGGTGAAGGAGCCACAACACCGGCTTGGGGTGAAGAGGGGTGCAACTGAGATCAAGCAACACCCTTTCTTTGAAGGTGTAAATTGGGCTCTAATACGATGCAGCACCCCACCTGAGGTGCCAAGACCCATGGAGTGTGAGTTGCCTGGGATGCCTGGAAAATTTGGGCCAGCAGAGCCAGTGGGGGTTGGTGGCAGCAGTAAAAGGATGGTAGGGACAGGGACAGACATGAAATCTGGGGGTAAATATCTGGATTTTGAGTTCTTCTAGTTTTTCAATTAGGGGATGCAATGTTGTATCAGTATCATTAGTCAAGCTTTCCAAGAGTTTGCTGATAGTACTTTGTTCTGATGATATACTTCAGATCACTACCTCATCAAAAAAAAATTCATGTTAATTGAAAAAAAAAAAAAAACCAATGGCTTCATTTTTAAAAATATGCTGCCTTTTTACCCATCAACTCTCAGCTTCAGTTGATGTGAGAAACAATATTAGATAATTCAGACCGACTATTTACATAGCACAAATTCTTGTCATTTTTTTTGGTCTGAATTCTGAAATTGCTCCCAGTTGTCTTAATTATATGGATGTTAAAGAATGATACCATTCATGGTTGCGTAGATGAAGAAACACACCTTACCGATGGTTCCCTTCCTGCGATTTACCCTGGAGTTTGTGCAGAAAAAACATGAATTTGGTTTTTGAGGGGTGTTATTTCGAATGAATCTTGATGTACCACTGATGCTGAAGATTCGAGTATCGCCATCATTTCAGGTCTTTGGCAGCAGAAAAAGAAACATTAGTCGATGTTCTTTTTGTTGTCGCATCACTACTTTTTTGGCAGACTGGTTTTTTTTTTTATCATTACCTAATTTCCTTTTAGCGTAAACGTGGGATTGTTATTGTAATTTCATTTGGAGAGGGTGGTGTTTTTACCATTATAACCACATCATAGTTCTCTTCAATATCTTGCGCATTTGAAGCAGGCAAGAGCTGTATGACTTTTCAGGCTGTAATGGCTACATGGGTGGCCCATATACATAGATCCAGAACTAAAGAGGGGTCCAATGCAATAATGCAGAGATAGATCATACATAGTCCATATGTTGACAAAGCCTAAGCCTCTGTCCAACCTGAAGGAAGGACTGGCATTGTCAGGAAAAATTGAACTTTTCCTTTCAAAGCCAAAATCTTTGGATCTCTTCTCCACTCTTCCCCGGTTGGATTCTCACCATATGCTTCCATCTTTTACCTTTATCATCTACTCCTATAACCTAACGTCTTGTCCTCTTTATAAAAAATAATTGGCTCTTTGAAAGCAAACAAAATAACCCACAATCAAAATTTCAGCCAAGCTACAGCTGAACTCGTATGTGTAAGATTTCTATCAGTCTATTGGTTAAAAAAGAGTTGCAGTTAGACAAAATAAGGAACAATATTACCCTTCTACAGACAGGCTAGTAACATAACAAACGACGTAAGAAATTTAAGAAAACCATCTATAATTTGCAGCTTTTAAAATTTAATGTGAGTGAAGATCCTATCTTGCAGCAGGTCAATCAACCCTATCTCAGGATAGGGGATGCCCAACAGCCTGAAAGCCATTGCTGAATCTTGGATTATGTAATCATCAGAATAACATTTGATTATTAACCCATTAAAAAAAAAAAAAACAGTGCTTCAACAACTTCCCCTGATGCTTGGAGCATTGGGGAAATCAAAATTACTGTAAAAAAAAAAAGAAGCAAATCAGTTGGAGCAGATTTTGAAGTTGTAAACCTGCATGTGAGTTTGTCAATAACAACAATTCTCTTCTTTGGGCTGACGTTCACATTTTTGGTGAAAAGCAACAAAATAGAAGTTGGATTCTTATGTGGGATAAAAAAGGAAATGTAGTGACTTGTAGTAAGATGGAAACAAAACAGAAGCTGTCAGATGGAAACAGAATCGATATTTGGAGGGACTGAACTGAGCCAAAAATATATTTCTGTTTGCAGATGGAGCACAGTAGCAGTAGTAGTATTAAATATGCGAGAATATTAAAGGGTGAAACATTCATGGAAGGCAATGGTCCAAACTTCTGTAACTTTAAAAACAAACATGGATAGTTGCCATTTTTTACTCTTTTTTTTTCACATGGGAGAAATGTTGCACCTAATTTGTTTGCACAGAATAACTGTTTTTGTCTTATTTGATAACTCAAACTTTCTTTTTTCAACGAGAAAAAAAGGAACTAGAGTATGGGGTGAAAGAAAAAGCAAGTTGAGATTCATCTTCTTGCCAAAGATGATATCAAGCTCTGACATGGCCAGCCTAGCCCTCAGATCAATAATGAATTGCCTCGCCTGGACCCTATAATACCCACCATGCTTATAAACCTTAAGCCACCATCCCTGTCAGTAAACCAAAGAAAACAATACAACAAATTGGAAGAGAGAAGGAAGAATTTGGGTATTATTCATCTGCTGAAATTGCTTCCTTTTTTTTTTTTTTCCCATACAAGAATCCGAGCAATTTCCTGTACAGACAGTTCCCTTGGCTTGACAATTGATAATGACAAAACCACAAAAAGACCTCCCATGTATTTACACATTCCCCCAAAAAAGAAAAACCAAAACCAAAAAACAATAATTATAAGAGGCAACAATCAAGAAAACCCAGCTCTATAAACTTCAACCGACCTAAAAAATTCGAGTGAAAAAAAATGTATTCATCTATTTGATATGATAGGAACGGGAGCATACTGAGTCAAGTGCCTCAGTAAATAAGGCAGAAAAGCTAGTCAATGCTTGAAAAACCCCTGGCAATCCTGTTTGAAGATTATTTAGAGTCATTGCTCTGGTCACCTCTACTGCTTTGGCATGTTTCAGCATTTCATCTTCCAACCGCCTTTGGCAGACTGCAAGCTCAGATTTTTTTTCAGCAAGGGGATCTCGAGCGTCTAGAACCTGCCCATGATCAGACACAGAATCAGGAGGTCCAATACCAACCATAGAATATGAGTGGTAGAACTTCCTTTCTATGTTCCGGAGAGATGAAGCCTTCTTCTCAAGCTCCTTTGATGCAGTTTCAGTTTGCTTCTTAATCTTAAGCTCTTCAGTTTGTTTAACAGATATCACATGGATGACATTGATAAAACTTTTAATAGCTTCAGAAGCTACAGTATCAGGGACACGCTCAAGAGCAAGCTTCCATTCTTCACAAAAAGCACATACATTAGAGGGCTCTGTGTTGCCACCAACATTGTCATTACTGACAGGAAGCAAGGTGAGCTTGAACCAGCCATGGAGGGAGAGGATAAAATCCCGTTGAAATTTTATTAAACGGCAGAAATTAGAGTGCCAGGCAGAGACAGCTGACTCAAGATCACGTGTTGCCAGTCGATGCAGTTCAGAAGTTGAATCACCTTTCCCTGATCTGTTTATAAGACCACGGACTTGCTGCACAATATTGTTCTGAACTTCATGGTAATGATGCATCGATCCCCACATATACCGGATGCTGCATTTAAATACATGTGATTTGTAAAAATCATGTTTAAATTGAAATTATTTTAGCACCAAACTTGTTCTGCTATGCTGAATTTCGATAAATGGACACCAAATATTATTAGTTGAAGCACCAACGCAAGGTCTGCAGGCATGTTCCTTGTAAATTAGCTGATCCACCATGATTAAACAATTCAAGCAGCCCATAACTTAACTATTAAGGCCCATCTGTTTGGAAGTTTTCTTTTAAGTAATAAACCCCACTGATCAGCTGGGAGTGAGCATGCTTAATCTAACAACAGGTGTTATACTACAGAACTAGCAAAAACTGTTTTAGGTGTTACCTTAAATCATCATACTTCTACTCATTCTTAATCATGTTGCTGAATGACGATAAAATAACAACAACAATGATAGTAAGGGGCTTTGACCAGTTCATCATTTTCAACAACCTGTCAAAAAGGAATTATGGTGGGTCATGATAGTTAACTCCAACGCACCTAACCCCCATGCCCACCCCCACCCCACCCCACCCCACTTGTCTGTGGCCAAAAAAGAGTCTATAGATCAAAGAAACACTGTCAAGTATATTGGGGCCACTGTCTGATTCTAAAAGATAAAAGTTAAAAAGTCCAGGACTAAAAGGCACATGTGCTAACAGAGAGGATGATCAAGTGGCATAGCAGAGCAATGAATCATAATGGTTCACCTACCCTGAAACATAGCAAAATCTACACTACAATGTTTCATATGAGAAATAACGAATGCAAGATTCAATTCCCCTCCCGGCTAAGAACTCAAGCCACCCAGGGACAATTTCTTTTAAGTAAGAATGAATTTCAAAGGATGATAATAATGGAAAATGGGGGAAAGTAAAATTTTTACTGACTTCACTGAAAAATAATCTATAAATATGACAAGAGTTAAAATTATGAAATTTTCTTGTTTAAGGGAGAAGAAGATTGGAGTTGTAATAATGTTTTACTGGACTGATAATATTGGTACTTAGATCAGTATTTCACCATCCATATAAAGTTTCCCAGAGGGTATAGAGAATATTTAATCGTCTATGGATGTATATAGTTGTGTTGCATCATTAACATTTCAAAAGAAAGTCTTAACCATTTCAAGACAAAACAGAGAGAAACAAAAGAAGAAAAAAGAGTACCTACCCGTGACAAATTTCTACAAGCAGAGGAATAAGGTCACTATCTCTAAGCCCAATAATGGCAGTAGAGGTGGTGGAGACAGCCTGAGAAGTGACAATTATTAGTGACTGCAGCCTTGTTATTGATGCCTTGGTCTTGTCTATCTTGGCTTCATTTTCCCCCTTGTACTCTTGACTTTGCAGTGTTGACAACTTCTTCTCATGATCAATCTTTACTCCTTCTCTAGCCTGAAATTGTTGAAAATTTATTGCTTATATTAGCACTCATCTGAAACAATTTGGCTCGAACATAAATCGGTGCAATGGCATAAATTCACCCTCAGAGGAAGCCAACAACCAGGTAAATCATCAAATTATCTTTGCACCACATGTTTATTTTCTTATCCAGAGACAATATGACACCAGAATCCTAATGTCCAACCAATTCTTGAAAATTACAAAAGTTTCAATAAGATAACACCATAGGGTGTGAGAAAAAAAAAACTTTTACTATCTCATACAAGTTAAGTAGCCACTTTCTCCCTTAGCGTTCAATAAAAAATAAACAGCAAAAACTCGGTAGGAAATGTCCTGGTGAATAACATATCATTGAGGCATATAGGCAAATTAACAGAAAGCAACTTCATTCTCTACCAACCATCACTAATTTAAGTGGAAACCTAAGAAACTAAAGTTCATTTACTGATGCAAAAGAAACATTCCCAGACGAGACAAATCTCCCACTACATTAACAAATGCAGGGTCTGTTGGTTATGTTGGCTAATAGTAGCTAAACTGCATCCACCAAAAATAATATTAAGCCTGATTTTGTTGGGCCTAACTGTCTAATGGCAATGTCAAGGGTATTTTAGTCCTTTTAACTTATGATTTTTATACTACTAATAGTGAAAGCAAACAAAACAAAAGGATAATTACAATAGAAAAAAAAAAAGATTAATACCGCTATAGCCCAATTACGATTTAGGACCACGAAACCGTCCGTTTTGACAACAATACCCCATAAAGATTCGAAGCCACTAACAGTTTCCAAAGGGGCGTTTTCGTCCAAATAGAAAAAGAAAATCAACAGTCAAAAACTGCGGTTGACATACACTACCGGGCATCAAAATTTGTGGAAATCGTAGTCATTTCTCTGACCCCTTTGTCGCAAATACGAAATTAGTAAAATGCCAGAAAAAGTAAAACTAAAAAAAAAAAAAGGAAATTAAAATTTACCTTCACTTCCTCGTAGAGCTTCTTCTCCCAAGCCAAAAGCCGGTCCAAAGTAGAACAAAGGCTCTTTGAACCGCCCGGTTCATTGAGCACAGTCGTGTCAAGCCGGTATTTCACCGCCAACGGCGGCTTTGAAGTCCAGCTCGAGCTCAAGTTACTCAACATGCTACTTGAATGATACACTGTCTCTGTAAATCGAAAACCAAATAGTTTAAAAAAATCACAAAAGAAAGTAAATAAGATTAAATCAATTTAAATTAAAATTAGCATAAAAATTCTCCACATTTGAAATTACTTTTCAACTGCCTGAAACTTTTATCAAGCTGAGCTCTACCGATCTCGAACATCTCGGAAACCTGATCTCCAGCGGCGGCAGCTTTTTCGAAATTCTCTTTTATCGCGTCGACAATCTCTTTCAAATCCTTATGCCTAACCACCATCTTCATATCCATCATAGCACCAGTTCTATAACTGCCAGATCCCACATCCTCCGACTTATTGTCCATTTTATTCCCCGCGGCGGCCCCATACATCTGCTGCTGTGCCTGCGGCTGTACTGGCGGAGGAGTCTGATTATGAAGATGATGCAACTTCTCCGACTCCCCTCTCATCGAGGACCCGAAATTGGAGCGGGTCCCAATCCCGGATCTGGATGCCACGTCATCCTCCTCTTCTTCATCCGATGAACTCGTTGTAGTGTAGTGGTCGTGGTCGTGGTCTCCCCATTCACTGCATTGCACTTCTTCTCTTTCGGTTTCCTCATTGAAATTACTCTTGGCGTTATCGGAATTGATATTGTAACGGTGACTCAATCTTTGTGGACGGAAGAAATCGTATTCTGATTTTTCCGTTTCGGTATCTTCCGCATCTTCAGGGTTGTTGGAATCTAAATGATGAAGCCGTTGGTGTAATTGTTGGTTACGTTGTTGTAATTTTTGGTCAAAGAAGTCGGAGCCAGGTGGGGATGGAGGGTAAAAGTTATCCCAGTTCCAAACAGAAGAGGTTTGAGAAGGAGTAGTTGAGTAAGTGGAATTGGCTTGATAAGCGGTTGGGAAAAAGTTGTTGGAAAAACCGGATTTGGAGCTTTGAGGAGAAGAAGAAGGACTCGATTCGGACAAAATGTGGGGGAGTTTCGGGGGTAGCTTACGTGGCCGACGACGAATGGGTGCGGGAGATGAGATGCTTGAAGCGGAGAGTATGTGGGGGAGTTTGGAGCTAGCGATTGTTGGAGAAGGGAAAGGGGAAGGAGAGAATGGAGGAGGAGGAGGAGGAGGGTGGAGAGAAGGGGAGGGAGATGGAGGGACACGTGGAGGGATCGGATTGATTGGAGGAGGAGGAGGGGGAGAAGGGTTGGCGGGGTGGAGAAGGACAGCAGGGGTTTCGTCAGAGACGGAAAGGTGTTCACCAGCGGCGAAGGAGGAGAGAGCTGAGCCGGTGACACGGATAGAGTTCAAGTAGTCGGCGTGAGCGGCGGCAAGGAGGTGTCGAGCGTGAACGGCTTCCTTCATCAGGCGGCGCCTCTCTTTGCACCGCCTCACCGTGTCTTCATTGTCCAGCTTTGACATTGTACAACCCATTCTAGCACACTATTTAATCAAACAAGAAGAAAAACAGTAACTCTATGCTGAGAAAAAAAAAAGTAGAAAGAAAAAATGAATAGAAAACGTAAAGCAGCTATAAGCGGTGGCGCGTACTGAAGTGGTGGCGCCTGATTTAAGCTTTGTAAATCGTAGAAGTGATATTCCTTGAGAAAGTCAGAAAAATGAACTCTAAGCTAATGGAGTATTTAACTGTTCTGTTCCCATATATTGTTGTGGGGCGTCCATTTTTTTCACGGGTTCTTTTTTAAAATAATATTCTTTCTCTACTTTAAAAAAAAAAATGAAAAATTTTGATTTAATATATTTAATATTAAAATTTTAGTTTTTAATAAAATTAAATTTTTTTAATAATTTTTAATTTAAAAATAGCAAAAATAAAGAAAAATAATTTTAAAATAAGGGATTTAAATGTTAAAAAATGGACTTACGATACTTTTTGAGGAAGAAGGGGGTGAAGGGAGGGGATTTCGTATTTAATTATGTTTAAAATTTGTTGGTTGGTTTTCTCAAAAAAAAAAAGAAAAAGAAAAGAAAAGTTGGTTTTGGTTAATTAAATATTAGTATTAATTAATTAGTGTAGCAGAAGGCTGCTTTTTGTTTTTACATTGTGCTTTACAGGGGGTGGTGAGAAGATAAGGCATAAAGCGTGGACATTTATCTTCAACGCTCCCAAAAAAAAAAAGGTATTGGGCAGTGGGCCATGATCTTGATTATTGAGTTGAAGGGCAATAAGCAATTCATAATACCGGATTTCTTGCCCTTCTGGTGTAGGGCACAGCCATTGGCATTGCTGGATTTATTTAAAGATTTGCAATACTTGACGACTGTAAGGAGTATGCACCATTAGAAAAAGAATTTAAGTGGTAAAATGAAAATGTAAAAATGCTTAGTGAAAGTGTTATAAGAATTTAAAAAATAATAGAGATGAAACAAATTATCTGAAATATAAAACAATAAAAATGAAAGTAAAAAAGGTTATTCGTGAGCAAAGATTAGAATTCATGAGGAATCAAGATGCTGTTATGTTCTCCTAAATCAACTGATTTGTTTACGTGGAAAGAGAACATAAATCAATTACTGCTATCTCCTATATTTTATTACATTTGAATTGAAAAAGCTTTTTTTTTTTTTTTTTAGAAAGTTGATTTATAAATGCTGACCGTGGAAAGATGTTTGCTCGAGTATTCTTTTCCATAAAAAGGACCATTTGTAAAAGAATTAGTGGGAAATTTTTAGCTTAAAAGAATGAGCTAAACATTTGACAAGATTTTCTTTGAAGTGAAGTAGATCCAGCATATTAGATTTTTTTTTTTAAATTCAGGGCAGATAAACTGATCCAACCCCCAAGATAGACTGTTGTAGATGAGAAATTTCCTCACTTGAAAGCTTAAATTATATATAAAAGCAACAAGGGACCACCAGTGTTGTAATCCAAGACATATAAGACGAATTAAACCAACCCTAGTTGACGGTTTATTAGATATTTGGTTCATTGCTCATGTTGCCTTTAAAATTTTCAACCAGGAATGTCTGAATCTTCAGGAACTAAGTGAGATTAAATGCAAGAGCAATAACACCAAAGAATAAAGAAAATGCGGTAGTCTTTGATATTGAAATTGCAATTCATAGGCAATAAAAGATGTATCGAAGGGATTGTAACTTGAGAACCCAAATTCAAAAGAACCACTGGGAAGCCAAAAGTTGTTCAAAGAGTAGTAACATGCACAAAGGATTGCAAGCACGAAAAGGCAGAATAACATAGATATTCCGCAATGAGTGGATCCTTTTGAACAAAAAAGCAGTGGGTGGTGAAAGGCAGAGACAGAAAAAGGTAAAGGCGGGATTTTTTTTTTCCCTCCTCATCCTTTCTATTTCGTAGTCTCACTGGACCCAACCCATCTCTTTTTTCTCTTATTTTCTTATTGTTGGTGTTTTTCTTTACCTTTTCGAATCAACTTTTGTCTTGCCGTTTAAACTTTAATAGAAGACTTAAACGGTGTGAAAGAACCTTTATAATTCCACCTCACCAACTCAGGCCTGAAGATGCCACTTGGTTATGCTCGAATCTGAGGCATGGAACTTAAACTCAGCTTAACGTCACTGGTACCAACAAAATATGCTTATCCTCCATCTTTTTAGGCAGTTTTGTGGCTCCAACTTTTAACTCTTTTCGGTTAGGAATATAGGTGATGATCAAAACTACGAAATTTAGAGCATTGACAAGTTGATAAAAGTGGCCAAGCAAGATGAAGTTCAAATTGAAATAATGTATGAAAAATGATGATGTAGCCATCACAGGACACAATAACAACCCTACTTTGAACTCTTGGAAACTAATCCAAATAACATCGAGTACTACCTTTTTTTTTTTTAATGAAAAAATTATACCCTACACTCTAAAGTGCAGTATGACCAAAAAAATAATGCAGTTAAACCTTAAAAGATTTTTCAGAATTTAGAAACAGTTTTTTTAGTACAACAGAGGCAGAGCCACCTGCTCTCAACTGTAAATAAAGGGTGACTAAAGCCGCATACATACATATATACGGAATGGAGTATTATTTTTCTCCAGCTTTGGTGTTGTAAGCGTCCAAGAACCCTAGCAGTTATAAAAGTCGAAAGAAAACAGAGTCATGGCAGGCGGCAATCCAAAGAAAATGATGGAACTGTTTTCCTCCCAAAAGGCTTACAAAGTGGACCCAAAAGGGAGTACATTTTTCTAGATTGGATTATCTAATCTACCTTTTTTCTATGCTTTATGAGGCAAAAAGCTCTGGATACGTGATTAATCAGGAGATTTTGAAACTCAAGTTAGAACTCAAATCACCCAATTTCTCAACACGATTAATTTGATAAGGCAATGGCCTATTATTACAGCCACCGCATCAACGTGACTTGAGCATATCAAACAAATAGAAACAGACTCACGTCAATTCAACTGGACGAATACCCCTTAGCCAACAGAGAAAACAGTTTCTCCCCAAGAAAAGAAGGTAAATTCAAACTCAAATTCTATGATAAAAGTTAATAGAACTATTACTTGTAATGTCACATTGATTTTTCAAAATCTAGCATTAGCAATCCCAAATGGCGTTTTGGTCATACGCATTCCATAAAACAGGAGGATAAAGATTATAGAGGGAAGAGATTTTAAGAGAACAAATTGAAAAGCAAAAGTAACCAACCAATGATTCTGACAACACGAAGCAAGGGGTATGAGAGAAAATTTTGGTGCTGTTTGGGTCCCACCACGTTTCTCTGCCAAACAGCTAGCGGAGGAAAGAAAAGATCTTGTTTTATCGAGTCAAACAGAGCAAATACACAGAGGCAAACCCATACAGCCATAGCTACAACAAGTCATAAAACCTTTTGGAGACATTTTAGAGCTAAAGGCTAACTAGTTGAAGAGCCCTTTTTCACCTGACAAGAACCCCTCTTATTTAGTTGGCACGTGGCAGCACACGTGCTTCTATGCCTTTAATTGTATATTCAAAGTTGGCGAGAGAACTACGATGTGGAGCTGCCTCATTTTTTCATGGAGATGCAGCTGAAGACACATATTTCTGGTCATCAGGAAACCCAAATTTCCCATGCAATCCCTGAACCATGAAAAGGATAAATGTCAAAGGAAACCACATTATCTAACCCAATTTGATCACAAAATGTCAATCTGTTATCATCATAAACGAATGATATATAGACAGATTGAACAAAAAGATGCCTATAATTGTAGTAATTAAATCTTATTGTAACTTTTTGATGATTACAGTTTTTGTAAAAAAAAAAAAAAAAACATGCCAAGGACTAAGGAGGTTCTTTTTTGGGGTGCTAAAACCAGTTGCTTCAGTGAATGCAATGATGAGATTGATACTTATTCGTGCTATAAAATGTTTTAGTCATCTAGTGACACTAAATAAGGGGCATTTCTGGTATGCTATACAAGGAAATAAACCTACAAATATAGTTCTCGGTACAACTAGGCAGAGCAAACTTCTGCAACAATCAAGGAAATTCACATAATGAAGGAATGAGACCAAACCAAAGAAAAAATACAACATACCATTGCATCATTGATTGCATAAGCAACGCAATAGTGCTCCTGAAAATCAGCAATTTGAAACGAAATCAGTGATGATGAGAATAATAAACTCCATAGAACTTTTTACTCAACAGATGATAAGTCATAAATTATGTGACTACCGCCTATCCATGTGTTAGATTTCCGTTCAGCGAAAGGTTCACTTACCTGCATCATATGCCATTCTTCAAATTCATCAAACAATTCCAGCCGCTCAATTCTGATCACCAGGACATTACATATAAGAATTCACCCAAAGAATATTTCGGAAATGCAAAAAATGGCAAGCTTCCCAACGTTAAGTACAAGAAAAACAGCTAAAGATGTTAACCAAGAAATTGGAAGGAATTTCTCTTCATATCTTCTCAAAAACCTTCAAAGAAAGGCTGCTCAAAGAAAGGAAGCAAAGATTATTTTTTGGCTAAAATATTAAAAAAGCCCTTGAACTATTCTACTTTTCTTAAATAAGTCACTATACTCTTAAAATTTGATTTGTATCCAAATAAGCCCTTATTTCAAATAAAAAATTATTTATGTTAAGGGTTTATTTAGGTATAAATTAAATGTTTAAGGGCTTATTTGGGTGTAAATTAAAGATTAAAGGCTTATTTGAATGTAATTAAAGTATAAGGACTTATCTAAGTAAAGTTTTAAAGCTCAAGGGCTTTTTTCTTATTTTAGCCTTTTTTTTTCCATTAAAGCAGCATTCACAGAGCAGCAATGGGATGCACAAAAAGACACAGGAATTCAGTATCTGATTTAGATTTGAACTTTCTACTTCTAAAAGTAGTTCTAATCTGTTGAAAGAACATCTTTCCCCTATAGATCCAATTTGAAGTTACACTTGGATGCCTCTTTGGTTTTCGTCATCAATTTCGGGGCCTACAGCCGCAGCTTGCACAGTGCCTAAGCCAATTACCCATGCCATGCCCTTGGCAGTTGGATAATTACTGAATAAAAGTGGTGACAGATTCCTAGGAGTTATTCGCAGCAAACAGATCCATGATTATAATTTATGTAATCAGTAAGCAATAAATAACCATACATGATCTAATTCTTTTTTTCGAGTCCATGATAATATATATCAAACTTAGCTCATGCAATTTCATAATAAATGAGTAATTCCATCAAGCTCAGGCAAGATGCCATCTAAGCAACCAAATTAGCTATGTCTTTGTTGACATAGATGAAAAAAATAATAATTTATAACGTTCAGCATATACCTGCGTCTTTCATGAGAATCAACAAATTTACTATAAACTCTCATCATGTCCCAGGCAACAGCTTTCTGAAACCTCACACAGAAAATTCACAAAAGATGGTAGATAAAACATAAGAGATTAATGTTTGGCCAAAAAATACATAAGAGATTAATGAAATAATAAAATTTAAAAGAAAAAAAGGATAGAAAGAATCCTGCTCAAAACAAATGGAAGAAGAAAAGGAACAAAGAACATACAAATATTACCTTTTTTTTTATGATGCCCTCATTTCTACAAATTAAAGTTCATCATTCTGGCAATTACAAGGAAGACAGGAGAAAAAGAGAAGGGCAAACAGTCGCTAGATTTTTAGCTTATCTAGCCAGAACTTGGGCTTTATATCAGTCATTTCTATGTTTTTTTTTTTTCTTTTATTATTATTTTTCAACAGAGACATTACCATGTTTACCATCAAAGAAATGGTGCTCCATAGGCACCCAGCAAATGTATACCATAAAATGAATAAATAAAACAGGCAGATGTATACGATATTCCTTGTCCTAAATCTCCTTATCATCAGCCCACACTGTTTCCTTAAGGAAATATAAAATAAATAAATATGGTATAATGTCAAGTGAAATTAAAAAAAGACAAGATATGTTCGTATACCTGCCATCCCTGATCAAGAAATAGTTTTTTCTTTGCAAGCAAAGTTGGTGTAGCATAAATACCCAAAAGTGCACAGCCTCGACTCTGCAACAAAAAGTCAACAAAGAGTTATTGATTTCTAATAACTAGTGTAAGCTTCTATAAGTCAACATCAAGGCATCCGAACCCCCCATTTGTGGCATAACCAGTGCTTAAGCGAAGAGAATATATCCATTTGCACCTTTTTACTTCCAAGGCACTTCAAAAAATAAATGGTATTGACTGCAATTATATGTCATAATCCCTAAGTTGAAAATTTCTTTCATTTCAACCAAAGAGAAAAAGGAGGGGAAAAAGGGTATTCTGTAAAGGGAATCTACAGTCCATATTCCTACCTAGTTAAACATCTTTCCACCTAAAATCAACAAAATGCAAAATAAGACAAAGTCTCTGGGTACAAAAGATATTTGAGCAAAAAAGCTGAATGAGAAACTACTAATTCACTCACAGAATTGAGACAGCTCATAAATAAATGAAATTAAGAAAGAAGATATTTTCACCTCCAAATTTCTTATCATTTGCTGCCCAAAAGCATCATCTGGATGAATCTGTTTACAAGGACCATAAATTGTGAATTCATCATTTTCTCTTCAACCATGACAGACACAGAAGGCAATGCATTCAAGGGAGGAACATTATCAGGAAACCACAACCAACAAAAAAAAGGAATAAAGATGTTGGGATTTCAGAAAAGTAAAGAACCTGCTCATATAAGAAAAATATTGCTGTTGAAAATGTTTTTGATGCCCAACCAACAATAGAACGGCTTGAATCTGGATCCAGGTATATTAAAACGCATTCTGCAATTATAAATGTTGGCAGACTGATACCAATATTAGATGACCCTTAAGGTCCCTAACCATGGAAAGAATAAGCAGATTCCACCCAGCAAGGGCAGAAAAAAGATAATCCATGAAGAAAGCTAAAACATCATACAAATTTAACACCCAAACAAGGGAAACAACACAAATTTCTGGAAACCATCATAATAATAACCATGAAACATGTGAAATGAAGTAGATGGACAGATATCCATTGCTTACAGCTTCCAAATGGATTAGTAAAATGCAAACAAATACAAAAGAATAGGAATTGATTCATGAACATACCCAGGATCCATATTTGCCAGAGATATGACATCATCCAGTTTTTGTGTGTCCCGCAAATCAACTGGAAGTAGCTTGTAGTGATCACTAAGCACTTCTCCATTCTCTGCAAAGACCTGAACTCTTTATCATTCCACGAAAGAAGTATGTGCGTAAATGCACCACAAGCAAAATTGAAAGTAGTGTGAAGAACAAGAAGATAGCAATATGATTCCTTCAATCAAAAGTTTGTTTATAGATGATGGAATATAATAAACAAAAAATCTGCCCCCAAAGCCTCAAAACATCTAATAAATGCCCTTGATACATGATTCTTGAACAAGAAAATTTTTAGACGTATTTGACAAGAGGAAACAAGCTCACACCAAATACAAGTTATTCACAGAATAGTGGTTGAAAGTGACACTTTTCTACATCCTGTTTTTCATGGTATCTTGAATGCTTTAATGTTATGTACCATGGAGTAAGCACACTCCTTGTGCCCACGTAAACCAGAAAAGAAAATTGGCATTTTGAGAAATAAAAACAAAAGAAAGCCATCATGAAACTCATACCAGCAGCAACTTGATGTATCAATAACCCAGGGCAACTTACCGCGTGAAATTGATGCTGTTGCACCAATTTTGTCCCTCAACTGACTGCAGGATTCAATAAGGGAAGCCTTCTTACTAGTTACCTAAAATAAAAGAAATCACTGTTTAGAGACAGGGTAAAGTAAAAATCAACTGCAACCATACATTCGAATTTGCACCTCTTTAAAATCAAGTTCCACGTATAGATATGGTGCTTTTCCCTCATCCTGTCCAGGAAAAAGAAAATAAAAGGCCAATTAAACCTGTAAATATTCAGGCTTCTATAAAGTAAATAAAAGATTTACAAAAATTAAGGAAAATCTGCAGTAAATTACCCAAAAGGAATATGCATTATCTCCAGATAATTATCAAACATATAAAACAATAATATAATTAATACCAGTGAAATGCAAAAGTGTAACAACTTAAGTTTCAATTATTTTACACAAATCAAACAATAAAGATAAACGTTCTTAAGTCTGTCATGTGTTATGAGTTTATCCAAACTCACGAGAAAACGCAGGCACCTGCAACTGAAAATATGTGGTATCAAATCCAGCACCAAGTGATAATATCTGCTTCTTTGTGTTATCCTTTTCACTATTGCATCCTTCACAATCAAGAAACTGATAAAGGAGCTTCCTCAATGCAGCCCATCGAGCAAAATAACCTCAAATACCACCAAAAAAGAAAGAAATAAAGAACCATCAATAAAGATTAAACTCATTACAGAAATCGCAACGGAACAATCAACGTGCAATTTATTCAAATGAATCAAATCTTACCACGGTTAATTATAGGAGATCTCCTCACAGGTCTTCTAACAAACAAATGGATGTAGTCATCTTTCATGTATCCCTTTTTAACACATGACCTTCACATAAACGGTATGACAAAGTGAGAAATAAAATATCAAATACCAATCTTCTTTCAGTTTTGACTTTTGAATGAGTGAAATATACTTATTTGATTAACATTAAAAAAAAAAAATAGTGCCAGTAACAACATTATTTTTCCGAAATTAAGAAATGTTCAAAATTAATTGAATGTTCATCAGATTCATCTCCTTCGCGTCGAAATCTTGTATTTAAACTGGATCATAAACTGTTAGGGTTAGGATTATTCGAATACGATTACAATTTTCCAAAACTAAATTTTCAGTTTTCTTTAATTTTCCCGATCACAAAACATTGATAAATGAAATTAACCTTTCCGTGCAGGGAAAATATAACGGAGATAATAAGGCGAACATAAGGAAGAGGCACTCACAGTTTACTGGCAGAAGCGTCGTCGTTGGTGGCTTGAACCGCCGCCCTGTTGCTACGTGAATCAGCCGCCGACTTCGCCATGCTTCGATTACCCTTTCTTTTACGCAATGGAAACGGAAGAGCAATGGCCAGATGGAAAGAGAATAGAGAGAGAGGATTTTTAATCGAAGAGATGAAATTAATTTGCGAATAACTGAACAAATGCATGCGGTTGCAGGTTTTTAAGGGTTCGCCCAAGCTGTGAAAATCTCTGGCTCAGAATTTGACGCGCCAATATTTGGCTGCCACTTGGTAAAATTATTAAGAAGTTTTTGCTTTGCTCGGGGGAAAATAAATTATTTATTTTAATTTCGATGCGATTGAGTTTTTGAATGAATATAATATTAAATTTGAGATTTAAAATTTGATTTAAATTTAACTAATTTTTAATTTTTTTAATTTAAATTTAATTTGAGATAAAAATTGAATTATTTAAATTTATTTAATTAAATTTAATTAACATATAAAAATAAATATAAATTTTATTTGTGTTTGAATTTAAACTCGAATTAAATATAATTTATTAATTAAAATAATTAAAATATAAAAATTAAATTATATTCATAAATAATTTTAGTTGCGTATAAAAATATTTAAATTTGATTTGATTAATTAATTAAATTATTCGAATTAATTCGAATTTAATTTAATAATAATTTAATTGAATTTGAATAATTTATTAATATTAATATATTATTTGTATATCTAATTTCAATTGATATTTTTTGTTTATAACTAATAACTATTTGTAATTACGAATTTACCATCATACAAAAGTTTATTCTCTCTCGGAGAAGATGAAACGTTTCTAAAAAATTTTGAATCTTTATCTCTTAAATAGCAGTGATTAGTATTAGTATTCGATTTTCGAAAAAAAAAAGTATTAGTATTCCATTTAATTTCTAACCTATTTCGTTTTTTTTTACAATTTAAAATATTAGTACTTCAATTTCAAAGTTATGTCAATTTGATGAAATTATTAAGTGTAATTCGAAATATTTATAGGTTATATTAGATCAAATCTAATTGATTTTTCAAATTTTTGCTTAAGATTTTGTATGATTTAGAGACTTTGATTTAATAAATTAAAATTTTAAATTATATATTTTAATATTAAAATAAAATATTTAAAAATATTTGTAATAATTAAATAAAAACATATATTGAATTAATTTAAATTAAAATTTATCAAAAATCAACCGATGAAGCCTTTAAAGGTCAAGTATGTGAGTATATGATCATTACTTGTCAATGTCAATTGAGTAGAGATTTAAATGTTAATGAAACAATTGCACATGTTAATAGCCGAAAGCCCATGGAATTTTATGGAGTATATAACAAGACAACGAAGGCGAAAAAGTTGATAATACGTTTTACCTAAAAATAAAAAGTGATATAGAAAGGAATTATTATATAAGATCAACCTTTATCCTTTTTTTCCCTCTTCTTAATGTATTGACAAATAAATATGCAATTGAAAAAATATTACTAACATTTAGATCAACTAATAATTTCATTTAATTATATGATTAAACGAAAATAACTTTCTAAATAAGTTTAGTTAGTTTTAACTTGTACCTAATCAAGTGCTTGGGGAATTTATAGTAATAATTTTGTATTAAATATAATAATTAATAAATTTATTTATGATTTCTAATTAGATCTGTTCAAATGATTAAATTATTTGTTCAAACTTAAAAGTTTATTTAAATTTTGAGATGATTTAAACAAAAAATATATATATATTAAATAAATTTGAGCATAATTTTTAAGTTTGTTTAAATTTTAGGTTGAATTTTTTTACAAAAAATTTAAAAGTTTATACCCAATATGATTCAATTATATATATATTTATTTATATATTATATTAAATATATTTTATTTAACTTAATTTTATTTTTATATAATTTTTTTAAATTTGTATATATACATATAAATTGAATATAATTATATTTAATTTAATCATTTTTTAGTTTTTTATTATATAAATTAAATTTAATAAATGAATTTAAAATTTATATAAATTATTAATATTAAGTATGAATCGAATCCAACTTATAAACACTCTATTTCTAATTCATTAGGTGAAATTTTACTATATATAATAGTAATTTAAAATGTGCTCTAAAATATATTTTTTGATTTTGTTTTGATAAAAACAAAAAAGATAATATGAGATAAGGATTGAAAAATCTTTGTTTAATCTAATTAATTTTCATTTTCCACGCTAAGGATAGAAAATTTTAACGAATATTAAAAGACGAAATGTGTATTTCCTGAAGTAATATTGCAATTATTTAACATAGAAAAAGGGGAGATTTAAATTGATTCATCAAAAAATTTGTCAATTTAGGGAGTAAATTAAAACAAAGCCCCCAATGCGTCCCATGATTTCACGTTTTAGACTTACATTCTTGTAACTCGAGATAATAACGATTCAATTTTTGAAAATTTTTTAATTGATACACAGTATTTTAATTTTTTATAGTTCGGATAGAATGATTTTAAAAATCGAATCAATATAAACTAAATTCATTAATTTAGATGAGTTCAGTTATTTAATTTTTTAAATTTCAAGACTTCTTTTAGCATTAAAAAAAAATTATTTACATATATTTAAAAATAAATATTTTTTAAAATAAAATAATATAAATAAATATAATTTGATTGAATTTAAATAATTTTAAAATTTCATTTCAGGAATCTAAAAATCATATGCATAGCACAATAAAAATCGATCCTATCTAAATCTAATTAAATACAATGATTCAAATTAAATTTTAATTATTGGATTTTTTTCTCACCCAACCATAACTAAACTCATCCAATCCAATGAACTTGGAAAATTTTATTTTCAGCTGAATGAATGCATCCAATGAATTTATTTAATAAATGGTTTTATCATGCCCTTAAGTCGAGCCACAGGACACCTGTGATATTGTAGCCGAAAGTTGCCAATGCAGAAAACATCTGCAATATTTACTTTTTTTCATTAAACTAAATAATTCTATACTACTATTCATTATGCAAATATTTTCTTGCCACTGTCATAAAGTTCACTGTATAACAGTAACTAAAATACTATGATTATGTAGTTTAAATGTACAATTTACTACTAATATCTTTCTTTTAATTTAAAATAATTTTGCCAATCATATACACTCGATTTAATAATTTATATATTAAAATCATATAAAATATTAAAATTTATAAAAAATTAAATATGTCATTAATAATATATAAAATATATTTTTTTATTAAATATATATATAATTATTAAAATTTTAAATTGTATTATTTTTGTATTTTATTTTAATATTATATTTATATTGCATTGCTGTATTTGTTTTTCAGAATGGGATTATCTCCTCTCGCTGTTTTGGCCCCCTAGAAAAAACTTTCGCTGGAGAGGGCACAAACCAGAGGAAGTTAAAGCGGGCCATCTCACTCTCACTGACTATCAGTATTTTATTTTATTTAAACCCTAATGCTTTCCGTCGCTGAATCCACCGTCTCCTGCGCCAATCCCTAGCTTTTTATTTATTTTCGTTTCTCTGAATTTCTCTCTGTAATTTTTTTTTTTCAAGAACATTCTTTAATTATTTTGTTTAGGTTTTTTTTTTTGTTTCCTCGTGGGTGTGCTTTGGGGGGGTTAAATTTTTGAGGATGGATATCGAGCAAAAACAAGCAGAGTTAATCGATCACTTCGTGAACCAAGCGTCGGTTCAAAAGGGATCGGCTCTTGGCTCCGTAATCGTCGAAGCGACGTCGCATCCTTCCCTCTTCGCCTTCTCCGAGATTCTTGCCGTGTCCACTGTCGCTGAGGTCAGAACCTGTTCCAATCTAAAATTCTTTTTTTTTTCCTTTTTTTTTTATATTTAAGAGATCAAAGCCGTAACCAATTTATTTTCTATCTGTACATAGTTTGTTAACTATTCAATAGATACTAGCCATTATAGCACCCTGTTTGGTTGATGAGAAAATTGATTGAAAATAAGGAAAATAAAACTTTGATTAACGTGTTTACTATTCTCTTGATTACGTAGGTTGTTTTAGCTGTTTGCATTTTTATACATGTCATAGGAATATCATCAATGAAATTAGGTTTGACACTAGAGGGATTTTTTTTTTTGCTTAATTTAATATTTGCTGTCAAATTTTTTCATTGGTTTCCTATTCTATTCATTAATTATGGTTGTTGGGGTTGATCATTAATCAAAGATGTTCAAATTTGGCTTAAATCTATTAGACTTTATGGGTAATGATATATATATATATATATATATATCATAAATGTGAATTACACTTTCTGAGCAATTAAACTGTTACTCTGATATTAGATTGTTGCTTTTGTCCATTCTATGGTATTTTAATTTTCTTGATAAGCAGTTTTTGGGTTTTAGTTATTAGTTTACTTGTAATTTATATGAAATCAATGTCCCTTTGCAGCTTGAAGGAACTGAAAATTCAGTGTACCTTGAGGTGCTTCAGTTGTTTGCACACGGCACATGGAGTGATTACAAGAGTAAGCTGGAAAACCTGTGTTTTTTGTTTGGTTAGAACTTTGTAATGCATTCAATGTACTTGTTTCCTTCCCACCATAAGTTTTCTATTTGAGAAAATTTGACGATTATTAGTAGTAAAAATGTGTTGGTACCGTTTAAGTTAGATTTTGATATTAAACGACAAAGAGTCTTAATCTGTTCTTTTCCGAGTTGGCTGAATTTAAACCCGAAAATTGGTCATTAAGAGATGTTTTGCCTCCTGTAAATGTCAAGTATTTTAACTTTTGTGGTTGCTTGTGGCTAAAGTGGCAACTTTCAGTTAAATTGATGATAATTGATAACATAGAGCTATGGAAAATGATCCTAATATGTCAACTATTATTCGTCATCTCGTGAAAGAAACTATTACACTAATTTAACTGTCCAAATGGAAATTTCCGGGAGTAGTAATTGAAAAGGCTTTAGATTCAAATGTCAATTGCCCAACTTAATGATTTGGCTTTTTTCCATATTCTCTGACTTCCTTGCTTCTTTTATCTTCCTTCTGACAGTGTTTGTCAGTGATGTTTATTGTTCCAGGGACTATAGGCAGCAGAATGCCCTTTACTTAATTAAACTTCTTGATATATTTCTCAATCTTGATTGTTCTTATTTACTTCTACACATCATAATGCGATCAATGTTGGCTTTTTAAACTATTTAATTAGGTAATAGTGTTAGTCTTCCTCAACTGGTCCCTGATCAAGTTCTCAAGCTAAAGCAATTGACTGTCCTTACACTTGCTGAGACAAAAAAGGTATTCTCTTTGAGTTATGAGGCATTGGCACATCTAAATTTGCTATTTTCCGGTCTAGTTCCATTGTAGTGGTTATAGTACATTTTGATATTTATCAAACATGCCACTTTTATCTAACTTACTTCATAAGATGATGGAATGAATTATTTAGAATCTCTTGAAAAAAGTTTAAACTTCTTTTGAATTCTGTCATTCCAATTCCTAAATTAAAGGATATATGTATAATTTGTGGGGAATCTTTCTATGATGATTTTTCTTTACAGGTTTTTCATGTTGGCTGCATCAAGTTCATTTACCTTTATTAAATATCTTCTTCAGGTCCTACCATATGATCAACTGATGCTGGAGTTAGACGTCACAAATGTCCGTGAACTTGAAGATTTTCTTATCAATGAGTGCATGTATGTGGTAGGTAGTCTCCTATCATGATTCTCTATTCCTTTTTAATCTAAAGATTTACTCCATCACAACATGCTTTAGCTTCTGAAACAGCCTTGAAAGGCCCTGAGGATTTGATATTTCAATTTTTTTTAAGAGTGATTTTCATTCAACAAATGGCATGTGAAAGAATCATTCTGCTATTTGTGCTTTGTGCATGATTTTTTGGTAGGCTTAAGTTTTATCTGTATGCAACACATGGCATGCCAAAGAAGCATCCTATATATTATATCACACTTAAATATGTTTTGCTTTTCAAACATGTACCTACAACTACCTGAAGTCTGAATTGTCCTCTGGTGGTAGCACCAAAGACCTGAGATCAAACACTGCTTGCTCTGGGGATTGGGAAAGAAGGGGGGGACACTGCCTTTCCCATGGGGTGTTTTCTTTCCAGGAGAGAGGGGTTGATTAACTTATAGGGGAAGCAAGTTGTACCACTGTTAAACTGAAAGTGTGCTGATTGTTCATTCTTTTTCAACCTTTTTGTTAGGGTATAGTCAGAGGAAAGCTGGATCAACTGCGAAGATGTTTTGAGGTATGAATTTGCCGTCCTTACCTTTCAAGGTTTTTTGCTTTTCATTTCTTTTTCTTTTTATTAGCTTATTGAAGTTTCTAATATTTGATATGGAAGGTGCAATTTGCTGCTGGGAGGGATTTGAGGCCAGGACAACTTGGGAGTATGATACAAACACTATCAAAGTGGTAACATCTCTAGTTCTAATAAAGCATGTAGTTAAGACTTCTGTCCATGCTGCAGTCATAGTTGCTACTCACTACTGTCTGAAGTCATATTAGTTTTTGGCTTTGTTTATTAGAGCTACCTAGTTCATGTGGGCTTGATCATATTGCAATGTTAAATTGATCAATATATATATATATATATATATATATATATAACATCTGTCTATGGATGAGAACTTAGGTTGGGTACATCAGACAACTTACTAATCTCAATTCAAGAGAAGATAAAATGGGCTGATATGATGAGCGAGTTGGACAAGAAACATCAAAAGGAGGTTGAAGATAGGGTGGAAGATGTAAAGAAGTCCCTCTCCCTCAAGGTCAGTTTAATCCAGTTTTCCCTTTAACATTGATTGTTCTTTTGCTATAATTGGAAGTGTTTTCATTAGTTTTATTATTGTGTTTTTTAGTTTTTAAAGTAATTCTATATAAGCACTGATGATAGCAAAACTAATTTTAGATTTTCAACATCTATGGTAGTTGCAGACATAAATGCACGGTCCCTTTTAAATATTGAAAATTGTTTTGGAGAGGGGTGGGTGGGTGGGTGGGTGTGATGGTGGGAAAGAGAGTCCTTTAATTCTTTCCAAAATGCATAAACAGAAAAGTTTGGAGCTTAAAGCTGCAACTTCATAGTTAAGATGCAAATGAGTGAGTTTAACTGGATCTAGAATTAGCATGCCATGGCTTCACTCATTCAATATCAAGATTAGTTGGTCGATGTGGCTTACTTACATTGTGGCAGAAGTTACACACTGTAATCAGGCCGATGTTGACTTCCGAGGGCTTGAGGAGATCTACTCTGAACCTAGTGGAGTGATGGACTATGAGGAAGACCGAAGCCGACCTAAGAGGTGATTTATTTTTCCACTTTATTCACTTTCGTTCTATATCCTTAAATATGATTTTTATTGAGGAGGTGTTATGGTTTTCATGGTGTCCTATGGTTTTCCATTCTTTTAAGTCATCCACAGCTTTATTTTGATAGCTATTTTATACTATCTTTAATGCAGTTGATATTTGGTTATTATGACTTCTAAAGTATGCTTATTATTGGCTTGAGAGAACTTTGAATTGGAGAGTATTATTTGAATTGACTGCATCTTAACGGGGACTAATGATGTGGAGAAATGCAGGAGACGGCATCCAATGGCCTGAAGATAGAGCGTGCAACTGATTGGATGGGTGTTTAAGTGACCAGCCAGATTTTTGTTCCAGCAACAGATGATTCTACATTAGGGACAGTGATACTGCTGCTTTCTTGGTGAATTTGCCATTGTTTCTTGAGACTATGAGAATTGTTAGATTGTTTTGAACCCATTCTTATTCCTGTTGAGTTGGGAAAGAACGGGACCAAATCTGGTGGTGCGGCCAAAAATTTTTAGGCAGTTAAATACCCAAGATTTACAACTCAAGTTATTGTACTTTTTGATGGTGCACTTAATGCTGCATCGTGAAGAATCTGTCCTTAGAATTTATAAATATTACATGCTTTCTTTGGCCTAATGGTTCCATTATGTTAGAAAAGTTGTAGCTAAATGACTTGACCAATATTGTTTCCGCTACATTCTTTATCGGGCAGCAAGATCTGATCTTGAACGTAACAGGGCTTTGGCCACCCGTTCTTTACTTTGTTTCTGCTGCTAGAGTCATTAAATATTCCTTGAAAAATAGTACTAGACTTTTTTCTGGTGACAAAAGTACTATTATACTTTTAACAGAAACAGAGGGATGAGGGAGCAACATAAATTGGAGAAGAGCTTGGGTGAGTCTAAAAAAATCCAATAGGTAAAGCCCATTTAGCATAGACTAGAAGCTGCAATATCATTCCATGATCTAAGTGTCGAATGAGAAACTCAAAGCACCAAAACATGTCATATGGTCTACGAGCGAATTTTTCATCTTTTTTGTTTCTGCCACTTGTTTCTTATAACGCGTGGAATTCGTGGAATTTCTCAAAACTATCTTTCATGTTTATCTGCTTTTTTTTTCGTTTTTGGTCAATCCAACTTATGCTTTACTGATTCAACGTTGGCTGCGAACTCCATTGAAACTGTAAGTAGATTCATGAATCTAGCGGTAGTTTTGTGGTAGGTTTTTTCTAGAATTTTCAAAGCTAATTATTAAGGGAAAATTTTAATGCAAGCTAAACCAGAAAGAATGGTATTCTAGCTGGTCATAACCATTCAGCCATTGGGCTGACGGCTTTTTTACTTGTTGATATTTAATCTGGTTGTTAAAGTTACTCTTTTGAATTGCTTATACTTGTTAGCTGCTCTATTGTTGCAAACCCCATCTCTGGGATCACATATACAGTTGTGGGCTTTGTTTTCTGTGTATCTGTTGGAGCAACACTTTCCCTATACGCAGCTACTTATTTTCCATCAGTTATATATAAGGAGAAAGACAATTTCAATCGAAATGTAAAACTCATTTAACAAATATATATATATATATATAAATATATGAATATAGGTACAGAGGATAGATTACACCCTTAAACAGTTAATAGTTTGGCTAATTTGTTCATATTATCTTCTATTTTATTCAATTTTTTTTTATATATACAAAAGAGCTCAAGATTTAGAGAAATGGAGATTTAAACAACTTTTTTGGTGAGTGTAAAGGGGCAAAAAAAAAAAAAAAAACAAATTGGTCAAGCAACCTCTAAAAAACATAGAATTATGAACCTATAATTATCTTATATATGAAGCTTAAAAAATTACAACCAAAATCTCAACAGTAATTAATGTTCTTTGATAAATTTATCATCGTACATTACGAACAAAACGGAAAATTAAGACATTAATTTTCCAACTCTATGCAACATTAACACTTATCTTTTGTTCTTAATTGAAAAACAAAACAAAAAAACAATTGGAAATAATTATTGGTACTTTTAGTGGTAGGAGTAAATGATTTTCATCTTCTACGCTTTGGAGAGCCATTATTGAACGAAGATGTTGATGGCTCGGGAGAGCGGCGCTTGGGCTTGACTCTAATTGGCTCCTTCAAGTTACCCGAGCCGATTAAGTGAGGAAAATTCAGCTTAGCTTTTGAGCCACGCATCTTAAAAGCTGCTTGGTCATAAGCCAGGGCTGCGTCCTCCGGCGTCTCGTAAGTCCCTAGCCACAACCTGCTTCCATTCTTCTTAGGGTCTCTGATCTCCGCCGCATACTTCCCCCACGGCCGCCTTCTCACTCCCCTATAATGCTCCATCTTTGGCAGCGCGTTGGGTAATTGAGGCCCCTCCACATTCGTCTCTTCCATCAACACATCATCCACAGAAGGCTCCGGCTTAGCCCCATTCGTTAACCCAAGCGGTTCCGATGAGAAGCTTGAGCTTGAACTCCGGAGATACACCGGAGGTGGCGCAATATTATTTCCCTGAAACGCCGTGGTGAAGCCCATTGAAGCTTCAAAATTATCTTCAAGTAGGTGACTGCTTATTGACTCTAACAGATCGAAATCTGAGTCCCAAGGATTAATATCTCCCATCATTAATTATCTTCGATAGAATCATAACCTAAAGTTTCTACAAAGTAAATATTGTTGATAATAGAGTAGTATCTGAAATGTGCAAGTTTTTGAAGTTTATATAGTAATTATAAATTGTTATATCAGCCCACCATGGTTGTGAAAGGAACGATGGATATCATCGTTTCTATGAAACTTCGTTTGCTTGAATAACTATTGGTTTTTCACGTGCCTTTTTCTTATATAATACCAATAAAAATATAGTGATTTTGTTTTTATAAGTTTTCTTTTTCTTTTTTTTTTATTAATGATTGGAATATATGAAATGATGGACGGTAACAATCTTTATAAAGACAAACGTCATTGTCACCTACTACTGTAATTAATGCTAATGATTATAATTTTTATTCCTAAACGTGTCTGTTCATCATATATTATCTATGGTATTGAATTATTCTATTCTTGAATGAAAAGTAAAATCTTATTGCAGTATATTCTTTGTAAAATTATAATTAATGAATTTTCATTGAAGGAAAATTAATTAATGGGTTTGTTGTATTACTTCTCTTGTCTTTTCAAAATATGAATAAAATATGAATTTGTTTTGATCCTTTTTCTTTTAGTAATAGACAAAATTTACGTGAAGTTATTTAAGTAAAATTTGTAAATTTTTTTAAAAAGTAATTTAATAAATTTTTTAATAAAATTAAATTGATAGATTGATAGAATTTAATTTTAATATCAATAATATATAAAATATTATTTATAATTTAAATTTGATTAATATTTATTTAATAATAAAAATTTTATCAACATTTTTACTATAAATATTTATCTAAAATATATTAAAATTTATTAATTTTTTTCAAAATGTATACGTTTGATATATGTAATAAGACCTTTCTATTTATTAATTTTGATTTTTAATTTTAATTTTAATTTAATTATTTTTAATAAAAAATTTCACGAATTTTATTTAAAAATTTTAATCTAAATCTTTTTTTTAATTACCCAAGTATATATCCAGAAAAACTGCTGATTTATCTTTATCAGAAAGCAATTATAATATTAAATTTTGAATTAATATTGTTCTTCTCTTTCTCTTTCTTTCCTTTCTTCTTCTAATGGGAACTCTATCTTTCTCAGTTTTTTTTTTTCAGTCGGTTTGGAATCTCTTTGAATATTAAAGTGAAAGCAAATGCTTAACGAAATGGTCAAGTACACCGATTTAGTGTTTCATATGCTCGAAAATTGAATACGTCTCCACTTATCTTATTTTGGTCGTTTACTCCATCTATTAATCATGGGCAAAGTGCTGTCCTTTCTTTTTTCTTTTGTCCGACAAAACGATAACATCCCACGCGTGAATTATTTACATTTTATTTGCTTTCAATTGGGTGAATATATAACACGTGCACGTGGAAGAGCATGATTCACGGTTTTCTCACCCTTCTCAAAGTTATCTTCTAATTTCAATTTTCAACGGTGTAGTTTGATAGAATATCAATTTTTTAATTTAAATTATTAAAACTTAATTTATGTTTATTTTAATTATAAAAATGTTGACTTTTAATTTTTTCATCAAACTATCTCAACATTTAAGCAAACTTACCGGCATGAATAAATAATTTGACCCTGAACAAGTTTAATTTGAAGTATGCATTGCTTCTCTAATACAACTCATTTCTATTACTTCTCTTTTTAGTATAATATATATTTATTAAATTCTTAATCTATATTTAATTGTTATTTCTATTTATTTAATTCATTTAAGGAGGATAATATGTTTTTAATTTTTTTTAAATTTGCAAATTTCAAAAATCTGATGAACGTACATGTCATCTTAGTAATTATTTCTTCATTTATCTAAATTGTAATGCATTGATAAACTGTAAGAACCTTTGATCATTTAATCGCCTCCATATATATATATATATATTAAAATTAAATTAAATCAATAAAAACAAATCACATAATTCCCAAAATATTTGTTGCATCATTTTGACCAAAATTTTATATATAAATAAATAAGATTTAATTCACGTAAGAAACTACAACTTAAGAATAAAATAAGAAATTAATAGAACTGAAATTTGAATTATAATCCTATTACCCTTTTTTTATGAAGTTACAGTACATTAATGATTAACCATAGTCTCTTAAAATGGATAAAATTTAAAATTCTTATAATTTCCATATTAAATTTTATAATAATGAGCTTTAATAAATGGGACGATTATTTTTCATATTTTAAATCTTGAGTTCAATAAGAGTCATAGAGCTTTTTTTCGTGACACCAAAAGATTTCAATGAAGAGAAATTAAAATAAAAAAGCGAATAAAATTTTGAATGGCGAATTTATAATTAAAAAAGTATAAAAGAGAATTACCCAAAGTTTTTTTTTTTCTTGTCAAAAATTGAGTAAAATTACTATTAAAATATAAATGATTATGTACACTTCCATTTAACAAATAACGGTCCAAAAATCTGTTGGCATCGATTGATACAAGTCTAGTTCAAACTCACTTCCTAACTCAGGTTTAACTGCCGAGTTAATCTCGCTCATCCTCCGTTTCGACTTGGGAGTTCCGTCATCCGACACGGATGATGGAGAGGAAGCCGACTGAGCCAACGACCAAGACGAAGACGAAGAAGGCTCCGGAGATCGCCGTTTGTAATTGGTCACTCTCACCGGCTCCACCTGATCCGAGCCAATAAGGTGAGGAAAATTCAGCTTGGCTTTCGCGCCACGCATTTTAAAAGCCGCTCCGTCATAAGCCAGCGCCGCATCCTCGGGCGTCTCGTAAGTACCCAGCCAGATCCTCGCACCATTCTTTTTCGGATCCCTTATCTCCGCCGCGTATGTACCCCACGGCCTTCTCCTTACTCCCCTATAATGCACCTTTTTCGGCGGCGCGTGGGGTTTAGGGGCAGCCTTTGTCTTAGTCTTAGTTGCCAACTCAGCTGTCGCTTCGCTGCTGGGAAATGAGACATTAGCGGCGGCTATCTCAGCTGCATCAAATAACTGATCAAAGGTTATCCATTGATCAACATTAATAGCATTGGAACAATCCATCTGACCCAATGGAATTGGAAGTTCATTTTTTGCTACATTTTCCACAACTAGTCCTGGAATTTTAGCTGGATATTGGGTTTCAAAATCATCTTCCAATAGATACTGACGAATCGACTCCAAGAGGTCGAGATCGAACTCTGAAGTACTTTCACCGAACATTTTTGTTTTCTTCTTGTCGGAGATAGAACCCCAAAAGGAAATCAGCTTTGTAGCGAGTAAAGTAAAGAACTTTGACGTCTGAGACTGCGAGGTGTAGCCGAGTTGGATTGAATTGAATGTCTTCGTTGAGCTCTTGTTTGATCATATATATACCTTGAGACTCTGATATATATATATATATATATATATATATATATATATAATTAGGCTTCATTGTTGCTTCTATAGGCAATTCTAGGAGGTTTCTGGGGGTTAAGATTTGAAAACATAAATTTTCATCACGTTTTTGAAGTGCTTCAATGTTCTCATTTATTTAATTATTATATATGTTTATTAAATTAATTTATTCATCCTTTGCATAGTTTATTCATTGAACAATATAATGGCGACAAAGGTAGGTCCAATATTCCATATTCCATAATTGGCCAATTTGAATAAATAGTGAATAGACCTAATATCACCATATTATGTATCTTAAGGACAAAAATTAGATGATATTTTTTAGGTGAAGTATGTAAATTTTTTTTTAGAAATAATTTAATAAAAATTTCACATAAATAGATTAATAAAATTTAATGTGAAAATTAATAATATATAAGAAATAATTAAACATATAATTTATAATTCAAATTTAATAGGTACTTATTTAATGATAAAACTTTTATCAAAATTTTTACTAAAAATGTTTATAAAAAAATTAATTTTTATTAATTTTTTAAAAATTTTACACATTTGATCTATAGAACAAGAATTTTTAAGTTATTGGTTTTGATATGCAATTTTAGTTCTTATTCAACCATTTTTAGTAAGAAACTTAGAGAATTTCACATAAAAAAACTTCATCCTACACCTCAGTTATCCACTTTTGAATGATTTCTTAACCAAACCTCATTAAGCTTGCTTTTATGCATATAATTATAATATACTTTATCAATAAACCATTAACTGAATAGTATTGAACTGCACGAACGATTTCATAAAAAAAAAATCTCAATGATATGGAAGTCGATTCCAAAATTGATTAAAGTCTTAAGTTCGAATCTCAAACTTAACTCAAAAAACTAAAAAAATATATTTTACTAAAAAGCTTAGGTAGTGTTTGGTTTAAAAAACAGAGTCATTTTTCATTTTCATTTTCTTATAAAATGAAAAATATGAATGAAAATTTGTTTGGTAATTGAAAATGAAAACAGGTTTTAGAAAACAAAAATGAAAATGAGTTGAAATATGAAAACAAAACAAATAGGTTTTCAATTGTGAAAACAAAGGACGTACGTTACTTTTTTCTTTATATTTTACAAGCTACCATATTTAAACACTTTTTAATGTCATTAATTAAAAAATATATTATATTTATAATTAAATGTCATTAAAAGTAATATTATTGAATATTTTATTTTTTTGCATTTTAAAAAACAATTTTTATTTTCATTTATCAAATACATTTTTTAGAAAACAAAAAATAGAAAATAAAATCTATTTTCTAAAATATGAAAATAAAAATTTAAAATTTAAAATAAAAAAAATGTTTTCTCAAACTAAAAGGAGCCTTAATTTCCTGTATTTATATGATGCATTTCAAACTTAATTGTGGCTTTTTTATTTAGAGGTTTTAATTTGTTTTTTTTTTTTTATACATAAGGAAATGCATCTACTATATGAAGTTTGCTTTCAATCCACAACAAGCAGACAGCTCTAGCTAGCTAACACTATCTTTTTTATTTTTGGCAAAGCGAAACGACCCTTTAAAGTGAAGGCTTGAAAATTTATATTTGACTGAATATTATTTATTTTTGGTAAGGACTAAATGTTGATGAATCTGTGATAATTCTGCAGCGCAAACTCAAAAACGCGACATTTAATTAATTATTTATTTATATAAAAGAAATTATTTTATTTATTATTGGTAAAGTAATAAATTCTTTATATAATTACTTTTGTCATATAAATTTTTAAACATACACTTGTTAGATTTTATTATATGGTTTTGGGAACTTGGAATAACATGTGGAAATCCTGGTGTACTTGTTTTTATATATATTTTAAGAATAAATTATGATATATACTAACATCTGTGATTCCCTCTGCCCTCCTTTCTCTTGATTAATAATAAAGCAAAGTGTGTGCCATGTTACTCGGTGTTCGCAAAATGTAACTTTGTTTATGAAATTGATTCTCTTTGTCTTTGAACAAATAATTTGCAAGCTCAACTAATGCAACATTCCAATTATAAAAAAAAAAAAAAATTGCAACACGTGGACACATCGAACCTTAGGCCACATGCATATCTAAAGATTGTGATTTACGAAAAATTTGATAGTACATCGATTTATTTATCTATATATATATAGTTTTGTTAAATATTTAAATGAAACATATTTTTCTCAACATCTGAAATTCAAAACACATGCGAGTGCAAACAATGGAATATAAATGCCAATGAAAAACTGCTATTTCAACTATGGCATGTTAAACAATAAAGAAAATTTCCATATCTGTGGGCTTGAAAACTGTAGAGACTCCTGGTGTGAAACAAGAAAAAGGAGGTCCACAAATAAAACCATCAATGAGTGTCTGGTAATTGGCAAGTACATATAACTAATTAGGTACAAGCAAATCGTGAATAATTATCACCAATCAATTAAAATTATTTTTTCTATCGAAAAAATTTTTGATTTAAATTTTATTAATATCATTTTAAATATATGATTTATAATTATTCATTTTAAGTTATGATACATTTTATTTTAATTAAAAAATTAAATAATTTATCTACCCGAAGCCTGGCATCATGAATTTCAGATGGAGTTCATGGGTTTTACTACTATTTTTTGACCAAATCCCTCTCTTTGGGAAACGGGAAACCATTGTCGAAGCCTGGAATTTTTCAATAACTCGCTACTTGTTTTTGGTTAAATATTTGATCGCCCATCTTCTTTGAAAATTTGATTTTTTTTTTTGAAAGGATGTAAAAAGTTGTTGAGTTATAATTAAAAAATCATATAAATTTTTATTTTTTATTGTAATTATTAATTAATCTTTTAATATTTATTTATATCTAATTAAATTTTTATTTGAATAAAAAATTAACATTGTTAATTTTTTTATTAATAAAATAAAATTTTATGTGATATCAAGAAAATAAATAAATATTTATCATATGTCATAATTAATATATGTGAAAATAAAATAAAATAAAATTTTTTTCTTCTTTATTTCTTTTTTATTATTTGTATAAGATCTTTTTAAAGGTTCAATTAATTATAATTTAAGAATTGATTGATTCAATTTTAGTAAAAGATTAATTTTTGTTCAATTAGGAATTCATTTGAATAAAAATAAAATATTAAAAACTTAATTAATTATAATAAAATATTAAAAACTTAAATAATTTCGTCCAATTAATTTTTTACCTTTTCAACCTTTTTACTTTTGTTTTTCTTTAAAAACCTGAATCAAACACAGCACCTAAAATCACTAAATTTGTGCCAGTTAGACCTTTATCTTGTCATTGAAATTATACCTTACTATTAATTGATCAATGATGAAATTATACATGTTCATGCCTTCAATATAATATATATAAGTCACCTAGTACAAGCAATCAATGAATATATCTTGGTATTATATATGGATATACAGAAATTCATGTTCTCTTTCATTGATTGAAATATTCAAATTAATATTTATTAGTTAATTAAACAAGCTGATCATGATCAGGAGGATATATTAAACTAAAGCCAAAATGTTTATTAGACAATCAAACAACAGCTTTAAATTTTGCAAATGTTCCAACTTCTCAATTTTCTCTTCCGAAGGGAAGAAGAAAAATTAGAAAAAAAAAAAGGAAAGATAGGAAAAAAAATCGTACTGATAGGAACTAAGATCAACCAGGCCTTAATACAGAGAACCAAATGAGAAATGACCAGTATTTGGTCACAAAAAAATCAGCATTATTCAACCTATTAATCATTTGCCCAAAAAACTATTAATCCTTTTCTTTTTGTTGTTAATATTCCTCAGTTAATTTTATTTTTTATTGGAAGTGGAGTCACTAGACAATCCAAAACTGGTCTCCAAGTATCCAAGGACTCATTTGAATCACCTCTGCAGCTAAACTGGCATTTCTCTGCAGGTTGGCCGCTGTAGTCTCGGAGTTACTTGCACTCTTCCTAATCTTCTTCTTCGGGTTTGGTGAGTAATCGCTCAATCCGGACGACACAGTAGAAGCTGAAGGTTCCAGTGAGCGGCGCCTTGAGCCTACTCTAATTGGCTCCGAAGTGTTAGAGCCAATCAAGTGAGGAAAATTGAGCTTGGCCTTAGCCCCACGCATTTTGAAAGCGGCTCTATCGTAAGCCAAAGCAGCATCCTCAGGCGTCTCGTAAGTTCCAAGCCAAATCCTCGCACCATTCCTTTTAGGGTCCCTGATCTCCGCCGCGTACTTCCCCCATGGCCTTCTTCTCACTCCTTTAAAATGCATCCCCCTCGGTGGCAGCACATTGGTTTCAGTCTCCACTTTAAAGGTTTCTTCCTTCTCTTCCCTGGAGAACACTTCTTCAACCGTCTCTGCCAGCGTACTTGTTGAATCAACCTCGTTCGAAGGACTCCACCCAGAGTTTGCCGCATCACGCAAAGCACTGTAAACCAGCATATCCTCGGAATCATCCATCTTTAAAGGTAAATCACCCCAACTTTCATTCAAAAAAATACTACTAAAACTTGAACTCCTGTTATAGGAAGGTTCAAGAACAAAATTATTATTGCTTCTGAAAGTTGTTGTTGCTGGAGATTGATCAAAATCATCAAGGAGATAGTGTTGAAAAGATTCAACGATGTTGAACTCTGACTCTGAGATAATCTCCATATTCATTTTTTAAAGTAACGAAACTTTCTTTTGGCTTTTGTTGTTCGAAAAATGGAAACTGTCGGTGGTCTGAGAGTTTGAGTGAAGATTTGGCAAAGGGTATTGTGGATTATATAGGCAGGAAACAATCTGACGAGAACTAACTAAAACCTTTATTTATTTATTTAATTTTAATTTTAAGACATTTCTATGAATGTTCATGCGCCATGGGGCATTACAATTAATAATCTTTTTGGCCATTTGCAAAATTTTTGATTAATAATCTTGAAGTGGGGAGGATTTTTAATTTTAATCACGTGTTGTATTTCTTTTAATTAGTTTATTTGCATGGTACAGCACGTTTATTTCTTTTATTAAAAAAATAGAAAAAGATATTGATTGGGAATATTATTTTATTTTAATATTCCATGAATTTGTGAGATAAGATCACTGGATTGGGCGATTACCCAGATGACGATTGGGGCCTAATACTGTTAAATGATGGACATTGGGTGCCGTACTGTCGTCTAACAAAGCCTATTAATATAATCCACCAATGTAAAAAAGAAACACCAATAAAATTTCCTTTCAATTAGTTTACTCATAACAGTCGGTTGATTATGATAGAAAATGCAATAACCCAAGATTATAGTAGTTGAATATAGTAGTTATCGCATGTTAAAAATAAAAAAAATTTTCCTCCTTCAGTTCTTTGGCTCGCATCATGGAACAGTTAGTTCACTTAACTTTGACTATGCATAAACTTAACCAACTGGAAGTAGGAACCAGGGAACCCCCCAAGTTAAACTTTCAGCATATTTAATTTTATGATCTTTCCTTGCTATTTTCTCCCTAATTTTGTGATCCATAAAGAAATTCAGGGCGCCATAGGTTTAATTCGTTGCCTTAATATAAACGGCAAGCCATGGTCTTGTTGTTCCATTTTTCAAATCAGGATTTTATTAAATGTGTGAAGGTAAAGACTTACTAAGGTGGTGGATCATATGACACATTACTCGGAGTTGACATTTTGATCATGCCTCGGATTCGAAAACGATTGAAGATCTTCTCGAAACATTTTGTTCTAAGTCCTAAGATTTATGAATTACTTACACACAATTGCATTTTAAAGTTTTTTCCTGTGTTCAGTCTAGGATTTTTTATCTTTCATAGAAAAACAAAAGGAAATTGAGAGGAAACTTTATTTCCAAAAGGAAGTCAGAGTGCATACCGTACAAAAATTTCCATTCCAAAGATACAAATGCAAAGATTTTCCACATTCAAAAAGGTTGATTCTATGATCTTTGATTTGATTTTGCTTTGTAATTTACTGATTATACATATTTGAACTTATTTAGATAATCAAGAAAATGTTAACTTTCAACTGCTGTGTTTCAATCTTCCATGGAAAATTATAATATTAAAATGGAATTTGTATTAGAATATATTGAGTAAATGAAAACAAAGAAAGGGTAGAGCTGGACCTGAGCTTCAGATGTAAAGGCATCAGATGCTACCGTGTTAATTTAAGAATTCAAAGGTAACGTTTTCTAAGATATATATGGTTAACTGATTATTATATTTAATTTAATTTAAAGACTTGGAATTTACAATTGTTTTAATGTTTTATGGGAGCGTAGTTGAGACTTTTATAATAAGTAATTGCTTGCTTTTTATTTTTATATATATAACATGTGGAAATCATGATTTTTCCCTTTTTTTTTTTTTTATTCTTTTAAGGTCTTTCTTTATCAAATCATCATTCTTTTACTTTCAGGTGAATGCAAATATATTCATCAGCACTCAAAAGAATAATAAAAGAAAATAAAATTTATCAATTAAAAATGACCTCTCAAGTCTCAATTAATTAATTAATTAATTAATTAATGAGAGAGAATTGTAATGCTCCTTTTTCAAATTATTTGAAACTTTTTAACTTTCATGGGTTTAAAAAAATTTAGATTTTAGAATATTTAATATTAAAATTTAAATATTTTAAAAAATAAATTTCATGAATTTTAACATACAAAATAAAAAAAATGAAAAGTAATTTTAAAGTATATATAAAAAAAAAGAATCTTAGGTTTTTGAAACAAAGAAAAAATTTTATAAAAGAATTACAAAAATTAATTAAACTAAATTTTAAATTATGTAATGTTGATACCTAAGATATCCATCGTCAGCAAGCCGATGTAAGAATAAGCCCATTATCAAGAATAATAATAAAAAAATATAAAGTGGTAGTTAAAAGGTTTTTTAATGTTATTAAATTTCAAATCACTAAGACACGTGTTTGAATAACCTATAAGGCTATACCATATAGTTAAAAAAACAAAAAAGAAATTTCAAAGAAGTAGCCAATAAAATAATTAAAAGAAGGCAACCCTTTCAACTTTGAAGTTTCAACTGTGGATAAATGCTGGTTCCTCTGCCTTTTAAGTCCACAACTATGATTATATATAACTTTGGCAGGTTTAGGTTTATATATTTTCCAAAGAAAGCTGTTCTTCATTAGTTTCTTAAACAAAACGATTAATATTCGACAGAGAACCCTAGCTTTGTTCCTTAATTTCCTACGGTCCAAGAAAAAAAAATATGTGGGTTAACGAGAGTACCTCAGTATCTGATCTTGCTTTCTTGGACTCCATTAGTCAGCATCTTCTGGCTGATGATTTTGCAGCTTCTTTGGCTTCTTTAGACTTGGTGTCCTTCAATGCACCCTTATTTGGTAGGACTTCTGGCTTCACTAGCCTTCTCCTGAATTGCAGTAATCTCCCATTAAAACTTGACAATGGGTACTTTAGCTTTGGGTGTCCACCGACAAACCCCATTGACTCAACCGCGCCTGAAAAAGTGGAGGAGCCACCACAGAAGGTGAGTCAAGTAGAGGCTGCAGCGGTGGCGAGTGGAAAAGGGGTGCATTACAGGGGGGTGAGAAGGAGGCCATGGGGAAAGTATGCGGCAGAGATAAGGGAACCTGGCAAGAAAGGCGTAAGGGCTTGGTTAGGGACTTACGAGACACCCGAGGACGCTGCTTTGGCTTATGATAAAGCCGCTTTCAAGATCCGAGGCTCCAAAGCTAAGCTCAATTTCCCTCACTTGATCGGCTCAAGTAACATAGAACCTGTTAGAGTTGGCCCAAGGCGTCGCTCACCAGAGCCGTCGTCTTCTTCATCATCGCCCATAGTGGATAGCAACTCCCCTATGCCAAAGCGAAGAAAGAGGACCAATTAATGGCCACGAACAGCTGGTAATTTCATTTGATCAATTAATGACCGATTGTATCTGATTTTTCACTTTTCAAGACTTGATCAAATTTAATTAAGGCGATCGAGTTTGATTACCGAAATTAAGAAAAAATAAAATAAAATCAAGATGTTTTCCATTTGCTTTCCAGAATTGTCCTACATGCAAAAGGAATTAGTTTGGATATCATAGATAACAGTATGTTTCTCAAATCTTTTTCATTTTGCTCTTTTATGGATGCCGCTTCAATTAAGTTCTGATGTATAATAGACTTGGAATACATAGGCTAATGCATTTTTTTTTTCCTAGAATTACAACCTTTTCAATTTCTCGTATTCTTGTTACATGGTAGAATTGTAACGGAGAGGCTTTGGAGGTAACTAGGATTATTGTAGAAGAAAATTATCTTATATATCTAGACTTAAAAAATAAAAACTTAGGTTTCATTTGTGTAGATACCAGACTCAAATTTGTGACAAATTATTTGTTTTAATTTGAAAGTTTTATAATTTTATTTTATACAAAATGCTTCAAAATTTTAAATTTAAATCTCAACTTATATACTATGACATATTTTTAAAATATTTCGATATGGAATTGTAATGTCATAAACTTCTATATTAAAGTTTAACTTTCCTGTCAAACTTAATATAAAACATACAAAAAAAATCATAAAATCAAGATCACACAAAACGTTAAAATTTTAGAGATGATTTCACTGTATAGCATTTAACTGCCTCAAAATTCTAGAGGTAGTTTTTATGATGTAACACTTAACTTTTATTTGACTAATGACCACTTTAATACCATTTATGAAAATCCGTATTTAACCTGTGAGATATTGTTCGTTTTGATATAAAAGTCTCACAATTTTTTTCCATAAAAAATGCTTCACAAATTTTGATTTAAGTCTCAACTTATCTATCATAGTAAATCCTTAAAACATTTTTATATGAGATTGGAGTATCACAATTTTTTTTCGTTAAAACTTGACGTCTCTATCAAGCCTAACATAAAATACACATAGAACCATAAAACCAATATCACATAGATGTTGGGATTTTAGAGATGATTTTTATCGTGTAGCACTTAATTTTCTCAAAATTTTAGAAATAACTCCTATAGAGTAGTACTTAACTCTCATCTAATTGGTAATCGTTTTAATATTATTTGTAAAGAATTGCATCCAACCTATGAGATATTATTTGTTTTGATCCAAAAGTTTCATAATTTTATTTTACAAAAGACACTTCACATATATGAATTTAAATTATATATATATTATAGTATATTCTCACATTCTTTCAAAATGAGATCGAAAATGTATCAATTTGTTAAACCTTTGATTTTTTGCTCTTTGTTTTAAGTTTTTTTTTTTTTTTTCAGATTTTATCTTTTGCTTTTTCTTTTTCATTTACTTTTTGTTAAAAAACAAAAAAATAAAGTAAAAGTACTGTTGAACCAAAAAAAGAATTTCTAATCTATGCTTAAAATATTGTTGTAAATATATAATGCTATGTTGAGAATATGGATTTTAAATTTACTTTTTCCTTCTAATGACAATTATAAGGTTAAACGGTTATATTAAATAATGATATATATATCCTTTATTAATTACTCCGGCCAACGGACAGCATGGGGACCCTAATTCTCAAAGACTAATCAATTACTAGAATTTAGAAGCAAGATTTGCATTAATAACGAATTAAGCAAACTCGATTGATCACTAATTTATAGTGATGATCATATATGGTTGTTTTTAGCATACTATTATTGATCTAAGTTAATTAGGTTTATGTTTAACTAAATTGTCGAGCGCTCCAATCAAAGGTTCACATTCTAACATGCATGTTGCCATGATTTTTCATTCAAAAGATCTCCAAAACCCATGTTGCTTTTCAATTGGATGCATAAGAATTATCTTGAGTCTTGAGTACTGCCTTCCTGAATGAACAAAAAATGTGCGAAACATGCATGGCATGCCAAGAGAGCGGCTAAAGAAGTAACTGAAACAGCAGAGATGATACAACAAAAACATATCCTCTGTACTTCTCAAGGTGGCCAAATGACATATGAAAACAAAGAAGCGGCGAAAGTTCTGTAACTGCTACTGCTATGCCGTGAAACACATATCCTGTTTTTGTTAGTCTCAAGCTTTGCTATATATATCCCATCTGGGCTTTTGCCATTCACCTTCATCACGACAGTGAGAGAAGCTCACCTAGAAAAAACAAGGCTCAAAACAACCGTTAGTGTTTATACTACAGCAACAATGAAGGGTGTTGTTATCTCAGTTTTGGTCGTGCTAGCCATGGTTCAATTCATGGTGAAGCCCGGACAGGCCACCGTAACTTGTCCACAAGTCAATGATGCTTTAAGAGACTGCATTCCTTACCTTACATCGGGGGCCGGGAACCCCACGGTTGCATGCTGTGGTGGTGTGGACAGACTCCAGAAAATGGCTTCAACCACCGCAGACAAGCAGGCAGCTTGCAACTGTGCTAAGGATGCTGCTGCTCGTATCCCCGCTATAAAGGAAGATGCCGCCGCATCTCTCCCTGCTAAGTGCAACGTTCAAGTTAATTTCCCAATCTCCAAGAACACCAATTGCCGAGAATGAGTATTTTTTTCAACAGCAAACTAACATACTATACACATACTGACACAGTAATTAATTGTTTTCTTTTCCTCTTTTTTTCCCATCATCCTCTAAAATGGAAGCCATCAAGATAAGAAATAAGGCCGAGGATCGCAGCCAGTAGGTGTTGGTGTTGCCATGGCCACTTCAAGTACTAGTTATCCTAATAATTTTTGTTGGGATTTGCCTTAAATCTCATAATCCCACATCGAAAGTTAGTGAGTTTTGAATTTGTCCAGTATCCCACATCGAGAGTTTAGTAAAAGTATAAGAGGTTTCACCCTTATAAATAAGATGTTTTGGTTTTAGCTTGTTAATCCCAGAGAGTTAGACATCAAGAGAATAGCTAAGTGAGTAGGCTATTAAAAGGGTGTAATTGGGTTTTGGGTTAAATTTTGAGTAAGGAGTTTTAGGAGACTTTTGTCATTCTAAAAGTCTCATAATTGTAAAAATTTATTTGATAGTGGATTAGGTTTGGAGTAGGTCATTTTGAGTTGGACCAAACCAAATATATTTGTGTGTTCTTATTCTTGATTTGAGCTTGTTGTTTTGTGTATGATTGCTGTGTGTGGGTAAGATGTCTGAAGAAGGTATGTTTGGTATGCCTATGACTAAGTTTGAAATTTCGTTATTTGATGAAAAGAGTAATTTTATGTTATGACAAAGTACGATTCAAGATTTGTCAGGCATTTTAGAGTAGTAAACCTGAGGGAATGTCTGATGCTAATTGAAAAGTATAATTCAAGATCTGTTAATACAAAAAGGTTAGATCAGGCATTAGAAAGTAGTAAGCCTGAAGATTCAGAAGAAAGTTGTTAGTACTATTAGATTGACGCTAGCTCTAGAGGTAAAATACAGTATGTTGACTGAAAGTACTCTGAAGAGTTTGTGGGATAAGGTTGAAGGTATTTATGCTTCGAAGTCATTGACTAATAAATTATGTTTGAAAATTGATCTGTATTCTCTGAAGATGGAAGAAGGTATGAGTCTTTATAATCACTTGAATGAGTTTAATAGATTTGTTTCTCAATTGCTAGCGATTTCTGTTGATAAGTTAAAAGATAAAGAGAAGGCTTTAATTTTACTGTCATTTTTGTCCAAATTTTATAGGCCTTTAGTTTAGACTGTGTTAGTGGGCAGGTCTACTTTGAAGTTAGATGATATGACTGCCCTGTTGCATGAGAATGACAGGTTTATGGGAGCTCAGAACTCATCACCTAAAGGGAGTATACTAGCTGTAGAGGGTTTTGATCGATGGAGGATTTAAAAGAGGATTGATGGATCAAGAGGGAGATCTAAGTCAAGAGATAGAGATTACAATGATATAGAATGTTATTATTGTGGTGAGAAAGAACATATCTAAATGCGTTGTAGGAAGTTGAGAAGGGATATGGCAATGATGAGAAAAAATCAGATGAAGAAAAAAGTGATACTACTACTGTCGTGTTTAATGATGATGATGTTGTTTTGACAATTTGTGTGGATGAGACTTAGACTTTGAAAAGTGATAAAGGTTGAGTTTTAGATTCGACTGTTACAGTTCATGTTTGCAATTATAAGAGTTGTTTTGTGGAATTGGATGAGAATGAAAAGTATGGAGATATTGTGGTTGCTAATAAAGAAAAGGTGCATATTCAAGGCATTGAGAGTGTTCGCCTTAGATCTCACAATGGTGTTATTAGGACACTTCATCATGTAAGGTATGTACCAAGTTGTTACTATAATTTGATTGTTTTGGGTGAGTTAGCTTCTCGAAAATACATATATTATGGTAATAATGATTGGTTGAAAGTGTACAAGAATGGTAATATGATTCTAGAAGGGAATAGGGTCAAAACTCACTTGTATATGCTTGATGAAGGTTTTATTGCTGGGATCCCTATGATGAAAGAAAAGAAGAAAGATAAGCGTGTTAGCTTTACAGATACTGTTAAAGTGTTTGGAGATTCAAGGGAGGACTTGTTAGGATTTGCCTTGAATCTCATAATCCCACATCGAAAGTTAGTGAGCTTTGAATTTGTCTAGTATCTCACATCGAGAGTTTAATAAAATTATAAGGGGTTTCACCCTTATAAATAAGATGTTTTGATTTTAGTTTGTTAATCCCAGAGAGTTAGACACCAAGAGAATAGCTAAGTGAGTAAGCTATTAAAAGGGTGTAAGGAGTTTTACTAGACTTTTCTCATTCTAAAAGTCTCACAATTGTAAAGATTTATTTGATAGTGGATTAGATTTGAAGTAGATCATTTTGAATTGAGCCGAATCAAATATATTTATATGTTTTTATTCTTAATTTGAGTTTGTTGTTTTGTATATGATTGCTGCGTGTAGGTATTATTTTTTCCAACAATTTTGTTATGTTTCAACTTCAATAGTGACTATGTACGTTGTAAGAGATCATGCAATGCGCATTTGAGCTTATAATTGTATTAGTAATAATAAAAACGAAGTTCATGAAAATATCCTACACGCTTTGTTAGCTCGCAGCCACTGTTTGAACGATATAATATATCATTTCTATATAATTTACTATAAACGCTTTGCATAATTGTGGTCTAAATTCTATTGGTCTGACTCAAATTTTTGTTCATCGCCCTTAATACTTTATTTTGACAGCAACTCCTTCCTATGCTTTGAAGGAAGACTCTTTGAGAAATCAAAACTCCCTTTCATGTTAAAGGCTGGGGTCGGTATGCAGTGGTGCCATGCGACACATGGGAATGGTCAGAGACAGGGGGCCATGTTTACTAGAAACTGAATGAATTGAAGAGTGCTATGAAGTCTTTCGTGATTTTTTTATGGTGGGCAGTTGGTCGAACTTGCTTTTCATGGTCTATCTTAAAAAACAAAAAAGAAAAAAAAATCAATTCCAAAAGCATGCAACACACTCTAGGGGGTGCATAGATTAATTAAGGCTATAGTATTAGTGCGCCATTAAAGAGATTATTTGGTGCTTAATTAATTATTTCAAACTTCTAAATTGATAAGAAAGAATTTAATTTTTCGACAATCCATCTAATGATTTTGTAGGTAGAAAAATGTTGAAAATTTAATTCCAATAATAAAGATTTAATTAATATTTTGAAATATATAAGTAAATAAAAGAGATTAATTTGTAGTAAATTACTTAAATTATGCTCTAACAGAATATGAAGATCCTATATATTATATATAAAGTAAAAATTCATTTATATTAGTATAAATTTTACACTTTTTTGATTAATAAATCAAAATTAAATTCATAACTAATTTAAATCAAATAATATTTTTAATAATATAAAACTTACGTAAATCCCTACTCCTATATATATTTTGAGTTCTTGAATTAATTTTTACTTTTGTTAATTTGCAGCCAAGGTTAATTAGTAATAACTGCTGATTACAAAATACAAATTCTCCAAGTCAGTCCACCTCTTTTTAGTATTCAAAGTAAGAAGCCCAACTCCAAAAATAAGATTGCGGAAAAAATTATGAACTTTCCAAGGCTGCCCCAGTTTGAAAGGTTACTGTTAATAAATAGTAATCTATTTCATTTTCCATAACTTGACAGGTGGGGATAGACTATATAATACACATATAACTGATTTCCTAAAAATTATTAAAGAAAAAATTTGAAGAGTAAGGGATTCCAAGCATGCATCATACAACTGCAAAAATTAAAGAAAAGTTAATATAATAGTTATTCGACCATATATATATATATATCAAGGTGGTCAAATTATGATATTATTCCCTTAACAAAATTATGAAATTTATTTTAATTTTTGTTGAAAACTAGGAAAATTTTGATTCTTCCTAACTTAGGTAATCTTTTTTGGTAATTATTCTTCAGAATTAGCAGAAATCTAATTAAGGAGAAAAGAAAAAGGATAAAACTAAACTTAGATGAAACACTGCTAATTCTGACTACTGGCCATTGATATTAATATTATTGATCCCTGCAGCCTCGTAATAAACAGGATTGGTTACGGTTATGTCAGCAGCGTGATGCTTTTTTTAATTGCTATGAAACAAGTCACTTGTCCAGTTGCATCACGGTTGATAAACAAATTATAAACCGAGGAAATCTAATCCATAAGCTTATCTCAGGGTAAAGAGGACTAACTTCAGCTATGCCATGAGCGGAACACTCTTGTCTTTGTTATCAACAAAAATGCTACATATACCCTCCCAATGGAGATTTATTTCCCATTCAGCAAAGCATACCCAAGTTTAAACAAGAGAGAGCTTGAAGTTTCACATATATAATGTCAATTTCCACTTTCATACAAGCAAAAATGAAGGGTGTGCTTATCTCAATTTTTGTTGTCCTTGCCATGGTGTGGTGGTGGTGTCCATACCTTACCTCAGGCTGGTAATCCCTCGCCTCAATGCTGTGGTGGTGTCGAGAGACTCCAGAAAATTGCTGGAACCACCGCAGACAAGCAAGCAACCTGCAACTGTGTTAAGCAAGCTGCTACCCATTTCCCCACTATTAAAGAAGATGCAGCGACATCTCTCTCTACGAAGTGCAATGTCCAAATTGATTTCCCAATCTCCAAGAACACCAATTGCCAGGTTTCAATCATGTCTACTTGTAATAAGTAATATTATTCTTTGATCAATTTAACATTTTGCTTAACAATATTGATTCTTAATTTTCCTTTTCTTGCCGTTTCAGCATCCACTAAGATGGAAGCCATCAAAAATATTGAAAAGAATAAGACTGAGGGAGCCAATGGGTGTTGCTATCTCCTCAACTATCAACTTTTTGTCATGTTGAAATAATGATTGGTTGTGCACATTGTGAGATATGGTACAATTTATATGGGCTTGTTGCATTTGTTGATGGAAATTCCCTAATCTCATAGTAATATTCGATATCATAAATTTCCTAGTTATTCAAATAATTAAATATTGGCGATCATATAATCATTCCGCAAAAGGAATCAAGAATTACTAAAAAAAGAAAATCCTTTGGACAATTGAAATGGGCAATATTGGGCTTATTAAGCTAGGTCTGATTTGGTTCATTAGCCCAACATAAATCAACTTTGGACATACAAAACAAAAGCCGAATATATTTTCTTGGGTAATTAGATGAAGCCCAATATCTTTTCTTTTTATCTGCTGTAAGGAAATGCTCTGATATGAATCTGTCCGCAGCGTTCCTGCTTCATTGTGCAGCGTTGACCCCTAGCTCTCGCTTCGGCTAAGGTTTTTCTCTTCTTGTCTTGAGTTTGGTTTTTAGACTGGCTTTTCTTGCTCTGCACTTACATAACTATATGTTAGATTTCCCACCTTAAACTGTACTGAAAGTTGTCTCTCTCTTCCATGGATCGTTGGAGTGGTGTTTTAAAGTTTCAATTAGACCCAAATAGTGGGAATTACTACAGAATAACTGCATCTGTCTCTCTCTGTTTCTTATCTACCTCCAAATCCTTAATTGTAAGTTCTTTTCTACTAAACGTTAAAGTACCCTTTGAAACCAATAACTCACACAATCCTTGTAATCAACCAGGTGCCTTCAGCGAATGCCATATCTTTCAATGGAGATAGAGTTGAAGGGACCAAGAATCCGAAACTCATGTTTCAGGTCAAGAATTTCATGTCATTGGGAGGGCCCCAAGCTGGTACTGCATCAATTCCATTTTGCGGGTTGAGTGCATGTACCCTGGTTTTAATCTTTCTTTGCATCCTTTTGGCAGGCTGCTCTGATATACATATTTCTGGATAGCTTAATCAAGTTTGAAATCTATAGCAACTATGTTGTTGCATTTGTGGATGCGCATAAGAGGACAATCAGACAAGAAAGCTGCTTAAGCCGAAGAAGGTTTTATTTTTCTAGTGATGCTTGGGCAAAGCTCCAAGCTAACGTACTGGGAGCAATTTCATTAGCCTGCTCGAGCGGAACTTGCTGATGATTTTAAGCCCCAAGCTCCTCAAACAAATTCCCAACACTTGAAATCTATCATCATCATATAACATTCTTTTTAAGCTGGCCACTCTGAAACGTCTGACTCATTTGGGAGTTTGGTCACCATCCCTGTTTATAATATTCGATTAAAAAAAACTACCACAGTAATGGTAAATGTACTTTCCCAAGGAAGAGGGAAAAAGAAGCTATCATTAATCCTCCAAAATATTGGTAAAGATTCAACAGGGACCATACAGATTTAAGTCTTCGTAAGACATTTATGATTATATAGAAGATATTGTTGCAATGAATACAGACACAAATATGATGAGGTAAACGTTTACATCAATTCCCCATGCAAAGATTTGTTACAAGACCTAAAAGCAGACTTCAAGCAACAACTTGGGATACAAAAATGGCGAGCAAATAAAAAAGACTGTGAGAACTTGTTCTGAAAGTTCTTATATTTGAAAGGTTACAGACACCGTAAAACGTCCTTATGGCATATGAAACCCTTGACTAATATTAACTTGGTTCCTGAATTAGATACAAGGTTCTACTTGATGGTGCTCGAGGTTTCTAAGTACAATTCTTGCAAAGATTTTAGCCTCTATAGGGGCAGTGGCTGCTGCCGCTGCAGAACGCAGAACCCTAGCTGCTCCAGCACCCTGCATAAGGCTAGCATGGTGCACAGCATGTCGGCCACCAGGAATGGTGAACTGCAATTATTGAATAAAATAGAAAAGGAACAAGTAAAAATCCATTGGTGTAAGTTTAGCTACACATCTCACGCCTCAGAAAGAAGAATTTTCCAAACAGGATCTTGCTGGATCCCAAAGGGAATCCTCAGGCATCAATTACCTGGAGTAGAGCAAATGCAGCACATGCCTTGAGTATTGAAGAAGAATTCCGAAGCATGGAAACAAATCTTCCAATTTCAGCCCCACTAAAGAATATAAAAGTCATGTTAATTCAGAGAGATTAACTAAGAGTCACACCCCCCCCCCCCCCCACACACACACACACACAGAGACATGACATGAAAGAGAGGGCTAGAACCGAAAGATGACAGTGCTACAGTCTACTCAACAGGATTAATGAATTCCAACCAGTTTGCAAGATAGCTGGACCAGAATTTTCAATGAAGAAATTTGGTAACTAAGCTCATCAAACGGGTTATTTTAACAAGAGTAGCTAAAAGGGAGACAGATACCATACAGGAGGTCATCTTTTTATTAAAAGCATATTGCATTTCCTTGAATGAAGAAATTTGGTAACTAAGCTCATCAAACGGGTTATTTTAACAAGAGTAGCAAAAAGGGAGACAGACACCATACTGGAGGTCATCTTTTAAAAGCTTTATTAAGAGCATATTGCATTTCCTTCCGTAAATTTACAATTGTGTTTCTTCATTGACATCTATGGTGGGCATACTCTTCACCAACAGCAAGGCATTTTCTTTCAGCAACTTCACGTTATGATATTGAGAACATAATAATATCTTAAAGCACAAATGCATCTGGAATACAACCAGGGTGAAAAGAATGAGGTAAGGAAACCTGCATCTCAGATGCCCTGCTTCTTGAATACGAGCTCTTTCAGTTACTTGTGCCAATGCTGCTGGAGCTGATGAAGCAGCAGCTGCTGCAAATGCCTGTGGATCGGAGAATGTAAGTATAAAAGCTTCAATATGCTTCAAAGCCATTCTTCTGGGCCCATCCAAGCTCACACTCTTTGAAGTGCTTTCTGATGATGTGCCCATCGGTGCAAACTTGTCAATTCTGCTAAAAATATCACACCAAAGCAAAATATCATCAAGAAGGTTCTGGCTATTCTTCCCAGAGGACACATACAAGATATTAGGTTCCTTTTGACATTATATGATATCTCGTGTGCGCATCATAAACCACTAATTGCATGGTGATAGCAACACATCTTTCAGTGTATTCACTCACTTCAGCCCTTCAATTTTTTTCCTTCTACCAGATAGTGACTCCTGGAATGTAATTTTCTGAAAAAGCAATCACTTAATACCCCTTGACGGAACTATGGCATATGTTATCTGAAAACTTCAATTGTAGCTATCATGGAAGGTCCCTGGAGGAATTTACAATTTAGGTGATTGGTTGGCTTAATTTCTCATGTGTTACCTTTTCCATTATTTAAGCAAGGACATGAAGGGGAAAACCAGAATCTGAAACAAAATATTTGATATCTACAAGTTTGAGGGCAAAAAATACATTTGCAAATTTCTATTACACTCCATAATATGTTAAAGTAGCTTTTACTAGTTCTAAATTGATATCAACTGATCATATAGGAACAAATAGCAGTGCGCATCCAGACCAGATTCTAACAAAATCTATACTGAAGCTATTGCAGAGAAAAAATTTTGATATATTTGGTTTATTTGAAAGATTTCAGAATAGCAAAAGATATAATCTTTATCCATAAATATTACTCTACTTAGAAGCTGCTTTTATAAGGATAGAGATATATGTTCCGGTTTTCAGTCATTGGTTTATCTTTAACTTAAGATTTCATCATGACAAGGCACAATGCAATAGTATACACCAATTATATGCTATAGAGATAACCATAAAAGTAAACTTAATACTATAATGTCATGATGAACGATCTAGATAGAGAAAATAGACAGATATTTTAGGTTAAACTTTACAATTACCTCTCATCAAACATGTATGCCAGTGCCAATGCAGCCATGAAGCGTGCCATCTTTGATACAGATGACGAACAAAGATGAACAAGTGCAGGAACCCCACCTTCTTCCACTATCCGAAGAGCATTACTATGGTTAAAAGCAAGGTTCCAAAGAGCCCCTGCAGCAGTTTCATGAACATCCTGAAAGCAAAAGCATCAGGTAAGATCAACTTAGATGCCACCTGAACAAAAATAGATTATACGGTAGCTGCAAGGGCTGGCTTATGAAATGCTTACTTCAGCATCAGAGCGTGCGAGTGCAATCAGGGGCGCAACACCTCCTTCTTGTCCAATAGCAATGCTACAAAGACCAAATATAAATACCATCAATATTCTGCCTATTAGAGTTCCATAGCATGATAAAATGAGAATATTTGCTTAGAATAATGTATGAACAAGAAGAAAAATGCAGTTGCACCATTAACACTAAAATTTATTTGATCCAGTTCTGCCTATCATCCAGTAACAAACTTAAATTTCTCATCATGAAGCTTTGGCAGTGGTAATCATGATGACAAGAAGCACAGAGCAATCAAATAATGCTGCTTAGCACAAAGATGCATGTTGAAGACTTCAAAACAGCAAAATGCAAATTACTAAGGTTTAGGCCCATATCCACTAGCACCACCCTACTTAGGCAAGGCCAAACATTGGGTAATGGCAAAGGATTATGACAACACCATAGTTTGACAAAGAAAAAGGAAAAAGAGAAGGCAGCACAAATAACATGGTTCTGCTCCTATTGTTCTAAGACTCGTATTCTAATTGCATAAAAAAATCCATGAGGGCCAAAAGTTTAAAAAAAAATTCTCACACAATGTGTTCAAACTGCAGGAGTTCTATCACCAACTCTTGTATAAATTCGCATGTCCACGTACAAAAGAAAAAATCACATTACCTGTTGGCTTCCGACACTGACAATCCCCAAAGAGCTCCAGCTGCCCTCTCTTGAAGACCTGGGGAAGCATTTGAACAGGATTGGGCAAGAGTAACCTACATAAAAACAAAAAGCCAATACTTTTAAGATGTAGTGAACTATTCACCAAATGAAACATATATTAAAATTTTAATTCACATGAGCTCTACCAAAGAATTATCATGAAGCCAAGAGCACAATTCAACAAATCTTCAAACATTACTCAATTTCTGTAGCACTTCATATAGTGGCTAATATTTCAGGATTCAGAATTTTGCACCAAGCCACCAACAAAAAAAGGGGAAAGGACCAAAATGAAACATCAGAGATATCCGTTGGAATCCATGGCATACATGAAATAGAAAGCCTCAGATGACATCATCTCCACATCTAAACATATTAAGGTAGATTAAGGAGATTGATGCAGTAACATACTAAATTATTTAAAAGTTTACAAAGAACAATTTATCCGAGCAAAAATTGTTTGACCTGTACACCACTAAAAATTATTGGATATTTGGGAGGCCTTTTAATAGACTTCTAACAATTATCAACTTTTTGCTGCACATAATGGTAACCAAGGCTACCTTGCTTAGCCAGAGAAAACATTAGGGGCCAAAAAAGAAAAATATCATACCAATGCCTCAACACCACCAGCTGCTGCGATTGCTTCTCGATTTCTGTCATCAAATGACAAATTCCACAATGCACCAGCAGCTTCTTGCCTGTTTCAATCAGCAGATATCATCATACATGTTAGAACAAATCCATTACGGGAACGACATAATTTAGCACATGAAGAAAAAAGGTTAAGGTCTATGAGTTATAGACTGGATTTACTATTGTGGAATCAACAGGAAAATAAGGAGAGCTGGAACAAATATTGTAGGACCAGCAGATGAATATTGAACCTATTTACAAGCAAAAGCATCTGATAGGTGGTATAAAGATAGAAAGATGGTGTTCAGCAGCCAGGAATCAGAAACTTGAAATAGGAATTTGATGAACTAGAGGTAATAATCTATAAAAAACTAGGAAAAAATTCCTCCAGCTCTAGCTCTAAAGCTTCGATTCCATGCTGCCAAACACAGCAAAAATTATAATGAGAAAATGCATTCACACTAAGATATGCAAATGAATGCATTTAAGATATCAACGAGCCAGCTGAAATACAGATTATATTTACCTGACACCTTCATGAGGAGATCGTGTAAGTTGAACTAGTGCTTCAAGAGCACCAGCCTCTTGTCCTACAGCAGCATTATTACTGTTGCTATCACCATGAGCAGCCAAATTTGCTAAGGCGCGAGCAGCCTAGCATATTTGGACTTGACATTAATCAACTCGCAGCAAAAATGTAGCATATGGTATCACAAGTAATCCTTGAATGCTCAAAAGAAGACTGGACTCCAACACAAATGTAAAGAGAAGCAAGTTGACAGTTGAAGCCATGATTTTGAATATTGAATTTAGAAGCTTTCTTAATTCCATGCCTACTAAATTGCATAACATAATTAAGCATCAAGTACAGTATTGTGGTGATGAGGGTACTCAGAAAATTTAAACAACCTAGAACAATGTGAGAAAATATCCCAGAGACTGCAGTCTCAGTCGGCTAAGTTGTTGTGACTGTGGGTGTAATAACATAGAAAAAAAAACAGCTAATTGAAAAAGCCATTCTAATCATTTCAAATCAAAATAATTTAATGGAACTGTAGTGATTATATCATGCACAGTCCAAGGTTCCCTCTTAATTGTGAAAATAATGGCACCTGCTCTTGCACTCCTTCAAACTGGCAGTTACGGGCAAGCATCACCAACGCATGCACACCACCTGCAATTGCAACTTCAATGCTACATTTATCATCAGCTGCCAAATTTGCCAAGGCACCAGCTGCACGTTCCTGAACATGCACAATGGAAATTATGATCCAACCAACAAACTACATCCTGACAGCAACTCCAACCATGCAAGGGTCAGATGCTACATGAACTTTAAACATCGTACACAAGCAAAATAAATTGCATAAAGAGAAACATACAAGAACTCCATCACCGCCAGGGGACCATTTGAATATAAGGTCAACCAAAGCTTTGACTCCACCAGCCTCAGCAATTGCAGCCTAATTTGTATTTAAAAGAATGAGGTTAGAACTAGAGATAGACAGCTTATGTTCCCAGGTATGAGAAAAAACACTGAATAGTACAAAACCTTGTGCTCTTCCCCAACAGAAAGGTTCCATAGCCCTCCAGCTGCCTCCTCAGCGACCAGCCTGTTCATGGACCTCGCCAACCCCACAAGGATATTGATTCCCCCTTCTTCAGCAACAGCTTTTGCAACATTCGCATTGACAGACAAGTTTGCTATAGCCTACACCATTAAAAAGTCCAAATCAAATCAAATATAGATAAACATCAGCATTTCAGAAAATAGATGGAAAATGGTAACCACACAGACGTTATGTGAATAACATATTCTATACAAAACCCAAGTATCAAGCCATCCTATGATCACTAGAATAAACAAAATAAGTTAAAAGAGAAGAATATGATGATAGCTGCACTGTGATGATAAAAGTAGACTTTTTCAAAATAGAAAGAAATATATATAACCTTTGCAGCTTCTGACTGAAGGCCTTCCCGCCAAGATTTTGCTAGATTCAGAAGAAGACGGATGCCACCATCTCGCATAACTGCTTCAGCCCTTCCACAATCTATGCTAGCATTTTCATCATCTATAACGACAAAAGTCGCAAGTCCAGTGGCCGCCCTTTCTTGAACATCCTCTTGTGAGCTCTGCATTAAGCTGAGCAACAATGCTGCCCCTTGCTTGAGCCAGAAATCATCAAGACCTTGTGGGTTGTTCTCAGCCGTGCGCAAAAGCGTGTAAGATAGGATACATTCAAGCCAAGTCATAATCTCATTCAAGTTTTTATCTTTATTCTTTGAGTACCTCCAATCCAAAAACACATTCCTCCCTTTCTTCGTAGTTTCAGCAAATAAAGAAGATAGTCCTCTAGAAATATATGAAAAATGAGCAAGCAACAATTTTCCTTTGGTTTTAATGGTGCTAACGCTAGTGTCCTCTTCAAGAACCGGACAATTTAAAGCGCACAAAACCTTCAAGCTCTGGGATGAGGATAACAATCTAGAAACAGTAGTTGAACCAATATCAGTTCTTGAAACATCCAACCCAATCAATTTAGGCAGCTTGTGCCAGAGGTGTGAAACCACGCCCCATTTCATATTTGATGTCCCTGCAACAGAGAGGAAACGAACAGATAAAATATTTCCCAGTGCTGCCTCATCAACATTTAGACAATCAAGGAACCCAATATCAATCAGATTCGGACAGTGCTTAGCCAAAGCATTGATCGCATCAGCAAAAACATCCCTTATTCCAGACAACCGAAGTTTCTTCAATTTTGGACAGCAAAAGGCTACTGATTTTATAGCATCACCAGTGATCCTCTCACAAAAGTCCGGCCCAAGCTGAAGACTTTCCAAAGCCTCATGTCGAGCTACAATCACGGATAGAGTAGCATCAGTTACTTTCCTGCAGTAATCACCGCTTATTTCATGTAATTTCTTAGCTTGAAGATGAATTATTGCATCAGCAGACTCTGCCCCACGAAACCTAAGCTTTTGAAGATTCACACACCTAGATGCAAGTGCTGTAGCCATTGCAGTATCAAATTTATGAGCACGAAGATCCAATGAACTCCATAAACACTGAGAAACACCCAAAACCCTCCATGTCCTACATGTTGATGACAAACTTGCCCTGTCACGATAATTCAGACATGAAAACAACTGAATCACTGTATCATCAGGCAAGCTTGTCCAATCCACAAACCCATTTCTCTCAGGACCTAAATCCTCAACTTCATTTTCAGGGTAACTCAGTGAGACAACGTCATCCTTCCCTTTCTTTGCCACCTTGCGCCGCACCCTACGACTCATGTCTTGACCAATCTAAAAAGGGCTCCAGATACAGAAATCCTTGGACCCTCAAATCAACTTAACCTATAACCAGTAAGTGCACAAACAAGGAACTAAATACATAAACCTTCAAACTCGGATACCCAATTCATAAAACCACTAAACAAGCATAGAGAGACCAAAAAAGCAATAGTCTTAGGCCTCAAAAAACCTAACCGTCAAACCAGCAATGGAATTGTATGAATGTCACAACCAACAAAACTTTAATTTTTGATAATTTACAATAATCAAATTGTCCGATATCGACAACCCAACAAAATCTAGAATGCAAGGAAGAGAATCGAATGTTCTTCTCAAACCTGAGAGAGTTCAGGCTGTTTGGGTATGCGGGTAAACCCTTAAATCTCGTGGCTTTCAGATTAAATCACTAAGCCCTTTTTTTTCTTCTTATCTGATTGCATTGAAGGAACTTCAATGGAACCAATGAAAAATAAAGAGAAAGAAAAGGAGAAAGAGTTGAAGAAGCGTGGGAAAGAATTCAGGCAACCATACGAGAAAGAAATAGCTAAGAAAAAAAAAAACCAAACCCTCGCATGGGTCGAAAAACTCTGTTGGCTGATGGGAAATTTGTAGTGAAAATTTTACAGCATTATTAAGATGCAAGGAATCATGGCAGACAAGCATAAAAATAATAATAATAATAATAATAATAATATATAATCAGTGCTGCATATTGTAATTTGCCGCTTCAAAATTATAAATTTTCTTGTCAAAAGAGTAACCTCACATTCAACATACCTTCTCGAGTTTCTTATACTACAATTTGACGAATAAAAGCTAATTTAGAAAAAAAAAAATTGAAGATTCTATAGGATGAAAGTACTTTTTCATTCAAAATTTACTTTTAACCGATTTTAATGTTAAACAATAAAAAAATTTTATTTAAAAATTTGGTTTTCAAGTTTAAACTAAAATTTTGTATTTTTGCTATCAATCGTAAATTTTTTTATAAAATGACTTTATTATTTTTATATATCTAAATTTTTATTATTTTATACATTTTTTTTTTACATTTAAATTGATGACAATACTTTTTTTCCTGTTAATATTAAACATTTAACATTTTTAAATCATATTTTTCTTCTATATTTTTAAATACATTTTTTTCAACTCAAATTTTTTTAATTACAACAAAAATATTAAATTAAGTTTTTTTTTTCTCTCTCCCTTGTCACCTGTGACCCTTAATTTAAGGATTCTTAATTATTTTTAAAAAATAAAATATGTCTCAATGATTTACCTTAACCAATATCATTTATAGCAATAGCTATGAAGCAGAAATTCACGTTCAAAATTTATTTTTTGAGTCAAGTAATTGAGACATTAATTACAATAATTAAAAAAAAAAAGCTAACAGGAGTATGTTGTTGAATAAGGTGAAGGTACATGCTACTGACAGTCCCCCATTAATAATTTGCACGAATCCAAGTCCCCCATTAATAATTCTTTTAAGTCAATTATGTAAATAAAAATTGAAAAGTTAAGGGTAAATTATAAATTAAAAAATAGTTTATAAATAAAATTTTGTATAAAGAATTTTTTTTTAATTGACAAGAAAATATAAATTTATATTTATTATTTTTTAATTATCATCTTAAAAAATTTTATTATAAATATTAAAAATATATTTTTTAATTTAAAAATAAACTCTAAGTTCACGAATGTAAATATCGACTGAATGTTTCCAAAATTAGATATTTTATTTCCTTTCAATTTGGACCAAAAATTACCATTTTCTTGTCATTTGAACGTTAATGTTAGTTAAACCAAGCATATTGACAGCAAAATACGTGTTTTTTGCCAAAAGAAAAACAGAACAAAATGGAAATACTCACTCCACATTTGAGAACAATAAAACAGGTAATTGTTCGTAATTTCTACTACTATATTATTTTTTGAAATTTTATATTTATACACAGATGAGATAAATTAAAAATTGAAGGGACTTGATTGGAAGCACAAAAAAATCTCCCTTAAATCTCTCCTTAATCTAATTCATTTTGCCTTAAACAATGCCACGCGGCAGAAATCAAAGCCAACCGAGTCCACAAATTTCTCGCGCGCTGTACTATTCGCGAGTGTAAGCAATCACTGCATTAACTGTAAAATCCCAATCACCGGAGTTTCCATTTAAAATGAAAATCCCGCGCATATTTAAACCCACGCTCTTGTCTCCAACTTTCCTCTCATCCAAACAACAAGAAGAGCCTCAGCTTAACAATGTCGTTCCACCTCAGTAACAAACTCCTCGGAATCATCAACTTCCTAACTTTCATTTTCTCCATCCCAATCCTGGTAGCAGGGATCTGGCTGAGCAAGAGCGGCGTGAGTGACTGCGGCCTAACCGCCGACACGAACCTGATCAGGATCGGAGCCTTAATCATGATCGTCTCTCTGGCAGGCTTCATCGGCTCCTGCTATGGCGTGGGATGGCTGCTCTGGGCCTACCTCGTCATTATACTACTCTTAATCCTCAGCGGCTTGGGTTTCACCGTTTTTACATTTGTTGTGAGTCATAAAGGTTCTGGAGAAACAGTCGCAGGAAAAGGATACAAAGAATACAAGCTTGGAAATTACTCCAACTGGATTCAAACGATAGTCAACGAAACCCAGAATTGGAATAAGATCAAAACCTGTTTGGTTGATACCAAGGTTTGCACCGGTTTCAAAAACAAGTATCTCAACTATACTGTCGAAAAGTTCCACAAAGAGCGCTTGAATGCTATTCAGGTATCATATACGAACAAGTTTATACGATTTTTCTCCTATAACAGATTGAAAAAATCTAATACATATATTTTTTGTCACGTAAATTGTTACAGTCTGGTTGCTGTAAACCGTCAAACGACTGTGGATTTACGTATAGGAGTCCGATGAACCGGACAGAGGAGAAGGGAGTGTACAGTAATCCTGATTGCAAAGCCTGGGATAACGATCCGACAGTGTTGTGTTTTAACTGCAAATCTTGCAAGGCAGGGGTGGCAGATAATATGAACCGTACCTTGAAGAAGGAAGCCACTGTTAATGTCGTGTTCCTCATTCTCCTCATCATCGTGTATTGTATTGGTTGCTGTGCTTTCTGGAACAACAAGAGAGACGATGTTTATAATAATCAAGTGTGGAAGCCTTGATCAGCTTGTTTAAATTAGTTTGTGTTTAGGTTGGGTTTTAGCAGTAATTTTCTTATTTGCGTTTAATTAGGGTCAGGATTAATTAGTATAGTATTTATGCAATGTTAACATATTAATAAATAATTTTTTTTTATATTAATACGAGATTTAATTTAATTAATTCATATAATTATTTTTAAGATGATAATATCTTTTGTAACTATGTTAATATTATTTTTAAAATGTTCTTAATGTGAAGAAAGTCTCCATTATTGAGTTTTGAACAATTAATGCTTATTATCTTTTGTATTGAGCAACTAGGATTAAACATTTTGAATCTGGGTTGAGCTCTTTGCTAGCAAATGAAATTGCATTTATAAGGAATTTTCCAAATCTTTGCCACACAGTAAATAAGACTTTATTTGGATGTATTTGATTTGAAGAAAAAAAATGCTAAAATAATAGAGAATGCATTGGATTTTTCAAAATTTAAAACTACTGATACATTAAATACTAATATAAATGAAAAAAAAATGTATAGAAAACAACAGAAAATTCTACAAAAAAAGAAAAAGAAAACAATAGAAAAAGTAAACAAAATAAAGAAAAATATGTATACATTGGATTAGATGTTTTTGGAAAGACATTGATTTTTTGGAACAACTTCCTTAAAATAATTTAATTCCACGTTGACTGCTTGTTGAACTAACCATAACAAGCCTTATGGCCAAAAAAAAACTCCAATTTTGTAAAACAGGGAAACTGAAGGTGGAGATAGTAATGATTAATGAATAGTATCCAAACACTCATCCCGAAGATCCACCCACAACCAATCATAATTTGTCAAGTGTCAAAGCTAGAGGCTGGCACCAGAAAACTCAATATGAGCTGAACTTTTCTTTTTTTTATGAGCAAAAAGTTGTAAGCTATCGGCAAATGGCAATCCTGCAAACTTCTGTACCTAATCCCATCAAAATTTCTGACACTATAAGTATGATCATCTGTAACGTGACACAGAACTTTACCGCAAAAAATAAGATCTGTCCGTTTCATTACATATGGGTAGCCAACAGGAAAATGCCACCTCTTCTTGCTTCTCTCATTTCTGGTCCTCTGCTCGTAGAGCCAAAACCCTGAGCACTTCCGCCAATCGCACTCCTTCTGGCGATGGCCTCATCCGCCGCCTCGGTCTTTTCGATCTCATCATTATCGGAGTCGGCGCCTCCATAGGTGCCGGTATCTTCGTTGTCACCGGAACCGTCGCTCACGAAGCCGGCCCCGGTCCGTGCCACTTATCACCTCCTTCTGTTTTTTTGGTTCCCAGATTTCATTTCTCAATTTAATTTTTGCGCGATTTCAATTCTGTCACAGGAGTGACGATTAGTTTCATACTCGCGGGAGCGTCGTGTGTGTTGAACGCTCTTTGTTACGCGGAACTAGCTTCAAGGTTTCCGGCCGTCGTTGGAGGCGCTTACTTGTACGCGTATACGGCGTTCAATGAAATCACAGCGTTTCTTGTATTCATGCAATTGATGTTGGACTACCATATTGGGGCTGCCAGTATTGCGCGTAGCCTAGCGAGCTACGTGGCTACGCTTGTCGAGCTTAGCCCTGCTTTAAAAGGAAATATACCGCCCTGGATTGGTCACGGTGGTCAAGAACTCTTTGGAGGAGCTTTGTCTATTAATATTATGGCTCCGATTCTTCTTGCCCTTTTGACTATTGTTCTCTGTTGGGGTGTTGGAGAATCTTCTGCTGTTAATTTTTTCATGACTACAACCAAGGTACTTCCTTCGTAAGGCTTTGTTTGGTTTTTTTTTTTTTTGTATTTTTTTATAGTACTTGTGAATAATTACAAGTTAACAATTGACCTTTTTGCGTAACAACTAACAACATAATAGGAACTTTTGATAAAGTAATTAGGAAAAAGTAACAACCAAACAAGAAAGAAAAAAGGTGAAATGGGGGTAAGTGGTAACTTTTTTCCCATAATTTGTTGCAGGTTGTCATTGTTATTTTTGTCATTATAGTTGGTGCTTTCAAAGTTGATGTAGATAATTGGTCTCCTTTTGCTCCCAATGGTTATAAAGAAATATTGACGGGTGCTACTGTAGTATTCTTTGCATATGTTGGATTTGACGCGGTTGCTAATACCGCTGAAGAATCAAAGAGGCCTCAGGTATTCTTTCTTTGAGATCAATTCAAATGTCTTATGCTGCAAACTATCGTAATTTATGTTATAAACGTTTATCTTGTATTCTATTTCTAAATAGCCTTTGCATGTTATTTTATAGATACATTCTTTATATTTCCCCTGTTTTTATTTTGATATTTCAGCGGGATTTGCCAATAGGGATCTTAGGAAGTCTGTTTATATGTGTTGCATTATACATTTCTGTTTGCTTGGTGATCACTGGGATGGTACCGTACAATCTCCTTGGAGAAGATGCTCCTTTAGCTGAAGCTTTTACATCCAAGGGTTTGAAATATGTTTCTACTTTAATCAGCATTGGAGCTGTTGCTGGGCTTACAACAACCCTTTTAGTTGGTCTTTATGTCCAGGTGAACGAACTTAGATTGTCTATGTTTTTTATATGTCCTTGTTGAGTAACATGTTCCCAGTGTACATGATGGAATGTTTCTCTGAACAGTCTCGGTTATATCTTGGGCTTGGAAGAGATGGCTTACTGCCTTTGATATTTGCTAAAGTGCATCCAAAACGCCACACACCTATTCATTCTCAAATCTGGGTCGGTATTGTTGCTTCTGTTTTGGGAGGACTATTTAATGTGCATGTTCTATCACACATTCTTTCAGTTGGCTCACTGGTATGCCATTGCCTTTTTTCTATTTTGAGAAAGTCATTGCCCAAAATTTGTTTACATCATATATGGTTATTAAATTCTCCCAAAATATTTTGCCTATTCATTGAAGTTAGTGGATACCAAACATGCATGACTCACAAATTTAGAAGGCGTACTCTTCTCCATTATGTGGTGTATTTCCTATTATCATTTTTAGGCTATTAAAGTTCTGTTTTCAGCTCAGCATGGAAGCAGATATGTATCTTCAGAACTTATTACTTGCTAATAACCTATCACAGTAGAGTGCATACCTTGGTGCTTGTCACAACATGCAATAACATATAGAAGGGCATGAATTGAGTGCTATATTGGATGGTTGTGAGGTCAGAGGAAATTATCTGCATAAAATAAGTTGCTGTTTTGAAATACAGATTGCTTGAATATGTGCATGATTGCAAAGGACTCATACCTCATATTATACTTTGATTTGTTTCAGACGGGCTATTCTGTTGTTGCAGCATGTGTTGTAACTCTTCGCTGGAAAAAGAAGACAGGAAATCAAGTTTCTTCAAAATACATGTCAGCCTGGTGTGAAGGTGTCATATGCATTGTCATAGTGGCATGCTGCGGTTTTGTTACTGGAATTCTCTATCGTTTTGGAGCTTCCTTTATTTTTATGATTGTTGTGGCGGTGATAGCCATAATCGCATGTGCTGCACTTTTTTACCGTCAGGTGAGTGAATTTGTCAGTACATAATTTTGTTTTTCTACTTTTTGTTTTTTTATATGCAAGGAAAAGGGGGCCTTTTAGGTAATATTGATATGCATGGATGTTAATGAGGTTAGAGGAATGGTTTTCTGAATTAGGCTTCAAACTACATTCTGAATATGGAAAATTAGCCCTTCTGCGGCTGATATAGATTGATTTCTGTTTTGGCTATTTACAGTGTAGACATTTGCTTTCTGCTTGATCTAACATTGTCAACTGAATTTGTAAACACCTCTTAAATAAGATTTGCTGAACTTCTTAATGTTCTTTTTCCAGTCTTATTCAGATCCTCCAGGGTTCTCTTGTCCCTGGGTTCCGATTGTGCCATCTGTTTGCATCTTTTTCAACATCTTCCTGTTTGCTCAGGTATGCTTGCAAAATGCCCCTGCTACATTCCTTTGGAATTACTGCGTTGAATTTGTAAAACCAACGGATAAAGGAGTTAAAGTTCGAAGAATTTATAAACCAAAGCTGGTCATGGTTAATTAGCTTTTTCTTTTTCATTTTTGTTCACAGTTGCACCATGAAGCGTGGATCAGATTTGTCATCCTCAGCATAATATCTGTTGGTATTTATGCATTTTATGGGCAGTATCATGCTAAGCCAAATTCAGACGAGACAATTATCTGTCTTATGGCGCCCGAAGAAGAAGCACGCTAATTACATAGTTAGATTACCTATGCTCCTCGGTAGCGTCGTACTATTACATCGATCTTTGTTATAAAATTATTTGTGACTAAAAATCATAAGACCTTTATAGTTGAAATAGGTTAGTAGAAATAAATTTTCTTAGACAATCATCGGCTTCAAGCAGCAATAAACATGTCGTTTGCAGTGTATTCTTAATTTCTTATCGACCAGGTGGGTTCTACTTGAACTGCCTTTTCTGCAGCAGCACAGTAAAGTCTACTGTATGGATCATTAAGCGTCGAAAATTCATTCAGTTGACATTGAGCAGTGAAGAATTCAATTTTCTGTTTAGAATGCCATTACCGAAGCATCAAGATTTTTAATATTAATATTTTTTATTAATAAAATAATATTTCAAATCATGTCAAACTAAATTTAAATTTAAAACATCATGTCTAACATTCAATTTAAATTAAATTATGTTAACGAACTTGATAAATAGCATTACCATCATAAACTGCATTTCGAAAATTATTTTTTTTTCTCTTTAAAATAGTCAATTTTTGTTAATCAATCAGTTTTTTTATCAAATAAACACTAAAAAAATGCAAAATTTATTTTTTTAAAATCATTTTCTGCAAAATAATCGAAACCTACCTAAGTTTGATTCTACATGTTCAATCAATCACTTGAATTCACCAAATATATTGAGCTCATTCCTAATATTTTTCACGATATTTTGAAAGACACAAGAACTACATTAACTTACCATCCTTGTTCCTCCTCTAATTCCACCTAATTCATTTTTCACAATAGCGTCCAAGTAAAAAGCAAATACCCGTGTCCGACTAAGTCTCCAAGCAATGCTCCATCGTATTTAGATGATCTTTTTCAGTAAGCTAGCCTTACAAGAGAAAAGTGGTGTTGTCATCTTACACCCAAGACTGGTTCTCAAATCACTTACCATTTGAAGTAAGGCTGTCTAACTGGATTTGCTAAGGAACAATGCAAATTGGCAAATCTGAGTACAAAGGTGTGCATGCATGTGCAGGGAGAGAAGCAAATCAATGCTTATTAAAACAGCATGCCCAAGCAATGTACAAACTTGGAAGTCTTTCCCCATCTAAACAAATAAACTTGCAGTACCTTTTCATGAAATACCATGCCTACCATTGTACAAATGCTTCCTCAATCTCTATGCTTCTGGAAAGATAGGAAAACTAAACTTGCGCTCTATCTCTTCCACGACCTCTCAACTTGAGTTAAACCAGAATGAATATACACTTCATTCCCTGTATAACCCAACCAAAAATTGAAAAAACACAAAACACAATGCACTTTGGGAAACAAAAATTGAAAAGTTAATCAAAAAAATTCTCAAATTAACATCATGATTTGATACCGGCAAATCAATAAACCCAGATGTCAATACCAAGACTGCTCAATAGCTTTCTAGATGTCTTCTGATCCGCATGGCAACGTATCCATAGGCATGAAAGTCTGCCAATAGCAGCGTGACTAGCAAACTGAAACCTGCCAGCCAGGGTTCTGTCTCCCAACATCTCTTTAGCGGACAAATCTGTGTCAAAGCTAGCATCATATCCATCAAGGTCTGACTCCGTTACAACAACTACAGAGCCATCATCAAAGGCCACTGTGTTCTGTTTTAATGGGAAAACTAGGGTTTTCTTTACTATCATGCAGCAAGAGTTTTCAGGGATTCCATTATTTTTGACCTTGTGAAGATAGTAGTCTTGAACGGCCTATGTTAACAGAATTAGATAATATGAGCCTAGGAAGAACATAAACATTCATACCACAACAAGTATAAAAAATAATCAGCCAATTCAATAAGCAACAATAGGACATACCTGCTGCTGTGCTGGTGCCAGAAGTACCCTAGGTCTGATAGATTTGACATATTCATAAGCCGCATCAGGTGTCATATGCCTATGTTCCACCTGTTATATTTAAATACAAGATAAGATTAATTCATAAAGCAGATACTAAATTAATTTTAGTTTTTTAATCAGTGCATACCAGGTAGCAGAGAACAATCGTTGTGCTGCGCCCTCGACCAGCCTTGCAGTGAACATATGTGGTCTTTCCAAGAGATGAATTCACTTCATAAAGCACAAAAATAAGTAAATGTGTTACCAGAAAAGATACACACGACTAACAATAAAGACAAACCCCAGAAGACCATATGTGGTCTTTCCAAGAGATGCATTCACTTCATAAAGCACAAAAATAAGTAAATGTGTTACCAGAAAAGATTACACACAACTAACAATAAAGACAAACCCAGAAGACACATACCATGTATGAAATCTACAGCTTGGCATATATCAGCAAATGATGGAGCAAAAAGATAGTCCCTTGTAGGAATCACCAAATGATCAATGTTGTGTGCCTACCCAGTAAAAAAAATGAAAATGAATATTTGAGCTTTGAGGCATATATATGACAGAAAAATAGGTTTCTGGATAGAAAGCAACATGCAGCATTTCTAAAATTCTTTTTCATTGAAAGAAACATTGGCCTTCTTAGCATGTGCATTGGAGAGATAAAATAAATCCCGTGCAATCTGCTGCCATATCATAGCTAAAATATGCATCTAGTAGCTTGAAACTAAAGATGAAAACGTTCAACTTAAAGGGCTCCTGCTTCCACATCTGAAATTCCCACTAACTAAAACATAGCTCACAATATGTAACTTTTCAAAGCCACGTAGATATATTTTCAATGAAACCACTATTATCTAAATTTTATGATTATTTATTTCAACAGATATTATATTCCGTTCTACAGAATCAGTGTAGATGCTAACAACATAACATTAAAACTGCAAGGACCATACTCACATGATATAGTGATGTTGGGACCAAAGTCTCGTATGGTTCATTTAAGGTCACAACCCCAGAGACACCAAGATCCTTCAAGCGGGGAACATCAGCAGGGAAAGGCACAGCACCTAACAAAATAAACTGAAACCAAGGCAAAGTGAACTAAAGAAAAAGATTGAAACAAATAACCATAAATCAATTTGAACAATAGCATGCATCATCAGCATTATTAACAATCAAGTGAAGTTTCATTCTATCCATGGGAGGTGGCAAAACAAACAACTGGGATTCCAGGAAAACTAAGCTGAAATTCAAGTTTAGACAGTAAGATTATATAGACATTGAAGCATGTCCAGTTAATAGACAATAAAACATCAAAATGATGACTGGATCTAAAATTGAAAAAGATATCAACGGAATTACAACAAAAACAGATCATTAGGATAATTCATTATATTGGAACAAAAATATCACCTTTACAATTCATAGTTTTGAGGCATAATTCATTATATTAATAAGTCAAATTCTATCATCAAAGGGAAAACATAGCAGCAAAAGCCAATTGCATAAAACAGTTAGTGTTACACCTCATCAACTCTATCCCACCACCTAAACTCTGACTGAATCTTGTTCCTGAGAACATTGTACAACAAAGTTGGATAAAAAAGAGCACGTGCACCAGCTCCCACCAAAACCCTTTTTGCATCCCAAACAATCAAGCTCTCTCCACACAATTGACTCTGATCTTGATCCTGTTGCTCCCCTTCCTTCAATTCTTCAATATACATCTCTTATTTCTCTTAATTAATTCACCAAAACACACACATCAAAGGGAAAAAAAAATACCCTTTAAAAGGAACTCAAATTAAAATCTTAATTACCCAGAACTGGAGTCTACAACAAGAAAAATATAGAAATCAACGAAAAACAAGAATGCCCATCAACTAAAACAGATGAAGACTGAAATCGGACAACAAAAGTTAAGAGCTTGAGGCCAAATATGACAATGAAAAGCTGATAACATGTTTGACCTGGAAACATGCATGATCTAAATGAAAATTATGATAAAAGAAATTTTTAAAAAAGGATAAAACTTTGGAGGGGAAGTAAAGAAAAGAAATCAGAGATCCGAAGAATGATAACAGAACCCGAAAACAAAGGATTTAAAACTTAAAAGCTTTAATTTTGGCCCTTTCCTTGCAGAGTCAGTTTCTCTTTTTTTGTTCTCGCTTTCCCTTTCTTCAACAAACTCTGGAAAATGAAACCTACAGGGTGTCCGTTTTCTAAAACGACGACGTTAATAAGATTCGTCTTATTATTATGTAAATAAGCTCGTGAACCAATAGTAAAATGTATTTTTAATTTAGTAATAATTGGATTGGTTACAAAATAGGCTACCAAAATATAAATATTATGTAGTGCATAAAAAAAAGTTTCTTTTTTATATATTGATAATATAAAATTTTAATTTTATAAAGGGTTGATATATGTTTATTTTTTATTATTTTTAAGAGATGTATGATTCTATTAAATTGTAAATTTGTAATAATTTTTTTAAAGAAAATGAGATTTTTGGTAGGTTATGTTATAACTTTTTTGTTTTCAAAAGATTTTGTATAACCAAAATCTATTTTGCATGTTTCATGCTTATAGTATTTTTTTTATTTTCCTTTTATAAACATTAAATGCATGAGACGAGTCAAATAATTAGTATTTTTTTGTAATAAAATAAAAAGCACATATAATATTATTATTTGTAGTAGTACTTTTTTTATTATTATTTCAAGTTGTCCTTTGTTATCTTTATATTTTATTCTTGACGGAGCTTATTATTCAAAGCGAATATTAATTTTCTACAATTTTGTGTCAAAGAACAATAAAAGTCGAGCAATTACCAAATTGGTAGTTGGTTTGAATTTATTTATATTTTGGTGATGGTTGGCATGAATTTATAACACATTCTTGGTAAAAACAAATTTAATATGCATTGATGTTGGCGGTCATCTATTTTCATTGATTTTCAGTAGAATGGTACCCATCAAACATGGCGTGGCATGGACTGACCTTAAACAGAATAATTATACTGTTTCACACTTCACACTTCACACAGAGCCAAATAGCTGTCTTCAAAAAAAAAAAAAGGAAAAATCCGAACTGTGGGGCAAAAATATTGTCAGAATTCAGAGCAATGAGGCCAAAAGATTTGTGTCCATAAGATTTTGACAAGGGCTGGAGCCTTGAAAGTTGAAACATTCAAATAAAAAAGAAAGATTCTGGTTAGGGTAAATGGTGGCTTTTTCAGTTCACCCTCTCTTTCAGCTGAATGATTTGGTGATATCACGGGTCTGCCATGCATGCTCTCTGCATGTAGATGGAGAGGCCTTTCACATTCACCAGTAGGAAGAATCAACTCATAACTGCCACCAATTGTTTCAACTCAGAAAGATTTAGTCATTTAAACAGACGAAGATTTTCTAAGTTGGAAGAAGATGCAAATCCAAGATCATGTGGTTTTTCAACCAGAATAAACTGTCTTTTTTTCTGCTACTTGTTTGCAAATTCAACTCCGTTTGAAAAGTTAACAAGCGAATTCTAAGTGAAAGACATATCTCAAAAGCTAACCCCATAATTCTTATTTCTTAACCACAAAATCACAGATCTCACTTCTCAGGCATATTGATTGAGACATGTGTATGGCTGTATCATCAATCTCACACCATTCCATATATCAAAGGAAACATCAAAAGGCTGATGAAGTAAAAGTCAATGAATGATCCAGCTTTCGAATGAATTATCCAAAACATAGTCAATATTGAATATGGTTCTGCAGTAACTTGATTCTAGTAGTAATAAAAATAAAAAAAGTCCTATTTTCAACTATATATGTAATGTAGACATGATAGAATGACAAATAAATAGGGAGGTCACACACCAGGACTATGAGGATGAAGAATCCTCCATTAGTGATTACCCTTTTGTTAGACACTCCAGCTACTTTCACCTGAAAAAGTTACTAGCGATGTTGATCCCTCTTGGTGTATCAATTGATGTTGTTCTCTGAAGCCTAATCTGCTCTCTGAACTTGGCTATGAACTCACCTGCCTTTCTATCAACCTCATAAGTATCACTTCCTGCTACACTGAAAGTTCCAGCCACGGTTTCTTCATCTGAACTTACATGAAAATCCCCATTCTCTCTCTCCGAGTCTTCTCCAGACTCTTCAGCGGAATTCTCCAAACACTCTTGTTTTTCTCTGTTCTGGTTTTTAGGGGATGTTGGCTTTGGCATATAAGAGTCACTTCCAAGATTCTGCCCATTGAACCCAACTGAGAGATTATTGTGTCCTTCAATTTTTGGTTCACTTTCACCCGCATAAGCCTCTTCAATTTCATCAGATCGCATTGGCAACTTTCCCTTTGTATGAATTTCCTGCCTCTCTCCAGCATCACTTGCCCCTACGGTATTGCCACTAGCTCTAATAGTCCTAAACGTCCGAACAGACTTTCCTCTTGAGGAAGCCTTAGAGGGAGCCATAGGTTTTGCATCAAATTTCAAGGAACCTGATATCCACTCTGTACTACTTGACGAATCATCCTTTTGGCTGTCACAGAATTCCTTCAATTCATCCTCAAAGCATTTCCTTGAATAGGTCCCCAACATGGAGCCATCACTATACTGCCGAGAATGTGATGCATTCACTGTAGCTTTACTGTTCATTGGATTTGGTATCGACGGTGAAATAGGAGGAAAAGACTGGCGGGGACTCCTTTCCTTCACCAATCCACTCACTTTGGACTTTGGTGATTCTGAAGAATTGGAATGTGAAGGAGACAGGCTACTCGGTGAATGTGACTGTGAACTAACTTGGGAAGAGAATGAAACCGTGGATCTTAAAGAGCGAGATTTGATTGATTCAAATTGAGTTTCATCAACTGAGAGAGGCCTAAAATGAGAAGGGCGAGTGGGACTACCATGAACTCTCTCACTCATCTTTCTAGATCTCGAACGCCAAGGAATCGGGGAACCTAAAACATCACTCTGATTAAACTTCCCCTCCAAATTTTCAGAACCTAAATCACCAAACCTCCCACTTCTACTCTTATCAGAGCTATCACTTGAACCAGAAGACTCATTTGATCCGTTGCCAAATTCCGGACTACCCCGACTTCCAACCCTGGATTTTAAACTCCTAACAGGCAACCCCAGAGGCTTATAATCTATAAACGAACCCGATTCACCATACTTTTCAAGACCACTATTTGGTTGAGCCAACACAACCATGGGTTCCCCTTGAAAATGCTTAGAACTCCAAGCTTGAACAACATTTTCCTCATAAGAGTTTTCAAAGCTACCACTTTTAACATTAAAAGATTCAGCTTTACCCTGTCCACTATAGTACATTGAATGATCAAAACCATCTTCAAAAAAGGACGAAACATGGAACATTCCAGAAACATGTGACTGAGAATCATCAAGGTTACCATTATCAACATTTCTACGACCAAACAAGCCATAAGAAACAGCAATGCCAATGAACAAAAGATGAAGGAGTTCCCAAAACTTGTTGAGTATTGTTTGGTTGATGAAATCTGGAGCTTGGGAAGGAAACAACGGGATGGCAATAAGAAAGAAAGTAAAAAACAACAACTTACCAACAAAGCGCGTGTAGTTATTACTATTGTTGTTTCTGTGTATGCCATTAACCCTCGTGAAGGGTCTGGCTGTAAAGGGAGGATATGAATCTGCCATTGATGAGGGACAAATGTAATGTACCGTTTGTTGGGTTTTTTTCTTCTTTTTGGGGAGTGAAGAATGGGGAAAAAACAGAAGATAAAAACAACACTGATTGATTGAAGAAAGGAAGACTTTGAAACCAAGGAAAATAGTTTGGTCACAAAGAGAGTAAAGTTGGATAGAGAGGGAGCAGATTTCAAAAGTATGATTATTGTAATAATTGTCATGATTGTGGAATTAAATGACCAAACTGACCTTCCACAAAGACGTTGCATTGTTGGTCCGTGAATGGTGGGAAAAGTAATAACGGTTACCCCTTTTGGGTCAAAGGCCAAAACGGCGCCGTATGGGAAGGGAAAACCATTTCCGGGAATATTGAGTTTGGCAGGCTTTGGATCAGAGGAGTGAGTGAATTAGCGATGATGGCAGGGGCAGAGAAATTTGTGGAAGCTGATAATGCAGAGGCTATAATAACAAGAATCGAGCACAAATCTAGGAAGATTGAGAGCTTACTTAAACAGTAAGAATTTCTAATCGAATCAAATCTCATTTAAAAAAAAAAAGAAACCCTAATTAAGCAGGATTGATTTGTTGCTATCTCAGGAATAAACCCGTTGAAGCTCTTAAAACTGCGCTCGAGGGATCTCCTCCAATGACACGTGACGAACGATGCAAGGTTTCGAACCCAAAAAAAAGTTCAATTTCTTTTTATTTAATTATATAAAAAAATCAAACTTTTTTGGTTTTTGGATTTGGGCATTTGCAGTCGGCGAATTGGATAGTTGTGCATAGAGCACTAATGGCTATAAAAGATGTTGAAGGAATGTTCTCTTCTTTGGATCCTGAGTACTATGATATTCTTATGAAGTGAGTCTTTCTTTTCTTTTCTTTTCTTTTTTTGTTATCTTTCTTTGCGGTTTATTTTCCTTATTTTGATTGAATTGTATCTCAGAATTAGGAATTGAAAGTTAGGGTATGTTTGTTTTATTCCCAATTATTTATATGGGATTTATGATCTCTGCCAAAAAGATTATTTTCTATTCCCTGCTTGTAGCCTTGTGTCACTGCCATTCTTATTGCTGATGATCATATGAGTCCAATTTCATTTCCTTTATAGCTTTCTCAATTTTCTAGCTGAATTTCCAGATTTTTCATAGTTGGTGCTGGCGATATGGTTTTAGGCTTTTACTAATTATATTGATAACCCCAAAGTTATGGGATATAAGGCTTAGTTTGTTGTTGTTGTTGTTGTACTAATTATACTGATAAGAAGTTTGATAGTAAACCATGTTACTTGGTTTTTAAGGATTGGAAAGTGTATTGGGTTTTAAACCCTTCTTTCTGTTGGAGTTTGGTCTTTGTTGCAAACTCGGAGTGTGACAAGAAATCTCAATTTGGCTGGAATATAAGGAGCTGTTAAGGTTGAAAAACAATCTGATTTGAGTTATGCAGGCTATTTTTAATGACTTTTTGAGCATTGAAGGTCTCTTTTATGCTTTCTTAGAGGAGCATTGGAGATAGGTTTTATTGGATTACTGAGAACTAATCATATTCGCTAGCGAATAATGGCAAAGGAATATCTAGAAGTACCTGCAGCTGATGACTTTTACAAAACTTTATCTGATAGTTTTTTTTAGAATGACCAAATAGAATATGGTTAGAATGTGAATCATTTACCAGGTTGTTAAGTCTCACTGCTTAATATTGCCTAATGAAATGTTATAGCTCTGGGGAAACAATTGCTTTCATGACAAGCACATGGTCTGTATTTTGTGCATTTGATATTGCAAATGAATAACAAGTGATGATTGTTATGTTTTTTCCAGGTACTTGTATAGAGGATTGTCAACTGGAGATCGCCCCACATGCGATCAATGCCTTAGGATCCATGAGAAGCTGACAGAGAGAGCTGGTTTGGGATGCATACTTCGTTCCCTTGCAGACACTGTGAATACAGTTTGACTCTAATTGGCCCTTCCCTTTGAAAAATATGTATTCTAGAAATGTCTAGCATTTTCCCTTAATTATTCCAGAAGTCTGCAATTATAAAATCTTTGTTGAACAGAAATATGCTAAATGTTTTCAAGTGTTGTTCTTAATCATTTAAGTGCTTCAGAAGTTTTTCTGTGAGAGCTTTTTCCGCTGATTCATATTTTCTCAAGGACTTACTTTTTTATGCTTGGAATAGCCGTTGCAAACCTGTTGCAAAAGGTTACACTTTTTGTCAGGGGCTACAGTAACCCTTGAAATCAAAGTAAAAACAGTGAGGTATCCTATCATTTCAATTTTGAACAAACTGAAGATTAGATACAGCGGTCACACGGGCTAGTCTCATATCTGGCTTTTCTACTAGGGGTAATTAATCGTCTTACCCCTTTAACATAACAAGCTTGTTACTTATTTGATTGCTAGGAAATTGCAAGAGGAGAGAGATTGAGATACGACCAAAAGACTTAAAGTTTAGACTTTAGATGTCTGTTACTGATATATCCTTGGCATGAGCATATTTTCTGTTTTATCTAAGTGTCCTGTTTCTTACTTTGTTTTTCATTTGGTTATATTTGTTTGTTTCTTGCTTGTTCGTGTTCACTATGGATATCTTTTTGGCATGCTTAATGTCCTCAACATAGCTGACCATCAACCAAAAACGTACCTAGAACTTAATAAAGCCTAATTTGAGGTTTAGCTGACGCAATAGAGTCGAGGCTTATATCTAGAACTTAATTGTTGTTTTGTGTGAATGACAAGGACAAAAGTAGCTGCTCATTGTTGAAATTGAGTGCATTATTGAGGACTTCGTTCCAAAAGCAGTTATTAGCTCATTGAATGCTTTTCAACTTGTCGATTATGAACTTGATAATCATCATCAAGTGCAACCAATCCTCACAGGATCCCCAATCCTGAAAATAAAAATTGTAAATTGGAAAAGGAAGTCGAGTCATGAATTAAAGCTATTTGCCTATTGGAAGCTTTAGCTGCCAAACTGCGGTTACTCTATTTTACTTTTGGGCTTAAAGTAGTACCTCTGAGCTGATCATTTGTGGCTAAGAGCTGTTGGCTCGGCTGGTCATCCGTATACTTCGGCATCCTAAAGGATTAGGCCATAACAATTTAATGCAATAGGTTTGGTAAAGACTAAAGAAAAGGAAAAAAACAAATGGGTAAAAGCAAGCTAAACAAAGAAAAAACATTAACAATGAAAGACCAATGTTACCATTTGGTTTCCGATCAAAGCTAAATGATGTTTGATGTTGATGGCATACTTTTCCCAGAAACTGTTCAAGGGATGCAGTTATATGATAAAAAAATCATTTTAGGAATTTGTTAGATTTGCTGTGTGTCCTTCCAGGTTAAGTTAGCCAAAACATGCTGTCCTTGTTGCCAAGGGTTTGAAGGAATCGTAGACAGCAACTGGAATCTGATCAAAGTATAATTGGACAACCATTCACATGGAAAAAGCTACCAAAAGTCATAAAGGTTGAAACAAAGTCATCTTTCCATACAGTTATTATTCCTTCATTAGAATCAGTAGATGTTGTACCCCTTCGGCCAAGCTTTCATTTCTACTTCACTTTGCCCCCAACAGATCACAACAATGTAACCGAAAGGGATTCAGATTCTTCCGTTATATTTTCCTTGTCTTCCTGCTTGCTATTTTTTATAAACAGAAATTTCTGTCACTACTCCACCCTTTACAAGCCCGTTCTCTAGTCCAAAAGGAAACATGGCTTTTAAAAAAAAATCGGTCTCCTAAACAGTCATTGATTGTATATCTCCTCCCAAAAATATTCTCCCAATTCAGAAAACATAATTATATTGATTATGATCTAGATGCAGGGGCATTGAAAGGTCGAAGACTGATTGGCATGGCGGCCCAGGGACTAACAGGCGCTGGCCGTTGATGGCTGGGACTCATCTGGCGACGATTTGGAACTGTTGAAGTAGGGGTGGAAGAAGCTGCTGCAGCAGAGGATGATGAGGAAGAAACCGCCACACGTTCACAAGAAGGGCACATGGTGAGGGTTGTAGGAGGGTTCATGTGCATGTAAAGCTGTGGGGAGAGTTTTAATGCTCTAAGCTCTTGCACTTCCTTCTGCAGCCTCCTGTTCTCCTCTGTTAGATTCTCGCAACATCTCTTCAGATACTCACAGTCAACTTCCGTCTGCTTCAACTTTGTCCTGCACCAATTCAACTCCACAAATTGAGATTTTCCTTGCTTAAACAAGTTTTCCTTTTTTTCATTTAATGAGCAACGCACTTGCATGAACAAATCTTCAGTTCCTGGGGCTGCTCTAAACCCGAGCAGCTACTGAATCTAAAGATTTGACATCAGGCTAATAGGCTGACACTTTTAACTCAATAGGGATTTTTTTTTTTCTCTTATTAATCTAAAATCCAAATCCAATTTAAAGCAAACTTAACAAGATGAACAGCCTTACTAAAAGTTTAAAAACCGAACCCTTAAAGATACTTATTAATCACTTTGCCTCAAAAACCAAGAGAGGAGTTAAAACATGAAACTGTGAAAGCAACCACACAATCCCTCGAAATCTTCTTTAACCGAAAGGGACAACTCTATCCTTATCAAGGAGACATTAATAAGGGTGTTTAAAACTCGAAATACTTAATTGCTCTTTTATTAAATCCCAAAAATACCCTTGACAAACTTTTAAAATATCTCACCTTGCCCTTCTGTTCTGGAACCAGACCTCCACTTGCCTAGGCCTCAGATTCAATTGCTTTGCCAATGCCAACTTTTGCTTCTGTAGATAAACACGAAACCAACATTTTACATCAACATCAAATTCTAAAACTACCCTTACAAAGCCAATGAAATAACTGATATGCCACTAACCGGATTAAGAGTGCTATGTTCCTTGAAGGTTTCTTCAAGCACCAAGGACTGTTCCTTTGAAAGCCTAAGCTTCTTCCTTGAGGCATCGCCAGCAGCACCGCCATCTTCATCATCACTGGCACGGGAACAAGACTCTCTCTCAGCCTCAGTTTCATCACCCACAGGGTCTCTCTCATTTCTCTTTCCACTTATGCTAGAAATGGTGCTGTTGGGCGAAGAGACCCCACCTTCCTCCTCGCAATCAGCCGTTGCCGGTGCCCGGTTCACATCAATTCCTCGAAGAAAAGATCTTGTATCCAAGTGTCGACCTGCATGCATATTGTGAATCACAAAACTCATTTCATCAACCTGATCAAGTTAACTCTATTTAAATGGCAGCTTCGTAATTAAAAGAAAGCCGATGGCTCTTTGTGAATATTGTGTTACTTATGAAACAAGTTACTAGAAAAATGTGACATGACAAACCCAATAGGCAATGTAACGCTATTGTTTGCAATTTCAAGTTTACTGACCAATTCTTTAGCCTTCTTTCTTTGCAGTTTACCAAATATTGAAGTCTTAAGATTATTTTAAAACTCCAAAAAGAAGTAAAGAAATCACCGCGGTAAATGTAAGGGATTTGCAATCTAAAGATAGAAAAAGATGAAAAAAAATCAGATCTGAATGTAAAATAGTACCGATTTTCTTCTAGGTTTGAGATTTTATGTTACTAAAAAGTAGGAAAAGTATACAAAGTTGGTCCTAAAGACAGGAGTGAAACATGACAACCCCGTATACTGGTGCAGGAAAAGAGAAGTATACAAATTTGGCAATTAGGAAATCAGCCTAGAACACATTGTATTCTTCAAATTTAACCATTTGTATTCCCAAAGCAAAAAACAAAGGAGTAAAAGGGACAAGAACATACCAGAAGACTGAAACAGCTCATTCCAAGTGTTCTTCTGCTGATGATTTTGCATGCGGGGTGAAGCTAAAGGCATGAGATTTAACTTCAAAGAAGACTGATTCTGAGCACATCCCAAGCTCAGACTCAACCCCAAACCATCATCTTTATCAGCCATTTCTTTTTCTTCTTTGTCTTTCTCTCTCTTTTCTTTCAAAACCAACAAAAAACTCTCACTTTCCAAAGTAAAACCAACTAAAGTTTTCAACTTTTCTCCTTCTTTCTGGGTTTTCTCCCTGGTGTGTTTGGATTCTGAGAAAAAGAAAGCAAAAGGGAAGAAAAGAAGGGTAGAAAATGGCTTGAGCTTCAGCAGCCAGAGGTGTCTAACAGCCTTTTGCTTTTGGTGCAGCAGTACAGCGAGAGGATGGGACTATATATAGAGATATAACAGAGCCAGAGAAAGAGACAGATTGGTGTAGATTCAATCATGACTTATGTCAGTGACCTATTGGCGCAATCATGGCTTTATGGTTTTTTGCTTGGCTTAGTTTTCAATTGCATGACTTAACTCAACCCTAGTTTAATTCTCCTTTTAACCATGATTCAGTTTTAACCGTGGTTTCAGAAAGTAAGTAACTTGTAACTGAGATCTTTATTAATGTTAAGTCCTTTTAACCGCGGTTAGGTCTTGTCTGGGGAGTTTTTTTTTTAACTTCGCTTAAAAGCGGCTTTCTCGCTCGTTGACCGTTGACTAATTGGACAGCATAAGCTGCTACAACTCCACAAGCTGGAGCCACGCGCTTTGAAAATCATCAGATCATGATAGTTATCATGTGCAGAGCAATCTCCTTCCCTCCCTCTCCCATATGGGGCCCATAAGCTGTCCATTGTTGGGCCCATGCGTAGCTTTTTGCCAGCATGCCAACATCAAAATCACGAGGGCAATGAATGCGTGGGGGCCCCGTGTTGTCTGAAGGCGAGTGAAGGCGCGTGGGTTGATTTGGTACTGGGCGCAATGGGATTATGGTAATGGAAGGAGATTTGGTTTGTGTATTGAAGGATGGGAGGTTACGGACTCGGGAAGCAAATAGGTTTCAGTTTCAGGGGAAACTGCATGGGGAGTTACCTGCGAAGGAAACCATGCAAATGCAATTGCCATTTACACTTCAACTCAAATTATTAATGCTCCATTAATACACTTAAATTTTACTTTTTTTTTGGTTTTATAGGTTTGAATGAGTTATGACTCCAAAACTCATAATTTAAGCATTCAATTTGTTAATAATTACAATAATAAATGTTTTCTTTATATTTAGATAATTAATTTTAAATACTAAAATTAAGTATATAATATTTTAAAAATAAATCACATGATTGTTGATCACAAATAATAAACGCTACATTTGCTTAATTCAATTTTAATTAATATAAATGTAAATTTTGTTGAAAGATATCTAATTTATTAGTAAAATGTTAAGTAAATAGGATTTGGCTTTTGGCAAATTTAAATAAAAAAAATTAAGTTATTATTATTAAATCTTTCAATGGGTTAAATTTCCAAATTATACGCTAATTTACAAGGCACCAGCTCCTCCCAATTTGTAAAAAATGAGCAGCACAAAACTATACTCGAGTACTTATAATATCTACCAACTAACAAGGCCAAATTGGGTATAACTCCATGAATAGTTTTGTACTTTTTTGCCCTAGTTTCAAGTTTTGTTTTCAAAATTAGAGAAGTCAAAAAAATTTAAAATTGACGGATTTCGATTCGATTCGATCTTTTAAATTTTTTTTTTGTTGAAAATTGGATATCAAGTTGGGTAGTATAAAAGAAATTCGAGCTCAAATTTTAGACAAATACGACTTTACCTAACCCAATGTATATATAAATTATTTTTTTAATTTTATATTTATTTATATTTAAAATAATATTTTATTAATTTAAGATCGAATTAGATACAATTTTATACAATATCAAATCATATTAAGTTCGAATATTAAAATAATAAAAGTTTTATATGATTGATTCAAAATTTATATATTTAATGTCAGATCGAATTCAAAACAAATAAAAACTTTTTTCAATTTGATCCGTTGTCATTACTATTCAAAAGTCTTCCTGAAGTGAAATAGGAAGGTCTATATAATAATAATAATAATAATAATAATAATAATAAGAAAATGCAATATTATATACTGTTATATGCTATAGAAATACATGTCAAATTCAATAATTTAATATTAATTCTGAAAATAAGTTTATATCAGAAACTGAACTTTTCTCATATATTTATAGGGAAAAATGTTATAAGAAGGTTCTAATCTATCATTAAATCTTAAAATTCGAGAGATTAAATAATCCAGATTCTTTAACAATAAGTAATTAAAGTGGCCAGCTCTTGGGGAAATTAGAGCCATATGGAGCTGACACAATCATAGCCATATTCATTCATGTCTGTGAAAAACATTCTTTGGTGGGGACTGGAGGACCAACTGACCAAATAATGAGACGATGAGGTCCTTGAGAGTAGAGTATACTTTTACCAAAACACCTTTTTTTTAATGAAGATTTAATTAATTAATTCGGAGTTGTAAAAAAAAAAGAATTATGGGGCTTATTTACTATAAATTTTTTTACGAAAATTATTGTTTAGAAGATATTTTCAATTAATTAATATGTGGTAGGATGGATGTACAGGTTGGTGAATAATTGTCTTTATTGGCATATATTTATATATGGTTGACCTTCAAAAATGGGGGTTTGGCAACTTTTTTCTTCTGTAGAAATGAACAGCTTTACTTTTCTGCTTCTCATCCATTTTCTTTAACAAATGGACCAAATGAAAAGATACCTGAAGCGAATATAATTGATGACACTATCTAGGATAGCTAAAGGAATTTTCCTCGGATAGAATATATGTACATGTCTCTAAATCTTTAGTCTAATAATTAAAAAAGCTTGAGAAAACATTAAAAATTCAATTTTAAATCAATTTTTTTTATTTGTATTAAAATTTTATCCTCATTATATAAATAAAAAATATATATATAAATGTACAGATGACTTTGAGCATTAATTCAATCGGTTATGTTTCCACTTAAGGTGAAAGTATCGTAAATTTATAATTCAAAATTTCACATCAATAATTTTGATTTTTTTTTAAATCACCAAGAATTTTAAGAATGGAAGAGAGAGAATAATTGCCAGCTATATCTCATTGATACCCATTAGTTTAAAGTCTGAAGTACAATGAAATTTTGGATAATGGAAACCCCAATTCAAGCTATAGGCCCAATCGTAAGATATATGTCCCAAAGTGTTGATGCAAGCTTCGATTATTTTCAAATTGTTGGATGCTTGATCAGTATTTAGTTATTTATACACAAACATGGATTTTTTTAAAATCAAAACTCAAAATTATTTATGCTTAATTGACATTAAAAACAGTTGACACCTTTGCCAGCTTGAAGGTAGAAATTTTAGGTGATTACTCAATTAATTCATTTATATAATTAAAATTTTTTATTAATAACATATCAAATACCAATTCGTTAAAAATTAAATAATGTATAGAGGATAAAATTAGCTTGATTATAATGTTAAATATTCTTGTTTCTAGGGCTGAAAAAAAAAGTCAAAAAATTTAATAATCAAATTAAAATTATAGTGTTTGGTTCAATTCGGATCGATTTTTTTTTATTTGTTTCATATTAAATTCGGATATTAAATATATATTAGATTCGAATCGAATTTTAAATCAAAATATAAAAAATTTAGAAAAATCAAACCGAACTTAATTATATATTTTTAAAATTTTTATATATATTTAAAAAATTTATAAAATAAAAATAATAATTTTATATCAAAATTTACTTAAATATATTAAAATAATATATAAAAATTAAAAACCAATAAACTAAATTAATAAAATTTATTTCAAATTTAAATCAAATTTTATAATTTTATAATTTTATAATATTATATAATATTTTAAAAAATTGAATTAAATTTAATCTGATCCATTACTGCATCTAATTTTTCGAACTATATTAGTACAGGATTGGAACACAGCATCTATATCCATGCATGTAAGTGTTTATCCGGGAGTCGTACCTACCAAATCTTGTAAAAATCCGCCAACTTTGGCATGTCATCACATGCACGGTTCCTTTTGAAATCCCATCCTCGGATTCTCATCGACAAGAGGATCCCTCCAACTAATCATTCAATCACAAACAATTGAGATCTGTTTCTGATATTAGTAGCAAACTGCATCATGCTTGCTTCTGCTTCAATCAAATCCCTGTCATAAAAATATCATAACATTTTATATATAATCATTATATTATAATTAATTAATTAATTTAAAATTAAAATTATATAAAATTCATACTAATAAACGGTGGATATCTATAAATAAATATAAAATTATAATAAGAAATATAAATAAAATGTTAAAAAAATACATATAATGCTCCTGAATTCTTACTCCTAGATGATCGTAGCAAAGCTCTGCCTTAAAACTCGAAAAATCTCCCCAAAGTCCTCTGAGGACTCAAAAATCAATGTAGGTTAGATTAGATACTGGTTGTGTTAAGCATCGGCTTGGCTTGTGCCTGCAGCCTAGAGTAAGCTTTGAGTGAGCTAAAGAGTTGAAAATTGGGAAGGGAAATACAGATGGGGCTGAGGAAAGAGGGGAGGTCACGTGGGAGAGGTGCATCAGTTCACGTGCATGTCATGTGGGTATTCTGCCACGTGTCAACACATGGTCCCATGATTGCACTCGTGTGTGTCACTTTGCCTCTCCACAACCAGACACCCACTTGTCTACAATCATTGGATACTCTCTGTCCTTTTCCGGGATTTCATGCTTTTCCAAGTCAGCTTCCAACGTTCACGCGCCTACTCACGCTCCATGCCCATCTCCAACGTCTTTTTTTGAAGAAGCAATTATATTTTGCATTGGTATTTCTTTAATTCGAAAATACAATATTAATTACTTTTTTTGTCTTTTTATTTTGTATATATTTTAGATATTTTAAAATTATATCCTTTTTTTAATATTTAAAATTATAAAATTTTTATTTTAAAATTCTAATTTATGATTTTTTATTTTTTAAAACTCTGCAAAAATTAATATATGACAAATAATTTGAGATGGAAAAAGTAATTTATTAATTATTTTCTTTTTGACCAAACAATTAGTTTATTACACTTAGGTGTAATGAAACCTAAAGAAAAGAATAGTTAGTGGCTTTTTTAAATAAAATATTATAATTTTGTAATGAATATAATGACTATATTTTAAGTGTAATAATGAATTATTTTATTATGAAATTATAATTATTTTTGCCCCTTTGTGGCTTTTGCTTTTAGCAAAGGAAAAAATATTTTAGAGAAAATCTGATATCTATCCTAAAATCTGAAAAATACTTTTTTGCTGACTCCCTTGAAGTTATTTTCTCTAGACATGTTGTTCAATTGGTATTTGTTTAAGTGGATGTAGTGAGTGAAACTGTGATTTAAATAATTTAATCTACAGCATAGGCTATAATTAACATGATTATTATTGACGAAGTGAGCTCAATTTGTGGGGCTTGGAACTTAGCATAATGATTTGAGAATGAGGGAGATTGTCGGTTCTATGATTAAGTTAGCCTCACGTGTACTTAGGAGTGAGCTAGCTGTCCCACGTGTTTTCCTCCCTATTGTGGATTCCACCACCAGCCAACAGTTCCCCACCATGCACCGTCTCTGGCCCGGACGAGGGGACTCCCCACGTGATTTGGTCCAAAATCAAATCTCTCCTTTTTTTTTGGTAAACAAGTGATGAACAAACCCCTTTCATATCCTGGATTCACGTTCAAAATCAATCATTGAAACTTATATCATTAGACCAATAACTACTAAAGCAAGTTCTTTAAAAAGCTTCTTTTCTAACTAGTAGCTTTTATAATTTACTTACAGGGCTCCATATTTCTTTGTTGTCTGCGTTGCTCAAGCGGTCCTGGTCTTGGTTGTTTGGTTGTTCGTGCATGCTGATTGAATATTCCATATATGGAGTAAAAAGAGAAAAGAAAAGTAAAATCTTTCTCTTCAAAGATCATCTGTTAGCATCAGAATCAGGAAATCGTGTAATTCTCAAACTCTCAGGTGAGGGGTCATATGGCAATTATGATGTTCCTTAATAGGAGCATTAGCGATGATAACACCATTGATGAAGACCTTAAATTATTGCTTATCTTCTTCACAAGTTGCCCGTTTCATCATATCATCATCATTAAAATTATATATCTGGGGTACTAATTCAAAAGGTGTAGCGTCATATCATGATTTATTACTTTAACAGGACGATTCAACGATGTATTTTCATTGTGGTTCCATCATTTTTTAGGTGTTTGGCCAAAATTAAAAACAAAAAAATTTTGCTTTTTAGGTGGCTTCTCGAACGGCTGGATGTAGCAGCCGATGCACAAAATCATTAATGGACCGCTCGTGCTTCTTAAGCATGTTATAATATTATCCATATTACCTCAGGAAGACAGCAGCATGATGAAGCCAGAAGATATTTGCCATTATTTTTAGGGTTCTTTCGTAAATCTTTGTGTACAAAATTTAGAAAAAATGAAGAGAAATAGTAGTCTGTATGTAGTTGTTACTTTAGCTGAGCGAGCCAAAGCTGGAGCTGGCCACTTGGACGCTTGGGGGAATGAAGAGGAAAGAGCCGGTGAGGTTGTGGAATGTAGGTGGGGACGGGCGCGAGTGAGCATCACACGAGGGAGAAGGGAATAGGAAAATAAATAAAAACAAGAGAGAATTCACGTGCAAAAGCATGTGCTGACTGCCACGTTTGAGGCGCTCTTGTTTATCATATTTTGTTAAAAGAAACTCTTAAATTTAGAATTCTTTTTATTTAATTAGAGCTAGATTCCATGGAAGGCAGACAAAAGAAATAGTAATTTCTGTTTCCCTTCTATTTCTTTCTTTTTTTTTAAAAGTTAATTACAAATGATTTTAAAAGTATAATAAATTATTTAACGTGATATTTAAATTTTAAAAATATTTAATATAGTATATAAATTATAAATTTATTAATTAATAAAATATTTTAAAAATTATTTATAAACTATATATTATCGAATAATTATATTAATTAAAAATTTTATAATTTCTCTCACGTAGGCTACAGGGAAGCACAAGTGTGGGCACATGTGGCAAACATCGTAATGGAGAATGATCAGTCAAACCTAGGTTCTAGTCGTTTGCTTTGAAGCTTCGTCCAAATTTTCACACCCACTGAACACAAAGATTATTCATATCCCGATTTGCCGACGGACCCGAGCCTTTCCCGCAATATCAGCCATTGACACGTTTACTAGTATAGGGCGGCGACTGCCGGTGAGCGCTTCCTACCTAAGATTTTATTAGAGATATACTATATAAGTATAATTAAATTTTAAAAAATTAATGGATTTGAAATAATTTAAACACTTAATATTTTAAAAATATATAAATAAAGATAAAATGATTAAAAGATAAATAATAAAAAAAGCTCCTATATTCCTACCGTTTCAATTCTCTCTCTTAATAAAACAATGGATACATCTTGCAATTATTTTAGACATCATTTTCGACGTGGACGGGCATGATTAGTATTATTGCACACGTATGAGCATAAATGTTGCCAAGTTTGCACGATTGGTCACATTCACTGATGTAAAATAGGATAAATTACACAATTGGTATTTTTAAGTGCTTGCTAAATTATTTTAATTTAATCATTAAAATTTGAATAATTATTTTTTGGTTATCAAACGTTAAACTCTAATGATCGTTAATGTGATAATAATCTATCAATTATCAGGCGTCATATGATATTATCACTTTAATATATTTTATTTTTTTAAAATTTAAAATAATATTACATGACATCTACAATTGACATAGTAATATCGCGATAACACATTATTAAAGACTAATGATTTAGTGAAAAGAAACATTTATTCAAATTTTAATAATAAGATGATTATTTTGAAAATACTACTATAATTAAATGATTAATAGTGTAATTTATCCTGTCACTATGTGGATCAGTGTGATTTAATCGATTGAAATTTTTAGGTTATCATATTTGGGATTTAACAATAAATCTTGGCTTCCCTTTGTACAGCGTAGTCGTCCCATGATGGGAAAACAAGCGATATTTGGGCTTGTTAGCAGAGGAATTATTTTGCTTCCAGGCCAATGTTGGTCTTTGTTCATGGGCTTTAATAGAACGGATCTTTTATTCTCGTTGGGCTGTACTGATTTGAAAGGCTATGTATGACTCTGCAAATACTCTTAACGGAGCGGTGATTGTTTTGAAGACGTCGAGTGCCAACGTATACATTCTAATGTCTGTGATAGAGATCTAAACTGAGAACGTAAAGAGATCTGTAGCTAATTTTAAGGGGAAAAAAAAAGAAAAAAAAGAAAGAAGAATCATCAATTTGTCTCTTAAATACTAAACCTGGTAACAGCTTCAGCGGGCTCAGTTTGTGCTGCATGATTCGAGGAAAATATGGTAACCCGGTTAAATGCAAAGGAATGTAACTAACAAGTAATATCTCAACCAATAGCTTAGGGTGTCATCCCACCAGGGCATAACCGATACATTCATATGCAACAAATCAGTAACGAGGAACAATTCAATTTTACAGTTAATCATGTTTCTCAAATTAATTGTTATGATCTTCAATCTTCAACCATAGCTTCTAGCTTCAATCATTACTAGAATACAAGCCTACTCTATATGTGAAAACAACAAACTAAAATCTGGCACATCACTATGTCTTTCCATGGAGAAAAAAGCTAATGTAATGACTCACAGTCTTAGCTACAAGGCCAAAAGGTGCAACACTGAGACGATAGTGGCCTTGAACTGCGAATAAGCCAAATGATATTTCGCTGCAGCTTCATCACATCTGTAAACTGAGAGAAATACAGCTATGTTAGCTTTGTAAAGAACAGGAAGACCATAGCCAATTTTAAAACTTTTGCACAATTAAGTATAATGACAAATAAAATAGCACATCAATTTAAAATTTATATTTAGCAAGTAAATTAGTAATCCCAATTTACAAAGAGATTTTTCATGGTGGTGTGGCATTTGTGTAACAATTGACATTAATGATGTCAACAACTATGATGGTTCGGTAAGTGGTGTTTCTTTTGGCCAGAAGGACTGTTGACGACAGTGGTTATACCTAGGTGATGGGATACTATTATACTAAGCAACTTGTCTCAGTTATAGGCTCACATCAAAACCACGTTAACATTTGAAATACACGGTGCTGAACTGCTTATCAGACAATGTTATACCAATTAGGTGCTAAAACCTAGTTTTGAGCATTAATGTGATGGCTTAAATATAAAAAAAAGCCCTTGAACTTAATTAAATTTCTTATTTAAGAACTTAATTTTTATTGTAATCAATTGAGCCCTTTACCTACTGGGTGAAAATAATATTTAAAGGTTTTAATTGATTGCAATAAAAGGATAATGGCTTAGGTGACAAATTCAATTAAGTTCAAGGGCCTTTTTTTATTTTTTTATTTAAGCCTAATGTGATCATCATGCATGCCCAATTTTCATATGTGTGTAGGGTTGCAGTAACATAAACCAAACAAAATCTGTACATGGATGCACAGAAGCAGAGTTTACAAGATTACCATGTCAGAGATTGTTTCTATGTGTTAAGTATGTTACCAATGGCAAGATGGAGGGAAAAATATGGCAGGAAGAAATTACCCTGGTTGTCGAGTACCAGATTGTTGTATCATCTGAGAATAAATGCATTCATCAACCCTCTGTTTTGCTAAGGCAACCTAAGAAGCATTTGTAATCAAGAAATGAGAAAACATAAGAACCTTTGAAAGACTTTAATAAAGAAGACAGTTGGGGGCAAGCTTTTTTCCTTGCAAAACTTTTACCAGCTGTTTTTATATCCATACGTCTTTATCAATTATAGAAAGTGTAATTAGAAAGAAAAAGAAAAAATCACTGAAAGTAAAACATTTGTCAAACTATCTTTGGAAAAAAAGTACCAAATCTTTTTTGGCCTTTAAATGAAAAAAATTACCTGCTGAGAACTACCAGTGAACTGGATATGCCTCACATTTTGTTCTCCTTTCCCACCATAAACCTGCAACAGTAAACTAATACAATCAGAAGTTGAGAAAGTCACATCTAAGTTGTAAAGCAGATAAACCGGCCTACAAAACCTATTAAATCCGAGAATAGCTAGAGATTGAATCCACAGTGCAAGAACCACAACAATCTCCTACCTTTATTGTTGCTCCAGACTCAATTCTGATCCTCGAAATATTGGAGCCGGATCTACCAATCAATCCACCAATAAATGTCTCCGAAACCACCATCTCGAAAGTTACAAAATCAGCTGCAAGAGTGGTTGTCCTAAAGATGATGTGGTTATAAGAAAAAAATATTAAAACTTGATAGCCACTGAATGTAGCAGTTGAAAGATTAAAATAATTTAAATATGAAAAATATTGAATAACCTGAAGCTGGGTCCACATATGACTGAGGCAGAGCTGGTCGAAGCAAGTTAAAATTATATGCCGGACTAATAGAAATCACCTGCCGTGGTGGGTTTTCCCTAAACATAGATCCAACATAGAAGTTATACATATTCCATCTTCAACTAAGTGTGATAAATTGCTCATTGTATTATGAACTAACTCAATTAACACTCAACTTATACCTGAGTAGATAACCAATCTCACTCAGAGCCTTCAATACCACTGGAACATCACCTGATATCTGTGTCCAATAAGAATTTAATCATCATTCAGCTATTGAAAGAAACAAACAATATAAAATAAAACAAGATAAACATACAAGGTTCAAAAAGTTATTAAGCCTTGACCATATAAAATCTAACCTGAACAACTCGATCAGATTCATGAGCAGATGCACACAATGGCAGCTGATTAGGAGCAAGAATTGTGATCGACGCCCCCGAAGAAGTCCTCAATTTCTCAATGTTTTGACCAGACATCCCAATTAAGCAACCAGCTTGCGATCCAGCAATCAAAAGTCTTATTGTATTTGCAGCCACATGTCCCGCACTGACAGCACCTACCTTTGCTGCCTCTGTACTACTATCATCTTCCTGTTAAGAATTACAATACAAAAACCATCCACCTAATTAATTTGTATCCACGGTTCAAAACAGCCAATGAATCCCAGAAAAATAACAACAAGACAGTATTTTCCACTTCTCATGTCTTGAAATTCATCATCTTTGCTTATCACGACAGTTAAATTAGCAATAAATTCGATAATTGAGAAATTAAGAAGAAAAAACTATTACCTTTAGGATTAAGGCAACTATTTGCTGAAGCGCATTTTCCGCATCAGACACCATGTTGTCGTTGTCTTTAGAGCTTATAATTATGACCCGTTCTTCATGTCGCTGTTAATGTATAAAATTTGGTAAAACGAAATTAAATGGAAAAGGAAACCTACAAAAGTCATGACATTTCTCAACTTACAACGATTGCATCGGCAACCTTGATGGCGGCTTTGGTGTCTTCACGAATCTTTTGAATTCTATGACCCCCTTTACCGATGACTTTACCGATCTGCCTTGATGGGACCACGATACGGAAAATGACGTCCTGGGCTTTCGCCAATCGTTTCGGAGCCGATTCTTCGGTTACCCCGGCCGCCATGGGGTCTTCTTCCTCGCGGCGGCGCTTGACGGCTGAGAAAAGGTCCTGTTGGGGTTGAAACTGGGATTGGACTGGCGGTGGAGGAGGAAGTGGAGGTCGAGATTGGATTTGGGCGGCGGGTGGCATTGATGTGTTCATATTGATATCGCGCTGTTGGGCCATCGCTGGTGGTTCGGCAAAACCGGAGAAGAACAGAACAGGGAGAGAGAGAGAGAGAGAGAGAGAGAGAGAGAGAGATGAATCCGCTGTGAAACTTGGAAGTCAAGTGATTTTATTGTTTCGAAGTGTGTATTTACCTATATACCCTATTAAAGGGCATTTGGACTCGGTCACGAGTCGGACTCACAAGCCACTATTCACAACACAAAACTTTGAGCTATTTTCACCTTTTTTTCAAAAAATATTCATCTCTAACTAAACACTATCTTACGTAAAGTATACAATTATGTTATTTTATCTTCGAATTTTTAGTTTATTGGTAAAAACGTTTGAAAAAATATTAAAAATTTAATTTTAAATTAATTTTTTTTACTAAAAATTTATCATTTTGATATAATAAAAAAATTATATTATATTTATTAATGAATAAATATTTTACTTTATCAAAACAAAATTTATTAAGAAAATAATAAATGTTAATAAAAATTTTAAACGGAAAATAATTACATTAATAGCACATTAAAGGACCTTGAAATTAGATTAAAATAAACAATGAAATTTATCAGTTGAATTTTTGTAAAAACAATAAGTTGAAAACAATTACTTATCATTTGTTATTTTTATGAAAATAATTTAAGTTAAAAACTAAGACGCATAGTTTGGGTATATCCGCAAAGGCAGACTCAGTCACTCAGTCAGACTCCTGCGTTGTGAAATGAAACCCTAAAAGCCAATTCCGTAAACCCCAAACCCTACTGCCGGCGATGAATCATTTAACCAAATTTCTCAGCTCGCATATTTCCCGCCGCTTTTCTACATTACCCAAACTTTCAAACTTCACCAAAATCCCTTCCAAGTATCGATCCCAAGCTATCCGAGAAGCTCAACAAGCTCTCACGGATTACCTCCACTGTACTAGATACGTCCCCTTCGTCTACGCCGAACACATTGCTAAAAACTCTCTCTTTTCTCTCTCCGGTCTCATCTCCGGCATCGATTTCTCCTCCACAAGTTTCAACGGAAACGTTCGCAAATTACTCAGGTACCATCCTATTAACGAATTTGAGTTTTTCTTTGAAAGTATAGGCATTGATTATAAGGAAGTTAGTGGACTTTTACCTTCCAACAAGTTCTTTTTTTATGAAGATGAGACTGTTCTGGATGCTGCTTGTGCGCTTTCCGGATTTGGGTTTCCTTGGAACAAGTTGGGTAAGCTTTATAAAGAGGAAGTTTCGATTTTTATGATAAGTTCTAGGGAGTTGAAAGCTAAGCTTTTTAGGATTAAAGAATGCGGCTTTAACACTATTTCTGTGATTGGTATTTGCTTGGCTTTTCCTTATGTGTTAGTTGGTGAACTGGATGGGGAAGTTGGTGCCTTATTGGATGATTTGAAATGGATTTTTGTAGATTTTGATTTGGGGAGTTGTGTTGAGGCAAATGTAGATGCTTGGTATGAAATTTGTAGGAAAATGAGGGTGTTTTATGATCTGGGTTGTGACAAAGGGAAGATGGCGGAACTGATGGGTAGAAGTAAGAATCTTTTTCTTCAGCATCCAATTGAGGTTTTGGTCCAGAAGGTTGAGTATTTTTGTCGATTCTCTATTAGAAAGGAAGATGTTGGTTTGTTGATTCTTCAAAGCCCGGAGATTTTGGATTTTGATTTGGAAACACCGGTGATTTCAGTTATGGGAATATTGAAACATTTTGGATTGAGCGCAGAGGAAAGGGATTCCATTACTCAAAAGTACCCTTATGTGTTGGGGAGGAATAAAATGGCTAATTTACCTCATGTGATGAGAGCATTAAGTCTACATCAGTGGTTCTTTAATAAGATTAAGGATGGAAATCATCAATTGCTTGCTAATTATGCCATTAGTTATATTGATGAAGACTTGGATATGGATTTCAGAGATAGTTTGGAGAGAATTCAGTTTTCTAGAACCCCTGTCCATACAATGGAGAAGTTGAGGTTTTTGCTTGGTATTGGGTTTGGAGAGAATTCTTTGACCATGAAGGTTTTAGCTCATGTACATGGCACTAGTTCTGAGTTGCAGGAAAGATTTGATGGTCTTCTTGGTACAGGGATTGATTTTGCAAAACTTTGTAAGATGATAAAGACGACACCAAAAGTTCTAAACCAGAGTCCTGAAACTGTAGAGCGGAAGGTGAATTTCCTTCGCCATGAAATGGGTGTTTCTTTGGACTACCTTGATATATTCCCAGCCTTTCTGTGTTTCAACTTAGAGAACCGGATTAAACCCAGGTACAGATTACACAAGTGGCTTACAGAGAAAGGTTTGTGTACTAGAAACTACTCCATTGCAAGCATAATTGCAACTGGTGAAAAGAGTTTTGTTGCTCGTCTTTATCGAATTCATCCAGATGCTCCAAAACAATGGTTTGAGAATTTCTCACCCAATAATAGTAGCTAAGTCAATACGAAATTGTTTAGGCTTGGTTTTTCAAAAATTATTTTTGGATTGATATCTATTTTTCAAGTGAGATAGATGTCTTTCATCTCTGTTCATATCTTGCAACAATATGGTATATGCATTTTCTCATTAGTGATCAACCAGCCTTACTGTAACCTGTGCATATAACACACAATGTAATGGAAAGAGTGATGAGGATATGTCACAGGAAGTATGAGCCATATGACTATTCTAATAGCTGTTCATTGCAGGAACATTACATTTGCTTTGAGCTCTTTTATGAATTCATTATGTACCTTGAAATGGTTGAAACATTAAATTCATTTGGACCAATGAATTGTTCAAATTCGATTAGTCCAGTGTAGCTTGTGAATGGCTTCTTTTCTAAACCAAGGATGCTTGCAGACGAATGACATGCTGTTGCCAGAACAGATGGATCGATGTGCTCCAGTTTTTTTTTTCGCATTAATGGGTCTAAAATTGTGACCAATCGTATCATTTACATCTTTTTGTCCAAACGAGTGAATATTTTTGCTTGAAGCTTCCGTTCAGGTCCATGTTCAATCAGTAAGGACTCTCATCGCCTGGTGTTCCCATGTGGCCTTAAATTGTATTTTCTGGAGCAATTAGTTACCGTTCTTCTTTCATGATGAAATAATGGAGTTTAATTTTACATGTTCTTCACATTTTTTGGGTTCCAAACATGCCCTTCACATTTGAACTAAGGCTAGCTAGTAGTTCTTACTAAACGAATAATTAATCCATGTTAAAAAAAAATATAGCATAATCAAAGACAAATCCAAAAGGGAATGGGCATCAAGCAACACACAAGACAAACGTGTACACAGACCCTCTATTGGACTAAGAATTTTTTTTAAGAATGGTTAATATTATTTATGTTTATTAATTATAGCAAAATATTCAATTTAATATTTAAATTTTAAATTTTTTTAATGTGTTGCTTAATGTGATTAATTTTAAATGATGATATTCGATAAATAAATAATTATTTAAATATTATATTATTAACAAATTCATAATTTATATTTCACATTAAAAATTTTTAAATTCAAGTATTATATTAAATACTTTATTATAATTTAATATTATCCTTTTAATAATTAATACTACGTCCATCTTTTTATTTTTAAAGAAAATGAAATTATATAGAATTTTCATTAATTTAAATATTAAAAAAATGCTATAAATAAAAAGAATTGCGCATTTAAGTTATTGTAAAATTCAAATTCAATATCATTTATTGTCTACACAAATGGATTTACTATTTTTTTTTCTATTTTTAGTCAAGATTTTTGTACCCCAAAAAAAAAAAATCAAAGACACGTATGAGATAAGAAAGGCAAATTTTGGTACAATATCATATAATCTAAAAAAAAAAAAAAAAGGAAACAGACGATTTTCTATTTTAAATTTGTGGTGAAATGATGGTTATTTCCCTTTATTCCTTTTTAAGGACAAGAGTTTCACAATTTTATTTTCCATGGCATGCTTGATCCAATTTAGATAAGATAACTACCATTTTGGGTACTTTGGATCCTCATATCTAATTTCTGAATGCTAAATTTGGTAATCCAGATTTTTTTTTTTTGTATTTTCTAATTTTTCATCCTCATTTTGTAATTTTGAAATTGACTAAGCTAATCTTGTAATTTACATTATGTTTTCTTACTGAGAATAATCCTATATTCTTAATCCAAATTAATTCCAAAAAAAAAAAACAAGTGTTGGTGGTGAAGAAAAAACAAAGGGCCATTAAAACAGAAACCAAGCCACAGAAATTGCATTTTGAAAGCAGTTAGAGTGGGAAAAAGGGTATTTGATATGGTTCAAATTTTCATGAACATGAGCACACAATTTCCACTAACAGCACACAGTCAATAAATAAGGCTAGATTCTCATTATACAATTCCAATAATGGTCATTTATATCAAAGTACATGATGCCAAATTAGCAGTCTATGTACAATTCAACAATTTTTGTCTTCTTTCTTTTATGTATCACATACAAGAAAGTAACTTGCGAAAAAAAAAAAAATCTATTTAAAAGTTAAAAGTAATAACTAAAGATTTCAAAGTCGAATATTAGGTAAAACTTTTTCACAATTGATTATTTTAAATTTTAATATGAATATATAATCTAAAATCAATTAACGAAAGATAAACTAAACGTTGTTATATTAATGTGTTTAAAATGTTTCATATTTAATTTATTATCACTCAAATAATTTACTAATAAAATTAAAACATTAATATCATAATATTTTTATTTTAATTATAGTGTTACTCTTTTCATCTCAATTTATTTTATCATGTAATAATTTTTATGGAGTTAAAACAATTTGATTTTAATATATTTAATATTAAAATTAAAAATTTTATTAAATTAAAATCTCATGATTTTTAATATTTAAAAATAAAAAATCATTAAAATATTTTAAAATATAAAAAGTAAAAATTTTAAATATAAAAAAAAGACATAATTTTTAAGACGTTTCAAAAAAAAAAAAAGGGACCGAAGAATAATATGCTTGTAGGAAATTTTGAAACATATTTAGGGTTATAAATTAAAAATTAAATCAAATCCACTAATTTGCATGGTTATGATACATAGCAAAAGATGTTGAGTACGCAAAAACGAGTTGAGTGACATCAAGGTCGGTACTTCTAAACGTTGAAGTAGAAGCCAAACAGATCCTAAGGAATTGTAGCGCACAGTTAAAGCTAAAGACAGTGAAGAACAGAACAGAACACAACACCCGACCACGGTTCAAACTTGTAAAGGAAACACACAAAAAAAAAAAAAAAAGAAAATAAAAACGAAGGTCAAAACCGTCATAAAAATTAAACTTTGTTTCCTTATGGTTCAGAGTATCATAACTGCTCTTCTTCTCTTCTCTCCATAAAACCTCAAACAACACCCTTCACTTTTGTCTTTCCTCACTTTCATGGATTTAGATTCCTCTCTATCCATTCTTCTTTAGTCAAATTTTCTTCTCAACCAAACAAACAATCACCCTTATTTTCTTTTTGGTTGGCTTTTGATTTTGTTTCAGTTGAAAGAACGGAGAATATTTTCTCTGTTCTATCGATCAATGGTGTTTCATTCAATCTCAGAAAGGAGAAAAAACTCAAACAAGAGCGAAACTGAAACTGTTATGGCTTCTTCTTCGACCTTGAAATCCCAGCCTCTTCATAACTTTCAATTACATGACCTTAAATGGGCCATGAACCACACCAACAACCACCGCCTTCGAAAACTCTCCGATTCCTCTCAGAAATCTCCTGAACGCGGCGATACTGATTCTGACTCCGATAATAATCGGAAGGGGAATCTAGTGTGCGAAGCTCTTTCAAAGAACGGAGCTTTTTCAGGTTCTTCCCCTGATAAGAAAGTCATCAATGGTTCTGATGTTTTGGTTGACAATAACTCTGAGAAGAAAGCTACTCCTTCGGACGGTAGATCGAAGATCTATATACGTTTACGAACGAAGAATCAGAAGTCTGTTGATGAGGTTGCTGATGTAGGAGATCAGAACTTAAGTGTTGAAGACGTTGAAGAATTTGTTCCCAAGACGTGGAATCTGAGGCCTAGGAAGCCGATTTCTAAACCTCCGAATCAGAATGGAAGCGCGCCGAAGATCGGAGCTTCGACGCACGAGAACAAAACTCATAGGCTGGAATCGACCCGGTCAAGAAATGCAACCGAACCCAAAGCGGCTGAGAAGAAGGAGAAGAAACAGAAGTTCTCAATTTCCCTTTCTAGAGAAGAAATTGATGATGATATCTTTGCCATGACCGGGTCAAAGGCCTCTAGGAGGCCAAAGAAGCGAGCCAAGAATGTTCAGAAACAACTGGATGTAAGCTTTTGAATTTCTTCATTATCTCTCGAAATTTGGATATTTCTAATTTTCTTTTATTTTTCTTTGTGAATATTTTACAGTACGTGTTTCCTGGATTGTGGTTAGCTTCGATAACGCCTGATTGCTACAGAGTTCCTGAGGCTCCTATAAAGGTCTGATATTTTGGCTATTCAAAAGTTTCATCTTTTCAATTACTTGGTCTAGTGATTTTGAGTAAAGGTTTGATTTTGGTGATTGCAGGGTTAGATGGAACTGTTGCTAAAACGGTGAATTTGGAGGGTGGGGATAAGGGTGACTGCTAAACTTTTTTTTTGCAGGTGTAGAATGAGCTTGTAGAGACAAAAGGGTAACAAATGTATCTTGTTTTTGTGCCTTTTTGTCTAATCCATGACGAGTTTAGAGGGATGGCGAGAGACAGTTATATTATGAATCTTGTTATGAGTAGTTACAGATTGTAAATATGACTTATCAGTTTCATAAATAGGGTTTTTACCGTTTCAGTTTATGTAAAAGGAAATCTTTTTTTTTTTATCAGGAGATCTTTTAGATCTTTAGGTTATGAGTACTTGTTTGTTGTTCATGGAACTGGTTTAAATGTTAGAGCATAATAACTGTTTATTGATCCGGAAAGTTTGGGGTGTATACTTGTTTTGATGTGCATGTGTTTCTTTCTTATTTAGTTCTTTGTAATGCACGGTTTGGATAAAGTGTAGTTAGTTACTGGCAGTTGATTGATTGGAGAAATGTCTCAATAATTATCGGATATTAGTTATGAGCACGTGTTCATTATTGATGGATTGAGTAGATACGAGCACGTGTTAGTAATTAAGGGATTGAGTAATTCTGAGCACGTGTTAATGATTAATGGATCGAGTAGTTCTGAGCACGTGTTAGTAATTAAATGGATTAAGTAGGTATGAGAATGTGTTAGTAGTTAACGGATTGGGTGGTTCTGAGCTGGTGTTAGTAATTAACGTATAAGTAGTTCTGCGCACGTGGGCATGCTTGAGCTACTGTCTGTTATGTTGAGAATACAGAGTGCTGGAGGCATACAATTTATGGAATCCATATATGGTTGGAATGTGCTTTAATGATTGATTTGCAACAGTGGAATCTCTGAGTTCTTTCTTGCTTTTTAAATGTACACTTGTTCAAGAAAAAATGGTTAGTTTTCCCGGCTTTAATTTATGTAGGAAAGTGTCATTATTTAATGAAAGTAGTTTTGCTTATTCTTTCTGTTTTAAACACGCGTCATTGGCCATCCAAGGCAACACGTGTATCTGTGAATAAGCTGAAACAGTTGAGTGATATGTCCTTTTAATTCACTTGCATGCATGGTATCTTTACGTTGTTATTGGAAAGCAAACAAGTGAGGTGAAAAACGGTTAGTTCACTGGCTTTTGATTGGTTTGAGATGAACTTCTACCGTTAAACGAATCAAAAAGTTTGCCTTGTGTGTCTTTCTTGTTTGCAGAGATTGTGACATAGGTGCATCACCACTATTTCTATAACACACATTTGATTGATCAGCAAGACTACTGTGTCATAGAAGGTGTGCATTGTGTGATTGAGTTATATCTTTCATCATTGAGTTTACTCTTGCTATGAAAATTGCGTTTATCAAAAGTAAAAGGGGTCACTTTATCACTATTGAGTAGATTTAAGAAAAATGCCAATCTATATTTGTTTACTTGTTTGTCTCCCCAACTTGGAAGTGTTTGAGTGAATGGATTTAGCAGCAACTGCTTACGCTTTGCTGTGTGTTTCTGATCAGGTCAAAAGTCAGAGCAGATTGCATGTATGGAAGCCAGCGAGCCAAATAATCAGGCTCATGGTCTTATGAAAATGTTGGCATTCTTTAATTGACTGAAGTAGTTTTTCCAGTTTGCCTTTCCTATTTGAAATCTATGAGGAATTTGTTTGCGTTATTTTTAATGGCAAGATGTGAATGACTGAAATAGGTTGGAATTTCATGGAAAATGTCAGTGTTGGAGTCTAAAGAGTGGGGTTACACTATTGTGATTGAACTCCATGCTTTACATTTGTGTCCAAGTCTTTTTGTGTATTTTCCCTCTAAAGAAAAAACTCCTCTTGGTCTCCTCATGACAAACTTCAGTCTTACGAAGTAGTTTGTATTGCTTATTATTAGAAATATTGCAATTAGAGAGACTGTGAAGCAAATAATGGTAGGTTTCAGCAGGTTAATTTTCTCTTCATTGCCATTATGACTGCATCGATATGTGTAAATACTAGTGAAACTAGAAAAACTAAGTTCTCCGACTACTGTCTAATATCTAGCAATATGATGTGCAACTAATATTAATTCATAGAAGTTTAAAATAATGTTTATCATGCCAATTAGATTGTCCAGAGAACTAATGATCTCCATTTTTGACATTATTTAACATTTTTTGTTAACCACAGTACATACATTGCTTCTATCAGAGGTGCATGCGTCCCTAACATTCTTTGCTTTTAAGAAGGGTGCAAGAGCATATCAAAGCATATATAGTATATACAGTGATTGCCGAAAACATTTATAGCATATTGACTGAATGGTAAAAGCCTATATCGCAGCCTTAGCATTCTCTAATTTAGAGCTTTTATATAATTGGTAACTCTATAAATTCCAAATCTTGCTATAACCACATTTTATGAAGCATTAACTATTTCCTTATAGCACACATATCAAATGGAATATACCTTTTGTTTGGCTTGAGGTTTGTTGTTTTTAAATTTATCTGATTTTCTGTGTTGCAATTTGATTGCTAGCTGTACCAGCTAATTGTTCCCTCTCTCAACCCACACGCTTGCACGTGTGCATGCACATGCACACGTGCACACTATAGCAGAGCATGGGCCTTAAATTTGTTAGGATGTGCTTTTTCTTGGATAAATGATGATGCCATCTATTCTTTGATATTTCTACTGGAAATCTCTGGTGAGCTATGACTTATATATGCATCTGATGGGGAACATTGAATGCAACGCTGGTTCAGGTTAGATGCTCAGATCATGTCCAAAGGAGATCATTAAGTGCCATAATAGTCGTGATTTTTACTGTGTTTTGATTTCTAATTCAATGTTCTATAGAAAATGCTGGGTTCTGTTTAAAGCTTCAGCCTGATTAGAAGGCTATGTAAATACCCTCAGGGTTGTCACCATCCAGAAAATGTTTTATGAGCACACATTCTTTGAAGACAACATGGCAGATATCATGCTTAGTTCTGGTTCCTGCTTTTTTTGGTAGGTATAACTATTATGTTTATTCCATTTAACTTTGTGAAGTTTTCAGTTTGCAGCAGATCAAGTTTGATTACAATGTTGTCAGACAAAGATTCTGAAATGGATAATTGTTGTCATTGAGATGTGATGCCAACTCAAAACTGCTCCATGCTCTTCCCTTTCGTCCTGACTGGTTCCCAGCAAAGAACTGACTAAGCAAACCCTGTTCTGGATTTTCTAGTGAGCTTGCAGTCTGTAGATCTGATGCTGAACTTGCAGGGGCACATTGTGGTATAAATGGTCTCTATAGTGCAGCGATACCATACTGCCCATTACAGAATGGCTGCAATCCCTCCATTAGGGATCTGCAGAATACAAACGTAGTTTGTTATGGAGGGCTTTCAAATATTTCATTGTATTGTATTTCATCCTGCACAAGTTCTGAAAGTCGCAATTTTAGGAACTTCTATCATCCTGAAAGTAGAATTATTGAGAGGATGCTGTTTCCTGACAATGATGGGAGAAGTGTGCCTAGTATTGTACTTCCTCATGTATTTCCCACTAAAAATCTTCCATTCATTCATATTTTTCCTGTTCTACTTTCTTTTTAGTTGAAAATTTTGTGGGGGAAAAGGTTCCCATGCCAAAAAACCTTTGTAGCCAGCACCGGCCTGCCCAGCAACCAAGCTCGCTGGTTGCATGTATGTGGGCCAAATTTTAAAGCCGACGTTGCTCCCCGGCCCCCAATTCTAAAACCAAATTCAATTTGAAATATCCATATACATCTCTACACTATTGGAGTTCGGTGTTCTGCTTTAATGCCTGCAATGGAGGGGAGCTGGACTCAATAGGGTCATCGAGAAAATGAGCCTAGTTTGTTGGGCTAATAATTAGACCCATTAGCAATGTTTCACCCAAATTTCCGTTATCAATTCATTGGGTTGGGCTGATACAAACTTAAGCTGGTGAGCGTTACAAGAAGGGTCCAAATCGGGTGGCAATCGAATCGAAGAGAAGCGGCTTAGAAGGGTGCAACTAGGCAAAGTGAGTGACGTCTGAAGGAGGAAGACGAGTCATGGAGGTGGAGGAGAACGGTGGTGAGGGTGATAAAACCCGCTTCCACAGTCACTGGTATTGGGCCATAGCAAGCGTGGCCCAGTTCGGATGGGCTGTATCTTCGTATCGAAAAGGTTATGCCGGTGACCATCGTTTGATGCCCTTCAAAGCTTTCGCCGTCGCTTCTCTGTTCCTCGGAGCCTCTACCTCTGCATCCGTCGCTTCCCTTAAAGCCTCTGGCATTCACAAGGTGATCTAAACATGCATATCTATTGCTTCCTGTCCTGTTTCTGCAAATTTTCACCATCAACATTTGTAATTTTCTTTTATAATTTCACTTTTAACAGGTGGAAGATTTGATGGAAGTGGGTGCAAATATAAGAACTGGACTTGGAATTCGTCCCAGGGCGGGGGATAAATGAGTTTTAGCCTTGGTTTAAGGCCATTTCTTTTTGAGGATCTTTATGGGTTTTCATTTTTCTTTTCTTTTCTTTTTAGTGCCTTGTATTTACTTCAATGCAATTAGTTTTTCAGTTCAAGTCTGCATCTTTATCATAATAATCAAGCAATTAACTTTAATCTCAATCTGTGTCATTCATTTTTGTTAACAAGGATAAAACTTGCATAAAGGGTTTTGATCTTCAAGACATGAATGGGTTTTGTTTCCTAGGTAACAACTGCTAGTATTGGAAAACTGTTTCACATGTTCAAAGGAAAATAAAAGTTGAAATCTTTAATTCAAGTCTGACTAAACCGAAGAAATAGGACTAATCTCTGATCACAAACACTGGCGTTTTCAAGGTATGAGACGACAACTAGCATGTTTTTTGTTTTCACTCGATTGTAATGTTCAGAGCTTGTGAATTTGGTATGAGCATGACCATTTGATCAACATAATGAACATGGAGGACTGGGAAAAAGAACTGCTGCAAATATTATTGACTGTAATTTGTATAATCGATGCAGCAGATTAACAACAGTGTTGTTTTCCAGCACATTGTGGTAGAATTAAGACTTGAATCCATGCATCTACCAGTACCAAGGGGTAAAGTTAATGAATAAACAAAAACCAATTACCCATTGAAAGTTTCAGGGAGAAGGGACAAACAATTCCCAGTCAAATTTACAAAATCCCAAACATTTGGTGAAAAAATTCAACTGGTGACTCAGATCAAAACTGGGACACTGACAACTAAAGTTAAAGTATTCATCCCTTGTCAATTTGCTGCAGAAGACTTTAGTTCAGCTGCAGGTAAATAAGACTCCAGCATTAATTCTGCCGGGGAAGGTGAATTGATCTGAACAATCAAGTAGGTATACTTCCATTTGTTGTCAGTTTTGTCCTTGAACATTTCGGTAAAAACTTTCCCAGCTCCATGGGGCCCACGAATATAGAAATTAATCTGTTTCAAAATGATTAACAAGCAATCACAAATAAAAAATTCAATATGAGAGATCAAGGATGCAACAACCATTTTATCTTGTTTGAAGGGGTTGGGATGAGGGAGTATGATCTGTGGATGTGGAGTGGTTATCTCAGAGAACACTGCAAAATTACTATAATACAAAGCAGCTTATAGCTAACAAATATGAAAGACTTTTTTCAACATGCTTGTAAAGACTTGAGTCACCTCCACATGCTCTACACCATTTTCATCCGTGTATATCCTGTTTGGAATACGTTGGCGAGCAGCACGATTTCTACTTTCTTGACCATAGCCTGTTATAGGATGCCCAATCCTCACCCTAACCTGATAGAAACAAATGTAATCCAAGGTGAACATAGAACTGCAATGCCAACCATAACAGGTGGTTCAAAATGCTTAGAATCATATATAACTTGACCGTCTGTTGAACTGTCAATCTGAGGGCACAATTGATATTTCTAAATAATAATAAAAAAGAAACATACTAGTATGATTTATCAAGCTAATAAATGTCAGATTCATCCAAAATCTGACTTGATACATGCGAATAGATGCCAGTGCTCATTGTTATTTTATTTTAATCTCCTTCTCATACTCGGTTCTTATTTATGGTAAAATAGGGGCTCAAACGTATTATTTTGATGCTCATGCTTCATATAAATAATATCAGGCTTCTGCTTGCAGATCTGGCAGTTATAAATCATAATGCGTGTTGCATCGTTGACATTTCCAGTTTCCTTTGAGAACAGAATAGTAATCTCTTCATAGGTTCAACATATGATTAGTACATAAAAATTCCAAGATACCAATTCACAGTGTTGGTTCCAAGACAAGAACATGCTATTTTTCACAGACCTGGCTTTCATTCTGAATTCTTTCCAAAGCATGATTGAATATCTTATACCTACAAAACCACGGTTTTGAATCAGGGTGGATGTAACAAAGGGAGAAGACTTAATAGCGAAATTACCAACTAGGCATTTGACTCTTACTCTTTTGGTTGAAATATCAGCTCCATGAAGACAGCATATGCAGCAGCAGCTGCAATCCCAAGCCCAACAAGGATTATGATAGAGTAGCTAGCCCCCTCTGTAAATGTCACAGGTTTTTCGGGGATATTGTAGGTAGGAGCATCAAACGGATCCTCAACATTAGATAGTTCTTTTCTAGTCTGCCAAAGGGATAAGTACAACAAATCAGTGCAACTGATATTAAGCTTGAATAACCATAAAGCCCAGAGAACAAGAAAATGCAGCAATTATATAAACTCAAGCAGTATAGCATTTGCTGAGAATAACTCAGATAATTCTGAAGTTACTTGTTCTTGACCTTTTGGTTCACAAGAACCTTTGAACTCCCACAAGGATAGATGGACTTTGCTCAATATAAAATAAACTTCAGTAATGTTTATGCTTTGTTTAATCTTTACGGCTAATTAATATCCAAAATATGATAATGGCAGTGATAGCCTCACCATAAAAGAGGATAAAACATACAATTAATCACATATCAGAATTACAAACTAAGCAAACAACACGAAAAGTAATTTTATCAATTATTTAAAGCTAATACAGATGAGAACATGAAAGGCCGAAGATGCATTAAGATCCAAACCTCAGATGTTTCTTTTGATTGCTTTGAAGCTCTTGATGCAAAGGATCTAGCAAAGCAAGGAGATATGAGCTTTGATCCATAATTTTCTATGTGTGGGACAGAGGCCTGAAAGCTTACTATAGAATCTCTACCACACTGTCCTTTAAATGGAAGAGCAATGCCTGCTTGACATTATTGTCAAATAAATTAAGAAGACAATGGAGAAACGAAGAGAACAATAATTCTTATGCTAATTCAACTTGACATAAACATTTTATGCACTCCACAAAGTAGATTACTTATGCATGAAGTAATATTCTACCACAACAAACTCATGAAAGGTTAGGCAAACATAGAATTTCTACATAACGGATAGCAAAATGAACAATGGTATTAACTGTAAAGTTAGATTTTATCAACATGTCCAATGAAAGAAGCCCAAACCCTTCATGAAATTGAGTGAAAAGAAGGGAGGGTTCCCCTCCACAAATTTCTAAAAAATAGATATGAAACCTTCTGAGAAAATTATTTTCTCCCAAAAAACTAATCTAGATTGCTGATTGGCTAAAACCTTAATAAAATGATCATAAATGTTGACAGACAAACATATATGATAAATAACTAACCATTAGCTCCAAGTACACCCTGCAGAATGAAAGAAGAAAGCATTAGTCTGCAGCAATGTAGAGAGAAAACATATAAATAGAAAGCATTTAGTCTGCAACCATGTAGGGAGAAAATATGTAAATAGAATAAAAACTACTGCCTCACCTTTGACATATTATTGGCACCTGTCACATACCGTCTTGTAAAACTAGAATTCAAATCCGCGGGAAACTGCAGTATGTCATCAGAAAATGATTCACCAACTGATACAGATTCATCATATATAAGAGATACTTCAAAAATAAACAGGCTTTGAAAAACTGTAATGCAATTATATTAACCAACTCAAACCAAGGCTTAGGCTTAACTACATAAAAACAGAAGAAGCTCTAATAAAATTGACTGGCACATTGACCTTTTGCTCTACTTACTGCTAAAAGATTTATACTTCCCCTAATATTTCGCATGAAAGATCACCATTGCCAACTACCTTGTCAGCTAATAACACACACATAAAGAGAGTAACACATTCTGTTGGCAAGCTAAAAAAAAAACCCCTCAAAAAGAGAAAATAAAAGAACAGTACCCATACAAAGCAAGGAGTAAACGATCTTACCCTTTTAGCAGGTGATGAAAAACCATCCAAACAAGGCTTAGATTCCACAAATGATCTCACCAAACCACCCCATCTGCCGCTACTAGATATTACAGACCTCCTAATGTTCTGCATCTTCGACTATGCAAACTGAAACCTTTTCTTCAACAACTCTGCGAAGAAAATATTTTCTTTTCTTGCTGGATTATCAACGAACAACAAAGCAAAAAAAAAAAAAAATCAAGCCCAAAAGTAGAATTTATACAACAGACATAAACTAGTGAAGACAGGCCGCAGGATGAGATTCGAGCACAACGCCCAGCGGCTGAGGTTTCATTGCAGACACGTGCCACCCAAAGCCGCACGTGTTTGTTAGGGTTAATCTGAATTAACCTGGGCTAAAGCCCGTATCTAACGTGAACCCAATAGTTACCAGAAATACATATATTATTAGAATATCCTTCGAGGCCCCGCATCCAGAAGGATATAATGACAAACATTTCCAACATGGAGGGATCAAAGAATAATTATAAGAGAAAAAAGGGTTTTCTCTTTTGCAAAATATGAAATATCACAGCGCACAATAGGTATTTCCTTTCCTCCTGTCCCTCTCCCTCTCTCTCCCTCTCCTCCCGTTCCGTCTGTTACCTGATTAAGAAGAACAGAGGTGAAACAAAGGAGCTTTCCTTAGAAGCCCTTTACCAGGTAATAAAGGAGCAACCTGGCCTGTAAAAGCAGTAGCTTTTAAGGTTTCTTTGGTTTCCTGAGAGTAATGGTAGAGTTTGAATAAAGAAATGGGAAGTTTTTGAGTCATGAGACATCACAAACTTTAAAGCTTTGCTCTTGAATGAGGCTAATTGAATGACTTTTTTCTATTTCTTTTTCTTTTTATAGTACTTTGATGGAGTACCTGGGTGGATACTTATTGCTATCTGTTTATTTTTCTTCAAGTTTAGTGAAATTTGATTGAACCCATCTGAGTTAAGTATTATTCTTGCAGTGAAGTTTTTGTTTTCTTGTTTGTATTTTGTCTATGAATACGACACAACCTATATCGATAAGCTGTGGTCTTGGTGGTGAGTTGTATGTTCTTTTGAATGACTTTCTTGTGGATGGTAACTTGGTATTATGTTTGATAAGTGGGGTTTTGCTATCTTGAAATATTGCAATCAGTTTGCTGATAAATAGTGTAATCACTGTTTCTTCTGATGTAGATGGCTAGATGGGATGAGATTCTGTCCCTTCCTGTACAAAATCCACCGACCTTGGAGTTCTCTGCTCATGATCTTGTATGGTCAAAGGTGGAAGGTTGGCGTGACAATATAGATAGAGTCGCTCTAATCCCCTTTGCTAGAGTGGATGACTTTGTAAGGGGTGAATCCTCAAACAAAGACTGTCCTACTAGGTTTCATGTTGAAGCAAGAAGGCGGAGACCACCGAAGGCACCTTACAAGCCAAAGGTTGATGGTATTCTTGAATATATTCTGTAGGTTCTGCCTCCTTTCTTCCCTTTTTTTGTTTTTAAATCTTTTGATTGCTTGTGCAGTTGTGCTCAATGGTATTGCACATAATTTGGTTGAGTTTAAATTTATCCTGTTGAACTTGTAGGTATTGGTGTTCATTTGGTCCTGATGACCATAGGAAAGGTGGCATTGTTCGACCCAGCAGGAATACATACATTCCTAAGAAGACAAACGCTGGTCGACCCAACACAAAGAGGGGATGCACCTGTCACTTTATAGTAAAACGCTTAATTGCTGAACCGTCAGTAGCACTCATAATTTATAACCAAGATAAGCATGTAGATAAGAAAGGGTTGCCATGCCATGGCCCACAGGACAAAAAGGCTGCTGGCACACGTGCTATGTTTGCACCATACATCTCAGAGGATCTGCGCTTACGTGTGTTATCTTTACTGTATGTTGGGGTCTCTGTGGAGACCATAATGCAGCGGCACAATGAATCAGTAGAGAAACAGGGTGGTCCATACAACCGTGATGACCTTTTAACTCATAGGTATGTTCGAAGGCAGGAAAGGAGCATTAGACGTTCTACGTATGAGTTGGATGCAGATGATGCAGTCAGTGTAAGCATGTGGGTTGAAAGCCATCAGAATCATGTATTCTTTTATGAAGATTTCACTGATTCAGACCCTTTAACCTTGGGCATTCAAACTGAGTGGCAGTTGCAACAAATGATTCGATTTGGAAATCGCAGCCTCATTGCCTCTGATTCAAGGTTTGGAACAAATAAACTGAAGGTTTGTCTCTCTTTTTCCTTTCTTTGCCTATAAGTGTCACTATCAGGCCATGAGGACTGATAGTGCTCATTTTTAAAATTATTTTCAGTATCCTGTTTACAGTCTCATTGTCTTCATTTTTAAAATTATTTTGTGCTCATTTTTGAAACTAATTGTGCTCATTTTTAAAATTATTTTCAGTATCCTGTTCACAGTCTCATTGTCTTCAATTCAGACAAGAAAGCAATCCCGGTAGCTTGGATAATAACTCCTAGATTTGCTAGTGTGGATGCTCATAGATGGATGAGGGCTCTATACAACAGGGTTCGCACAAAAGATCCTACTTGGAAATTGGCAGGGTTTATTGTGGATGATCCTTCAATTGATGTTCTTACAATCAGGTTGGGTGTTAAGTCCTCTGTCTGAGCTGACTTTGCGTGATTATGTGTGTTTAATATGTCGTGGAAGAATATTGTTCCATTGTCTATTGTGTTAGGAGGAAGAATGTTGTTCCTTTTATTGCAAGATTATTTATTTTGTGCATCAGCTCTTTGGTTGGTGTCCCCTATTGTGTGTTTTTTAGCCTCGAGGATGCTCTGCTGATATGATTCTAATAATTGTGAAACAACTGAGGGTAGGAATTTTTCTGTTTTTTCTTTTTGATTTAGACTAGGAGCAACCTAGTTCAGCTTGATTAAGTAAGCTTCTTAAGTGGCATATTAAAATGGTAATGTCCTTTCAGCATGATGAAGGGTTATAATATTTGCTCGCTCTTATAGATGGATGGAATGTGCCTAATTTAGGTTATATTATTTTTCTTTGTACTGCATTCAGGGATGTTTTTGAGTGCTCTGTATTGATATCCTTTTGGCGGGTACGCCATGCATGGCATAAAAACTTAGTGAAGAGATGTTCAGAGACAGAGATGCGTGCTGAGATATCAAGACAACTTGGACTGGCAGTTGATGACATTTGCAGAGGATGTGGAAATGTTGATTTGTTTGAGAAATTCATGGAAGATTTTGTTGATTGCTTGGATTTTATGGATTACTTCAAAGCAATCTGGTATCCCAGAATAGGTGGGTTGCTACTTTGCCTTTCGCATTTAGTTTACACCTTTTCCTGAATTCTTGATCTTAATCATCAGTGGGGAGCCACACTAGATTGATCTATTTCTCCTAAGTATAATGGTGCACATTCAGATTTGCACTTTTGACTGTCTATTACATTTCTCTTCATTTTTCAATCCATAAAACACTGATGTAGAGCATAGATAATTGTTCAGACAGTCTGACAAACTTGATTGTGTATTTGTATCGAATGTAAACAAACTTATATTTCACTAACAGCTTAATGCACTTTTTTCCCTTTTGTGAAAGCCTCGTAACTTGTGGAAAAAGAATGCTGAAATTCTGTTCTTTCAGGGGCTTGGATCTCTGCACTTGTAAACCTTCCACTTGCAAGCCTGGAGACTTGTTCTGCAATGGAATTTTACCACAATCAACTGAAGCTCCGTTTATTGAATGAGAAGGATCCTGCTGTGTACCAACGCTCTGATTGGCTGGTTGATAAGTTGGGTACAAAAGTGCATTCCTACTTTTGGCTGGATGAATATTCAGGGAAAGATGATTTTGCACGATACTGGAGGGATGAGTGGGTGAGTGGTTTAACATCTTGGCGGAAGGCATTGAAGATTCCTGATTCTGATGTTGCCATTGAAGGAAGATGTGCAAAAGTGACTGACCAGCTTGATCAGGATAGAGTTTATGTTGTTTGGAATCCTGGCTCACCGTATGGGATCTGTGATTGTAGTTGGGCAGAAATGGGCTACCTTTGTGAGCACGTGTTCAAGGTTATAAATGTCTGTCGTGAAATAGGGGCTAGTTTGCCATCCGTCAGCTTATCTCAGTACAACAAGGCTTTGATTGAGATGCTACATTGCCCGCCTCATGATTCTTTGATCCGTGATCATGCTGTTTCTTTAGCAATCCACGTACAGAAACAGTTAAATTCACTAGTCGGTCCTATTCAGAAACAAACCAAGGATGTTATTCAGGAAGGAAGTGCATCAGTGGTTTCTGCTAAACAAAATAGAGGATTAGTTTATAAGGACCATTGTGCAAATGAGAACAAATCATCTAATCATGAAAATGGCTACATGGATTGCTCTGAGGCTCCTGCTGGTATTGCAAGTGATTTGGGCGGTGAATCGGTTGATCGGGTAGAAGGTATAAATGGCATTTGTGGTGAGAATGCTGGAGAAGGAATATCTGGTTCTGAGATGGATGTTGATCCGCCCTCCAGTATTTCTCCATCTGAATTACCATCTCTCAATGAGGAGGTTGTCGCTGGTAATGTCCTTTCTGAAAATGGAGACAGTGCTTTAATTAACAAAGTCCCTAATATGAATAGAAAATTACCTCCCAAAGATAATGCTTTAAGAGATCAAAATGGATGTGAAGAAATCTTTAACAAAAATTGCCATGTTAGTATGATGGCTGCAGAGTCACAACCAGATGAGATTCCTCAAAGAAAACAGCTTTCAAAGCCCTGCACGGCAACTCATCAGGGTGATTTTGGTGGAAAGAGTAGTGAACCTTCAATGGCATCCATGTCTATACCTGAGAAAACCTCCTCATCCATGTCCTGTACTGTCGAGCCACAAGTGCTTGATATGGCTGAAGCCTCAGGTGCTCTGAATCTTGATATATCAATGGCATCAGAAAATGAGAATGAGATTGTAAGTAAGAATCATTCTACTGATAATGCCCTCCCATCAGGTGGATATCATGTTAATTTGGGAATTGTTGTTGATCTTGGTGATGAAGCAAAGGTACTAGACAACAGTATGGCTGAACACTTGGAAACATTCCCAAGTCATTCAACAACACTGCATCATGATGATGGTCAACCACCTACTGAAGTCGCAGCTCAAGAAACTGATGATTCTGGTGAGAAGGAACTTTCTAGCAACAAACCATCTACAACTAAACCTGAACTGCAAAAGAGTATTGAAGCTGGAAAATGTGGTAATAAGGAGATTGTGAACAGGTGACCAATGATCAGAATGGTGCTGTTGCTGTGGGCATTGTTTCAGAAGAGGCTGCTAATGACTCTGTATTCAGTGCTGGCTCTTACAAACAATAGGCATATGCTAGCTATTTTCATCGTTCCACAATTCCTTACTTCTTTCTTTGTAAAGGCTCCTCAGTAAATTTAATTGTAATTCGGTGATTCAGCCAGTTGCTCTAAATGTTAATGCTAGCAATCAACCAACAGATTTACCTCGCATTGTTCATGTATATTCTCATACTGTTGCCGAAAGTGGATCACATGTTATAAATGTTAAGAAGCAATTTATGATACATTTTTTAAATTTTAAAGTCCAATGTTATAATACATGTTTTTTTTTTTTATAATTTTTTTAAAATTCCCAGCAAAAATCTCACATTAAAACCTTAAATTACTAGTCTTTATAATCTCAATTTCCCCTTTTCTTATAACATTTGAGGAAACAGAAAGAACAGATTCCAATGGGAACAACTTGCCAGACATAAGTTTCCTGCAAGGCTTATCAATGCAGGAAGTTACTGGTGATAATTTATAAATCCCTAGTAATTTTAACCCTTATTCACAAACCTGTAAAACTTCGGGCCCAAGTTTAGGGTTTAGAGCATCAGGCGGCTATAATCTTATGCGATAATTTCTCACCCAAGGTTCATGGGGAAGGAGGGGCATATATGTAACTTAAGTACCAGTTTTGAATGAGAGAAAAAATTGGGAACGTGGGGCCATTGGCGGAGGATAATGGCAATAACCGTCTTAACCGTCATTACCGAAGGAGAGAAACATAGTAAAACAAAGATAATAAGAGTAGAAATGAATCAGAAATTTTCAGATAAAATATTAGACCAAAGTGAATATGGAATCCTTCACGAGAGAAGGGAATCATAAAAATTCTGGGTTTTTAGGGAGTGAAAAGTGGGAAATGGAAGGAAAGCAACTAGAGATAAGTCAGATAACGAAAGGGCCATGGAAGGCAGAGGAAGATGAAGTGCTGATCAACCATGTCAAGAAATATGGCCCTCGAGACTGGAGCTCCATTCGATCCAAAGGCCTTTTGCAAAGAACTGGCAAATCTTGTCGTCTGCGTTGGGTTAACAAACTTAGACCCAACTTGAAGAAGTAAAGCTTAATCTTTGTTACTTTCTTCTCCTAGTTGCTTGTACTCTACTAGTAATTCCTTTTCTTTTTCTGAATCTTCGTAGTGGGTGCAAGTTTACTACAGAGGAAGAAAGGGTGGTGATAGAGTTGCAAGCACAATTTGGGAACAAATGGGCAAAAATTGCTACGTACTTGCCTGGAAGGACCGACAATGACGTGAAGAACTTTTGGAGCAGTAGGCAGAAGAGACTGGCTAGAATTTTGCAGAATTCAGGAACAACTTCCCACTCCAAATCACTCAAAATCAAAAAGGAAGTTCCTGGCTTTCTTGATGTTCCTGCTTTGGAGGTAAACGCAATTCCATCACTACATTTCATGGTTGTTTTCAAATTTCAAGTGGTTTTTGGGATTATGTTAAGCAATTTTGTTGTTTGGAACTAATGATCTCTATGTTTGCAAATAGGGATGTTATATTCTATTAGATATGCATTTGATTAATTGACTCAAAGAAAAGTGTGTAACCTTCATTAGGAAACACCTTCTGACTTTCACTTGCACTTTTCTGTTTACGTAAAGTGGTTATAAAGTTTTGGTCAATGCTTGTATTATTTTAAAGAGTGTCGTCAATTTATCATAATTTCTTCCTTAACAACAGTAAAAGTTGTTCTTTAAAGGTAAAGGAGAACCAACAAAAAAAACCTTGCAAGTACACAAACAATGCTTGAGTTGTTCTTTCCCTCGAAATTGAGGAAGTGCTCATAAGCCCTTTCTGAGCAGGAAGGATTTTGGTTGCGATTATCAATCTTGTTGCCAATGGTAATCTTTTTCTTATGGTGCGATAATAGTTTCTTTTTGTCACTTTTTAGGTTCCAAAGTTCAGCTCGTCAATGGAGGAAGTATCATACGCTAAGGGCCAATCTTGCTCATCATCCTACCTTGAGAACTCTGAGACGATTAACATGGAGCAATTTCCAGATATAATGAATCCAAAGTTGTGTAATATTGATGCAAACATTGCTCAGCTCGAGCTTATGTCAAGAGGGAAAAGCCCATATGCTGAGGCTCCATCGCAATTTTTCTTCCCTCATATCCCACAGCCACAACCATACCTCACATTATCTCTAGACAGCCAAGACCTTTTGGCTAAATTTGAGGATCCTTACTTTTCACAAGTGTTTGCACCGGTGGATGTTCCCGAACTAGGGAGTGGATATGTCGGGCAGCCATTTCTTGAACCAGTGAGAAGTAGCGGATTTGGTGTAAGGGAAGAAACTGACATGACTCCAGATGCTTTTTTTGATGACTTTCCCGCTGACATGTTTGATCATATGGAGCCGCTTCCAAGCCCATCAGAGTAATTCAAGGACGAGGAAAATTGTCTTGACTATAAAGTTTTAATTCGTTTCTTCAGCCACAAAGTTGACTTGTCACTTGTATGTTATTGATGTTTCTTGCTGTAGGGGTTTGTCTCTTCTATTTCTTTTTCTTAAAGGGTGAAAATTGTTACCGTAAAGACTCTTTTGAGCAACAAATAATTGGTTCTCCACTTTTTATTCGTGTTCTAGTTTGTTGGGCGGGCTACAAATTTCGCAATGAATCAATAGCATCAATGTTATTATCTAAAGAAAAAAACAGACTTGCTTCATCGCTTTCATTTTCTCAATCCTCACTGTTAGTAAAACAGGGGAAGAAATTATTTGTTCAATCAATGACCTTAAGATTTGATACAAAATGTAAACAAAAGCAGACGCATAAAGAGGAACGGCTGAGATATGGTTGAGATGAAGCTGGAGTCAACTTCTTTATGGTTTATGGAAAGAATCTAGAGTAATGCCAGTGTGGCCACTCTTTGTAAGCACCTCAAAGTTTCCAGCAGTGAATGACTCATTTTTGCAAGAGATGGGTCTTCTTAGTTCTGAATAAGCACAATAATCTACTTCAGTGACGGCGGTCTCCTCCAAGAATCCAGAAACTGAAACTCCAACTCCTTCCCCTGGCATATGAAATGTATAGTCAACGACAAATGCAAGTATTGGGTACTTGATTAGAAATAGAATGACATTGTTTAGGTTTGAGATTGATGGCAAATGGCCATACATGCAGGACAAAATGAAATGCCTACGTTCTTGTTGGATATGAAGAATGAAGCTTTACCATGTGTCACTAATAGCAAGTTTTCTGAGGGGTATTTATCCACCAGTGCCTTGATAATTTGTTCATATCTAGTTCTCGCACCCATCACGGTCTCTTCCCATTGTGGCAACTGTAATTTTTGAGACGAAGAATCTGAATTATGCAGATGAAACTGCATCCAGCTACAATGACAATAATCTTAAATTGTAAAAGAAAATAAGATCAAATACACTGCAAATGCTACCTCTTTATAAACTCGTACGCTACGATCCAATGTGCCACTTGGTAACAAAGCCTCAAGTTGTGGAACATCGAAACGAAAGATTCCATCTTTGGGCGCTACATCACGCCTAATTGCTTTTCGATTTAACATCTCACACAATCCATACTCAATAGAAACCTGTAAAATACAATAAACTGGACTCAAAGCCTATAAAAAGAAAAGTTGTTTTGCATGTACATATTGATCTGACCTTGACTTTTGATGGGTCGATGGAAACGACGTCGCTAGATGACTTGGCAATGGGATCGTCATCGACGGCACAAAGGGCCGCGACAACCTCTGAGGCAGTCTGGACGCAGCGGAGAAACGGGGACACGAAGACTCGGTGGATCGGAAATGGTAGGAGGGTTCGAAACGTACGGCCCGTACGAAAAGCCCTGGCCAAGCCGTTATGTACAAGGGGTGGGTCCCATGGCCTCTCCGCCGTCTTTACCCACGTGGGATCGAAGTTATCCATACGGTCGCCATGCCTCATACCACCACGTTCTGGTAATACGTTTTCGTCTCCATCCCGACCGCTTTAACGTTTAGATTTCTCCAACGAATTAAAGGTTGTCTGGTTTTTATGCCAATGGAGATTGGAGTTTGGAAAGAAGTGATGAAAGAGTTGCTCAATGTTCCCATTCTCTCCGCGCTTTTCTTCCCCTTTTATAGTTGCCTTTGCTTTTCCTTGCCAAGGCTGGTGTATTTTTTTTATAGAAAATAATTTTTTACATTATCCATTTTGGACATTGATAGACTAAATTGAAGTTTCCAAAACTTATATTCGGAAGGAATTGAGTCAATCAAGAAAAATAATACTAATAATAAGGAAAAGGCAATATCTTTTGCTTGCTTGATTAGGTTTTCTAAGAGCGCGTTACGTGAAATACTTTGGTCTATAACGATAACGAAATTGCTGTATAAGACCCAAATAAATACTTTTCAAAACGAATTTCGATTTGACAAGTTTCCGTGGAGAGAATTGCTTAAAAAAATGGATTTAGTAGTTTGATCTCTTGTTTCTCATCTATCAAAGGTTATTTCCTGGAAATTGGCTGTAGTTCTTGGAGAAGTTGATGTTCCAATTTCCAACAGCAACGTGGATGACCATGACCAAGAGGATTGAGAAATGTAGGCCATGGCGGATCAGGCCATCAATCTCGTATTGGGTCTGAAAAAATATGTTGAAAGCCCTAGGTTGGGCTCACTGAATTTCTTAGGCCCATTCAAAACATTGCCATAACCAGAGACAAAAGTAAAGGAATGTGTGGCCGGTAAATTCTAACTTTTCTTTTTGAAAAATGTTTGTCTGTAAAGTGATTTTTTTCAGTATTTGGTACTATTTATGGCATTTAGGAATTTAATATTTCAATGGTGTTTAGTAAGGAGGGTGTAAATAAATCGAATATAAATAAATAAACATATATTCGTATTTATTTATTTATTTTTAAAAGTATTGTATTTGGTTTATATTTGTTAAAAAAATTATTTTATTTGTTCATGTTTGTTCGGTTACATGATATGTTATTTATGTTCAGTTTGTATTCTTTTAATTAAATTAAATAATTTTATTCGTGAACATTAAATAAATATATTTATGAATATATTCATGAACATATATAAATAAACATATTCATAAACAATAAACCTTAAATAAATATAAACAAACTCAAACAAACATAAACGAACCTTAAAATAGGATTAGAGTAAATTATAAAAATGTAATCTTTTTGGTATTATTATAAATAAACAGTAAACGAATAATAAACAAATAATAAACGAATGGATTTTAAACGAATTGTAAATATATTTATTTATAGATATAAATGAACGAACAAACTACTATTTGTATTTAATTTATTTAATAAACAAATGTACAAATAGTATTTAAAATTATTTATTAAACTTAATAAACAAATATAAACAAATACAAATTAAACATATTCATAAATGATTCGTCGAAAGCTTTATTCACTTACACTACTAAGGATAATATGATAGAATATGAAATTTTCAATCTCTTTAAGGTTTTTTAACAAATTGTTCGAAATTTAAATTTTATCTACCTTTTTGTTGTGAATAAATAATTTTTATAATTTAATTTATTTTTATATCAAAGTAATTACATAATAAATCAAAATCTATTGAATTTGACACACAGAAATATTCCAAGTACTATTATTTGGCAATTGGTAATATATGTTTAATTAAATTTTGTTCGTAGATTTATAATTAAATTATTCTTTTTAATTTATTACAATTTTAATTTATAAATTTTTAGATTAAAAATTACAATGTTTTTAAAATGAAAAAAGAAATTTATATTGAAAATATAGAAATTTGATAAGATATTATTTTTTCAAATACCTATAATTTCAATAACATTTCATTTTTTTATATGAAAAATGTTGATTTTATTGAAAATATATTATGAAAATTTAATTTTTAGAATTTTATGGTATAAACAAAAACAACATTTTTTGAAATATTTTTCAAAATTTTATTTTGAACATATTTATTCACACAAGTATTATTTGATATATAAAAAATTTAATAATTATTTTATTAATTTCATAAAAATATCAAATAAATCATTTAAACCCTAAATAAATAAATAATTTAAATATAACTATACGTCACACCTTATTTTTATATTTTCATGTCTGTCATGTGCTATTCATATATAATTAAGGACAACATAATAAAAATTTCATTAGATAATATTACATTTTTAAAACCAAATAAAAAAAATCTTACATTATAAATTAACAAAAAGCAAAAATCACCCATTTTTCTTAATCTATAAGTTTCCCCGAATCATTTTCTCTTTGGAAATCATAAAACCACTTAAAAGTCTTAAGGATGGCGTCTTGTTGGGGCCAAATTTCTTGCACCACATCGGTTTACCATCAACCATCAACTTGGCTTGCTTTTTTCCACAATTAGCCGTGGTTAGTGCAATCAAAGATGACTTAAACGTAACATTCCCAAACTGCGGTGTTGTAATATCTCTATAACAATTCTTCAGCTGTGGCCAATGCACGTGTATCCTCTCCGAACAATCCCCATATTTGCTGCACGATGCACACTCTCACATATCACCAACAACAAAAGAATCTAAAAACAAGCTTTTCCTTTTATTCTTTATTATTGTTATTATTATTAAATATCACTATGGTTATCAGTTTAATAAAATGCTCATACTTACTAGGTGAAGAACCTTGCAATTTCGTGCTGTTATAGGATGTCCACTGGAGAATGTTACGAACAAGCACCGATCTTCCTCAGGAGCGCCGTGCCTTAGCATAAGGATTCAGCTGTTTTGTTTGCACCGGTATTGCATTTGGTTGATTCACTTTACAATTTCCAGCCCAACCAGGCTGATAGTTCAGCGAGCCGGGGCCACGGCCATCACCACCTATTGGCGGCCTTTTTTCTCCGAAAGACCTAGCCCAGTATGGTGCATCCATGGGATGTTCAATATTGCTTGGAGAAGTTAAGGGGTGAGGAACATGAGAGGGGTGAGAATGGTGGGTATGTATTGAGCATTGCGATGGTTCAGGAATGTTGGCTTTGAAAGAGGAAAGATAGTATATATTTTCAAGAGGGTGTTTTTGAGCAGACGAAACGGTTGCAAAAAAGCAACTTTGCTTGCTGCTCATATTCTAGTTGCATTTTAGACTGCCTTGTACTATGTTTACCATTTCATCAACGTAATTTCTATAATTTGAGCCATTTGATTCAGAAAATTTATACATGTTATAGGTCAAAATGCACAATTCATGTGATTGAATTTGAATATAAAAAAATCACAAAATATGGATCGTAAATTGGACAAATTTAAACATATCTTTCATGATAATTCAATACTAATAATGAATTGCTTAATTTTAAATATATTTTATGGTAACAATTTGATTGATGATGAATTATGCATTTATATTGCTTTTATATTATTCTTCATTCGGTAAAATATAAATATATATTAATCTATGCATAACCAATTGGTAATGTTGATTAAAAATTTTGAATTATACTTGATTATTAATTAATCAATTATGTTCACCAATTCATGCTTAAAATTTATATCTAAGATACAATCTTAATAGAGTTCACCCATAAATTAGCGGAAAAATTTACATTTAAATTTTAACATGTCACATATTTATGAATTTTTAATTTAATTTTTCATTTTAATGAATTAATAATTAATTTAATATAAATTACGCTGACTCATCTGTAAAAACATTAAAATGATTAAATTAAATATAACTCAAACCTTTGTTTTTTTTTTTTAGCAAAAACTCAAATCTTTGTTAATATCTGTTTGCAAAAGATAAACTCAAAACACTCATTTAATCCACCTAAAACTTAAGTTAATCTATCAAAATAAAAATGATCAAGATCCAAACTTGACTCCTCAATAACATGAACTTTTATTGAAATGATTCCAATGATTAATTGTCAAACTCAAAATAAATTGGTACTATACCTACGTTTGACTTGGTCATGTCTGGCCTAGTGACCTTGTAATGCAACGACATCGTTTAATTTCCAGCCATCAATTATGACCAAACAGACGGCTCGTTCTCTCCAAGCCGCCAAGATTATATGTGGTGTAACATCAGTCGTCCAATCTTTACGTTGGATGGTTACGATGTCACGTTGACAACCCTTTTTTTTATCAATTTTCTTCCATTCTTGAAAACGCGTTCACTTGCCACCAATCGACACGCGACACCACACTCTTACGAGTAATTCCCCTTCGAAGAAGGAATTACTCCATCCACGACACACTTTTGCTGCTTACAGTCCAAAAAAAAGCTAAACGGAGTCGGTTAAATTGATGTGCAAGAAATAAAAAACGGCGTGACCGAATAAATTTTAATTTTCTTTTTATAAGAGATCCTCACGTTTCCGTAAAACACCTTTGCGATTTGTAAGGAGAAACTTGAGGGAACGAATCGTGCTCTCTCAAGCTTTCCTCTTGCAAAAACCGAACGCTTTTTTCCCATATCTTTTATAATTTTCCCTGAAATCTATCGCTTATTTTCTCCATCCAATCCCTAGCGGTGAGTATCTTAGTTTTGAGATCCGTTGTTAACTGCTTTCGATCTTTCATGTTTGTTCTTTGGCATGCTTTATAAGCTTAAGATTGTTTAGAATTAAAGGGAAATTTGTTTAAATTTGATAGTTTTTCGATTCTTTTGTCTGGATTTAGGGTTTTGTTTTTATTGGTTAATTAGGGTTTGTTTGACTTTAGATTTACTTATATTTGAATTTTCTCTTTTTAATTTGGACTTTTGTAGTGTTCCAATAGTGCATTAATTATTCTATTATTTAATACAGATAATTGAAGTGATTTAATCATGTTTGGGCGTGTTCCAAAGAAGAGTGATAACACCAAGTATTATGAAGTACTTGGGGTTTCAAAAAGTGCAAGTCAAGATGAATTGAAGAAGGCTTATAGGAAGGCTGCCATGAAGAATCATCCTGATAAAGGTGGAGATCCCGAGAAGGTAAACATAAAACAATCTTTTATTATAGTGTTTAATAAAAGCGTACTGTAAACTATATCTTAATAAGGTTACGTCTCCATTGTTCTTTCAAGCTTTGGAATATCTGATCATGTTCAATTTAGCATTTTTTGGATTTTTTTTTTTAAATTAGAGGGAGAATAGAACGTGTAGCGTTTGGTATATATGCGCATTATGCAATCAAAATTCTCATGCAAGAAAAATTATAAGGAATTCGGTTTGCGGTTTTCTTTATTTTTCCATTTTTAACACTATCTTCTGATATTGCTTCTCAGTTTAAGGGATTGGCTCAAGCTTATGAAGTTCTTAGCGATCCAGAGAAGAGAGAAATATATGATCAATACGGCGAAGATGCTCTTAAAGAGGGAATGGGAGGTGGCGGTCCTTCTCACAACCCATTCGACATATTTGAGTCATTTTTTGGTGGGGGAGCCTTTGGTGGTAAGAGATTGTTTTGTCATCCTTTTTTCGTAATTTCCCTTTTGATTGAACTTTCGAGTAAGGAAAGTTCCATTTTAATCACAAATATTTTTCATGTTTAGGTGGCGGTAGCTCAAGAGGGAGAAGGCAGAGGCGAGGTGAAGATGTTGTGCATAGTCTAAAAGTTTCTCTGGAAGATTTATACAATGGGACAACAAAGAAACTCTCTCTTTCCAGGAACGCACTATGTGGCAAATGTAAAGGGTATGTCTTCCATCAGAACAACTTTTACGATTACCTGGATTTTCTTTTTAGCAAATGTTTAGAATTTGGATATGTGTTGCTTTGAGCCTGTCAAGCAATATTGATGCTGTCTTTCCTTTTTTTCCTGTTTTATTAACATCTGATATATTCTTGTTATTACCCATTAGTTCTCTTTTCGGAATTTAATATTACATTTATGTGCTAGAAAAAAATTCGTAGGTCTCCTGAGCAATTATATTGACTGTGGTTGGCTATAGTTGTCAACACTTGTACTTTGTATATGCACCTGCATTAATGTGTTAGAAGTTATCCGTCTTCTCTCCCTCCTCTTTCTCCTATATCAACCTATGCAAAGAACCTTGTTTATGACTGGTGTGATTACATTCTCTTTGCTGGTATTCTGAAAATTTTCAGGAAAGGTTCAAAGAATGGAGCCTCTTCTAGATGTTATGGTTGCCAGGGTTCTGGAATGAAAGTTACAACACGTCAGATTGGACTGGGCATGATCCAACAGATGCAGCATGTCTGTCCTGAATGCAGAGGCTCAGGTATTTAAAATTTAATCTGCTTTATCTTGGGCTTGGTACACATTTTATGTAGGATTTTTTAACATTGATTTCATTTCCTTCCTTGCAGGTGAGGTGATCAGTGATAGAGATAGATGCCCACAGTGCAAAGGAAACAAGGTTACTCAAGAAAAGAAGGTGCTGGAAGTACACATTGAGAAAGGAATGCAAAATGGCCAAAAGATTACATTTGAAGGACAAGCTGATGAAGCGGCAAGTGAACTACTTTTGTCTTATATGTAACATATTTCTAATAATTCTAGCTTTACCCTATTCTTTTCATCACTTGCAGCCAGATGCAGTTACTGGAGACATTGTTTTTCTATTGCAACTCAAGAAACACCCCAAATTTGAACGGAAATTTGATGACCTTTTTGTTGAACACAACCTCAGTTTGACAGAGGCACTGTGTGGGTTTCAGTTTGCCCTAACTCATCTTGATGGCAGGCAGCTTCTAATTAAATCAAACCCTGGCGAGGTCATCAAGCCTGGTAATTGTCCTTTGCATATTTATTAACGATTGTTCCAACATGACATCATATCACTCATCTCATCTCCTTTGTGCGAAAACGTAGGTCAATACAAGGCTATCAATGATGAGGGTATGCCCCATCATCAAAGACCTTTCATGAAAGGCAGTTTATTCATCCATTTTAATGTTGATTTCCCTGAATCTGGGGTAATATCACCTGAGCAATGCCGGACATTAGAGACTTTATTGCCCATGAAGCCTTGTAAGCACTTGTCAGACATGGAGCTTGATGACTGTGAAGAGACTACTTTGCATGATGTCAACATTGAGGAGGAAATGAGGCGGAAGGAACAGCAGCATCGGCACCAAGAAGCTTATGATGAAGATGATGATGAGTCATCAGCGCCAAGAGTGCAGTGTGCCCAACAATAAGAAAATATTAACCTGTAATTTGAGCAGCTGGATACCATGTTACTGGGAAGTTATTATTTGTGGTTATGTCTGCGTATTAAATTGGCAGTTTGTCGTCTTTTTTATTTTTGTTACTTATATTAATCCCCAGCGATTTGTGTTATTTTGTCAGTTCGTTCACAACCCTTACAGGGTTAATCTATGTTAACATGCTATATATTTGATATTATACTACAAGTTTGAGATCATTTTGGTTGCTTGCAATGCCACTTCAAATTGCTCAACCGTGGCTAGATGCTAATGAGGTTGCTCTATAGTTGCGGAAACAGCACGATGGGCCAACCAATCTTAAGGTTAGTGGCACCACTGTCGACGCTGGGCGTGCGGGGACCTCTGGGCCTCAAGTATAAACGATTTTATCCAAGTCTTTAAGACACTGTGTCCGAAGGCAATAACGTCACTAATATTTCCTGGGAAATCTGGCTGATTAACTTGGAATGACAGAGACAGGAGAGAGGGGTCCCATTTGGTTGGGTCATTGGGTATTTATTACCACTCTACTTTATCTTTTTTCAGGTAATAATTTTATTGCACTTCATTTTTGAAGAAGTGAAATTGAACTTTAACAGAGATAAAAAACCAGACTGAATTAAATAAGGTAGAAACCAAAAAACAAAGGCTCTAGTTTAAAGTCATACGCTCTAGTCTGAGCTATTTCAATTTGTTGCTAAGAATAATAACAGAAATTATTTCCAGTATAGTTTACTCATATTTTATGGTACTTTAGCGGATGAGAATTCTCAGGTACTAGCCTCTACAGACCTTGTATGATCATGTAAAACAGAAGTTGAGAAAAATGGGGAATTACTATTGCGTAATTGGAGAGAAATGTATAATAAATGCATAGTTAGGCTTATCGAAATGTTAGCTTTATGATATATGTTGTAGTATGAATTTGCAACATGATGATATATACTGTAGTATGAATTTACAACATAATAAAAAATATTTATGTATTAATTTTTTTTATAATTAAAGAAATTGAAGTTTGTTTATGTATTAATTTTTCGATAATTAAAGAAATTGAAGTTTTATTTTGATGAACTCTTGAATGATTAAAAGTTAGTTTAGTGAAGAAGAATAGCAAGAGAAAATGATAAAGAGAGTATGATCAAGGTGAAAAATGATGGATCAATTACCTTCCAAAAACAAACTCACTAGGGTAGTAAAATAATTAAATAGTGCCCTTAATTAATATAATTCCCACCCATAACTCAACTCTCTTATCATTGTCTAAAATGACTTGTCATTATCTAAAATGACTGCAATATTGAGAGTAAGAATCTATTTCCATAAAAAGTCTGATCAAATTCATTTGAAGACTCTTTTTTTGGTAGATCTTGTAGCGTATTTGAATCGATCAATATCATTCTATGTCTAGCTATACTTTTTTTTATATACAAAAAAAAATCACAATTTGAAGATAAAAAAAAAAAAACAATTGTTAAGATTTGAACTTTAAATTTATTAGATGATATCTTTTAAAAGTAATTACATAAAACGATTGAATTTTAATTTTTTTTATTCATTTTTTTTTTTTAAGTATACATGTATTAAAACACATGGTAATTAATGTTGAGTAGAATCTCCTTAAGGGAGATGCAGCTTTAAAGCTGTGCTAATTATGACCAATTATTCACATTTTTTGTTTATAATGATATATCCCATGGTTTTCAATTGGAAGATTAAAGAAATATTCCTTCTTTTGTCATGTATGCATCTGGAGACTGGAGAGGCCAACTTTGGCTTTACTTCCGCATTAAAATATTGGATTTCCATCAATCTTCTTCATCATGAAAGGTTGAATATGCAAGAGTTATTTGATAATTAATTTTAGTGGGAAAGGAGTTAGGTTATCTTTTCTGATGACAAGAAGGAAAGTTATATCAAATAATTATGTATATGGAATTTCTTTTCCACCAATTTCCAAAAGAAGACTGAGGCAGCATATTTATATTTGGCGTAATTATTTCTTATAAAGGGGAACAAACTGCTGTAGATCATCTCATCCATGTCAATCCACAATGTTAGCAGCTTGATGGCTTAATTTCCATCTACCCCATTACTAACAAAAAAGAGAAACTTCTTGTTGAAATATTCCTTTAGCAATCACAATTAGCATGCTTACACTTTGGCCCTTAACTTAATTAGACTTGACTAGCCAGTTGATGGAGATTATGCGAATCAGTTAGGATGTTTTGGATTGGACAAATGTAGGGCAGGAACTTGTTTGATTTCTGACAATTATTGTAGCATAAATTGTCCTTTTACTTGAATATAATGGAACATGATTAAAGCCACTCTGGTTTCAAAAATACCAATCTGTTCACATAGTTTATTTGGATTTGCAGAATTAGAATAAGCAAGCTGATTTTTGCACCACTAAAATTTAACAACACAACCACCTTTTTTGTTGTTTTACTTAAACTTTAATTCCTGCCAAATTCTTTCCTTCTTTTGTTGTCGGAGGAAAGCACTAAATATGTAATTTGCTTGAGTCCTCAGGGAAAAGAAAGAAAGAAAAAAGCCTTTCAAAGATTTTGTAGCTGAACTGAAGTTAAATTCATAAAATTTCTACATGTAACTCAATCAATTTATTTACCTTAATTTTCTAATAAAATAGTTTCTAGTTATGGAATAGAGTGATGGTTAAAGGGAACATGAAATATATAGGGGAGAAGTGGAGATTAAAATATTGAGTTAGGCCAAAATTAAGTGGATCGCCGAAATGTTAGGAGTTTGATAGCATTAAACAATGTGAACATTTTAATGAAATACTGGGTGGCAAATCTGGATGATCCCTGGATATTGAATTATTGTCTGTAATCTATATATAATCTATACCCCATGGTAGTTCCAAGAAGCTGTGATTGCTCATTCTTGATGAGACAAAGAAATAAAGTCACTCACATTAGAAACTTGGGAAGGAAAACATGAAACATGCGGAGTATTGCACGAATGACTAGCGACGGGATCTTCATATTTAATTTTGATCAATAAAAGTCTAATATTATATATATATATAATATTTCATTTGAATTATGTTATTTAATTAACACAAAATATATATGCAAGTAATAAACTAATAAAAAATTATAAGTTTATAAAATCATAAATTTTATCAAAATATATCAAATAAATAATGGTATTTAAAATTGTGACTCACAATTTTTTAAAAATTAAATTTGAATTAAATATTTCAGTAATATCTTTTTTTATATAAACAACTAATAAGTAGGTAAAAAAATTTAAATTTATTTGTTTATTAATTGAGTGTAAATTAAAATTTAAGAAGTTAAATTAAGTTCTTTTTTTTTAAAAAGTCATATAATTGTAATTTAATATTTGTGACAAACCAATTAATTTTAAGGATTTGTAAATAATGATTGGTGAGTAAAAGAAAAAAATATGTTTTAATATATTTTAATCTTTTAATTTGGAAGAACATTTAAATTATTTAATATATATAATATATAAATATAAGAGTTTTAAAGAGATTTTTTCAAAATCTTCGGGGGCAAGACCCTCCTGGCTTAGCGTACCCACCGGCCCTGTGAGTGACAGATGAAGTTGGCTTGATCGGGCAAGGCTCTGGGACTTCTTAGACAATTATAGAAAGAAACGCAAAGTTCGGCAAAACAATTGTAGAAAGAAACTCAAAGTTCGGCAAAGTCTTACATAGGTGGTCCATGTGCCTTTAATTAGGGCTATATATCAGAATGCTCATCATTGCTTCTAGATCCCTTGCATACGATAAGGTGGAGAAACTGCTTCATTAAGACAATGCTTCCCCTACAGGATTACAGTCCTTGGGTAATAGACAGATCATGATAACAACCTTAAACGTTAAATCCCTTCATTGAGTTAACAAGCTGATGTCTTCCTTCCTGTCTTAACAACTTTTTTAGCAAGCAGTATATATATCAGGGAATTAGGTAATGGAAAATGGCTGTTTAACATTTCAGTTTTCACATAATTGTTGATTAATTCACAATCCAAACATTGGACAATGTAGAACAGACAAGACAAAACAGTAGAGGAACCTACTGTTACTGGGAAAAACATGCGCAGAGTTCAAATCATCCGGTCTCTCTCTCTCTCTCTCTCTCTCTCTCTCTCTCTCTCTCCCTCATTACAGGTTGTAATTTGAAGGAAAATTAAAAAGAAAATAGAAAAATGGAAATTTATTTCCTATAATTTGACTTGTTGGATAATAATAATAATAATAGGAAATCTGGAACCAGAGCCTCAGGCACAAGAGGGTGGAGGACCCACTGGCATGTGCCCTCATGTGTCGGATTGTGATGAATAGTTATCAGAAAAGCATACCTGTTCTTGCTTTTATCATATCCTCCCTTAATACCTTATTCAAATTTTAGTAATACTTGATAATCAAAACCAGTATGTCACCAAATGTTTAATTTAAGTGTTGATTTGTATATCATACAAAACCAATAAAGAAAATGGGAATTTGTTAAGTACTATTTATAAATGTGTGCGTGCATTGCATCGGATGTCCTTTTCCTTTATAACAGAACCCACATGTTTGCTTTTTGTGGCTGCTTTGAAAACAGTTTGACAATAATATACACCATATTTTGTGCGGATCCTATCACATTAGTTAGATTTCCATTGGCCAATTTATAAAATTAAGCCGTTTCTAGACCATCAGATTTTTAACGTGTGGTGAGCATAACTGACCCTTTGAAATAAACAAATGATCATTGGTAGATGGATAGATAGGTTATGTGTGAAACTAGTGACAAATGGCAGAAAGGCCAGGTCAGGTATGAGACACAATTGGGTCAAGTTGAAGATGACGTACCAACGAGAGCTAACCTAAGGCTAAGGTACTTTGGTCCTGTGGGCATTAATTTTCTTAAGCCAGTTCAATCAAAGAAGAGGAAAAAAAAGGGGGAAAACAAAAAGTAAAAAAGAAAGAAAAGAAGAGAAAAGAAAAGAAAAGGAAGCATAAATTCATGTGAAATTTCTAAAGACTCTTTGAGGGCCATATGACAAGGTTTGTGTGCAGTACATTACTATACATGGCTTCAACCAGCGCACGATCTGGCCTACCAGTTAAAGACCAACAATGATTCAAGTTTTGCATATGGAAAAGTAGGAAATGGTTTATTACCAATTGGTACAAATACCTAGTCCCAACTTAAAATTTAACTCAATTTATTTTTATGATTATTTTATAATATAATATTTAACAAATTTAAATAAATTTAAAGTTAAAAATTTAATATTTATAACTTCTCTTATTTTTAAACGAGCAACAATCTTTATAAAAAAAAAATTGACATAAGAACATGTCAAATCCAAAGATGATTTCTTACTGTAAATATACGTTTATTCGAAAAATGTATATTTAATATTTTGTTAATATATAAATATTATATACTATCAATTAACCTTACATCGATGTCTAGTATATACACAATGACTGTAAGTCAAATATAAAACATTATTGAATTTGCCACATATAATAAAGTAGTTGAACTGTAACAGCTTTATGCCATGGACCCAGGCTTATGCTGTGGACCCAGGCTTCTTTAATTCTTTTTCTTCGTATCATTATGCATTTTTTAAAATCAAAATTCATGGAAAGAATCATACAAGTCCCTATGCCACTATGCTATATGCCAATCACTCAAAATTCTTTCTTTACCTAAAACAAGGTCTGTATCTGGTCATGGAAAGAAACATCAACATTGAGAATGATGCTCATCATAACAATTTGCTTAATTCTTCTTCCGTCATCTCTACCACCGCCACCTCCTCTTCCACTTCTTCTTCCTCCACATTCTCGTTTTCGGGTTCTTCTCATCGAAACAAGAAAACTTCAAAAAACAGTGTAGCTCCTAAAGGGTCGAAGAAAGCTGGAGACTTGGAAAATGATGATGAGAACAAGAAAAGGCACAGGACTAGTGATGATGATAGCAAACATCCGACATACCGTGGAGTACGAATGCGAAGCTGGGGCAAATGGGTGTCTGAAATCCGAGAACCAAGGAAGAAATCAAGAATATGGCTTGGAACATACCCCACTGCAGAAATGGCTGCTCGAGCCCATGATGTAGCCGCACTGGCCATTAAAGGCCGCTCGGCTTACCTTAACTTCCCTGAACTTGCAAAGGAACTTCCACGCCCTGCTAGTACGTCTCCCAAGGACATCCAGGCTGCTGCTTCGCAAGCAGCTGCCTCAACATTTCCCGAGACAAGGCGATGCTACGTTGAAGCTGAGGATGAAGCTGAAGTTGGACCAAGCCAAGAAGAACTTCCTGTTTCACATTTGTCGCACACTTCAGCAGCCTCAGTCAACATGCAAGAATCATCAAGTTCACCCTCTATCGATGACGACGACACCGTGTTTGATCTGCCTGATCTCATGATTAATTCCATGGATCGAAACGATGGTTTTTGTGCTTATTCTTCAACATGGCAAATATGTGCAGTCGACGCTGGATTCCGGATTGAGGAGCCATTCTCCTGGGAGTACTACTAGGAAATAGAGATCATCATTTCAGTACATGGTCAATATTAGCTCTAACTTTCAAAACTTCACACAATAATCCTCTGCATTCCCTGAGCAGAAGGAAACCAATAAGGAAATTAAACTTGCTTTCGAATCGTGAATTTGGTGGTTTCTTTTCTACTTTGGTTCTGAGAGGTACAAAAGGCAGTAGCGATGTTCGCAGCTTTGTCTACAGTTGCTCAAAAAAAATGAGAGAGATAAAAGGGTTAATCTCCACTGTAAAATATGAGCACGGGACATATATAAACAATTAATAAATGCCGAGTTTCTTCTTTGTGAGTGTAATTCGTGCGTGTTAACTGTACTTCACTCCAACTTTGTTTTTATATTTTTGTTTAGCAAAAACAAGAAATTATTCTTATGAACTTCACTGCTAATAACTTTACAGCTATAGTAGCCACCTTGCTATATCCAGATACCTCATTTTAATGGAACTTTCGACTCAATTAACTACAAAGAGGCTAGTTAATTACCTTTTAAAAAAAAGATACCCTTCTATGTCTATGGGTTGGAAAAAGACCCAAAGAAAGAAACATCCATCATATGGTGAATGATTTCTTGGCAAAGTTCTTTCTGTTCAAGGAATTGTTGAAATACAATGAACAAAATTAAAGGTGATGGAGGAATAGTTGTGCTTTTGGCCAACACCACTCTTTCTTACCATCATTTGGCAAAAGGAAACCATTTGAGATTCCCAAGCTGTTTGGACACACTCGTACACATGTAGAAGAACCCAAACGAGGTGACAGTATAATCTAACTGAAGTTATTTCACAAGTTACAAAATATCCTTCAATTTTTTTTTTGGCCAAAGGGTATCATGTGGAAAAGTATAGGGCCCTATCCCTATAAATTGTCTCAAGCCACTATTTCTTGGTGACAATGACATCGCCTTCATTATCTCCTCATATTCAAGTAGCCATTGGCCAAAGATTTCAGAACAGACAAAATATATGGTAAACCAAGTGATATATTAAGAGACCCACAAGTACCTAATCATTTGGGTTAAATTTTTGTCTTGAGTAGGAATTATTGGGAACTGGGTTTCGGTTCGTGTTAGTTATAACTACGAAGAATACAACGACGGAAAAGACAAGGATAACAAGTTAACCATCTGGGAATCTTACGACTATCGACGGGGGCAATTATTAGCAGTGATTCATCCTTCTTTAAATGTGAGTACCATTTTTTTAACGGGACCAACTGGCCTAAATTAATCACTTGAAGGCGACACTGATAACGTTATTGATCAGAATCCTAAACACAATAATTGGAAGTAAGTTTTCTAGTGAGTTGTGAGTACTGCTACACCAATATAAAATAAAAGCTTCATCAGTGGTAGAGGAAGAAATTAAAGATGTCGATCTCCTAGTCTCCTATTTACACCATTTTTTTTTTAATCAGTGGCATGTACATGTGGAGAAAATTTGGGCATTATGTTTCTTCAATTGTCAGCCAGATCCTAGACAAGGGTAATTTTATATGACATCTTTTCACCGGAAGAAAACTTTAGGGTTCCAAAATAAAGGTTAGAAATTAATGGTTCATACATATAAAATGCCTAAATTCATGAGGAAATTGATAGTCCTGCTACAAACTTTGAGTACTCAAACATGGTTGAAGATCATATATGCATGACAAAATAATTTGGATTTCTCTTCCTGCACTTATTATGAACCAGAAAAAACAATTGAGATTGGTTGGGACATCATTTTATTTGACAACTCTGTGGCTTACGGCCATAATGACCTGTATAAATCGAATCTTAAGTTCTTGTAGGATAGATGCTATGTACGAGAAAAACATTCCCATGAGACCTTTAAGGTTGATCAAGGCTGGCCACCTGCTGATGACGCAGCAAGTAATATTTTCAATTACTATTATATCGATAACGACGTTTGCATGAGATATAATATAGCTAAGGCTTTTCGTATGTCTTAAATCACAAACTTTTGCGAGCTACTTTTTTTTTCTTTGCCATGCATCCCCTTTTGACTATAACCATGAGAGAAAATGAAACATGGAACAAGAGGAAAACGATAGGGAGAATCTAATGATGAGAGAGTTATGAATTTGATCCACAATATGAATAACTAATTTTAATGATCAGAGTCTAATTAATTAAGATATGGTAACTTAAAATCAATATGTAGGACACAGTACGAACTATAAATGGAATGCAAGTGGAAGAAAAAGGCAAAGAATCCAACATGATTTTTCTTTGAAGTTTGGAAGGCAGTGGTGCATCAAATTCTTTTCCTAAAATCACGATATACTTGTATGCTTTTGATGTACTGTTTCCCTTTCCTTCTATGAGAGAGAAAGAAGCTTAATTTATCACAAATTTAAAGATTAATGCCGACTAGCACCAGGATTTATTAGCTCTTGTCTTTGGACTTCATCATGGAAACTCGCATGCATACCCGATCAAGCGATTTCCATCACTGCGGCTAATACATTTTCCTTTCTTTCTTTTAGTAAAATACCTTTAAAACCTATATTTAGAGTTTTTTTTTTACAGGCATTTTGGTCTCTAATTTTGGTTTCGAATCTTTATAGCAGCAAGATATATATATATATATATATATATACATATATATAATTTTTAAATCCAAAATTTAATTCAATTTATTCATATAATTATTCTTAAGAGGTGGGATTTAACAGGGTTTGATGTTTAGTCTTTGCATTTATAATCTCTTTTCATATCTTTGATTGTGACCTTCTTTATGTAAAAAAAAGCTTGACAAACTTTATGATAAATAAGCAAGAATTTTTATGTATGATATTGCTCAAAAATTATAATAATACAATAAAGTCACAAGCCATTATTGATCTCCAAATGGGATTATTAATTATAGAGTGCCAATTAATGATCACCACATTCATATGCCCAACATTAACTTCCTAGCAAATCTTTATATATCCGTATTTTGAAGATCATATAGGCATCTAACGGATGAATTTATACCCCTACACAAATTCAAATGTGAAAAATGAGCAAATACTTTTTTTTTTATTTATATTTTTGTGTAGTTATTTTGAATGGAAAGAAATTGTAGCTAACTTATGGAACTACCCACATATACAGTACCAAAAACTCAAAACTACCCAACAGTAATATAGATTGGCTGCAGGTCAAAGGATCACCAGATTAGTAAAAAGTGTTTGGGTCCATTGAGGAACTAGCATGGCAAATGCAAAATAAGGCATCTCTTTGAACAAACAAAACTGATATTCTTTGTTGGTGTTTAACATTTGAGAGAGAGAAAGGGATCGAGAGCATGTGCATGAACTGAAAAGACAGAGTGGAATAATAAGATTGACATGGATGGATCAAAACTCATGTTTCTCTTGCATCCAAAATGGAAATTAGAAAGAAACAAACACTACATTTTCTTTTTTAAAAGTAGCTCTTCATCTTCGCCAGCTGCATGCAAAGGTACAACAAGGGCTAATTGTACATGAAGTTGATTGATCAGAGTGAAATTACATTGTCCAAGTGGCCTTGGCTGCAGCTTCTCATATGATATCATAAAAACCAGTCGAAATTGATTGATCAGCAATTGAAAATTTCCTGCTAACAAACCTGGAGAAAATCTCCATTAATTGTGATCTCAATTAATTAACCTAGTTACCATCTAATGTTACTGTCATAATAAATGGTCCAAAGCATAGTACTATTATGCGCCTCCTGATCTGAATAGCTCTATTCACTACAACAAATCTGGCAATTTGTGACTTTTTTTTAAGTGACGCATTATAATTTGTCACGTAAAGTATGTAATAGGTGACGAAAAATATATTTCGTCACACTTTTATATTGTTTTGATATTTTATATGATGATATATAAAATCGTCACATGATAATATCACCAAAATCTTGTCGCCAAATTTTATCACTAAATTTATTTGATGAAAAATATTTGTGACGTTTTTTATTTTAGGTGACGCTACAATTTTATTATCAATTTAAAATTATCTGTGACGAAATGTTTTTGATAGATTTTAAGTGACGTTATTAATTTTTGTCATAAATTAAACACTTTAGTTAACTATTAATGATATTGTAATTTCGTCACGTTAATGCATGATGGTATATGATGATAATATAAATGTCACAAAACTTTGACCACTAAATTTATTTTGCGAAAACTTTTTTATGACATTTTTTTATTTTAGGTGACGTTTAAATTTTGTTACTAATTTAAAATTTTATTCGTGACAAATTTTTTTTAATAGATTTTAAGTGACATTATTAATTTTTGTCACAAATGGAACACTTTAGTTAACTATTAATGACAATGCAATTTCGTCACCTTTATTTTATGGTATTATATGACGATAACATAAATGTCACAAATTTTTACTATTAATTTTATTTGGTGAAAAAATTTTTTTATGACGTTTTATAATTAATCGACATTATAATTTTATCACCAATTTAAAATTTTATCTGTAACAAATTTTTTTTGATAGATTTTAGATGATGTTATTAATTTTTATCACAAATTGAATACTTTAGTCATATCAATATATGATATTATATGACGATAATTTAAATGTCACAGACTTTTATCTTCAAATTTATTTGATGTAAAAATTTTTATGATATTTTTTTTATTTTAGGTAACGTTATAATTTTGTCACTAATTTAAAATTTTATATGTAATGAATTTTTTTAATAAATTTTAGGTGACGCTATTAATTTTTTCACAAATTGAACACTTTAATTAACAATTAATGACATTACAATCTCATTACATTTGGTGTTATATAACAATAATATAAATGTGACTAACTTTTACAGTCAAATTAATTTGATGGGATATTTTTTGTGACATTTTGGATTCTAGGTGATGTTATTTATCCATCACTAATAAGTTTAAATGAATGTATAATTTGTACGTGACGATTTGACTTAACTTATATATACCTATTATTATACCTATTTAAGAATATATATATTTTTACTGAGCATAATTTATTTATGTATTTATATATGAAAATTTTATAATTAAAGAAAACGAATTAAATATTATATTTAATAAAAATTTTAAAATACGCATTTTGCTTATAATTTTAAAAGAAATTTTAAAAATTTAAAATTTTCTAATTTAAAAAATTTGTTAAAAGAATTAAAGTAAGAAATTATTTTTAAATATATATGTATAAAAAAATTTTAAAATATTTTTAGGGGTCATAGCCCCTTAAGCTTTAACGAGGCACTGCTTTTAAGAATGGATGATACTCTACTCATCCATATCTTGCCCATTAATATATTTACTTAGACATTGAGACATTGATGCTATTGAGATTAAATATTGTCAATAAACAAGTTCACATAATTTTATAATGTATAATATATTTAAGTAACATTAACATAAAAAATTTATCACAACTTAAATTTTTAAACTTCAGCACGCCAATGTATATAAAATGATAATTGACTATTTTATTAAAATTCTTATTGCTACTAGCAAGATTGTAATAATGGGATCATAAGTTGAATCGGATGTAAATTTAATCAGTCAATTAATTACTAAGCTAATGTCTTTTAAGATTAGAAGGAAATCAAATACTTCCTTAAAATCAAATATGACAGACTCTTTTATATAAAAAATTTTAAGAAGTCTAATATTTCCTTGGAACCACAAATTATAACTTTTATATAAAAAGTAATTTTAATTAAAATTTCCCTTAAACTCCTAAACTACACCATCTTATTTTCTTTTATTAGGTTTTTCTCATTCCCTCCAAAACCCATGCTAATTACAATCTCGTGAATAGACGGCATGCTAAACACCTGGTTAATGCTCTCCTCTACTCTCATTTGCTAAACTTTCTGCCACCAGATGCAAGACCGTTACTGGTTTTCATCAATAAGAAGAATGGCGCGTAGCGTGGGGATTCCCTCAGGCAACGCTTGAACCGGGTTTTAAATCCTGTTCAGGTTTGATTGATTAGGCATGAATTTTCCTTTTTATTTATTGGTGATGGGGGTGTGGTAGTTGTATGGGGGGAACTATGGGCCAAAAAATAAATGAAATTTCCAATTTCTTTCCTGACTTTTTTTAGTCCCAAAACTGATGAGATTAATTAATGTGGTATTTGTGTATTTTTATGCAGATCCTACAGAGGCATCTACATGATTTAGATTCATTTTGGTCTATGTTTTATTGTGATAATTTTTGTGTTTTCTAGTGATCTGATCTTATTTGGTTGTCCAATTCAATCTTGCTGTAGTTACCTCAATATACCTGCAGTTTATGAATAAAGTGCTTTATGCAAGAGATGGTGCTTAGAGTATAATGGATAGGACTTTTACAGATTTTCCTCGGCAAGTTATAGTAGAAGTGGATGGTGTTGAGATAGAGGTCCCTGAGGTATTGCATGCTAGCTTTTATTTAGTTACATTTGTGAAAATATAGATATGATGTGATGATAGTTCAAAAGAGATTTTCTTTCTTGAGCCTTCTATATATATATATATTGAGCTTTTTTCAGTTGGAACAACAGTTGCACATTTGATTTGATCTTTTGATTATTTTTGAAGAAGTCATTCCTTTTTTTCCTTTGAGAAAAAGATATCTAAAAGGTTACAAGATCTATTTTTCTGTTAGTGAGTCTTCCCTTAAAGCTGTTGTTTTTCATTTTTTGTTTTCTAATTCTCTTGGTTTTATCAGTCCAAACGCTCTCAAACTTATTTTTGGTTATTTAATAGTTTCTATGTCTTTTCCCCATCAGAAGTTTCTTTTTTTTTTTAGAGTGTTTATACATTGATGCTAAAGAGTTTTAATGGTGCAAATAACTATGGATTCTTATCACTGTGGATTTTATGATGTTGTTCTAAATCTATACAGGATGCAGAAGGTGTGCTTGTTGCAAACATTGGAAGCTACATGGGGGGTGTAGACCTTTGGCAAATTGAGGATGAGACATATGAGAATTTTGATCCCCAGTCTATGCATGATAAAATACTAGAGGTCGTGAGCATATCTGGAACTTGGCACCTTGGAAAACTGCAGGTAATCTATTCTCTTAAGGAAAGCGAAGCTGATGCTTTAGTGTTAAAATTGTCTGGCATTTTCAAAGGCATATGATTTCAAGTTGTATCTAATTTGATTCAATGCATTTTGGTTCCTTCTTATTTGAGCTCTGGAAGTTTGACATTGAAGTCTTGACGTGGAATATGTTTCTTAGCTGCTACTTTGTGCTATGACAGGTGGGTCTTTCTCGTGCACGAAGACTTGCACACGGACAGTCAATTAAGATACAGCTCTTTGCTGCATTGCCTGTTCAAATTGATAGAGAACCTTGGTCTGAGCAGCCATGTACATTGCTGATATCACATCATGGACAGGTCCTCTCTCTCTCTTTCATGTACGCATGATATTATACAGCTTGATTCCTTGCAGAGTACTTGGTACATCTTCCAAAGAATTATAAAAGAATCAATTGGCAAGTATTTTCGTTCAGCAAATTTGGCCAGAGTGAAAACTTTTATCTATGATATCTTTTTGTCTACCTAATAAATTAGTGTATCATGTTAGTGTTCTAAATTCAAACTACCTTAAATTTTTTTCAAGAAACCTTATATGATTGTCATTCATATTTGTTGTACTTTATTGATACATTCCTTATTTTTACAACTATATGATTTGGGCAGGCCTTCATGTTGACGATGACAGCTGATGAACCTCTAGGTCATGCAACGGTCGTAATAACGGATGTGCTTGAGAGTGCTGAAACAAATCACATAATTAACGCTTCATAGAAGTGAGCTTTTCTTCAAGAAATGGCATTAAGGCTTGCTTACAAAAAGATAAAGCATAATATGACGTTTGATTTTATTGTTACATTTGACGTTATCTTATAATTATTTGTAACAATAATTATGTTACTAATATTATAATGATTTATCTTTTGTCATTAATATATAAGACTTTATCATTTATTTTGTAATGATTATAATATTTAATGACGTTCTTTTTTATGAATAGTTGACGAAAAATAATGTCATATAAAAAAAAAGTATAAGTTGATGTTTGATTTTATTGTCATGTTTGACATTATCTTATAATTATTCGTGATGATAATTGTCTCACCAATATTATGACGATTTATCTTTTGTCACTAATATATTAGATTTTATCATTTATTTTGTGATGATTATAGCCTTTAATTATGTTTTTGTTTATAAATAGTTGACGAAAACTAACGTTACAAAAATTAACATATAAGATGACGTTTGATTTTATTGTCACAGTAAACATTATCTTACAATCATTGGTGATGATAATTTTATCACTAATATTGCAACAATTTACCTTTCGTCACCAATATATCAAATTTTCTCATTTTTTTGTGACGAATATAGCCTTCAATAACTTTTTTTCATAAATAGCTGACGAAAACTAACGTCACAAAAAAATATTGGATGACGTTTTATTTTATTATCACAATAGATTCATAATAGGTGATGATATTTTATTATCGTTATTTTAGATCTTTAACGACGGTGCAAACGTGACAAACTTCATGACGTTTAATTTTTTGTCACGAAATATATAAGGTGACAAAAACTAAATATTTAGTGATATTATTCTATGCGTCACTAATTACCAAATTTATTGTAGTGATTCCATAATTCAGTCGACATAAGACCGAAAGCAAGCTAGTGTCTTTGTCAAATAATGTAGCACAAATTAACGTTCTTGTTTCTTCTTACAAGAGAACATGGCGATCATCAATGTTGTTTTTTTTACTTGCAATGTGTGTGTATATATATATATATATATATATACTACATTTGTGTTTCGTGTGATATGTTAGTAATGTATAAAACATTTAATTTTAATAATCAAAATTTAATCTTTGATAATATCAAATAAAATAAATAATAATTACTTCTTTTCATTTTTTTTACTATCTTTACTTTTTTTTTTTTTTGAGTGTCTTTTAAGGCAACTCAAGATGGATTTTCTTGGGAGACTAAATTTTTAAACAAGGCTGAAATACATAGTCATAGATATAAGATGATTTGCATTATATTATGTAGTATTAAAATTTAGGAGAATTTGCATTGTTTAAATTAGGACAAGTATCAATTCTAAAAATATTTTTTTTTTTGGGTAAAATTTTCTAGAAATAATTTACAAGAATAAACTCTTCTTATGTAAAATATCATAGACTCTTCTCTTACTATTTCCTAATATAAGCATATAAGAGTGTATTTGATATATAAGATTATGATAAAATATGATAAAATAATATTATAAATATGATTAAATTAAATAATATTATTTTATTTTATATTTGATAGGTGGAAGAAGTAGAATAGAATAATTTTATTTATTGATCACAATAATATTTCTTTAAAGTTTAGACAATTTAAATTATTAATATAATTTTTAAGATTATAACTAAGTTCAATTTCATGATTTAAAAATAATTCTCTCAATTTTGAAAAGATTCAATTATCTTATATTAAAAAGATAATTAATTTTTTTTACAATTATATCTTTTATATATATAAATTAAATATAATATAAAATAATTATTATCGTATTTTGTTCATCATTTTATGCATTAAAACTTATATATTTATCACAATTCTTCAAAATAAATACATAAACCAATCATAATTGATATATTTATTTATTTTTGAAAATTATAATTTGAGAATAAAAGAGAAGATGATTAATTGTATGTTTTTTTATAAATATTTTATGAATCAATTAAATTAAATTTTGAGTTAAATTGATATGATTATTTGACTACCAATTATTTATGAATTACTGGTTCTAATAATTAGTTCTAAAAACCTTTACTTTTTTCAAGTTTTAATGGCAAAGATTTTTTTTTTTTTAATTTCTCTTTGAGAAATTGAGGTTTGACTAATCGATCAGAGCCGTCCGTTGCAAGGACTTGAAGGGTGGGACCTTGGCGATGACCAACTTCGCCAAGTAGGCAACGAGCTCACGGATAGGAGAAGCTATGCGCCACATTGTATCCTTTTTCCCCTTCCAGACTCAACACAAGGCAACGCAATCGAGAATCCCTTTCTCCGTCTAACTCGTCCGTACGGATCTCTAGGGTTTCAAACTTCGTCTTAGATTGAATCGCTAGGGTTTCGATTCTCTTCTCTTCTCTGATCCTATTTCGAATTGAATTAGGAAATTCGAAAAATATGGTGCTTTCTCAGAGGATTCACGAAGCATTCAAAGGAACAGTGGAGAGAATAACAGGGCCGCGAACCGTCTCTGCTTTTAAAGAGAAAGGAGTTTTGAGCGTCTCCGAGTTCATCCTTGCCGGCGATAATCTCGTCTCCAAATGCCCTACCTGGTCTTGGTATTTTCTTCTCCATTCTTTCAAATTTTTTTTTTTAAAGAAAAAGTTTCCAACTTTGTTTTTGATAGTTTTATAATTATATGAATAAATTTTAATCTTCATATTGGATATCGATATTAATGGATTATGATATGGTAAATTTTGAATTTGGTGCCATAATTCAGGGTATAACAATGTAACTCGGTCAATTGTTATGAATGTTAGGGAATCAGGAGAGCCAAGCAAGAGAAAGTCCTATTTACCGGCAGAAAAGCAATACTTGATTACTAGAAATGGTAAATTGACCACCATCTTACTTAAATTCCCATTGAATTGCATATCATGATTAGTAGTAGTAATATTATTTGGTGATTTTGAGGTTAGTCCCTTGCCTAAGGAGGGCTGCATCGGTTGAAGAAGAATATGAAGCTGCTGGAGGAGAGGTTCTTCTTGATAATGAAGACAATGATGGTTGGTTGGCGACTCATGGGAAACCTAAAGGTATCTTCTTCCTTGACGTGGTTACTTGTTTTGAATCTAAGATGAAAATTTGGACTTTATACAACTTCTCTTCTTGACAGATAAAAGTTACGTGGAAGAAAACTTGCCTTCAATGGAGACTTTAGAAATCAAGCAGATGGAGACTGTAAGATCAATACCTTCATATTTTGGGGGTGGTGAAGATGAAGAAAATATACCCGACATGGCTGATTATGAAGAAGCTGACAATGTTATTGAGACTGATGCAGTAAGTCTTAAGAAACTTATTTGATGTCAGATATTCTTGCTGGTAACTGGTTTTCATTGCATTATTGTTATTTTCATTTTGTAAACAATTGCTGTAGATTAGCCGTTAATAAGAGTTGAAAGCTTGTCAACTAACTTCCTATACTAACTTAACGCTACATATCTTGGTTAAATTTTGGAGAAAAAAAAAGACAGTAGAAAGGGAAAGGAAATGAAAGATTATGCTGTGATAAGGTGCACGGATCTAGCTGTTAACTTGTTTTATTGCTTAACAAACCTATCCTGATGGACATGGATTCTAATTTCTTCTGCATACCATAAAGTTTCAAATATTTGTGTACTGATTTTATGTTTCTATGATCAATGCAGGCAACTTTACAATCAACATACCTTGTTGCTCAAGAGCCTGATGATGACAATATTTTATGGACCCGAACATATGATGTCAGTATCACGTAAGACAATTGTGATGTCTGTAAATGTGCTTAGAATTTGTTGTCTGAATATATATTTTTCATTCCGGAACATTGTCACTTGAGCATTTCTTAAGTTGATGTCAAACCTATATCTTATGATGGCTCAAACTTGCCAAACGTTATCTTATTTGCAGGTATGATAAATACTATCAAACTCCTCGTGTCTGGCTTACTGGGTATGACGAGGTAGGTGTTGGAGTTGGAGATTACGGCCATCCCCCCCCCCCCCCCCCCCCAAAAAAAAAAACTGCCTTTACTGATTCCTTATAAATATATATATATATATATATATTTGTTATTGCAAATGTTAAACTAATCAATTTGGCCGCAAATCATTGTCCTCATCTGAATTTGGTCATAGTCAAGGATGCTTTTACAACCAGAGCTTGTACTAGAGGATGTTAGTCAGGACCATGCACGCAAAACAGTATGCAGTACTTACCAATTCAAAATTTTATCTTTCAATCATTCTTAATCGACAGGAATATATTCAACTTCCTGATCAAATATTATTTTTCTGTATAGAAAAATGTCTTACTCTATACTGCTTTATCTGTATACAGGTTACTATTGAGGACCATCCCCACTTACCTGGAAAGCATGCATCTGTACATCCATGCAGACATGGGGCTGTGATGAAAAAGATCATTGATGTTCTGATGTCACGTGGAGTAGAACCTGAAGTTGATAAGTAAACCTTTTGGTTCCTCATTTTAGTACTATATTGGTGTGAAAACGTGTGCAAGTGTGATAACTATTTGGTGCAATGACTGTCATCATATTTGTTTTCTTACCCTCTTGAAAATGCAGTATACTACTTTAACCTTCTATAACCTACTAAATAGCTGTGCAAAAACATGTGTTCTTTGGGTGCTTGAGTGCAACTAATTTAATTGTTACTGTGAACCAATTCTTTCTGTTAGTTTTTACCATGGGGTGACTTTTTTTACTAATGAATCTATCTCCAACTCAACTATTGCAGGTATCTTTTCTTGTTCTTGAAATTTGTAGCCTCTGTAATCCCAACAATTGAGTATGACTACACCATGGACTTTGATCTTGGCAGCTCCAGTACGTAATTAGAGGTAACTATCAATAACTGAAGGTTTTCTTGGCTTTAGATCTAATTATCTAATCAGTAGTTTCATAAGCAGTTTGTGTTGAGGTTAGCAACACCTTCATTTTTTTCTCTTTGGGTCTATGTACCACCTAAAACCTGCTCTTTCCTTGTACTACTTTACATGGTCAATTTTGAAACTCTAGTACTACTTATCAGTTCATAATACTCAGTAACGCAAAAAATCCTGATGAAGTATCTTTTGAAACTCCAGTACTACTTATCGGTTCTTAATACTCGTAACCCAAAATTTATTGATGGAGCATCTTTATGCCTGTACAATTTACGTTCTCTAATGTGCTACTTAACTGAATTGAATCCTATTGTAGGATTATACAGCTGTGTAAATTCTGTTATACCTGTAATGCTGAAGCCTCTGCTGGTGTCTCCAATGCTTCCAAGTGTACCTAGCGCTTGATAACCACCCCTCCTTGCATGCGCTGCTTGACAGAATTAGAGAGTCCTGCTTCGCATGTTTGTTCATAAACTACTCGGTCATAACACTTGTAAATACGACCTCTGTTTTCATACTGAAACTTTCTTTTCAACATTGTTATTTGGAACATTGTCCGTGCCACAAATGTTATTTGGTATACCGAGTAGTTGATTGTACGTGGCAAACTTAATTTGGGATTGTGAATCAATAATGCTACTATACATTTGTTGCTACATAAACCAATAGTACTTGATTGTTGAGTGTGAATGATTACATGCTAGAAAATGCTCCAAGTTCACAAAATTTCTAGAGAGGAAGCTGGAACACTAAATAAATTTGCTTACAGCACATGTAATGATATAACATAATCCTTTTATAAACATCAAACAGCCCTCTCCATTATCAATGTTCACTAATGCTTTCAACTGCGTAAACCCATGGCATCCTTCAATCAGAACAAGTAGACAAATTGTAATCCTGAACGCAAAGAGAGACTGATCAAACAAACATTTGTATTATGTCTTCATTAAAACTGGTCATACTTTAGTTATCACTTACAAGTCGGTTTGTAATGTATTCGGCATAGATAATGAAGTGTTGCTTCATAGTAAGATCGCTACTGCTGCCAATAATTTGAGTCATTGCCAAAATCCAGTCATATGTACTCATTTTCATTACTACCTTGAGGAAAACACAAAATCATAGCTAGTTAAATTCAAAGAAAAAGGCTTATGATGCACATACAAAGATTCTCTTTCTCTAGAATAAATAAAACAAAGAAAATCTGATTTTTTTTTTCTAACAGGATACTGTCACAACCAACCAAAAATATACAAAAGGAAAAACTGACGATACTAATAACATGCTATTAGAATCTGTGCAGCCAAAAACTGGAATAACACTCCCAACTGATTTCAGTATCAACTCAATGCCAACTTTCAATGTAGTGAACCAAGGATTTTTTTCTTTTTTTCTTTTTTTTTTTTTTGGGGGGGGGGGGGGGGGTGGGGGCGCATAGCATTGTAAATTTTAGTTCATTATTCATCCACGAAACGTTCATGGCTCTGGATATAAAATTTGATCAATTCCGACTAATCTGCAAATAATAACTTGAAAGATTCCAGTGACTCCAAGCATTTAAATGAAGAGGCAAACATCATAAATACAAGAAAATCAAGTCAAACCAACAACTTGGAGCCAAACAAGCAAAATCTGAGAGGATTTGCACTGACCAAATGGACAGGAACCCTCTAGTTCCTGTCAAGATTCTTTTCTAACAACTCTCTAATATAACAATACATGGGAACCTGTGACTGTCCATGCGCCAGGAGTTGTCGCATGCTTGCAAGACGTTGGCTGAATCTCATGGACAAGCAGTTCTGATGAGAGCTCGAATATCAGATATAAACAGGTTTAACATCATTAGCACCAAAGCTTGCAGCACACACTGGACACTTGCGGTGACGACTGTCAGTAATTTTTTGTACACAAGGGTTGCAGAAGAGGTGGTAGCATTTTGTAATGACAACCTGAAGAAGGGACAAACAATCAAGCAAATATAGAGAATAGATGAAGAAAAAACTTTTGAAACAGAATAGCTATAAAAACAATGTTAAAAGAGAATTTCTTCTCTGAGAACAAATGCAACAGGTACAAAAAGTCAAAAACCATTCTTGATTCAGTCAAATGGCACAGAAGCACCCTAACCTATTGTCCTTGCAAAAGAGAATAAAAGCACAAGCCACAAAAATAAAGGGCCTAGTTGGACAATTGCCACCTTGAAATACTAAGTCAGGATTGCAGATTTACCTCTTTCGGTCTGTCAAGACAGATACCGCACTTCAGTATTTCCTTGTACTCTCTAAGTTCTTTTTGAAGCCTTTCTAAAATTGAGGATCCTTCAATCTCAGCTCGAAGACGTAACACCTTTCTTCTCACCACTTCCAGTTCCTCTTCAATTCTTTTCTTGCTAAACCTAATAGATGAAAAAAGTGAAAAAAGTGAAAAAAGAGAAACATGAATTCACCCTATGCACTTAGAACAAACTGAAACATAGAAAATACTTATAAATGCACTTACATTTCCCTCTCTAATTCTATCTGCAACTCCACCAGTGCCACTCTACTTTTCTCAATCTTTGATTGTGAGTCCTCCAGTGACTCCCTTGCCTGATGAGATGATCTTCTCAAATCTGACAATCGCTTTTGTGTATTTTCCAATGAAACTGAGTATTGAAATCTTTCTTCTGATAGTTTATGAACCTGGTCTGAGCAGACCCTCAGCTGCAAAAGGAACTGCTCAAGACTCAAAAAAATCATATTACTTCTACAAGATTGTTTCATACAAAATAAATCAAGAATACCTGATCCTCAATTCTTGCAGCTTTCATCTCATAAAACTCAAGGGATGCACTGGCTTGCTGAATCTCCTTCTCCATGGTATGTTTCTCGAAAGTTAGAGCATCATGCAGCTGTTTTGATCTCACACCTTCCAAAACAAGCTGAAAGAGGACCATTGAAGCAACAATGTAAACGTCAAGAAATAGCATGACGAAACTAGAAGCCTGAATCCTTTACAGGAATAGGTTATAATGAAACCGCAGATATTGACTGCTCTTCCAGTTTTAAAATAAGTACATTCAACCACCTTTATATAAAAATTACAAGTCCAATATCACCATTTTTAAATGTCAGTAATATTTGGCCAATAACACTCTGCCCTGATATATTTGGAGGGTTACACTATTCAGAAATCCCATCTCAATAAAATTTTAACACTAAGGTTATCACAAGTCCAATTAACAGATAACTTGGAAAGAAAAAAATATATGAATCTTCATACCAAGAAATAACGCCCAAATAGAGACTAAGTATTGCACCCAACTTCCCATGTTCTATCTCTCCATGTCTAACTTAAGGAAAATGATGCACTACCTTTCACTTTTTAGTTTTCCATGGTTGGGTTGCAAGTGAAAGTTTCAATTCCTTGCCAAACGTCTTTTGCAATTTGTTATGTGCAAGCATCCATAAGCATACAAGGAACTGTTCACTTCTAAATACATCGCTGGTAGCTATCGATAAGTGGAAACATTGAGTTTGAATAAAAGCATAAAGAGTTAAAAAAAATGAACCATATCTAGTCAGCATAAAGGCATAGTTATAAAAATTATCAAGAGATCCCATCACTTTACAGCAGTAAGCAGCAAAAAAAGAAAAGTGGTAAAATGATACTAATATATAAGCTTTTCAATGAGATCACAGAATCTCAAAAACCAAATAAATTGATTACCTTGATGTTATAGTCATCCCTCTCTGTAATTTGCTGCAATAGCTGCTGGTTTTGTGTTTGCATGTCATCATATGCCTGTCCAATAGACTGAGAAAAAAACCAAACTAACAGGCTCAAGAAAACATCATCATAGTACAGAAGGCAGAGCCAAGAGTAAATAACAAGAAACCAACCTCTATTTCAGATAAATAAGCCTCATTTTCTTCATTTTTTGATTTCAAAGCATCAGAAAGCCTAGCCTTATCCCTGAAATAGTAATATACTTAATGTTTTTCACATGCTTCTCATAAACCCATGGTTTGATAAATAAATGCTAGATGAAAAGATAAATAAAGGAAGCAACTACACTAATACCACGTAAACATTTCCATTATACTTACATCTAGGCTAATGAGAATTCAACAGAATAATGTTCAGTGGAATTGTCTAGGCACATTAAATAAAGAGAAATGACAATTGCAGATTTGCTGGAAAGGTCTAGACAATGTCCTCTTTCCAAACATGAAAAAAAAATTAAGTTTAACCTCTTAGAAGCCTCCAGTTTCTGTCGCAACTCAGCAATTTCAGCTTCTGCAGCAGCCAACCTTTGCTGGGATATCGCTTCAGCTTCATTAGCAGTCTTAACACGTAATTCCAAATTTTGCTCATCAAGACAGGATTTCAAACTTTGAACATGAGTCCATGCCTTGTATTCCGAATCCCTCGCCTCCAAAACATCTCTGCAATCAAGGAAAGAAAAAAAGTAAGAATTGGGAACTACACATCAAGAATAGAACCATATCAAGGGTTGCAAGATCAGTAATGTTACTCTAGGTTATTTGTACAACTGAAGTTGAACAAATAACCCAGAATAACAATACTCAATAATTGTTTGAAATATCAATTATATAAAATCAAAATTCCAAATATCAAAGATGCCAATAATCAAAACCTAACCTGTAAACATAGTAAAACCTACATATATGAAAGCAGGCTATATACATTTATAAAACCTATATATATAAGCTCCATAAACCCAAGTTTTAAGCTCACAGGAAAATAAAGCCCACCTAACCCAAATAAAGACATAAAATAAACCAAACAAACAAGTCCACTAATAAATTAAATCCTACTTCTTAATTTAGGTCTAGAATAGACTTTCTTCCAAGTTTTGGAAGAATGTTATCCATCATCAACTAATAACACAATATAACCAGAGGTAGCATATTGTAACCAGTGTAACATAAGATATGCCAGCATTCTCTGGAACCTTCGCTGACAATAATTTCCAAAAATCATAAAGTTAAAATACAGAAGAAACAGATGCTTATTCTAACTCTAAGCAGCACTTAAGGGGAGAAATATGTGAGAGAGATTTGCCAAAACATTGCTAAGGTACCAAGAAAATTCTATGAAAAATAAAGTCAACTTCCATGCATCAAATTAGATGTGAATTAAATGCAGAAAACAAAAGAAAGCATCTCGAACGGATCTAACCTTGAATCAGTAAATTCCCGTCTATACATCTCCAATATCAACTTCAACTCCACATCACTGTCCTTCAAATCCTGGACCTGTAATAAAAATATATATATACACAAATAGATTTTTCCTTTTCCTGAGAAAAAAAAAAGCATAAAAGCTGAGAAGAGCAGATTTTACAAGTAACATTAGGCGTCTTTTCCTTTAATTTGAACAAGTATCAAATTCCTATCACAGGTTTCTTGAACACAGATTTAATAAAAAAATAATAGAGTAACATTAACCAAGCATACCATGGCTTGCAACTTATTTATCTCAGCAAATTGGTCAGCAGATCTGACAGACAAATTCTCACACTCTTTTGCCTGTTCACAAATAATTATTTAAAAATTATTTACAAGCCCATATAGAAAAAAGATCTTTAAGCCCTAGAAGCAAATCCAGGAATACTCACACAACTTAAAAAGTACAAACCTTCCTATCAAGAATACTGGAAAGAGATTGGACGTCAGCCCGGAGAGAATGAATATCCACAGCAGCCTCTTTGTATTTACCTAATTGACTCTGCATAGAACTCATTTCCTCCGGAAACGAAGAAAGCAATCTTTTAAATTCTGCAATTATTTCCTTTCTTCCTGAAATGCAAATGCATTTTACGCAAAATTTCAGCAAAAGAATAGCTATAAGATGAAAACAGCTGATTTAGAATCAGAGAAAACATCATTTGTCCTCCTACCTGGTTCTCTAGATGCCTCTTCCAGCTTAACTTCAATTCTCTTTCTTTCATCAATTTGTCGCTGTATCTCTGCCCCCAGATGAGAAGCTCTAAAATCAGAAACTGCCGATGATCTCCTAAAAATATCAGCTATATCATTTTTTATACTCAACTCCTTTTCTTTCCAAACGAGGTTATCTTTCTCAACCTAAAAGTTTTAGGAGGGAAGTTATAGTCAGCATTGGAATTGGACACCCTCAATAAAAATACAGACAAAAGGCATAAATGAAACTACCGACCAGTAACAACCTGTAGTTTCTCAAATAAATCTTGATAACGGAAAACTTCAGACTTTGACTTTTCTAGTTGATCTCTAACCAAAAGGTACACTTGGGAAGAAGAAATACTCTTTACACTCTTCAATGTGTTCTGTCCATCAGAAATACCCATTCAATTTTATATGACTGAATTAATAGACTTGCATTTAGAAATACAGGAAAAAAAATAATTCAAAAAAGCAAACCTGCAAATTTGATAACTGCTGTAATATTTTTATCCTTTCTTCATGTAAACCTTTTAGTTCTGTTAGTCGAGAAGAAGCTTGTCCCTGCGCAGGTCAAATTAATCATCCTGATTAATTTTCAGTATCAGCAATTTCACAAGATAACTCAAAGGAAAGTAGGAATTACCAACAGCTCTTTGAGGGAAGACTCCATTTCTTGCAGATCTCTATGCTTATCTTTGACTTTTTCGCCAGCAACATGCTTACCGCCAAGGTTTAAGACAGGAAAAAAAGCCCCTTTCGCTGCATCTCTTTCTGCTTTAAGAGTTGCCAATTTGCAATTACTTTCCTGCAGTTCCACAACCGCACTCTCCAATTCACCTTCAAAAGACAAAGCAAAACACAACAATCAAAATTATTGATACTTCAATGACGTTTCATACCTTGCTAGCTTTAACTGGCATTTGAACAACAATGAAAGGGTTATCTCCCGTTGATTGGCCCATCTACAGCTTTAGAGGGAGATAGCAGTTCACCTAAGGTGCAAGAATTGTGCAGATTGCGTAAATTTACATAATTACATTGCAGGCATGCGTACTGATTTTTGTCCACGCCACCACACACATGCAAGATCAATGTATCATAAATGTGTTTAGAACATATCTATGCATGCTACATCTGCTTAGGTCGTAACCTATAATGTTACATCCAGATAACTGATGCTGTCACAACTGCTGAATGAACAGACCAATTCTGACCACATAAAGAAAGTTACCCTTCAGACGTTTAAGTTCAGCCTTATTCTTTGCATCAATATCTCTATGGCTCTGCAATTCTCTTGCCAAAGATCTGTGTTTCAAATGAATATCAGCTATTGCTAATCTCAAATTCTTAACTTTTGATTCAAGTTCAGTAGATGCCTTCTGCCTGCATGAACCTATCATAAAGAGACATTTAACACAGTTAACTGAGTAATCACTTCAGAAAAGAATTATCAAAAAAATGAAAAAAAGAAGACCATATAGAATACAATATACATTTTCCACTAAACACGTACCATAGTTCGGAAGCTCTTTTTCAACTGCAGCATATAATCCATCCTTCAGGCACCATAGGTCATTCATGGCAAGTACTATATTGTGTAAAATGTTCCTAGTCTTTTCAGAGGCAGTCTGTTCTCTATCTTCTTTCATCTGCTCTGGGCAATTACTGGAAAAGGAACTTTCAGTTGCACCTGTCTCCATAAGTCGGCGAAGAAAAGCATCCTCAGTAGGAGATAGAGCCCCATCTATGTAGCAATGCAAAAGCCTTCTCAGCAAGTATGTATGCCAAAAATTAAAAAACCAAAGATAGACAACAGAAGAATTATGTAAAAGTCCTATAAATCAGAGCTGCCAAATTTAACTCAACCTAGTAATTATAAGTTATAACAAGAAAGAAAGCGTAGTCATTGGAATTATGTTAACAGTTCATTACAAAGGGGCTACAACAATATTAAAAGAATGCAAAGCATGGAAAGATTCTCACCCTCTGTATTTGGTGCACATCCACCATCTTGTCTGCTAGACTCTCTTATGTGGATGGAATGTGACTCCAAGTCGGTAATCAGCTATTGTAAAAGGATAATGTCAAATTCCCATCAAGCAATTTACTAAATAAAGCAAAAACCTAAAAGATATAAATGTGACTACCATCTTTTCTGATAAGCAGAAAATGCATAAAATTGTCTAATAGTTTGGACAGGGTCTTACTGCTTCCCAAGATGTATTCACCACTTTCAATGTAGAGTCATATGGCTTTTGTTTCTCCTTCAGTTGAATGAACTTGTTTTCGAGAGAAGAATACTCGACCTTCTGAGCCTCTATCTTTTGTAGAAGCTTTTGATTTCTATATTGCAAAACTGCAGCATCAAGCTGCATCATAGAAATAAAAAGAAGGTGGCATTAGGAGAAGGTTCAAAAAATACGAGTAAAATGAAGAAAACTCTCCAACTTGTGGCTTGAAGTTTCCGATTCTAAAGGAAGATACTTCACCCAAAAAATTAATGAAGTCCAACTTCCAAATCTCCACAGAGCAATCAACCTACCCAAAACCCAAGCAAAACTCTTCTCCCTCCCCAAAATTATAGTAATCTCCCATAGTCACGTCCAAGCACACCAGAGGACCCAAGAACTAGCAATGTTCAACCAAAAGCAGACAACTACATTGAGAAGATTTGTACAAATAGTTACTACAGTAAGGTAAATGAGATCTACAAAAGGGGTTAAGTAGCATTGGCAGCAAATAAGCTTTCATGAAATCCATGATGACCTAAAATAATAGAAAAATGCTCAGAAGTCAAAAGAGAAACAGAATCATATTTCTGGTATCAATATTTAAAGTTTCAAGCATTAGGTCAAAATCATACATGCACATGCATCTATTCGATCACATAAACGAGATTAAAGTACAATCATGATGCTAAAATAGCAATGCCAAATTTGATACATAAGAAAATAATAAGTAACAGTACAAGCATAAATATTCCACTAATCACTTCAAATCAGAAAATTAACAAAAGTAGCAACAAAGACAGCACCTTTTTCTCCTCAGAAATTGGTGAGAATGGTTGCTTCTTTGCGGCAACAGCAGTGGGCGATATGGAGCTAAAGTGACGCCGTTTTCGGTCAGCCTCACCGGTGCTCCCCATTGAACCCAACCCACACTCACAAACCCTAAAAACCCACCCAACCCAACCTTTATTCACATCAAGGCCAAGTGGAATATCCACTTCAAAAGAAAAAAAAAAAAAAAAAACCTTAATCTTAACCTAATGAATCAAAAATTAGTGGTCATGTAACAAAATCCTAGCCGATTAATCCGTTCGAAAACCCTATTTCCGCAAATTGAAATCCCTAACCGATAGGATTTCTTTTTAAAACCCCAACTATATTGAAAGTTTAATCGGAAACAAAAAAAAAAAGGAATAAAAATCACTTTCTAATTAATTATAATAATAAGAGTTGTTGCAGTTTCTTTCACCCTTTACTTTCTCTCCATCTTTAAAAAGTAAAAATAAAATGAACAAAATAGTTTGGGCTGGGGTTGGGTAAATGGGGGTATTGAATGAATGAGTTTGAAATTTCGTGAATGATAGAAGGGTAGTTTTGGAACTTGTGAAACACTTTTTTTTTTTTTGGTGGTGTGTTTATGCTTACACACACCTGGCAGTTTCTGTTGGAGAGGAATGTCGTAAAGGCTAAGGAGGCGGAAGTGGTGAACAATGACTACGACACAGGGAACGGTACGCAAGAGAGTGAGGGGTGGAATCTGATTGGGTGAACAAGGTGAAAGACTGTTCAATGGAGTGTTTGGTTTGACTTGAGGGTTCTCATTGCAGCGTTGAAACCTTCGCGTCTGTCAGAATGGCGTATTTCCCAACTACAGCAACAGGATTTATATTCCTAAAAGAGATATTGGTGTTAGATTTACTTTTAAAACCAACTGGAACCACATATCTGGTCAACTTGTTGCTGATGTTTTCTATTTCTTTTGTCTCAACTTGCTAACTCCTTTTTCCTTTGCACCAAACAAACGGGTACGACAGAAAGAAAAAGAACTTTATACATAAAGGGGTTTCCCTTCCATGATCTAAATTAAGATACCGTCCGTCCATTTACAAAAATTTATCTCATCAACAAGAACAAATACGTAATTCCAAAACCATAAAAGTGCCAAGAGAAATAATTATAATAGCAGAAAACAAGATAGCAATTAAAGAACTTAGATCTTGAGAATTGAGATAGTTCAGCTATATAAATCAACTCCTTATTCTCTTTGATCATGGTCATACATTTTCTGGTTTTACACCTTTGGCACACCTGGAGTCTGCCTAAATGCTTTCAGCTATATACATGATCAAATCGTATGGCCAAAAAAATTAAGACCTCAAATAACCAACTAGCCTATTACAACCATGCGTAACAACGAGATGAGTGGTCTGTGGTCATACATTTTTCATCCGAGTGTTCATGTTTTCTCTGCCCAACTTCCACAAGCAATGTCAAAAGAGCCTCGCACACTTGCGATGCATCTGCTTCAGAAGGGTCATCCTTCAATGAGGAATAAACCATCTAGGCATGATCTAATTTACGTTTTGGCCACACCACAACAGATCCTCGGAATTCTGGATCACAGTGTATTACGACCCCATCACTCTTTTCACCATATCTGACCTGCAGCAACTGGGCACATGCAGCTGTTGCAGCACCAAGGGGCATAACCACAGGCAGTTGCAGGCTGGCCAGCAGAGAGGGAAGCCATCAACGGTAGCTCTACATAAGCAACGTGACACAATGTTGCCAGAACAGCCAGACTGATGATAGCTTCAGTATGGAAAGAAACAACAGGAAGCTCGCTCGGCAAATGGTGTTTCTGCAAAAATTCCTTCCTCCTCTAGTAAGTCAAGTCTTCCAAAGCTTGCATGTCCCCCTTTACAGTCAGAATGTTTCATGTGAAGAGTGATAGAAAATAAAATGTGAAGGGCTATAAATAATTAAAAGATAATGCAACTACATTTCATCAGAAAGTAGACTCATTTTGGACACAAATCCCTCTTCCATTGAAAAAGAGTTAACAATAACTACACTACCAATGTACCTGCTGGGTTCCTCCCATTTAAACTCAGAAGTTGTAGCAAAGTCATTGCATATGACCATGATGTCAATTATTAATAGAAATTACCACTTGAAAATGGATGGCCACAAATCACAGACTCCTCAGTCTGTCCAGAAGAAAACGCTACTAATTCTTGGGCATATACAATGGAATCCCTCGAATCTCTAGCAGCAGGTTCCACTGCAACATTGCCAAAATATTGCAATTAATTCATCCATAATTCATGGGTTAACTCAATGAGAAGAAATATAGAATTTCAGCATGAAAATGAGATAAGTAACTTCAAAGGCTAAAGATTAGGTTCCAGGGAAAAAGAGAACAAAAAAGAGAAATAAATGGAACTTCTGTAGTAGATAAATATCGAAGGAAAAAAATGGGAGAAATACAAGGTGAAAGGAGAGAACTTACCAGAATAATCAGAAAAATAACCAGTTAAGTAGTTGTTTGTGCAAGATATGAAGCAGCTTCATTTAGAGCTGATAAAGAGGCAAACAACTAAGGAATAAGCCCATCCTTCCCATACCATCATTTTGTGCCTGAAAACAGGATAGCTGTTACTTGTAATTTAAGATAAGGGTGGGCAGATCAGGTCTTAATGTGATTAACAAAGAGTTACAAAACCAACGTACAAAGGAAAAAAAAAATTATAACAACAAAATATGAAGCGATAGAGCTCAATTATTGCAAAAGAGGATCTTAAATCATAGATAAAAGGCTGAAGAGAAAGGTTATATCAAACTAAATATTAGCAACAACATCAGTTCCTATTGAGACAATTGCACAGAAAACCACGCGTCATAAAATAATAGAAGAAAGAAGATTTATAGCAGAGAAAGTTCTAGTATGTTATATATGTCAACTGGTGACCAGATCAGGCTAATGTATTGGCAAAAGAATATCTTTTAAACCCAGTAACATCTTGAAACCTAAACGTATAAAGCATTTTCAAACAAAAATGACACCTAGACTTTTGAAGCCGAAATAGATACTTACCACCAACCTCTAACAACCAGTAGGTGGAAAAAATAACAAATTAGCATCTTAATAAAAAAAACACTAAGAAACCAAAAAAAAAAAGGCCTTGAAGAAGAGCAATGGAAGCCTTATTAATCCAAGTTTTTGACAGAATATAACCATAGTAGAATAATTTGCTTAAAAAATCTTCCACAAATCAGTGTTTGATTCTTTCATTTTTGTTTTTACTGATTCTGAAACCCTAGATCGTTCTAATTGAAAGATTCGACGGATAACTTGTTCGATTTAAATGGAAATTTTAAGCAAAATGAAGAAGAAAGATTAAAGAGGAAAGCAAATAACAATCGGACAATCAACGATTAAAAAAAAAAGGAAATATTATTTTTAGAAGTAAATCAATGAAGCATATACCTGAGGCCTCCTAAAGTTATTAATTATCTCTGAAATTTTTGCATCTATTGGAATGATAGTAATTTTGTTTTATTGTACGCTAAACGATAAAGAAGAGGGAACTAAACGGGAAGAAGCTAGACGATGTCGTTTTCCACTCACTTTAATTATATTGGGCCGTGAAGGAAACAGAATTTTGGGCCAGATCTGGTTTCACTGCCCAATAATTATGGCCATGTTTCATCAAGGAAATAAATTTTAATGGGCCATAAAAAGGGATCAATATTATATATATATATATATATATATTTATCGAACAATTTTATTCTTATATATTTGATTAATTTTAATTTTGTCCATACATATTTAATTATATATTAAATTAATTATTTTAAATTATAATAATTAAATATTAAAAATATTAAAATATTATTAAATTAATTAAATAATAGTAAATGTTATCAAATTAATATTTAATCTTCAACTAATAAAATAATATTTAATATTATTAGTTTAATATTAATTTATTATTATATTAAATTATTATTAATATTTTATTAAATTTGATTAATTAATAATTTTAATAATAAATAACAAGGGTATAATGATTTTTTAAACTTATTTCATTCATATTCTATAAACTAACCAAGGTATTAATATTAATTTCTCTTCCATTCCATTTTAATGAAAACTTCATAATATATATTCTACTCCATTTCTCATGTTTTTTATTCTCCTAAAATACAATTTCATTCTCTCTTTATTCCATTTCATGAACTAAACATACTGTAAGAAATTCTAAATAGGTGCTTTTGCTACGTAAGCTAAGTATTAAAAATTTTCTACATTATAATTTGAGATTAAAAGTAAAGTTTTTCATAGTCAAAATTTCAGTCAAAAAATTAACAAAAGTAAATCAATTATTATGGATAAAATAAAGAACAAATAAAAATAATGGAGAATATACCAATATTAATAGTAATATACTATGGATTGAGAGTTGAGAGAAATTGAACATATTCGTTTCAAAGACAAAAGTTCAAATGTCATTTCTTAGTTACTGGATTAAAATGAGCAGAACATAGGAATAGAACTAACAGGTTGCCGTAGCCATAAAGATTAGGCAACCAAGTAATGTGGTTACAGGCTGCGAAGAAGAATGCCTTCAAATGTAATTCCAGGACCAAATGCTAAGGCAAGCCCCCATTCTTCCCCTCCCTCTCTCTTCAACTCCTCCCTCATGTACTCCATGACATAGAAAATGGTATTGCTGCTAACATTTCCATAGTCCATCAATGCTCTCCGGCTACATTCTAGTTTCCCCTTGTTCAGTTTAAGAGTGTTCTCCAAGCGGTTAAGTATAGCTGGTCCTCCAGGATGCACAGCCCAAAACAAGTCGTTGAATTCTGTCAAACTAGCCTTTGACATGAGTTTCCTGCAGAATTCCTCGATGTTGTCTTCAATCTTTTGGGGGAGGTCTCTACCAAGTTTGAAGTTTATGCCCTCTTCAGAGAGGCGTCCATCTATGACATTTTGTGTTCCTGGCAGAAATTGTTGAACTGCATAGTTAAGTTCCATGAAAGGAGATTCTGTGCTTGTTATTGGATCGGTTCCAATGATCACTGCTGCTGCTCCGTCACCAAATAGTGCTGCACCAACAAGGTCATAAGGGCGTTCTTTGTTTGGAGGTCTAAAACCAAGGATGGTGGTTTCAGAGGTAGTTAACAGAACACGACTTCCTGGATTGTTTTCAGCAATGTCTTTGGCCACTCGAAGGCCAGTTACACCCCCATAACAACCAAGGAAATAGAGCATTACCCGGTTAACATCATTTTTTAGTCCAAGTTGGCTTGCAAGGTAAAGATCACCCCCAGGTAAACGTATCTCGCTGGAAGAAACATAGATTATATGGGTGATATCAGTAGCAGGCCTTCCCCATTCCTTTATGCAAGCTAGGCTTGCTTCAAATGCCATCTCAACAACTGCCGGGTTTGCTATTTCAAGTCTTTGTTTGATTGTTGATGAGCCCTCAGTTGCCAATTCAGGGTATTTATCTATAATCTCCTTGGACATGACCGTGTACCTAGTCTTCACGGTCGTTGTTTTACCTACCGGAGAGAATAAAAACAAAATGCATGATGAACCTAATCATATATATAATAAAAAAGACAACACCATGTCAGTTTGAAAAAGAAAGAATTTTGCTTACATAAACGTTCCAGTTTCTCTTTAATGGAGACATCTTCGCATTTTGTATCACGAAAGTAACCCTCCACCAAGCGTTCTTGCGGAATGAGTTGCCTTGGAAACGCCTTGCCGATGGCAAGCACTGTTGCCTTCCCTGGTGTGGAGGCACGCTTAAGATGGTGCCTAGGTGCACCATTGTTGTCAGTTTTTGACATCTTTTAGGAGGCCTGGAAAGAAGATACTGATCAGGCTCTTGGAAATTTTTAAGTTAGGCGTTTTCATGAGCAGAGAGCATATAAAGGAGAGGTCAGCTTGTTCTTGGAGAGAGTTTGGTTTCAAGAAAGCCTATCATGAAAAGAGAAAATTGTTTACTTTATTGGGGTTTGGTAATATTTTGGGCATCGGTTGTTAGAAGTGTGAAGGCTCCGAAGATTAGCAGTTTTTTCCTTCTTCTTTAATATGACCTTTTGTAATTTAAAACATCCCTTCGCTCTTGGCATGAGTAGAAAATATAGGAGTTAAATTCAACTTGAGGAAAACCTTTCTTCATTCTCTTCTGATAAATTAAAGAAGTAACAAAAGAAAAAAAAGAAAATAACAATAATAATAACAATACTCCCTCCTTTGCTGATTTTGTTTTGTTTTCTGGACCAAAATTGTTTGAATTACGGGTATATTTGATTCGGCTGAATCTTTTGTAAAAGGCAATCTTGATAATAATTTGTCTATCCATATTTCAAAATCTCCACTTTTAACTATAGATAATACAAAAGATGATAGATATTGTTAAGAAAAAGAAATGGTGAAGCAAAGTAATGCATGTAACATCTTTTGCCCTGCTTTTTGTAGAAATGCAGAGCGGAGCTTTTGTGGATGAACATAGATATTTAACAAGCTAAAGAATTAGTTTAAGCAATATAAAATCAAAGGGGGGGGGGGGAATGATGTAATTGGGTCGAGTGAAGGTAGATTGCAAGTTCCGTAATCCATGCAATTTGACAACATTTAGTGAAAGTTCAGATTTGGAAGCATCCAAGTAGGGGCAAGTTGAAGATGAGATCAGCAGATTCCTCAATAGACGGCCGAAGTAGGAAATGCAGACATCTGGTCCACTGGCTTCTGTTGTTTTTGTCATTTTTGAGGCAGTATCATACCAACAACCCTTGATGGTATCAAAATCCTAATCATTATTTCATTAGTGCCCGAGTTTTATAGTATTTTCAATGCACGATGTACAAGTATCTCTCGCCTTTCTCTTCACTCTTAAACAAGGTAATTTTCTTGGTGGAACACTTTGAATGGTTGTCTAAACTTCCCAAACAAATTGTGCATGTAGCCATTGATTAATTTGGCCTTCCCCCAATGAAATCGTCTTAAAACCAAACTACATATATAACAAGGTAATATAATAATATAAAGCAGTAAAAATATTGCTTGCCATAATGCCATAATAGTTTTTTTACCTTGTTTTATGTTGACTTGCCTTACCATTAGAAATCAAAATGAAATAAAAAAAGACATATTTTGTCTGCCATTTGCATCGTACAACTTTCTTCATGTCTTCCATGATAGACCCATCGCATACCCCATCAGCAACCACACCACATGACTGGCAAATCTGTAATTAATAAAAAATTCCCTGGAAATTAGAAAGGGCCAAGTGGCCAACATTCTTATATATAAACTAATAGCCATGCTATACAAATTAAACAAGTTCCTTTCAGTCCCAAAAATACTTCAAAAAATGCAAGCCAAAGCCTTCCAGAGCATTCCAGCAGGAGGATTCCATTTGCCGGTGAAACTCCCCCAGCTACATCAACCATCATTACCAACGAAACTGCCACGGGCCATATCCATTTCCAATCCTGCAGATAATCATGTTTCAGGCCCTTTAACAGTAGTAGACAAGGATGATTACGTGGCTGCTTTTTGGGACTATCAATTTTTATTCGTGTCACAACGATCGGAGACGGCGGAGCCGATCACGCTCCATGTTGTGGACGGTGCAATCCCGCCGGACTTCCCTTCTGGTACATATTACCTAGCCGGTCCAGGGTTATTCACCGATGATCATGGCTCGACTGTGCACCCTCTAGACGGTCATGGTTATCTTCGGGCCTTTAGCATCAATGGTGTTGCTAGAGAAGTCAAATTCATGGCTAGGTACGTAAAGACCGAAGCTCAAGTAGAGGAGCATGATCCTGAGACTGACACGTGGCAGTTTACGCATCGGGGTCCATTTTCTGTCCTAAAAGGGGGCAAAAAACTTGGTAATGTTAAGGTGATGAAAAATGTAGCTAATACCAGTGTGTTGAGGTGGGGAGGCAAGTTATTGTGCTTATGGGAAGGTGGAGACCCTTACGAGATTGAATCAGGGTCGTTGGAAACCCTCGGTAGTTTTAATGTGATAAACGATCGTGATTTGTTGCCGGAGGCTGAGAAGAAGGGTACTGTTGATTTACTGGATGTTGCCGCCCGGCTGTTGAAGCCGGTTCTACATGGTAAGTATGTCCATTTTTCGTTTTTTTTATGTCCATGATGTTTACTAGATTTGGAATATCGCTAGTTAAGGAATTCACGTCAGCATTGAAGATGACAATTTTCATATTCATTAATAATTTATAAGTTAATATTTGATGCTATTATATAAATGATATATATTATCAATTAACCATTCTATGATATCTAGTAAAATTTAAAAAGTTCAGATTTTAAATTTTTAATTATTTTTTAATAATTAATTAAACTTAAATAAAATTATTAATATTTATTCTTTTACGTGTTTAGAGATTTACTTTAAAAAATTAGAATAATACAGAAAATTTTAATATTTTAGCCTAAATTAATTAATAGTGTTCCTTTGATAAAAACAATAAGTTGAGTAAAATATAATTGGTTTTTCACTAACAAAATGTGTGGATCAGAAGTAATATTTATTTGTTTTTTAACTTTTGCACAATTGACAAAAAACAGTAAAAATAAATAAAACCTAATGGCTTAATGAACCGGTCAAACAAGTTAAATAAAATAGAGAGATTATGTTTTGATTTCTTGTTCTGATAATATGCTCGACAGGTGTGTTCAAGATGCCTCCTAAAAGACTGTTGTCTCATTATAAACTCGATGCTCAAAGGAACAGACTTCTTACAATATCATGCAATGCAGAGGACATGCTACTGCCCCGCAGCAACTTCACATTTTATGGTCTGTCATATATATTAAGTTATTTCTACATAATACATGGTAGTTCATAAACTCGATGATAAATGTGATAATTTCAATTTGTCTATTTCATGTTTGCAGAGTTCCACCCAGATTTCCAGTTGTTGCAGAAACAAGAATTTAACATCCCTGATCATTTGATGATCCATGATTGGGCCTTTACTGATACTCATTACATACTGTTAGGCAACCGCATCAAGCTTGATGTTATCGGTAATGAACAACTGCGAACAGATTGAGAATTTTGTAAACAGATCATATAAAGCGAAACAACTACATTTTTGTTGTACTTAAGTGCAGGATCAATGACTGCAGTATGTGGGTTATCACCAATGATATCAGCATTGTCAGTGAACCCAAGCAAGTCCACGACTCCCATTTACTTGCTTCCTCGCTTTCCAGCTGATAAATCTGCTCGACATCGAGATTGGAGAGTGCCAGTGGAAGTTCCCTCTCGGAAATGGCTATTGCATGTTGGCAATGCCTTCGAGGTCAAGGATGTCCATGGAAATTCGAAGATTCAAATCCAAGCTTGTACTTGTTCTTATGAATGGTTCAATTTCCAAAAATTATTTGGTAAGTGCATTTTTCCAGTGGTTTAGTTCTTTTGCTTCGAGCAGGTTATGGCAAAATCTTTTCGAAGTTTCATATTGAAGCATGTCATATACCGTGTATTGGGACAGGATATAATTGGCAAAGTGGTAAACTAGATCCCTCAATTATGAACGTGAAACAAGGTGAAAATGAGTTGTTACCGCACCTTGTTGAGATATCTATCAACTTGGATTCTGATGGAAACTGCCAAGAATGTTGCATGGAGAATTTGAATCAATGGAACAAGCCATCAGATTTTCCGATTATCAACCCAGACTTTTCTGGCTACAAGAATGCATACATTTATGCATCAACTTCTTCAGGGTCAAGACAAGCATTGCCTCATTTTCCGTTTGATATGGTAGTGAAGCTAAATTTGTCTACCAAAACAGCCAGTACATGGTCTGCAGGGGCTCGTAGATTTATTGGTGAGCCTATTTTCGTCCCCAAAGGAACTGAAGAAGATGATGGGTACATTCTTGTGGTTGAGGTCAGATATAAAATTTTTTGGCTTAGATTTTGCTCGGTTCTGACATTTTGCTTACACAATTTTATGTTGTTGTACTTTTACAGTATGCAGTTTCAATTCAGAGATGTTATCTTGTCATTTTGGATCCTAAGAGGATTGGAGAAACTGATGCGCTTGTAGCAAGACTTGAAGTGCCCAACCACTTGAACTTTCCCCTTGGCTTCCATGGTTTTTGGGCCAACAGTAATTGACCTTGCACGAAATTGTAAACATGTACTTAATTGAACGGTGCTGTATTAAAATAGTTTCAAAGTTTGAAAATGTGAATCGGGTCTGCAATTTCATGTAACCATCTTTTCAGAGGATTTAAGTTTTGTCTTGAATCAAACTCTTTGAACCCGAGCTACAATCACGATCAAAAGTATAACAATCGAGAGAAGCAAGGATGATCTGATTTTTTCCTCCAACTGGTCTCTGGTTTCTTCATTAGGTTTTTCCGTCCTACGATTTTTGAAAACCTCATTCAGAAGCGATTGGAATTTCAACATAAGTTCTGTAACTTTCGCTTTTGTCATGTCCAAAATCCACTGCAAAATGTCATTGCCGAGGTCTGCGTCAGTGGTAGAATCCCAAGACCTTCCATTTTCAACTGCAAGAAACAGAAGACTTGGAGTGCCAAATCATACAAAAGGAAAGAACTAATCTGTTGACTGACATTATTTATATAGAAAAGAAATACATGAATTTCCCTGTCTAGTAAACAAAAAGGTTGGTATTTTTCCTTCTAGGCAGAGTTTTTTTTGAACGTTGCAATTCTTTTTTTTTTTTTCCAGTATTTCTGAGGAATAGGAAAACGGAATTTCTAAACACTCAAATTCATTCCATTGAATTGCTCACTTTCATATATTGGAAGCTGCTAACATAGCAGCAGGGTTCCACCAAAAGGGTTAAGCACATATTTAGCCGTAGGAAACCCTGTGGGTTATGTTTTAAACAAAGATGATGATGGCTATCAGAATTCAGAAACAGACCTGCAGGGTGGGGCAAGTTGCAGAGCTTCCGAACTAACTCGTTATTCATAATAGCATCCCAAACAGCTTTATCAGATGATAGCGAAACGACCAACATCTACATGCACATTCGATTCAATAAGAAACATAGTCTAGAAATGTATCCAAAACCACAAATCACGTTAAATTTGAAGCAGAACTAGCAATTCAGGAACTGCCCTTCAAAATATCTAATAAAAAAATTAGTCAAGGCACCTTAACGGATGGCTCTGTCAGGAGCAAGATGAAGCCATCATAAACTCTACCAAGCCCTTGAGATAGCAATTGTCTCGAGTCGTAACTGTCCAAAAGAGGCTGCAGCCATTTCAGTTCTGGTCTAGATGAAGAAATCCCATGTATGAAACTGGTCAAGAAATCAAAATCATAAGAAACGTTCAATGGGAATTAAGCATAAATTCTTATATAATAGATACACAAAACCACAAAACTAACAAATTAATAGAGCAAAAAGTCAGAAACCACTCACTTCTGGAGAGCAGCTAAGGCATTTTCAACTTCTGGCTCGGATGGAACAGGCCCCAAAATAAAATTATTGAAGGACCCAGTTACTATTTTGTTTTCTTTTCCATCTATAGCCTCTAGCTTCTTACAAATTTCACTTTGGCTGGAGGAAGAAGAAGAACAAGCTGCTGAAGAAGGTCTAAGTGGAGCAGCATAATTGGATGGAACCGGAAGGTTAAGATTATTTGAAGACGAGTAAGAAACAGAAGGAACAGCAGCGGAAGAAGAATTGAATTGAATCTTTGGAAGGTCGATGGGCATGGCTCCTCCTCCCATGGTTCTCCTCCTCTTAGCTAGTCTTCAGTAATCAAAGCTTTGCTTTTGCTGTTGCTGTTGTAGCATAGGAAAGACTTGAAGGCGCACCAGTCGTGAGTTCAAGATTTTAGCCTTTCTTTTTTTCTGGGCCAATGATCCTTCTGCATGATAGCCTGTGGTTGAGATATTATTCTTGTAGATAATATTAGTATTTTGTTAGCAAGGAAGATTATTACGATGGATTTTTTAATTACTTGTTTCTGTATTACATATAACCCTTATTAAGATTTGACCATTTACAATTTATTTTAATCCCGCGGTGTTTTTGTCCATATTAAAAACAGTATTCCTTTTCCAATTGCAAAAAACGAAACAAAGGCTACTTTCAACAAATAAGTTATCTAAGCGTATTCCATTTGGATCGTTGGACACAAACAATATATTATAACTTAAATTAAGACTTTGTTTTGGGAGTGGTTTTTGTGATTTCTCTAACAATTTCGATTATCCTTTGAACCCGTAATAACCCTGTTTTTCTGGGGCTTCTGGGTTCTCGTGGTCAAAGAGGATGCGATGCGACTTCGATATGAATTTTGTGTCTAACGCTTCTTTACATCCCATAAAATAAAGTTAACGTTGTCCTTCTCCGCAGGAAAGGCAATGGAAAATTATTGAAAAAAAAAGAAACTATATAAAGAAAAAAGAAAAAGGGAAGATTGACTGACTCTTATAGAAGGTCAAGAAGAAAGCAACTCCCAGCAGGCTATTTCGTGATTCACTTACTTTGTTTTTGCTTAATTGCCTCGGATCCTGGTTTCTTTTTGGACCAATTTCATCCATATCCAACAAAACATATAAAAAAAAATGGTTTCCCAAGCATAGCCTTTCTTTGTCTGTCTTTCAAATCTCTTACATTAGTAAAGCACATGCAGAAAGTGGCTGACGATGTTTTGTTTTTGTTTTTGTTTTATAATATTTTGATTACTGATGGATGGCAACAATACGCCTTCACGTTACGTTAAGGCTTACAAAGGAAAAAGAGCCTCTTGAAGATATCACCCCTGGAGAACTCAATCAACCCATTCAAATTCCTCATGTATTTTTTTCTCAATCGGCATTCCTTTATTATCTGTTTCTGTTGCAATATAATTGGGTTTAAATTAGTTACTGAAGTAGGGAATTCTTTCTTTATAATTGGATTTTATAACTAATTATTCATAGATGCCCTGAATGTGGGCAACCTCTACCTGAAAGCTATGAGCCACCTGCTGATGAAGACTGGACAACTGGAATTTGCGGCTGTCTTGAAGATACTGAGAGCTGTAAGAGTCCAATTAATCCTCTTTTATAGTTACTACATATCATCTTCATATTAGTTGTCCATACAGAACAAGCAGCATCATTAATCCACAGGTTACAGATGATTTCTTCCCTGTTCAGGGCATTTTCACAGTGCTGCAATATAGTTGTTGATGAGTCTTGGATCTTTGCGTATTTTTGTAGGCCGAACTGGTCTCCTTTGTCCATGTTTGTTGTTTGGGCAAAATGTTGAAACCCTGAGAGACGATATTACACGGAGCGATGCATGCTTTTGTCATACTTTATGTGCAGAGGGCGGAATGGTGGTTGCAGGAGCAACTCTACTCTTCCATGGTATTGACCCTAAAACATCATTTCTCATTTGTGAGACCCTGGTTTTTGCTTGGTGGTTGTGTGGCATCTATAATGGCTTGTTTCGACGACAATCACTACAGAAGAAATATCATCTCAAGGTATGTTAATTCTTGATGTTTAGGTGCTTGAGCTTCATTTCTTATGAAAATAATTAAAGGTTAATTTTACATTAATTAGAAAATATCACCTATGCTATCAGTTTCATACGGATGTGAATATCAATCAATGATTAATGCATCTTTAATTCCAATGTCATCCATAAAATGTCCAGGGTTTTATGGAAACATGAGTGATGAACCGGTGCTAAGCTTGTGCTGTTGTTTTGCAGAACTCACCATGTGATCCCTGCATGGTTCACTGCTGTTTGCATTGGTGCGCCTTGTGTCAAGAGCATAGAGAGATGAAGAACCATCTATCTGACAACAGTGAAACGCAAAGGACCGTTGTTAAGCCTCCTCCAGTGCAAGAGATGAGCTCTGATGATCGGAAACAGGAGACTGCATCATCATCTCCATCTGTAGCATCTTCTGGAAATGGTGAAAACACAAAGTTGGAGACAGCCTGTATAGGATTTTCTGACTAATCATCAAAATTTTCTCTTTTTTTTTTTTTTTTTTTGGGCAAGTCAAATCTAAGCCAAGCAACTGGTTGAGGAGGTTCGGGAAGGCTGATTGCTAGACTAAAGAATTTTTTTTAAGTACTGAATTCATTGATTAAGCATTTGGATTTTCTTTTTTTTTTTCCCATTTATTATTATGCTTATTCATCAATTATTTTAGATACGCATAAAACTTCATTTAAGTCCATAATTGTATTTTGTGTTTGAGCTTAGTATATCCAACAATGTATGTTCGGCTCAGGGGCCATGGGCTAATGCCAAGCAGCTAGTCAAATAGGTCCAGACGCAAGATCCAAATTATTTGACCCGTTGAGAATATGAATCCAATTTCTTCCCCATCCTAACCCGCCACATTTTCAAGTCAAAACCCCAAGAAAACTGAAAATCCCTTAATCTTGGGTTTAGGGTTTTACCCCCACCAGTTACCGCCACCACTATTCCATCATGGCGCGATTCCCAAGATCCACAGTTCGGCGCCTCCTTTACACCTTCTGCTCAACCAAAACGACGCCGTTATCTTCCCCCTCGCCTACCGCCGCTCTCCTCATCGGGAGCTTCGAGGTCCGTCACTTCTCAGCGGGTAACGTCGCGCGAGCAAAGGACGACAAAGAGCCGTGGTGGAAAGACTCAATGGAACGACTTCGAAACATCGGAATCTCCGCTCACATCGACTCGGGCAAGACCACGCTAACGGAGCGGATTCTCTATTATACGGGCCGGATCCACGAGATCCATGAAGTTCGTGGCAAAGACGGCGTCGGAGCAAAGATGGACTCCATGGATTTAGAAAGAGAGAAAGGAATTACTATCCAATCTGCTGCCACGTGTTGCACCTGGAAAGATTATCAGGTTCGTAAGAGATTTTAATTTGACCTAATTGGACAATTTCTTCTACTTATTTTTTAATCTGTGCATTTTTTTTATCGACTGTTTTAGATTAATATAATCGATACGCCCGGTCACGTTGATTTTACGATTGAAGTGGAGAGGGCGCTGCGTGTTCTTGACGGTGCCATTTTGGTTCTGTGTAGTGTTGGTGGTGTACAAAGTCAGTCAATTACTGTTGATCGACAAATGAGAAGATATGAGGTTCCAAGACTCGCCTTTATTAACAAGCTTGATCGAATGGGAGCTGATCCATGGAAAGTTCTCAACCAGGTACAGTTGGATATATTCATATAAATGAATAAATGTTATTGAACGTCACATAATTTAAAATTGGCATGTTGATAATTTTTGTGTCTGTTGTTAGGCAAGGTCTAAGCTTCGACATCACAGTGCAGCTGTGCAAGTCCCAATTGGCTTGGAAGAAAATTTTCAGGGTCTTATCGATCTCGTGCAACTAAAAGCTTATTATTTTCATGGTTCCAGCGGGTTTGTTTCAATCTTTCTGGTTTACTTAATTTTTCTTGGAGTGTATAGCCTGTTTATTTCTTTGTCCTTTTTTTAATCATATTCTAACTATTGCAGAGAAAAAGTTGTTGCTGAAGAAATACCAGCAGATATGGAGGCCACAGTTGCAGAAAAAAGACGGGAACTGATTGAAATGGTTTCTGAAGTGGATGATAAACTTGCTGAAGCATTTCTAAATGATGAGCCTATTTCATCAGCTGATCTTGAGGTCTGTTCGGAGAATGATGCTTTATTTACTTCCTTATTTTCTAATGACAGAGAGTGTACTTGATACTGGCCATCTAGTTTCAGTTTTGAATTTCAAAAATGGCAGAGAAATATAGTATAGTTGCCTTGACTGTTACTTTATGCCCATCACATCTTTGGGGTTGATACTTGTTTCTGAAAACTAATGTGAATATGAGGGGCTCTCACTGAATTTAGAATGATCCCCGCATGTTAAAAGGTTTTTCATCATTCTGTATATGTTCTGTATGGGTGGATGATGGAGGCTTTTTCTTGCCTCAAATGTTAAAATGTGAAATTAGCTTAACTATTACCAAGTGTAAACCACAGAACATTTTATCTTTCTATTTTGTTAACCTTACAATTCTAAATGCTGCTGTTTTCTTTTTTACTTATTCTCTTTATGAACTTGGTATGATTTCTAAAATTTGGAGCTTCATCCAAGCAGGCAGCAGTTCGTAGGGCAACCATAGCGCGGAAGTTTGTTCCTGTATTCATGGGTAGTGCATTCAAAAACAAGGTACTTTATGATTGATTGTCTTCTTTGGTTTCTGTTAAATTCACAATCAACCAACTTGTGACAATAAGGCACTCATTGGAATTCCCTTTCTTATATTGTTTGAAAGAAAACAACATTATGTGATTTGTTTTACTTGTTTTTTGGATCATTAGATGCCATTTATCATATGCTTTTTCTTCTGCTCAGGGTGTACAACCGCTCTTGGATGGTGTCCTTAGTTACTTGCCATGTCCTATTGAAGTCAATAGCTATGCCCTTGATCAGACAAAGAATGAAGAGAAGGTATAAGATTGATACTACAAGTCCTCCAAAATAAAGTTTTGCTAAAACTGATATGAAACTTTTACTTTTTTTATGTAATCCTTTTTTGTAATCTCTTGTAGGTTATGTTGCCTGGAACACCAGATGGACCACTTGTGGCATTAGCTTTTAAGTTGGAGGAAGGCCGGTTTGGTCAGCTAACATATCTAAGGTAATGCTACTGCATCATTTTCAATTGATGTTCTGCATTGTATTAGTATTTAGTGGTTCTCTTATGCTAACAGTAATTTATATTGATGAAGAGTCTACGAGGGTGTGATTCGAAAGGGTGATTTTATAGTTAACATAAACACAGGCAAGAAGATTAAGGTAAGTTAATTTATTGCTTCATGTTGCTTCATGTTCTCTTGGGCCAATTTTTTCATCCTTTTTTTAACTTCCCTGTTATGTGATCTTGTTGGGCAACATAGCATGGTTCCATTTTCAATTGTTTGAACCGACACATCCCATGCGTTACACTGGAGGTTTTGTTGTTTCTTTTTTCTAAAGTGTGATTTGATCTTGGGCTATGAAGAGTAAGATGGACTTCCAGAAATACCACATGTATCAAACTAACATATGATTTTAGTTAGTATTTTGTGATTTGTGGTAGAAACCAGTATTAGGTATTTAGGTGAAATTTTGTAAAGCAGTTGCCTGTAATGTATGATCATATACTTGCCACATATGAATGTTAATTTCACACTGACATGCAAGGTGATTATTCATTGAAATTGGATAATTTTAGTCCTTTTTATTGATATAATGTTTATAAATTGTATGGTTCTATTAGGTCTGAACATGTGTCGTTCTTGGTATTGTGGTTGATGTGATCCACTTCCATGAAAGGGAAATGCTATCTTTTCTTTTTAATGCAATTTGTTTGTTTGTTTCTTTTCCTTGCTGTACTAACCTGAACTTGGGAGTTTAGTCTACATGCTAAATATTCACCATTTTGTCCCAGGTGCCTCGTTTAGTTCGGATGCATTCTGATGAAATGGAGGTTACACTTTAGATGACATCAGTCTTAGTATTTATGTGAATTGTTGGATCTTTAAGCAGTTGTTTTATTAAATATTGTTCGCTTCGGGGTTTATAATATGTAGGACATTCAAGAAGCACATGCTGGGCAAATAGTTGCAGTGTTTGGTGTAGATTGTGCTTCAGGTCCTACTTCTCACTTTGCATATTTGTTCACACAAGTGCAAGCTTCTGTTTATTATTTTTTTCTTTTTTTTTTTTTAATGTTTAATTATTCAAGGAGCTTCACCACACAGGAGCAATAAAAATGCCAATATGATTGTTGGTTGAGTAGACAAAGCTTTTGTTTTCCCTTAAAAAAAAAGCCGTAAAGGCTTTCCAAATTTTGTCATAATGTGTGGCTCTTTTTCCAGGTGATACATTTACTAATGGGTCTGTCAAGTATACCATGACTTCTATGAATGTCCCTGAGCCAGTGATGTCATTAGCTGTTCAGCCAGTGTCGAAAGATTCTGGAGGACAAGTGAGTGCTTTCTGGTCCAACATAAATGCTTGTATGCATGCATTCAACCATAGCATATGGTGCTAACTAATGATGAATCTTGTGTTTCCTTGAATTAGTTTTCCAAGGCATTGAATCGGTTTCAGAGAGAGGATCCTACATTCCGTGTGGGCTTGGATGCTGAAAGTGGACAGGTGTGATATGGAGAATTTATTTTCAATGATTCTTGTTAAACTAACTATATGCAACTCTGTTTTGCATTAACTGACATATGGTATCATTTTGTTGATTTATTTACATAGACAATTATCTCTGGAATGGGAGAGCTTCATTTGGACATATATGTGGAACGGATCCGGAGAGAGTACAAGGTTTTCATCTGTTCTTTGTTCAGCATATAAAATAAGCTTTCTAACATTGTTATGATTGAAAACTTCACTTTTTAGATAACTCATACTTCCTGAAAACAGGTTGATGCAACTGTTGGAAAGCCTCGTGTGAATTTCAGGGAGACTATAACTCAACGTGCTGAATTTGATTACCTACATAAGAAGCAATCTGGAGGACAGGGTCAATATGGACGAGTATGTGGGTAAGCAGCAATGATCTGTTTTTGGCTTATTTTTCTGTTGACATCTTAGTAATAATATCTATCTTGTATTAAGTTAGATGCAGTTCCTTGACTCCTGAATCACTTGTCCAATACTCCTCTATGATTCTGTTGTGGGCTAGTTATTTTATATATAACATTTGTTTGTTATTTTCTTTGTATTGATAGGTACGTTGAACCACTTCCACCAGGGTCTTCAATTAAGTTCGAATTTGAGAACATGATTGTTGGGCAAGCTATACCATCAAATTTTATTCCTGCAATTGAAAAGGGTTTCAAAGAAGCTGCAAATTCGTGAGTATATTTCTTCTGCTCCCATGTTTCTTTAAACTCACTCATCAATAAAGAATTATTACTTTTGTACATAGTTTCTGTTGGAGTATGATTTAATGTATTGGTTGTGTTCTTATGTACAGGGGTTCATTAATTGGACATCCAGTTGAAAATATCCGGATTGTTTTAACTGATGGTGCTTCTCATGCAGTGGATTCCAGTGAGCTTGCATTTAAGTTAGCTGCTATATATGCTTTCAGACAGGTATGTCTAATGTGCTTAGCATGATTTAAGTGATTGCTTCTTATCTTTTGGGTTTCCTTCCTGTTATTCTTTTTGGCATAGCATTGCTGGACTTTTATATTTTGACTTGTGAAATAGTGTTATACTGCTGCAAGGCCAGTGATACTGGAACCTATTATGTCGGTTGAGTTGAAAGTACCAACAGAATTTCAGGGTACAGTTGCTGGTGATATTAACAAGTGAGTTAGCTATTTTTCTCTTTATACTTGAAATGTTATTAGTACCTGTCAATTCTTTTATCTTGAACCTTTTTCATCTTTATTTCTGCATGTCAATTATGTGTAGGAGGAAAGGTGTTATTGTTGGAAATGATCAAGATGGAGATGATTCTGTAATTACTGCCAATGTAAGTGAAACTTGTTTTCTCATGAAATGTCCGCCTTAGCTGTTTTTCCAAGTAATTTCATCAATAATCTTCAATCATTGTGGATAAATTTTGGAAGTTGCTATTAAATTTTGTCCATAGACTTTCATGAATTACCTTCTTACCCTTGTGTAAACTCAGGTTCATCTTTATTGAAATGATATACCTTCATAAATATATCAAAGGATTGTTTGCCACCTGCTATTGATGTAAGATTACCATGATGCATTAATCAGAGTATCCTTGTAGATCTCCAGGTTGGCTGACATTTGAGCATCAGTGAGATAGTGTGCTCAGATAAAATTGTGTTTGATTATTTTTTGGTATGGGCATGTCATATTATACTTGTGAATATGGTGCATTTCATGTATATGCTATGTCTTGCATGTAGAATCTTGATTTGCCATACAGCCTTTTGCCATCATAGCAGCAGGTAAAAAATATGCCCTTTTCTCAAGACAGCTGAATATTATTTTTGCATTTTTCCAGGTCCCATTGAACAATATGTTTGGGTACTCAACAGCACTTCGATCAATGACACAGGTGAGGCATAAAATCAATTCATAGATGTGGCATTCGGGATCCCCCATTAGCTTGATCCTTGTTTTAATTTTGTAAATTTGTTTTATATGTACTATATTCTCTGCACAGGGAAAAGGTGAATTCACAATGGAATACAAGGAGCATTCACCAGTTTCTCAGGACGTGCAAATGCAGTTAGTGAACACTCACAAGGCCAATAAAGGACCGGAATAATCATGGGGATGCCTGAAGAACCAGGCACAAGTACTTATGGTTTTTGCAAGTCATATAATTTGTTGTTATATTCGTTTTTGCTATATTTATTTAGGCTTTATATTTGATCATATAGTGAAAAATTTTGGAAGCACAATAAGTTCAAACCGGCATTTCTCGGCCAACATGAAGGGGCAAGAATTATATAGGGATATGTAGAATTTTATGTGCTAACATTGACACAATTGTTTTCACCATAAATATAGATATTCCTCTTATTTTATTTTATGCACATTTTAATGTACATCAACAATTGTAAGCCCCTCGACCGAAAAAGATGTAACGCCTCTGTTTATTGAAGAAGATTTAAACAAGACTAGAAAAATGTTATCTTCTTTAGCGAATATGATGCCCCAAGAATGCCACCAATATCTTTATATTTTCAGGATGAGAACCCATATATTCAGATTCTATGTATATTACTATTACCATCCGTCCTTCAACTTTTGGCAAGACTATCCGGTGCAACTAGCTAAATTCTTCTCGCTGTTTTGTCGGGAGCTTTTGAACTGGCTCAGGTTCACTGAGGGGTGCAAAGTAGTGGTTCAGCATATCGTTATACATTTTTATCAAGCTTGGGGGTTTCCACTATATTCCACGAAGATTAAAAAAAAAAAAAAATCAGTTTTGATAACAGAATAGACTAGTACAAAACTGAAAAAGGAAATTAAGATCTGTTAAATACGAGTTTGCTTATTATTTATGCAAACTTGTAGTTAACAGTTTTGATAACACCTTCAGCTTGCTTAGTATTTAATCTTTAATATTCTTAATCTCGTTTCTCACATTATGATGATTATTCATTAAAATGATAAATTTCGCGTGCATGCTGTAAAAATGTTTTCTTTTTATGATATAAAATCATCAGGAAAATTTCAAGCAAATTAAAAAAAAAAATCAATAGGATAAGGTGTAGGTGGAAGAAGCCAACTAATTTGATTTTGTTGTTTATCATATTCATAATATCATAGCATATTGGTATTATGCTACATGGTTCCTAGTGGGAAAAAGAAATTTTCTTGGCTAAATTTCAGTAACATCGTTGGCGTTGAGGAATTAAGGATATTTCATATATTTGATTTCCCCTCCAGTCTAGCAGCTCTATTCACTGTAGTCGCCTGTTAGGATTCAAACTCTATCTAAAACTACCTTCAAAACGGGAGTATTATCAATTGAAATAATCAAAATGACAGGTACCAGGTTTTTGATGACCCGAGTCGCTTCCACTATAAGAACTAACAAGTGATCGCCAGGGCATGAAGACCATACGAAAAACAAACAAAAAGGGTAGTTTCTCCTTTTCATGATGATGCTTTCTTTCTAACTGTTACAGGTTTCATATCAGAACATTATCATCAACCCTTATCTCTTACCTCGATTACTGTCATTTTTTGATCTTGACTCCTCATCTAAATCTTTACCTATTCCCTTATCTGTATACAATATAAATCCAAAACCACAGCCAAGAATAATTTTGCAGTATCATCTGATCATCATTCAATTCATCAACATTACAAAACATTTTTAAGAGCCTCGGAATTTCTCTGTTGAAGCTCCCTTCGATACGATGGCGAAGGACCCAGTTAGAGTTTTAGTTACTGGTGCTGCTGGTACATACTCTTCATTTTTTTTAACGCAGTTGTTTCCTGATTGCATTTTCTATATTTCGAAACCCATCATTGCACGCTTAGTTGTCAATATATTATCTTAATTATTAATATGTTCTTTGTTCTTGACAATCATACAGAAGGTAGATTCTTTTCTTCAGAGTAAGGAGATATTTGATTGTTTTGCATTTCCTGTACACTTCGTTTTAGCATCGGATTGCCTCGTTCTGATCATTTTTGTAGATTCTTAAGCCATTGATAGCATATCTATAAAAAACTTATGGAAGATAGGTTTATATAGTCTTGAATTCAACGCAATAGTTTGTAGTTCTGTTTGTTATTGGAAACATGGAGCACGAACATATTCTTTTGCTTCAGAAAATTTTGGTTGTTCTGTTTTCTGTTGCTTTGTTCTGGAAGATAATCAAGTACATGTGTGGCCTTTTAAACGTAGAAAAGGAGCCTGTGACAGTTCTCGTTACTGGCGCCGCAGGCAAGCTTGAAGCAATCCTTACGTTTTATCATTTTATCATCTCTTTTTTTCTTTGCCATATATCAGCTCCATTTATTTTACACAATAGTACTAGAACAACTTTTCAATCCCAGTACCGATACGTATGAAATCCGATAGATTGTAAAAATAAATAGTTGTTTTTTTTTTTTAATGTACTTCAAAAGGTTTATTTTCTTCAACAGGGCAAATTGGCTATGCTCTTGTTCCTATGATTGCTAGGGGGGTCATGTTAGGGCCTGATCAACCTGTAATTCTTCACATGCTTGATATTGAACCCGCTGCTATGGCCTTAAATGGAGTCAAAATGGAACTGATTGATGCTGCCTTTCCTCTTCTCAGGGGTATGACTCATGACTCAACTTTGTTGAGTGATCAAAAATGTTCTCTTTCGAAATTATCTTATGTTTTCTGGTTTATGCTGTTTTGAAAGGTGTTGTTGCTACCACGGATGTTGCTGAAGCCTGTAAAGATGTCAATATAGCTGTCATGGTTGGTGGATTCCCACGGAAGGAAGGTATGGAAAGGAAGGATGTGATGTCCAAAAATGTATCAATTTACAAGGCTCAAGCTTCAGCCTTAGAGCAGTATGCTGCTCCAGACTGCAAGGTAAGAAACCAGTTACTACTGCCCTTATCTTTAAATGAGTTTTGAGAATATATGCTGTTAGAGATAATGTTGCTTCCTTGAGCTTGATGTATTAATGCTTCTTACCATCCAGGTGCTAGTGGTTGCGAATCCAGCAAACACCAATGCGCTTATCTTGAAAGAATTTGCACCTTCAATCCCAGAGAAGAACATCACTTGCCTTACCCGTCTTGATCATAACAGAGCATTAGGCCAAATCTCTGAGAGAATAAATATTCATGTTAGTGAGGTGAAGAATGTAATCATATGGGGCAATCACTCGTCAACTCAATATCCAGATGTCAATCATGCAACTGTCATACCCACCAATGGTGAAGAGAAGTCTGTTAGAGAGGCTATAGCAAATGACAATTGGTAACAGAAATTCCTGGTCTATTTTGAGAATTGAGACTCTTCGTTTTTTAGAATTTTTGTGTGATATATTCATAATTCATTACCAATGAATAGTTTCTGTACTAATTGTTAATGTTCCTAGGTTGAACACCGAGTTCATTACCACAGTACAGCAGCGTGGCGCAGCCATTATCAAAGCTCGCAAGCTATCAAGTGCATTGTCTGCTGCAAGTGCGGCTTGTGATCATATTCGTGATTGGGTTCTTGGGACTCCGAAGGTCGTTGCTCTTCCTCTCAAATATATAGTTCAGGAATAATTGTTTCCTCTACAACATTCTTGTTCTATTTGTAACCCCATTATTTGCTTTTGGGCCATTTATTCAGGGAACATGGGTCTCCATGGGAGTCTACTCTGATGGATCTTATGGAATTCAGCCTGGCATTATTTACTCTTTCCCTGTTACATGTGAGAAAGGACAATGGTCAATCGTTCAGGGTAAGGTTCCTTTTTGCATAGTCGAACAAATGGCAATGGCCGAGCAACATTTCATAATCTCATTGATTGCTAACTTAAGAATAGTTTCATTGCAATGGCAGGGCTGAAGATAGACGAGTTCTCAAGGGAAAAGATGGATGCAACAGCGAAAGAGCTTATGGAGGAGAAAACACTGGCCTATTCTTGCCTTAATTGATGAAGAAGTGAATCAACTTGATCGTCTTTCCTAAGTTATAATTGGAGACTGATTAATAAACTCATGAAAAATAATAATAAATGGAGAATAGAGTTAGATGCCTTCTCTTCTCCTTCCAATTCTTTATTCAGGCCAAATTATGTTTATTTATTTGCAATGGAGTTTCTTTTATACATAAAAATAATAAAAATAAATCTTTGAATTAATTTTAATACGTCAACTCTTTTCCTATTTTTTCATATAAACACTTTTATATTGCATAATTTACTAATTGATATGTTCGAGAATACATTATTTGATACATTCGATAATGGGATGATGATTTGGTTAAAGATAAAAAAAAAAAACCTTGGATTGAAACCCAAATATATAAATGTTTACAAAGAAAAAATGGAAGTTAGGAAAATTATCCCCAATTTTTTTTGACCTTTGTAAAAGATAAGATTAACTACTAATAATAAGTGAAATGTAGAATTTATTAAATTAATCAACAAAAATATTAAAAACCTTTTTAATAACATGAATTTCATAAAAGAGGAATTAAAATTTAAAAAAAAAATCAAATGAAATCAAACTAAAAAGTTTTAAATCCAATTTTATCTAAAAATACAAAAAAGGCCCAAAGGTAATAATCCTTTGATTTGGGCCAAACTACAACATCGGCGTTATACGTTTCAAGCCTAGTAGCCGTTTCCTCTTTTATTCTTCTTCTGGCTATGAGCCGACATTGCATATCAGGTTTGGACCTTTGAGCGACATTCTTGTTGTCCTCAAATTTTCATCCAATTTTTCCACTCTCACCCAACACTAGAAAAATAAAATCCATGGATTCCACTTTCTTTTCTCTTTAATTTTCTTTGAACCAAACAGAGACGTTTCTCTTTGTTATCACAATTTCCCTCTAATTGTATACGGATTTTGGTTTCTACACAAGAAAATTCTTCCTGGGTTTGAAATAATTGATTTGCAATCTTCATGGTAACACTTTTTTTCCCTCTATTTTCTCTACGTTTCTCTACATATATTTCTCTTTTGCTGCAAATTTTTGTGTGGGTTCCGATTCTTTGTTGTTATTAATTAAATGAAACCTGGATGTTTGTTTTTGATATATGCTTCGTTAATTTATGCTTTTAAGCTATTAAGAGGTAGATGGGAACTATGGTTTGTCTTTCATATGCATTCTTTAAGCACTGTTCAGGTATGCTTTTGGTTTGGTGTTTCAATACTTGGTAAAAGTATATACCCTTGGTTTTCAATCATTTAGAATTAAAGAATTCATATGTAAGCAGAGAATGGACCATTGGAGATATGATTGATGAGCTGTTTATGTTTCATTTATAGGTTTCTATGCTTTGTTATATTTGTCTCCAAATGAACCTGTTCTGGTGATCTTATTGAGAATGAAAGCTGCGACCATAAACAAACTCATATACTTTCTGGTGTAAATCATAATCTTCTGGGAAACTATTTCATATAAACAGCTCGTATACTTCATGGAATAATTGCAGAAGGTTTTGCGACGCAGCTGAGACCACTGTGAAGTATGCTGCAGTTTCTATCACCGGCATCCCTGCTCGTATAAACCCTTTTATTGGATGAGAGTATGTTATTTTGCTTTTTCTTGCTTTAACCAAAAACTATGCACAGATTGATGTTTTATTGCCGTTTTTCTAAGAAGATCACTAGCTGTTTTATATAAATACCAAATTGGAGACAATTCAAATATAAAGAGGCATCTTTTTTTTCCTCTCATTTTGTATTTTAATCTTAATATTTAATTAAAATTACTGGCTTTGTTTTGCCTCAATATAAAGGTCTAAAATTGATTTTTCCTCGCATTGTCTCTTACAATTTTCCTTCATTGAGAATGAAAAATTTTTCATTACTTTTCATTGAACCAAATTGAGCAAGTTTCTTTTCAGTTTGTGTGATTGTCAAGTTGTTAAATTTCAGGTAAAGGGTGCTTTTTAGGGGATTTGGAAATGGATGAGACTATGAACCAATTCCAGCAAAGCTTGATTGAGCTTGAAACTGAAGCTGAACATTTACTACTAGCCAGGAATCAGGTAACCCTTAGCTTATAAACTCTCAGTTCCTAGAACAGACAAGTTCACCTAGGTGTGGCCAATACAATTATGCATCTGGGTCAAGAATTTAAAACTCCTTCCATTCCTTTATTAAAAAGTTAAAATAAACTGCCATTTATTATAAGATACAAATGTTTAATTTTTCTTTCCTTCGTTAAATAATGGAATGTGTTAAAGTCATATTAATTAGAAATGCAGCTGGTTGAGAATGATAAAGTGAGGAATGGGAACAGAGAAGCACTTACTGCACTGAGGAAAAAGGCCCGGACAACAAAAACTAGTGTCCCATCTCCTTTTGAGTCAATGATGAAGAATACTGGGAACCCTGGATCAAGACCTTTGGTAAAGGAGGTTTGTGCAACTTGTGGCAACCATGACTCAAATGAGCGGACATGGATGATGTTCCCAGGAACTGATGTTTTTGCTAAGATCCCATTTCATGCTGCTCACATTATTTTGGAGAAAGGTTTGGTGTGCAAGTCAATTTATTTTGTTTAGAAAGTTATACCATGGAGAAATGTGTTATTGTGGATTATATCAGGTGATTCACTGAGAAATTCTGGATAGAGCTTTGTTGAGTAGTTGAGAACAAATTGGATTTTATTCCTCAACATCACTTGCTGTAGTTATCATACTTTTTGTAGATATTTAGATGATTAGGATGCTGTTCTCCTGGCCTTTCTATCATTTTCCCTCTTTTGTTAGTATTCAGGAATAACAAGCTCTAGAAGTAGCTCCTTATGGCTGTAATATTTGCTTATATCATCATTGGGCATGCAAGCCAGCTCCATTGAATTTCCAAAATTTGGGTTAGCAAAAGAGAAGAGATTCTTTTTTATCTGTTAGCTTGCTCCTCACTAAAAGGTCTAGAAAAACAACTGCTATGTCTCTTATGGATTATAACATTGCTAGAGTCAATCTGTAGGTTTGCCACATGCTAAGACAACAAGTTTTGCCGAATTTATTTAAGCATTAGTCCTGTGCTTTCCACATTGAACTTGTAACATTTTATTTTGGGGCTCATGCATGTGTTTTGTCAATGTGAGAAGTTAATATTTTGGCCACTTTTTAATCACCTCAATCAATTCTATTTGCTATTGTTGTTTTCACCAACATTGCTGTAAGAATTGGGGGTTAGAGCATGATTGCAGAGCAGTACTTAATAGTTATTAGAATGTTTTTTCCCATAGTTTTATTCATGATTCATGTGCACGGATTATTTATTCTTGTCCTTTCTGTTATTCAGATCAAGCAAAGCTGGATCATGAAGCTAAGAAACTGCAAAGCTATGTGAAAGAGAAATCTTTTTTGATATCAGAAAAAGGTGTCCTTGCTGATAAGATTAGTCCTGGTGTACTTAGATCCTTAGTTGTGTTAAAAGATAAACCATGGTAAGTAAAACATGAGTAGATATCAGTTTATCCTTTGTAGTAACAAATCATATTTCTCCTATTCTGTGCACTAGCTTTAGTTATATAGGTTTCTTCACTTATATCTTCTTTCTTTTTATGACAACTGCTCATAGACAGCTGACTGCATTGGTTCTTGTGAAAGATGGATTTGTATGATGAAGAAGCTAGTATTTGGCACCCAAAATTTTAGTCTTTTGCTTTTTCTCTATGCAGAAATGAAATTCACATTCTTCTTTTATTCTTGTTGTTTCAGTAACTTATTCTGCATAGAAAGCAGGCTACACGAGGCATTTCTTAGGCTCATGGTTTATTTCTCACATTGTATTGATTTTTGAAAGCAAACATGTTATGCCTTAACAGATGCAATCATCATCACGAAGAGTGAATTCTAAACGTGCTTTTTTATCCTTTTATAAACTATAATTTTTTGCTGAGTTGTGTGAAGTTGCCATCTCCTTTTTTGCAATGTGTGACTGTCTCTGCAATATTTTTTTTTCTCCCTTCCTACTTGAGTTGAATGTCAGGAAAGGTCAATATCAGGTTTTGGGACCATTTGGATATGTGCTTTTTATTAGAGCTGTGAAGTTTCGTGACAACTGTTTTAGCAATCAAGGTTACCTTGTAATGCTATAAGCTTCTTTTTTTCATGTGGTCCTCTGCCCCCTCCCCTCCTCCAACCCACCAGCCAACAACAAGAACAAAGGTCACTTCTACTTGTGTTTTAGTTCAAACATAATTTTGTGTAATGGTGTTTTTCCTAAGCTGATTTATGCTCACTATCACTTAATTTGCCACTATCACTGTTTGTTGTGCGGCCAGTTAGAAAAGGTATGGCAGATAATAATCAGGGTTATTGATTGAGTGTTCGTTCTGCTCTTTATTTTCAGATTGTGAGATCTGACTGATGTGATGAAGCAATCAAACAAATGAAAAGTTATTTTTGGGAGTCAACATTGCTCTTTATAGGGGGGTTGGCAATGAAGTTGGTTGGAATATCTTTTGAGCAGAAGTGTCTTGAGAAACTTGAAGGAACGTGGATGAAAGTTATCAACTGCTACTGATTATGATGACTATGCTGTGAATGTTGGTTTTATAAAAACATGAATGTCTTCTTTGAATCTGTTTTGTTATAAATGACTGAATGGACTTCCTCTGTCAAAGCAATGTTAGCATTAGTGGGGTTATAGAGAAACGGTTTTCGACTGATTCATTATCTGGACTGAGTTCTCATTTGCTCAGATTCACTTAAAGCTGCGAAATCTTGAAATGGACAAGCATGATGTGTTATTTCTTTCTGATGCACCTATTTGTGTAGTTGCATTATTGTTCTTGTGTATCTTGTATTGGCTAAGTTGTTAGTTGAAGAGATGTTGACGGGGCAAAGAATATGGCATTGCATGATACAGAGTTGCTCTTGGCCTGTTCTACTTTTTCAATCGAATTATTTTAATTTGTAGCTGCTGGGCTGGCAATGGATTTTTTTCTCTTTGTTGTCAACTTTAGTCGGTTGACATGCGAGTGTTTTAACCTTCATGTGGCAGGCAGGCAGGCAGGCAGCCAGCCAGCCACCTTTAATCTTAATCTGAAGTTTTAGTCGAACTTATAACAAACATATCCATAGGTTATAAGAAAGTTAATGTAATTATTATGATGAAAAATTAAGAAAAAATCTCTGACAAAGCAGTGGGCATTCCGTACAGAAGAGTCAACGTCTGTGTCAGGCTTTCACCATATGCAACCAGACGATCACTGTACTCTCTTGTTTTTGGACTATTATCTCCGCATTTTCATTTTTCTTTTCCTTTTTAATTTTTATTTATCTTTTTCTTCCCTTTGGCATTGCAATATCAGTTTACTCGCTCTGCTTGGGCTAGTTGTGTAACATTTGGAGTTTACTCGCTCTGCTTGGGCTAGTTGTGTAACATTTGGGTGTTGTTCTGCCAGCGCGTGTCCGAATCGGTTCGATGAAAGCGTGTAGGGGCGTGGCTTCGATATAAACAACAAAACTTCTTACAGCACTGAATAATACATCGTACGATGAAGATACGATCGGCTTCTCCCTTGTCTGTCTCCAGCAATGTACCCTTCTCATTTTTATTTACACGATATGCCCCCTCCTTCCCCCGTATTAATGCTCACCTTCTCCTCCGCCCCCCTAAACGCCAAAAAACAGATCATATCCGCCCCTCTAGATGCTAAATCGTAGATTCTAAAACCATTTTTCTGAAAAATCCCGGTAAGTGAAAATGTAAAATGTAATTATATATAGATGATATTATTGTTGTTGAATGATCAGTAAATACGCGAGAAGCTTGCTGTAACAATGGATAAGTTAACAAACATTCACTCCCCCCTTTTTATTGATTATTAGACGAGAGAGAGTGAAGGAACTTTGAATGCACTGGGGACAGTTTTGGAGAAAGGTCAGTCCATAACAAATTTAGCCAAACCACTAATTAGTCCAGGCCTGCAATTTACAGTGTCCACGATTATGAGACAAATTTCCCTGATCTGTGTTGATTAGAAAGCTATGACATGTTCCATTTTTTTTTCTCTTTTCAAGAGAGAGTGGGGTTGGGGACAGTGTCGGAATGGTGGGTTTAAACTTCTGCTCGACCATGAAAGGTTCCTTCTAATATGTTGATTCCAAGCACTATTTCGAACAGTCGTTTTCACCTATCAATTACACTTCATACAAGGGGCTATAGGTTCAAAGAATAGAGACCATAAGTAACAGTAGTATTACTATTTGTTTCTGAATCAACATCCCCTTTCTCGCACTCCAAAATTGACATCCCCTTCATGCAAGGGGCTATAGGTTTAAAGAATAATATTTCAAATTTTTAAACCTTCCTAGTACCCTAAGCAACGGTTTTTCGCCATGCAATTCGATATGGTCATGAGTTTGAATTACATTAAAAAAAAACACACGCACAAGTCACACCCCATTTGTATAGTCATTTTGATTAGAGTTTCGACCGATTATTGTCTTGGCTAACTTTGTCATGTACTTGTCTCCTACTTTTCTTTTCTTCTTCGTTTACCCCATCCACCACTTTCCCAAGCAAAGCACGTCACTACCCAAATAATCGAGTTTAGAAATAGTAGTCTTTTTCAAGGATGGAGCATGCAATTTGGCATACAATCGTGAAGGCCACTGAGGTTTGGATTATTGGAGGTTTAGACAAGCAAACCAAATTTCCCTGGCCACCCACACTTTATAGGAAACGACATATTATTGTACAATATTGAACCCAATATTCAAAGTGACCAAATCACACGCTAAGGCTTTATTATTTCTTTTATCTTTTGTTTTTTTTTTTTCTCCCCCTTTAAAACCTTAAATCGTGTTAACCTGATGACCCCTTCTGGCTTCTCGGGCAATTGATCAAACAAAGGTCAGTGGGACCAGAGGTTTTAAGAGCACCGCGTGGCGTTGCACTGCAGAGAGGAAACCAACCACACGGTTATTACTATTAGCATTACCATCCTTAGACTGAAACCAAAAATATGCCCCATTTCCTAACTAGTTGGACTAGGAAAAGATCAGAAGAAAAATTAAGCCAAAGCCACGGCCAGCTCCTACCTCTTTCTCTTTCTCTCTCTTTCACACTGGCCACTCCCCTCTATTTACATGCCTTTTTACACGGAATTTCATTGCACTGTTTTTTCATTGTGCCCCCACAAATACGTAGCCATCACGTGGGTTAAACTGTAATTTCCTCTTCCAAACTCACCAATCACTTCTGCACAAGCCGCCTCATAACCCAGTTTCCCACACTCACCTAGACAGAAAGAGCTAAATCGAAGTTGGCTTTAAGCCTTTAAGAGAGAGAGAAGAGAGAGAAGAGAGAGAAGGAAGAGTTGCATTTTAAGGCACTTTAAAGAGACTAAACTAAAGACTAAAAATGAGTGAGCTTTAAAGACTAGAAGATATAGAAAGATTCGAAAGAGAGAGAGAGAGAAAGAGGGATTGGCTTAATGAACATGCCAAAAGAGTGGAGAATTGAAGAGTTGAACTCCCTGGGAATGGCAAGTTGAGTTAGGGTTTCGAAATTCGCATCCACTGCTTCTAACAGAGTATAAGCCTGTTATAAGGTGAGAGTTTTTTTTTTTAAACTCTTTTGCTTTCTTTCAGTTTTTTGGGCTAAAACCACCTTGAACGCCAACATGTCCCCTCCCCCAAAAGCTAGGCTACTAGTACTATTCTTTCTTACCACACTCTGAAAAGTTAGCCATTAAAACCCCCGAAACAACTTTTCTACTTGTCTATCCCTTCAATTATCTCTTGTGAAAGCTGACACATTTTCCATCTCTTTCCTTTTCTCTCTCTAACTCTATGCTTCCCTTGTTGTTGTTGTTGTTGACAGATCATTAGTTGCAATAGTACCGACAAAAAAACGATACCGTAACCTCGCCGGAACAAGGGAAAACAAAGGGTTTATCTTGCAATTTGGCAACTTCAACAAAATGTTGGAATACGAATGGGGAAACCCGTCAGCAATAATACTATCGGGTGAAGAGCCCAACCAAGAAACCGACCCGAACCGTCAGATTTTCGATCACTATGCCACCACCACCACGACCCAGCAATCTTTCAACGACACTCTCCTTTCCCATCAACACAGCACTGCCTTTACTCACCAAAACCATTTCCATAACCCTAACCAACCTCAAGCTCAACCTCATCCCCACACCCATCTTCACTCCCTTTATGACCCACGAGCCTACTCTGGCGCGTCGGCTTACTCCACACCCCACCCTTCCTTTCTGTCCCTGGACCATGTTTCCGAAGCCGGAGGAAGCGGAGGTGCTTACTTTCTGGTTCCGAAGACGGAGGAAGTTTCTAGGCCTGTTGACTTTACAGCGAGGATTGGACTCAACTTAGGTGGCCGTACGTATTTTTCCTCTGCCGAGGATGACTTTGTAAACCGGCTTTATCGCAGGTCTAGAACGGGAGATCCCAGCTCGAACAACTCCCCCAGGTGCCAAGCTGAGGGTTGCAATGCTGATCTTACCCATGCTAAGCACTACCACCGCCGCCATAAAGTCTGCGAGTTCCATTCCAAGGCCTCCACAGTCATCGCCGGCGGTTTGACTCAACGATTCTGCCAGCAGTGCAGCAGGTTGAGGAAATTTACTAAAATGCCATTTCACTTTTGCAGTAATAATCATATAGAGTGTTCGATAAGCTTTGTGGAGTAGGAATGAGGATAATGATTGTGTTCCGAATGACGGAAGTGCCCCTGTAGAGGCCTGTGAAGGTTAATGATTGGCTACCCGTACGTGGGGTGATCCCGAGGGCATTTGTGTCCGTGAAAGTTCCCTGTTCTTCCCGTTTACGTACCGTTTGCTTTGCTACTTATAGTATTAACTTAAAGACACATTTAATTAGCATTAAATTACAGAAACACCCTCTACATGCACTCATATTTTCACTTTCTGGAATAAGTTTCACCGGAATCTTCTTTTTTAGTAGTAGTATTTTTGTTTCTTCTGCTATTTTCTTGTGAATATGGATGAGGATTGAGCTGACCAGAGTGCCCCGGCAGTTATATTCTCAGATCAATGATTGGTTCCCCCGTACTTGTGGAAATCCCGAGGACATTATCGTCTGAGCATCTTGCTCTATTGTGTTGGGTTTGCTCAACTCGACTCAAAATCAGTTGATAATAACAGCACTGCTTAATTTCATTAACGTTGGGGTTCTTAAAACTTTCTACAGGTTTCATCTTCTCTTAGAATTCGACAATGGAAAGCGTAGCTGTCGAAAGAGATTGGCCGATCACAATCGTCGCAGGCGAAAATCTCAACAACAACCCAACAATCAAGAAAACCAGACGCACAACATCCCGCTTGAAAATGGCCGCAATTCCACCTCTGATAACCCCCCAAGTCTGTCATTTTCAAAACACTTCTCCATGTCATATACCAGGAAAATAGTCTAATAGTGATAAGATTTTTTTTTTTGGTGATTTTTATATATAGGGTCACCGCCGGATTCTGGGATTCAGTCTTCTTCATCAGTAACCGTGGCAGTTTCGCCACCGCGAATGGCATTGGATTCTTTCAGGCAAAGACCTTACAATGCAACGGCATCTTCATCATCATCAAGCACACTTTTTTTCTCGGGTAATTAGTACTAATAAGTAGTGGTATTGAACAATATGGAGATCGAAGAGAAACCAAGAAATTAGCTTTTGCAATAACAAGTTGAATGTCTCTAGTACTATTCTTCTCCTCTCTTACCTCAGAAATTTCAATGTTTATTATCAGTTGGTGTTATTAGCTTAAATTTTAATGTTTAATATCGTCAACAAATTTGGACTAATTGAGCATCTAACATATTTTATTTTTTTCGCTGCAATATATATATTTGTTCCAATCATTATGTAACTAATATTTTAATTATTTGCAGTGTTTGTATTAATTAATTCTCTGCACGGTATAAATTTTACCGATGGTAAAGTGAAATTTTGGTTTAAAAAATTTTCTTTTGAGGTGGTAAATTTAGTCAGGAACAGGCTGTGTACTTTGCAGGTTTATTTTTACATTTTGGGAATGGAATTACGACCTTTTTATCTGGTACTGGAATTTTTCCGGAAAATGCAATGTACAACTGTATATATGAAGAAAGAGAAGAAAAAAAAGAATCCAACGGAACAGCCGAACAGGGTACGAATTTTCTAGGAAAATAGAAAGTTGAAGGGTGGGGAGGGACTAGGGACTAGGGACTAGAGAGGAGAAAGCAATCAAGTTGTCTCCTCCATGGAGGCTGGCCGTACCAAAGCAAAGTTATCATGAAGAAAATCAATCTGATAGTTTCTAATTTCTCTCTCGTAACATCATCATGATCATCATCATCGATATCATTATTCATTTGTTTTTGGACTTGGGAGAGTGGTAGAAATGTTAAAAAGAGGCCGATTGGGCTGGGGTCGACTCGAGACGAAGTATCGCCTTGCTAGATCTCAACGTTTATGATTTGATTTGATCGATCCCAACCCGTCTATAAATTGCTCAAAGGAACCCATTTGCTATGTTCCCTGCCTATCGTCTCAACCAAAGTGATTCAGCTATTGATATGACCCTAACACTAACTATGTTGCTGCTAAATGCTGATTTAATTTACTTATTGTTTTAGACTATTCAGACCTTCTAAATGCGTAGATTAAACTTGAAAGGTTAAAAGTTCTATATTTCGGGGTTAGATTCGGGAAAAGTAACATATTCTTGCCTGAATTTTTTTTTTTGTATTTTATTTTCTTAGTTTAATTCACGGAGCGTGCTTTTTAATAGTGTAAAAAAAAAAAAAGAAAAAGAACGAGAATAAAAAAAATTCTTCTTCCCTTAAGATTTTGTAGATTTTGAAGGGAAAAAAATTTATCTCATTTGTCTTTATTTATTTGAATTTTCGGATTATATTATCTTTTTATGTCTCCTAAAATTACAAAATAAATATGATTTTTATTATTTATAGTTTTAATAAGTATTACGTTTTTTTTTTTTAAATATAGTAGATATTAAAATTATATTTTCAAAATTTTAAAATTTTAACAAAATTCTTTTTTTAAGATAAAAAAATGTAAAGGATTTTGAAAATTTTTTTCAAAATTTTGAAATTTTAACGAATATCTTATTTTTAAGATAAAAAACGTAGTGAATATTAAAACTTTATTTTCAAATTTTTAAAATTTTAACAAAAATCATATTTTTTAAAATAAAAACATAATTCTTATTGCTACTCATAACAAAATTAAATTAAACCTAACATACCTTTATCTAATATTATTACATATAAATTTAAAATATATTTACTTAACATTATTACATATAAAGTTTGTTCCATGAATTTCACTCTTGAAAACTTCGATTAGAGGGTTTGCTTCCCTTTCTAACTCTCACTTTGATCTTATCACGAAAATCAATTTACCTAGAGATAATTAATGTTAAGATAATAATTAAAAATATAATACTATTTTTATTAAAAACATAAAAAAATTAAAATTATTTAATTTCAACAAAAATTATAAATTATTCGCATGTCATATATTATTCACATATAAATATCATAAATATCACGGGTTATTCATTTATCATAAAAAATAATATAGTAAAAAATTATATTAAATAATCATACATATTTTTAAATCACAAAAAAAAAAAAATTACATTCTCTAAATCTATAAATTAAAAATATAAATACATGTTCTTAACGATAAAATGTTGAATTTTTTTAATAAAAAAAAATTTTAAAGCCTCAGTGCTCGGCCTAAAAACTTTTTATTGTCCGTACAGATGATAGGGTTTAGTTAAAAATGATAAAATAATGAAGTTAAATGATTGTGATGTAAAAGGGCAGAAGATGGCTAAGGAAGGCAAAGCATGTTTGTTATTTTGATTTTCTCCTTCTTGTCATATTGGTGGGTTGATACTGACACGACATTCCAGAGATGAAAAGTTGGCACTTTGCTCCAAGTGATGATTACAAAAGTTGATGATAAGATCTTATGTTTGTTTTTATTCAGATGCGCATAAAATATTATGTGTTATTATGTGGGTTAGTAACCTCTCGGGTTTACGTTTGTCTTCAAGGTTTAAATCATTCGGAAACCTCCTTGCAACTTCGAGGAAATTAATTGTGGGTCCTTCAACTTTTTTATATTTGTATCCATTTCGATGTCACTGTTTTAATCAAGTTTTGTTTTCGTCTCAAAATATATTAAAAAACTAATTCGCACCTTCTAAGAAAGGAGAATTTCCCAATTCTGTCACATTCCAGATTGTTTTATTTATATTATATATTAATAAAATGTAGTTCCATGTAGAAGAAATTGTTTTTTATAGTCACACATTATATATATATATAAAGAAAAGTTGAATACATGCATGCTATTGCCATTATATATAATTAGAAGTAATTCGTTTATGGAAATCATTCATTTAGTCTTATATTGAAGAGATAACATTTCGCTTTTCTTCTATTGGAATCGTATCTTTTTGTTTTATTTTATTCTTATTGTGCATGTATAAAAATTAAATTAATAACATTGTTCTCCTCTTGTCATTTTGGTGATCAATTTGATAAAATTCATAGGCAATATACTAATAGGGTTGGCAACTCAATTCAAAATCGACGGGTTTTGACTTAATCCGATCAGATACAACTCTATAAAATTTTTTTTTTTTAAATCAGATTTCAGGTCGAGTAGAGTCGGGTATTATTAATGGAGAATCGGGTTCAGATTTTAGACAAACTCGATCTAATCCGACTTGATATTATATAAAAAATTATTTTTTTAATTTTTTATTTATATATATTTATATATTTATATTTAAAAAATAAAATTTTATATTTTTAAAATAATATTTTATTAATTTCAGATTGGATCGAATCAGGTACAATTTATATAATATCGAGTTCAAATATAAAAAATAAAAAAATTTTAGGTCAGGTATGAGTACAAGTTTTATGTTTATAAAATTGAGTCGGGTTCGGAACGAGTAAAAACCCGTCCCACCTCGACCCGTTGCCAACATTATGTACTAAGGAATATTTCAAGCACTTTTGACATGTTCGGATTTTCTTCATATTAATAATCTTGAAGATGAAATTAAGTTTTATATTTATATAAATAATAAATAATAAAATATTTGAAAAGTGTCGAATACATTACGATAAAATAAAAGGATATGTCACTTATAATTACCTTATTGCAATTAATTAATAATAATTTCATATTGTATAGAGTTCAAAAATGATATAAAGTTGACGCTTTTATATAGTAGATTCTTACATAATTTTTATTATGATTGATTAATTGTATAATCATAATAAAAAATTAGAAGTGAAATAATTTCAAAAAAAAAAAGTGTTACATAACGTATAAGTATGTATGATTGTCCAACATCAATTTTATCTTAAATGATTAGATTAGCATTTAAAAGAGATTAGATTAGCATGTAAGAAGTCGACTTACTTAAGAACTCCTACACCCCCCCCCAAAAAAAAAACTAATTTAACAAGTGATTAACTTTAATTTTGGAATTAAAATTATTTTAATTGATTAAAACTTTGTTCTATGGCCTCCAATTAATTCCAAGAATGTAAAACTGTTGTCTGTGAATGATATAACATATAATCTCATAATTCATAAATATATATGTATGTGTATGAGGCATGGATTTTTTTTTTTTTATCTAACTTAAAATAGTAATAATAGTAACAGCATTGTTTTAGTATTTGATTAAAAATGGTTAACCGAGAAAGAGAGGTGAGTGATGGGCAGTAAATATGGGAAGCAAATGCTGTATGTCTGACGTCACTCGTGCGTGTAAATATAGGTTTAAATTATTCCTTTGTTAAAACAAAATTGAATGGGGCCATTCTCTTTCTCTCTATATATCAGGTGCATCTACATATTCCAGAGTTGTGAATCTAGCCGACAATATTAATTTACATTGCTCGTACAATTATTTTGTTTATTTTTTTACACAAGAGGTCATAATAATAGAAGAGAAATAATCATATGTGAATTTGAATCCTAATTTACAATTAGTAGACACTATATTTGAAACAACTCTCTTTAAATAGGGTTTTTTTTTTTTTTTTGAAGGCTTAGGTGTCTATTAAAGTAGGATTTTTTATCTTAATTTTAAAATATCACTTCTTAAATATAATTATATAAATTAATTAAATTTAAATTTAAATTCAAATTCAAATTTTGAGTACATTAATTAAATATATATAAACATTTTAAATTTGTTTTCTTAAGAACATAACAGAAACTTTTTATTTTTTAAAAAATCAAATTAATAACTATAGCTAAGCTAAAAATGTCTTATTATTTAATAAATATATCATTCCAATTTTAATGTTTGTAATCTTTTTATTATCTCAAAGTTATAATCTTATTTGTGAAAAAAAATCCTCTAATCAAATAAAAAAATATTTTTGACTAAAAATTCATGAGATGATCAAATTCATTCTCGGCTATCAACATTAAAAGAGAAATAATAGCAAAAGAGATTTGGTAACTGTTTGATTAGGTATACCAGAAGTTTGCAGTAATTGAAGTGTAGCGTAGGACAAGAGAGAGTTGCTTTTAACGAAGGAAGTAGTGGTACTAGTAAAAAAGGCTAATTAGGATGTGGTATCAGCACATGCATATGTTTTAAGGTGGGGACATGGCCCACTTAACTTACGGACTCAGCCTAGGTTTTAACCCATTTGTTCCTGTTCCCAACCCACCAGCTTAATTATGTCAAATCTCTAATATGCATTTTACCCTTCCTAAAAAATAAATCTGTATAAATTATAATTTACATTTTTTTTTTTTTTTGCAAAGAAGATATTATTAGGGGGATTAAAAACAGTGGTCCAAAAAAAAAAAGGAGAATGAACTACATTTCTTTTTCTTTCCAGCTTTTCCTGTGTTTAATCGGACAAAGAATTGAAAGCAACGTTTCACACATTGCTTCGCGGAGGGAGTGCAGCAAATCCCATCGCTCCCCATTCTCCAGCTTTGTAGGGTCCCCCCATACACATCTTTTTCCTCATTTATTACCGCTGGGGCCTACCCCTTCCCCTCCTCTGGCTTTATGGAGGGGAAAATGGACTGGGCCCCCATCTTTCAATGCGCTACTAGGGACTCAGGTTGCTCTAAGCTACAAGCAACACTACAAGCAAAGCTCGGACAGTGTTAATGGAGGAAGGGGAATAGTGAATACTTTTAAAAGCTTTGGCTTCCACGTGGACTCCCTCTTTTGGTTTAGCAGTCATGTAAAGTGGGGGCCTCTCCTGATTTGGCATGATATGTATTTGCAGGGTTCACGTGCAGTGAACGTGATCATTGGTCGAGGGATTGTCCTTCGTGGGGACTTTGCCAAACAGTTTCGGGAGCCATTCTAATTTGGTAGCTAGCTTCGCTATGTGTGAATGAGAGAGTTTTGCTCCACTCCTTTTTTCTTGTTGGTTGGGGGGTTACTTTCGATTTCGAAAGACACAAAATGTGCGAATCGTGAGAGTCAGTGACTCATTCAGTTGTTGTTTTATTTTTTCTACGACAAACATCATGAAAAATTATCTTTAATCCATTTAATTAGTTGCTGTAATTCATGATTTTGTTGTACCAATCTTATCTTTATCTTTGCAAGTAAGATAAAAGAATTTTTCACTGAAACCAAAATTTAATTTAATTAATTAATATAATTATTAAAAAAAATGTTAAGAGTAGCTGATTTAATACCTGCGTTTAAACACTCAAAATTTTATAAAATTAGGTCAATTCATTTTTATCATTCGAGACCGAATACTTGCTTTCATAAATTACCAGATATCCGTCATAAAAAAAAAAAATTAACTTCTGAAATAAATGAGATTATCCTAGTAAATAATTGATTTTAAATTACAAAAACGAACTGATGTGATTCCAAAAAATCTCGAGTGTTAGTTAATGATTATTTTTCAAGTACTTTTAGCATTTCTTTGATTATTATTTAATAAAAATTTTAAATCTTAACATTTATGATTTTTCTCGGATTCCTTCTTTGTATTAAAAAAAAAAAAAATCAAATGAACTTAATCGTATTAACAATGAGTCGCTGCAGTCGTGCTTTCCTTTACTAAAGAAAGAAAGTAGGGTGTTATTAATTGGATACGGTAGGTTATCAATCTGCTTAAACCTGTGCGGCAGAACTCAAAGTATGCTCAACTACTTCAAAACGAGGGGACGAATGGGTTATGGTGCTTATAGGAAACACTTTAATAGGAAAGAGAGAAATATAAATGGGTAAGGTACATCCTCATTTTTTAATTTTTATATTATATATATTTTTTTTCTATATTCATATTTAATAAATATTTTAATATATTTTTATTTTTATTTTTATTAATATTTAATGAGTATAAATAAGCACTATACTCGTAACTTAAAAAAAATAATAATAAAAACTAAAATTTATTTTTAAAATTTTTTTATTTTTATCTTGTATATTTAAATAATTATTTTATAAATATATATATTAATATATATTATTCAATAAAAATATATTGATTCTAATTAATCTAAAATAATAATTTATATTATTTAATAAAAAATTTATTTACTAAATATATATAAATATTTATAAGGGACAGTTATAGAGCGAATACTATATTATATATCCCCATCTCTATACCCAATAAAAATTTAAAATTATATTAATCTCTATTCTCATACCTATAACATAATACTCATCATCATCTTTATTCGGATAAACAACCAGATTTTTTATTAAAAACGGATAAAATTGATATATTTATAAGGAGATAGCATCCTCAATTGTCTTAGATTTATGATCAATTATTTAAGTTGAAAACAAAATTAAATTGAAACCTAAAACAATAATTCTTTTTCTTTTTCTTTTTTGTAACAAATGGAGCCAAAATCTAAAAGAATCAGAAAAAGAAACATTGTAAATACTAGTAATTGAATCTCAATTTTAGCTAAATTTATTTTCATATGAATCATTTGGGTTAACTTTTCGATTTCAAAATAATATTTATGATGGTATATGAACATTAGTATTAAAATTTAGGTCAAATTATATTAAAAATCCTTATAATTTGTAAAAATTTAAAATATAATTTTTATATTATGTTGCGCTATTTTGATTTAATAAATTTAATTTAATCACTAATTTTATTAAATTTTTATCGTTAAAAATATTAAGGTAACCGTGAACTTTATCATTGTAACAGTTAATTTATTGATGTGACCACTAAAGAGTTTTCTCCACTCTTAATCAACTTAATTCTCTTATATTGACTTGGTTAATTAATGTGAAACTGGATTATCATCAAACAGTATGTATAATACAAATTATTTACTAAAAATTCCATAGAAAGTGATGGGAGGGGGGAAAGGGTGGATGCAAAAGTGGTCACCAAGATAGAGACGATAATGGATGCATGTTATTTGTGTGTGGATTTTCGCTTTCCACGCAATGAACGTTGAAAACACATAATTCTAAAATGGCTTGATCGCTAAGGAACTTTCCGACAAGAAAACAACCAGTCACTTGATCAATCACAGAGCTGAAAGTTGATAGCAATACACGTGCCGCTTATAGCAAAATAAAGCTTGTCTTAACTTTATAGTCGTGGGAATACACTTTGAGAATAACTCAGCCGGGCATGCACTGGCAAATCCTTGTATGCCTTGATTTTATATTGTTTTGGATGATTATTATTATGTCTTTTAAGACACAGCTTTTCAATTCCATATGTTATTTTTTACACAATGCTCTTTGGAAATGGCATTTTCTTAAAATTAAAAATTTTAGAAATTTAATTTAATTAATTTATATAATTATTTTTAAAATTTTATAGACAATAATTTTAAATTTTAATACTTTCATTATTTTTTTTTATTTTTAAATTACGTCATTCTTTATAAAAAAATAATAATAATAGAGAGCAATTAATCACCTGCCGCTTGTAGAAGTGTTGAATGGTTTAGTATAGTTTTATCCATGTGTTCTCTTTGATTTTTTTTTCTAGTTTTTAAAAATTGTATTCTTATCAAATATTTAAATTTAGTAAAACAATTCATCACTAAGAATTTTTTTACACTGTTTTAGCAAATATTTAAATCATTATTTGTTTTAAACAATATAAAAAATTCAGTTAAATGATAAAAGTAGGTATAACACGATTTTTTTATGAAATGATTCCACTAAGATTTCATTTTTAAATAAAATAAATCCCTTTTTGATTTGGTTTACAATATATACGTAGATATATATTGATAAATGAAAAAGCATGCAATATTCAGCAGATATCCATTTCAAAAATGAAAATCTGGGTTCAGCCCAACACGTTTACTTGCAAAATATTAATGCACTCAACCATGGCCTAAAAAATAAGAAAATAAATAAGCAGCGCCGAACTCAACCTGACTTCTGTTGCCCCAATTATCAGGTTATGCTCCAAATCTCTTTTACGTTTACGAACTCTGAAATATTAAACCATCATCAATTATATATTTAAAGAAATTAATTTGGCTACCTTAACAATGTGGCCTAGAAAAAGCTCAACACTCAACAGCAACAAACAATCATACTTCAAAATGAATCATAAGGAAAGCTGGCAAATTCTTGAAATGCATTTATGAACTTAGTTATTCTAAAAGAATATCCCTAAATATGATTATAAAAACATTGTGAGAACATTGTTCTGACAATTGTTCTCAATCAAACTATGAATGTATTATACAGTCCAGCAATCAATATTCAATAGTCATCCTAGAAGACCATGCAACTAAAACTATTACAAGCCAATATATAACAGGAATTTCAAAGCACGTGTGTTCCCTCCAAGGAATTCCACAACTCCGAACACTCTTCTTCCTCTTCTTTAGCTTTCCCTCTCACAGACAACATTCCAAATGCTGAGCTTGACGCTTGCATGAGATCTAACGTTACTTGAGCACCGGTTTCTGGAAACCTGTCCCAGCCGTGAGGCTCAGGTAATGAGTGGTGCTGCTGAACTGCTATAGAGCTGGACCCAGGATGGGCCTCTCCTAAGTCTTCCATCGCATGGTGGTGCAAGTGCCAGTCTCGATCAAGTATGAGCTGCCGAGCCAGGATGGCAGCTCGATTTTCTGCAATCAGCTCGCGCAAGGCAGCACTAGATCTTGAGGAGAGATCAGATGGGGAGATCCAGGAATCGGCCCTAGGTGACAGAAGAGAGAGAGCACATTCTGTCTGCGACGATAGGTATGGAAATCTCCCAGTCATCAATTTATTATCTGTTGAGCACATAGATATCATAGAAACATGTTCAGCTTTCTGAGTTCATAAATCACGTAAGTTTTTCCACTACTTTTATCTCAGGTACAATTCAAATAAAATGATTTAACATGATCCAGAAGGGCTTGGCCTCTTCATCGTCAGCAGCTCCAAGCTTAGACAATGAAGACAGTCGTGCTGATAACATGAACAAAGCTCCAGAAGCACTTTAAGTGCTTGCTTTAATACAAGGTGAGGCTATACTATATTTAGAGAGTAAATGTTTTCTTTGCAATTTTAAGTAATTAAAAGAGTAACAATGTTTAATATTAAATGATTCTGTAATACTAAAAAAATCATGTGTAAACACAAGCTGATATGAAATCCACAGGAAGAATATCACAGAAGCAGCACATACAAAGCATGTACCTTTTAGGCTCACCAATTTATGTTATTAGAAACCAGCTCACTGCCATTTATACCTCAACAAAAACATTTGAGAAATCAATACACCAAACCTTGTTGAACTCAATTAGTCGTTGAGGTAATCTAGGGGACAAATGCAACTTGATCATATATAAAAATGAGTTTTCCCACATCATCGTACATAGAATAGCATTATCACCTGGCTGGTCTTGGTTTCAGTAACAAGATTATTAGGCAATTCTTTAAGCTACGAACCAATGCAGATGAGAGTTAGACCAAAAAGGTTTGAAGTTGAAACTATAGGGACAAGGCTAAAACTCTTTTTACCAATATATATAACAGAATATTCATATCAAGTTTAGGTTGGACTCAAGTCACGATATGTGGCTTAACAGTTTCCCTCTTCCCTCTTTCCTTTTTTCGATGGTTGGCTTTTACCAATGTCTAATGGAGTTGTGTTGGGGGGAGAGGATTGAAAGCATTGGGGAAAAGCTTTGCAAGGACACAGATCAAATGAAGTGCCTTACTTTAATGTTTTTCTTATCCCAAAGAAAAATCAAGAGTTTGATTAAGGCATGAATGTAAAATTAAAGTTAGAAATAAAGACCTAAATGTACTAACAATACTAAAAAGCAGAATAGATGGCATATCTTTGTGGTAAAATTTTAGTCTCTGTAGAAACTGCTGCTCTATTATTGCTTGAGCTTTGACGAAAATCATTTTAACTAGTGTTATCCCCATACCTTCAAATTGTAACCAAACCCCGAAATTCTTATTTGAAGAGAACTTAAGCTAATGGAGTGCTAGTATAACTTAAACGCATGAACATAAATTTTCAACTTAAACCATTTTAGAAATGCCAAGAGCTAAAGGGCTGATCTTAAAAGTGTTAAGATATCATTTTTCCACATGCACAAGAGAAAAGTGAAGTTTCTCTTTGGAGTAAAGCAGTCTGATTAGCAATTTAGTATTAGCAAATATTGGTTCAAACGAAACTTATTTTCAAGAAACTCCAATTTTCTTTTTTTAGTTATTATTATTTTTTGGAGAGCAGGAGGGCCAAGGGGGTGTAAATAGTACTTTAAGATTTTGATTTTGATTTCTCTAACTTTGGGTACTAAAAAGGGCGTAATTAACATTAACCAGCTCATGGCTTGTGTCATTGTCATTTGTCAATTGAATATCAGCATCTAATCGACCGTCATCCTCATTAGTACTATAGGGATTCAATTCTACTGTGAACAGTTCAACAAAGAGAAACCTTAAGTCCTTATCCAAATTAAAAAGGAAATCAAAGGTAAAGGAAGAACCTAAAGTCTCAAGAGAAACAAAAAACTTTATCCCAAGTTCCCAACTGCAGAAGATTCATAACAAAATGCATGCCCTTTTCTAATTAGTAAGCTTAAAGGGCTGTATGGGTACTTTACTCTCAATTTGCCTTTCCAAAACTCTGATTATTCAACAGGTTTTTCAAAAGCAAAGTTGATTTTTCCCGAGACATAAAGCCTTGTGCATCTTGGAAAAGCACGATTAACATCCGCTAATGCAGTCTTGAGGACTACTAAAATAATAATAATAACGTCACATGTATATCATGCAGAAAAAAAATTCCATAAACAACACTAGGACAATACATTAAAGAATTGATTAAAAAAGCAAGTAAAAAATACTATGTACCTTGAGCAGAGTTCCTGGAAGCAGAATCATGAGAGCTTTTTCTTCTACGCTCATTGTGCCCTGCCAATCTCCTTCTGCAACTCCTCTTCGAGTCGTCAAACTCTGACACCACATGAAACCTATGCCCATTTGCCCACTCATCCATCAGCTCATTAAAATACCAAAGATTTCTTACTACTTTCATTTCCTATCACCAGGCAAATTTGACCAATACGCATACAAAGATACAGTACAAAAAAATGAGAAAAAAGGAAGAAAACGAAAAATCAAAACATTTTTCACTATTCCTTCTTGGGTATAAATCATTAAAAACTATTACCTATTATATGAAGTAGTAGTAAAAAACCCAAAAAAAAGTACATAGAGATAAAATGGGACATACAAAATACTACTACTACTTTATGTAAACTTTGATGGCATATTTTTAGCCCTAAGATGGAAAAGGACGAGAATTGAGAGAGTGACCTGCTACACTGTTGACAAAAACGTTGCTCTAACCCTAGCACCACCACCTTGGGTGCTTTGGAGTGCATCTCACAAACTTTATGCCTCCGGTGATAGTCTTTAGCATTGACCAGTGCAACGTGGCATCCTTCAACTTGACACCTTGGTACCGTCGCTGGAGGCCCCATCATGGCTGTCGATGAGGAAGGCCCAACTACAGCATTACCGCCGTCGCCGCCATGATTATTGTAGTAGGGTTTACCTTTCTTGCCAATGGAGAACCCATCGGCCATGTGTCGCTCGGTCAGAGCTGTAGAATCCTCGAAGTATTGCCTCTTGCCAAGCTTCAAGCAAACAAGATGAGGGTCCGGGTGCATATGAGACCCGTCGCCGGTGTAAAGAGAGTGTTGCTGGTTCAAGTGGTGGGCAAGAGTAGCATTGCCTTGGTGAGGAAGGTACATGAGCGCGTGTGCAGTATTCGCCTCAGGGAGAGTGGAAGAGGAGGTAGTCTGCGCTCTGGTGACGCTGGGGGTAGTAGAAGTAGCAGTGGCGTACAGGTTGAAGCTGCTGGTATTATTGTTGCTTCCCCAATCGAATCTTGTAGTTGTAGGATTAAGCTCCCGAATGTCCCAAGCGAGATTAATGTTGTTATTACCAGTTTGCCCTCGGTTCCCCATGAACATATGCCCGCCATTTTCCATAATCTCTGTCTTTTCACTTGCAGTTGGAGCTAGCAGTGTCCGTAGTGCCTTTGCCTATATCTATCTATTTATAATTAAGCGATAACGGTCGATAGCTTTGGGTTTGGGATACCTTTTTTTTTTTTTGCTTACCTTTGCCGGTTTTGCGTACGCAGAGAGGACAGAAGCATCCTCTGATTGTTTAACACAAAAGAAGAATTTTTAAAAAAGCTTCAAAGAAATAGAGAGAATAAAGAGAAAATAAATGTGCAATCCAATGCAGGGAAAAACTGCAAGTTTTACAGACAGAGAGAGAAAGAGAGAGAGCGTGAAGCATGAAGGGGGAAAGAGGCACGTGAGGAGAAGTGTGTTGCACGTGGCAAGTAGAGTGAAGGTGGGCCAACCCAAGTTGGGCTGGCTTAAACTGATTTTTATTGATATGAAGAATCAGCTGCTGAGGCGGCAATAAGTAAGAGAGAGAACTGACATGACTCAAGCAGATCACATAAATCACCTCCCTACTCCTACTCCTGCTGTTTTTTGCAATTTAATTTATTTTTGGTTTAGAACGCGGATGGGAATTGGGGAGCAAGAAAGCAACAAACCCTTTCGGTTTTTTTTTTTTTTTTTATTTAAAAAGCATGCTATTTATTTTGATATTTATTCATGTAAGTGGCTGTAGAAATGTTGTTGAGACGCAGTTCAATGAGCGTATACTTCACTGTTGGTATCTCTGCTAAGCTGCATGCATTTCCTACGTAAGCCCTCGAATGGTATTGGGAACTCAAAGGTTTTAACTTACAGATTCTTCTTATCTTGCTCGAACCGACCGTCTTTCGAACGCGCTTCAACTGGCTGTCACATTCCGATAAATCTGCAATGAATCGCTTCCCCAATTTTCTTATTTTTTGCCAAATAATTATTTAAATTTTAAAAACAACAAATAATTTGATTTAACATACTGCTACTTTGGAAGCTTTGATTTAACAATACAGTCCATGAAATTTATTACATGAGTAATATTGGTAAATATAATAAGTTGTGGTGATTTACAATTAATAGATGAAGTATAAATATATATTTTTTTGAAAAAATATTCATTTGAAAAAATGTTGTTTAATCAATAAAATTTATGTTAATTTAATATTTCATTTTTTTTTAATTCAAATATTTTTACTTAACCATTTAGGAATAACAACCTATAGAATTTTGCAGACGCAAAATTAGTTAACCAAAACTATATATGGTTTGAAATTCGGGCTCAATAATGATACAATAACATTGAATCAATCATAAATGTGTACATCACAGGACTAGCTAAAAAAAGAAACCTCACCCTATTCGGTAATTTATATATTTATATTATATAAAATATTAATATTTATGTATTTAAGTTATACTTTATATAAAAAAAAATTGTGTTATAATTGATATTAGTATGAAAATATAAAATATATTTTTTATTTTATAAACATTTTAAATTATTTTATTTTTATATGTTTTTTTATATAATTTTCATATTTTATTGTCATATTATATTTTAAATTATTAATTCTATTTTTAAAATTTTCAAAATTTATGAGAAAGGGAGCGGGAGAGTAAAGGGAGATGGTAATCTATCTAAAAAGATAGGTGAAAAATATCTTCGTAATTATACATTTGGCTTCTTTTATGGCTAAATATTGCTAGAATTAATGCTAACAAAGATAGATGAAACTTAATTCGGTTAGAGATAAGTCGGGTACTGTATTTTGCAATCTCATTACTCATTTGCTTTTTATTTTTTAATTTTAATTTATTTTAAAATTTTTTATTTTATTACATACTTAACCGAAAATATGTCATGTGTTTAAATTTTTTCGATCTCATAATTTTTAAATATCAATTTTAATGACATACAAATTAATCAAAATGTTAATTAATTACTCATTTGCTTTATCTTCAATAAAAAAAAAGGTGATTTTTTATTTTCATTGGAAATAGTTAAAGATTAAATTTTATTTTTGAAATTATAAATTTAATAGTTTATAAATAAATCAAACAATTGTTGCTAAATAAGAATGAATTTATGTATATGACATTATTAACTTTTTATTTTCATAAAATGCCATTATGGACTATTGAACTTACTGAAACTTGATTGGAAAACTGGACCTACCAACATTAGCATTTAAAAAACAATATGTAAATTAGGTGAACAAACACTTGTATTACCTTAATTTTGATGTACCAATTAGCAGTGCATTATGTCAAAATTTTCCCTCATTTATTAATTTGATGTACTACTACTATATTTTTCGGATACATAAAAATTTCTTATTCCAGCATTAAATAAAAAAAAAAGGGATAATTTTGCTACAAAGAAACGAATCAAACATAAATACGAGTACAAAATAACCTACCGTTGCCTATCTAATCTCATATTTTTACATAATATATATTAATATTTTTTAAAAACAAAATTTAAACTCAATTTAATTGATTTATATAAATATTTTTAAAATATAATATTCAATTAATAAATTTAATGTCTAAATTCTAACCTTTGCCATTTATTTTTTTTATTTTCGAAAGACGTACGAAATTATTTTAAAAATAAAAATAATTATATTAATATAATATCAGTGAATAGCGGGTCATTATTGTATTTTCAGTGACCTTTTTTAAGTTTTGGTGGATAATTATTATTACTATTATGAATATATGAAGGATTTCCTCGTTGAATGCAACACAGTCTGTAAAGTGATGACACAATCTTCGATTAGGGAAGGCCATACACGTGTTAAGGAAATGGATTCCAACGCAAAGATTTTCCTCCAATTACACCAAAGATCGACCAAAATAGCTTTGATTGTGACCACACCTTGCAAGGCATGATGGCATTCTTTTTGAATGGTCATTGGGTCAGTGAAGAAGGAAACCTACATCAGATTCAGATGGCATTTGTCGTAAATAGAACATAACATGGAGAGCTGTTACGTTGCATCGACGTTCTGAAGGAAAAAGTTGAGACAATCCCCCTTAGAAACGGACTGCAATTAGCAAAGAAGACTTGTACAGATCAAATTACTCCCTCTTTTGCTTGTCGTGAAATGGTAAAGAAAAAGGTTTTGACAGATCGCAGCAGAACATGACCAGGAAGGCCTGCAGCAGTGAAAACGCTTCAGCCCCCACGCGCCTTTTCTCAAATGCTATCTCGCTTCGGCCTTCAATTCTCCCATGGTCATTCTAGGAATGGAAATTCAAAGCTTTTAGCAGTATTATCTGCATTGGATTTTATAGAAACTAAAAATATTACCCTTACTACGAGCCTGACACTGATGGGCACTTGTCAATATCACAGAATATAAATAAAATCCAATTTTCCAACTAAACAGCTTAATCCAATCCTTATTTTTGCCTTTAATCTTCTTGAGATTATTATTTTTTTAAAACCTAAACAAAAGCTGATGGTTTGGTTTGGTTCCACTGTTGGCTGTTGGGCTGTTGCTGCTGACCATCAGGTTTGTCATAAAGATTGCGTAGTTAAAAGACTGAACCATCGGGGTATCCAAAGTTGTGGGACCCAACAATAAATGGCCTTGGATCCAACCACGTGTACGGCCATAATGGTCCAACTTTAGTTGCAGGCGATGGAAGGAAAATTATTTACTCCTATCCGATAACAATTAAGTATATTTGAAGAAAAATTTGTAGAATAAAACAAACAAGTTCCTGAAAAGCTGGGAGAGATAGGGAAGAAACTCAGGGAAGAAACTCACACTTTGTACTTGCCAAGTGGGTGTTTGACACGTGTACATCAACAAACTTGATTGAGGATCCAATTTTCCAAATTCTATATCCCCCCGTACTCAAAAAACAGAGTTGGGGAACTGAGAAACATAGGGAAGTCTGAAACTATATTGTTTCTTTTAATGAAACACAAACAAAGAAGGTTCACGAAAGAGAAGAAATTGGAATGGGGAAGCGAGGGGAGGGGACCATTTGAATAACTTTTTTTTTATTTGTTTCTGTTTCGAGTGTTACAAGAGGGGGACCATTTTGACTAGTCCGATCATCAAAATTTTGGCCTTAAATCTAGTAAAGGAACATTCTCTCTTATTTGCTTATGCAAGCGTTGCATCCCAAGTAATAAACCGATATCTAAAGTATTGAAATAAATACTTATATACACTACATATACTTTTTAAAACAAAAGGATCATTATCCTTGTCACAACATAACTGTCTTAACCCTAGCTGATACTGTTGAGCAGTAAATTCTCTTAATTAATTGGTAGGGAAATCTGGATTTTTTTTTTTTTTTTTTATGGATGGAGAGGAAATGGAAGTGGGGAAGAAGAGCAAATAACTTTCTGATCTCCTAATGAGCTAAACAATCTTCCTCAAACTAAAGAAAATTGAATTGATACTCAATAAAGCAGAAGGTGAATGGGACATTTCACTCAAAAGAAAGAACTGAGGAGTGGAGAAAGCTTTAATGCAACATCGATAAGGCTTGGAGAGTGGGGGGGGGGGGGGTGGGAAGGGGGTAAGTATCGATGGAAAGATGAAAATATTCTATTTTTTGATTGGCTCCTGCCAAATTTAACACTTTGGATTAATAATAAGCACATACTATATACATTTGGACAGAAAAACATTTGCGAAATTTGGACAGAATCTGTTCTTGGTGTCATTGATGTCATAGCGAAGATAGCATCATAACATTCATGCTACCAAATTATTACATGCTACAAGAAAAAGCGAAACTTTCGATGACTCAACGAAAGATTGAATGGAATGCTCGCACTTTATTCCTGTCACCAAATGGGAAAAAAAAAAGATGGCGATCAGAAGAGCATATGATAGCAGGATTGAATTTTACACAATTAACTTTAGTTGGTGATATATAAAACTGAATCAATTGTTCATGAACAAGAAGCTGCTTGTGCCCAACCTTATCTTCATCAGGGCTAAAAGAAGTAAACAAAAGGAGAATAGGATGCTAAGGGAGGGGGAATGGTATCATCCAAGAACAGGTTTAAAGTCATGCATTTAGAATCAAAGATATTTGCAAGGAAGGATGAGAAAAAGGG